AAGATTTCTGAACGCCAGGGATAAAGAGAGCTGCGTCTGTATATTTTGCAACTCTTCCCTGGTGGGAAGTAGTTTCTGTGACCCTGTGGCATTTTTAGATTCCTATTTCATGGTGACCAACTATTCTGTGCTCCAATGCGGCACCCAAAAGGAGCAAATACAGCATTTTTATTGACCTTTACCTTTCCTCACTTGAACCATTATTTGTCTGAAGGAGGACTGGCTATTACAAAAACAGACTCCAGCATCTAAGGAGAAAAGCCTTTTTCCCCTTCATCCTCTCAGCCACTTGGCAGAATAATTTGAGATTTAAGGATGATTTCAATTAATGCAATTAGAAACTCTTTGAACTTTCTAGTCCAAAGAGTAACAATGTAAGCCTACCGGACTAGTTTAAATTTATTAGTGAATCTAGTTTGGTATCTCCAGTGCCTTTTCGTGTCACTTAACAAGGACAGATGTTCAGAAGTGGCTTTGGCTTTGTGATGTGCTAGTTTGGTATGTCTGATGACAAAACATCCATCCTGTGTTTCAGACTGACCTTTTCTACTTCCGGAGCCACTCTGATACTCATGTGAAGATCCTGTTCCCCATCATTCATGAGTAGAATTATTTTAATGGTAGGGTATTTTGTAAACACATTTTTATGGAAAATTAGAAGGGGTGTGTGATTGCTTTCCAAACATGCATTTATTCATTTGGCAGAGAGTTACTAAGAATTTAGCATTTTGGGGCACTGTTCAGGTGCCGGGGCCATGGACTGTTGGGCTGGACGTCACCCAAGTTTGAGATTCCTGGTCAGGGAGGAAGCCAGACGTTTGAAGAACAATGTCAGTCGAGTGCCAGCATCTCTCTAGTGGTTGAAGCACAGCCCACTCTCGGTATACATGAAGCAAAGAAGAAAACGTGTCTAGCCACAGTCCTCACAGTGAGAACGGAGGTCTTTTTAACAACTGGAGACTGTGTCGGGAAGACCCGCTTCCCCTTGGAGGATTTCCGGAGTTCTCGTGGTGGTTGTCGCCAGGTGGACAGTTAGAGCAGCAGTGTTTTTAAATTTACATTTAAATTTTATTTTATCTTTGAAAATATCGTTTGTTGTTGTTCGAGTACAGTTTTCTGCCTTTTCCCCGATCCCTCCCCACAACCCCAGCCCTCCCCACCTCCCTCCCCTGTCCCCCCACCCCTCGTTACTGTCCATGTGTCCTTTATAATTGTTCCTGCAAACCCTTCCCCTTTTCCTCCATTATCCCCTCCTCTCTCCCTCTGGTCACTGCCAGCCTCTTCTCAATTTCAGTGTCCTTGGCTTTCCTTTGCTTGCTTGTTCATTTTGTTGATTAGGTCCCTGTTAATGGTTAGATCATATCACAGAGCAGCAATGTTAAACCTTTGTGGGTGTTAGTAGTCCTGAGACAACAGCGAGGGTCTCAGCAGTCCTCAGCTAAAGGCAGGAGGTGTGGGGACTACACTGTACGTAGCCTTTCCAGGGAAGTCTCTGCTTGCTGGGAAAACTGCCACGTCAGGGCGTCTGTAGTGGCTATCTGACCTTGAGATTGGAAAGCTTCTGTTGACCTGCTTTCAGCTTTACCTACTCAGTCTACAATTGCCATCTGATATTAAGCTGATTTAAGTAATTTTATACTTAATTGATGTTTTCATTACATTTCGTTTTTTATAATTTATATTTCTCAACTGAGATTCTTCATGGTTATTCATTATGCATATATTTTTCTTTATGCCCTTGTACATATTTAATGTTTATATATAATACTTGTTTCAAAGTCTTTGCCTACTACCAATTGTAAGGGACCTCTGCATCAGTTTCTATTGCTTTTTTTTCTAGTACGGGTCACTTTGTTTAAAATTTAGTTCAGATCGGTTTCCTTGTTTCTTTACCTGAAATTTTTTAGAGCACACGGGGTGTTGGAGGCTGTGTGGTGGAGACTGCCTTTTGCTGTGGCTGTCTTCTAAATGGTGGTTTTGGTTTGGGCAGCTGGTTAACCCCGCTGGACCGGAGCTCCAGCTTCCTCCTGTTCGCAGTGGGCTGCGGCTTCTGTTTCTGCTTAGTGGTGTCACCCTCGTTTCTGCACTGGCCATCCCTGGAGTGCACGTGGTTCAGTGGTCAGCAAGAATTGCAGTGGATTTTACAAGCAGGTCCTGTGGCTACTTCTCTGATTCCACTTTTCTGATTTGCAGGCTGCCGGGGCCCCAAGCGTGTCCCCTGACTCCTCAGCCAGTGAGGCACAGCATCACTCTGCCGGGCTGCGGGTGGTGGGCAGGGCAGCCCAAGGCCAAGGCAGCACTGCACGAGTCTCTGGGGTGCTGTTCCCCTGGAGAGAGGAGACTGCTCTCCAGTTTGTCCCACTCAAGGGCATCCAGATAGGTTTTCAAAAGTATTTTTCTTTGAAAATGTGTAATTGTCTATAAGGATTAGTCCAACTAAACCATTCCATCATTGCCTAAAGCTGGAATTCTCAAAAGAAAAATAACATTTAAAAGGTCATTCTGAAACTGAAGGCCTGTAAGTTAGATATGGTATTGCTAATAGAGAATTTGGACCATTGCTGCTCGTCTGTCCGGGACACTTAACTTTTAGTGACATGGGCTGCGTTTCTGTTAGACGTCTCACCAGCTGCCCCACTCCTGGTTCAACTGTGCTTGTTCTCGTGCTTGCTCAAAGGTCTGGATTATTTTCCCCCGAATTTCTCCTAAGCCTGAGCCACACACATACACACACAAAAAGCCGAGAAATGAAAGAAGGAAGGCCTATGGCCTATGTTCTTTCATTTTTCTCATGTCACTTTAGCAGTTCTGACCTGACCCGAGAGGCAGTCTTCATGAAGTTCCGTGGTTACAACTTCCAGTTCACAGCAATGGAGCTACTTCTTCGCAGTCAGTAACTGCGGCCCCTCAACATACAACCCACAGTCTGCAAATAGACTGCACACTACTTTCCTTGGATAAAGGGGAAGAAAAGTTAAAGTCTGAGAAGATGATGACATTGTTGTATTTCCCCCCAGGATTTAATTTTCCTATTGATAGGGTTGGTGTAAGTAGATTAAGAGTATCTTGTTTGATAAAATGAAATTGGAATGCTTTGTCATCTGTTGTATTACAGACACTTGGAAATGTGCTTCAAATTATTTGCATAATGGTTAAATTAACTTAATTTATAATTGTATTCATTTTCTTATATGGCCTTGACCTTAACAATTCCAACTCATCTTAATTTTCAATTGGTGATGGAAGGTTATAGTCATTTTGAGTTATTTCTAATAGGGTATTCAAATAACAGAATTTGTTGCTTAAATTTTTCTTTTTATATAAGAGATAATGAATTTTACTCAAAAGAAAAATAAAATTTAAAAGGCAATGTCGAAATTAAAGGCCCCTAATTTAGATATAGTATAGCTAATACAGAATTAGTAATAGTTTCCACATTATGTAGTATAGCTAACCCAGGATTAGTAATAGTTACAATATTATATAGTATAGCTAACCCAAGATTAGTAATAGTTACAATATTTCATAAATGTTACTAATTTCAAACAACAGTCAGATAACCAAAGTTATAAAAGAAACTTAAAGTATATTTAACAAGGAAAATTCAACCAAGGAGAATGAAACCATTAAAAGAGGTATTGCAACCAAAAAAATACTAGATTTTTTTTCTGTTACTTTAAGGACTATGCAATACTTCATGACAGTGAATTGCCGGAGGTCAGGATGAAGTGTGGGTGTGGGGGGGAATTAAAAGGGATCTATTGAACAAGGGAGCATTAAAACGCAAGGATGTGAGCCCTGGCCGGTGTGGCTCAGTTAGCTGTGGCATTGTCCTGCAGCCCGAAGTGCCATAGCCGGGCTCCCAGTCAGCGCACGTACAAGAAGTACAAGAAAGCAACCAACTGCTATTTCTGTCATCTCTTTCTCTCTCTCTACCCCCCTTTTTCCTCCCCTATCCTCTCTCTCTAAAGCAGGGAAAAAGTCCTTAGCTGAGAATAAAATGTTTTTGTGAATGTAGGGATTTGAAAGACACATTTAGCTGGTACCAGAACATCTACTCAGAACTAAGGCAGAGTCCAGCCCCTGTGACGCTTCAGAGAAAGTCCGAGCTGGAAACCTCTGAATTAGAAGCGGAGCCACAGCAGTTTTGAATAGTTCTAAAGAAGTCATCGTTAACAGTGGACAGGCTTGTCAACAAAATCACCGTCACCATAATTTTCATGGTCGAAATCATTAAAAATTAAGTGTTTATCCCAGACACTGTGCTGAAAATTTTACACACATTATCTCATTTTTTCTAGTACTGTGGGGGAGATAACTTTTGTTGGCTTTATTTACAGATGAGAAATAGGAGCTGTAATTAACTTGTCCTAAGGTCACGGCGGTAGCACTGGACTCAGGGCTGGATTTGCTGTCTCATGAACCTATGCGCTTAAGAACCAATAAGGAAAAAATAATCTGGAAAGAATATGAAGCTGGCACTATTCATTTTAAGATCTCTGGTTTGGAGTTTGCCACTGAGCAGTATAAAATTTGATGTTATGCCAAAATAAATTTCTATCCATGTGAATAATTCAAGATGTTACTTACTCTTACAATTTTCTTTTCTTTTTTTTTTTAAGATTTTTATTTATCTTTAGAGGGGAAGGGAAGGGAAGGAGTGAGGGAGAGAGACATCGATGTATGGTTGCCTCTCGTGTGTCCATTGCTGGGAACTGGCCTGCAACCCAGGCATGTGCCCTGACTGGGTATCGAACCACGGTTGTTCGGTTCGCAGGCCCACGCTCAATCCACTGAGCTACACCAGCCAGGGTTTACAATTTTCTACTTGACATTTCAGTAGAGGTTGAACTGTTAGCGTAAAATATTCAACCATTATTCTTTCAGGGGACTGCAGAGGGCTGAACTTTCCAAGGAATGTATTTACCACAAGACCAAGTTCTTTGACTATAAAGTAGTATTTTAAAAGTTTTGCTTAGCTCCTTTTCCTGTCTCCTCAGGAAAAGTTGGACGCAGGGGTGAGAAAAGAAGTCGATGGCATGGGGACCTCTGAGATAAAGTACGGAGACTCGGTCTGCTACATCCAGCACGTGAACACAGGCCTGTGGCTGACCTACCAGGCCGTGGATGTGAAGTCTGTGCGAATGGGGGCCACGCAGCGCAAGGTGAGCTGGTGGGGAGCACCCTGTGCAGCGGGCACCCCTCCGGTCTGCAGTGCATGCCTGAGGCAATTTAAAATGTCCCATGAACAAGTGTGTATGTTATTACATGTTGAAATAATAATATTTTAGATTATTAGGTGAAATAAAATATTTAAAATAATTTTACCTTTTTAAAAAACTCCTACTAATATGGGCTCTGGAAAATTCAAAGCTACATATTTTAGAAACACCTTCTGCCTCTGCGTCTCCCTGTGGTCGCCGCCCCTTGCAGGGACAAACATTGTCGTCGCTGCAAGGCCGGAGATGAGTTTGGTTGTTGGGCTTTTCATCTTCTTGTATTGACAGTGATTTCATTAGCTTTCCTGTACTGCATTCCATGAGTTAAACATGAATATTTACCAGAAAGGTAAGCATTCAAACAGATTTCACAAATCGTAAAGAACTGAGAAAGGAAAACAAAGGAGAAGTTTTTCCTCAGATATCAGTGTACTAAGCACTCTTGTCCTAATACCACAGTTTCCTTACAGCTTTTATTAAAGGTTCCAAATATGATATATGGTTATGAGAGAAATACAGGTATATATGGTAACATGTAGACACGTTTTTTAAAATATAGAAATAAATTTCAATCAGAAAAATCACTTTGGGTGTTATTGCCCATTTGATGTACTTAAATGGTAAATGAAAAAAAAAAGACTTAAATAATCATCTTTTTTTTTTTTTTTGCTTATGTACCCCTTGGGTGAATTTTTAAAACCACATACGCTATGATATACTTTTAATTATAAATTTAAGTAGTTGCAAAGAAAATGGTTTTTTACTATGAATATTTGAAACCAAACTCTACATGCATCTTTTAAATATGTTATATGGGAACTAAATACAAGGTTCCCACAATTGCCTTCTTTCATTCTGTTGAATCGCACAAAGCAGCCAGCCCAGATGGTGCTGCGTTCCGAGTGAACCTCGTCTCTGTTCCCTGTGCCCACCTGTGTGCGGCCAGACCAGCCTCCAGCTCGTCTGTGGGCAGGGGGCACACAGCCTCTTCTCTGGTCTCCCGACCTCGGTCTCCCTCATCCCAGCCACAGAGACCTAGTGACCGCCACGCTCACACCCTGTGTGGCTGAGCGTCACATCCTGAGTGTCATGGTCTCCGGTCTCCTGGCCCCGCAGCCCAGACTCCTTTCTTCATCGCACTCTTCAGTCCGCGGCAGCAAAGCCCGCATTCTTACTGGTCCTCCACGGTCTTCTTCCTTAGCTGTGGGTCGAAGCCGCCACGGGACCTACCTTCTCCTTCGTGGGCTGACAGAGAGCGTGCCTTTGAGAACAGTTTCACACGGGTGTTGAGAATCTGAGCAGTCTCGTTTAAGTTGGTGAAGGAATGTGGGAAACAGACTTTCTGGGCCACAGAAGAGAGAATCTCCACAGTTAAACCTCTCCTGTAAACTCACCACTACTTCTAGAGCCATCCATCTACTCAGTCTTTGTCGGGCACTTCAGTGAGGGCCATGTGCCCCAGGACTTCCCAGTCGAGAGTCCTAATTAGCTGGATCTCCCAGTTTCAGATCACTGAATTTTAAAGAGAAGCACATTGCCCTGGCCAGTGTGGCTCGGTTGGTTGGAGCATCACCCTGTAGGCTGAAAGGTCATGGGTTCGAGTCCCTGTCAGGGCACATACTGAGACTGTGGGTTTGATCCTAAGTCGGGGTGCATGAGAGAAGGCAACTGATTTGTGTTTTTGTCACATCAGTGTTTCTGTCTCTCTTTTGCTCTCTCTCTCTCAAATGTCCTCAGTTCAGGATTATAAATAAAAAGAATCCCATTTTGATGCTATCTTTGCCAACCCGTACATTTTGAAACTTTTTTGTTCTTGTTTCATGTGAAAAAAACTTGGTTAGTTAAAAAAAATATCTGAATCACTATTCAGAGCTCTTATACATCCCCCTTAATGTGAATATTCGTGTTTTGCTGACAAAATATAAATTCCCTGTTTGCAGAGTGACGCGCAGCACACACTGGGGGTTAACAGTGTGTAACGTTTATGCTGCAGTGCTTCTTAAATGCGTGTGTCACCCAGGGTTTTTGATCCGTGCACTTAGGTCTTTTTAAAACAGAGAGGAGAATCAGTCCAGCTTCAGTCTGTGCTCATCCCATCTGTCAGATTCTTCCCCAGGAACACGCAGCGCCCCTTCCCCGCGCCACGGGGGTCCTCTTGCCTTCAGAATTCCCACCTTTCTGTCCTTGTCTCTGCAGTTTGCTTCTCCAGGGTGCCTGCCACATGAGTCACTTTGTTTTCCTGGGTGCTGTTCTGTACTTCAGGTTGTGTCACACCTTTGACATTTGGGTTTTCTCCTAGTGCTCCATTATCGCCCGAGCTCACTTTTGTCTCAGCATGCTGTCTTCTCATTGGTGCTGACTGTTCACCTCAGCGTGTGTTCCTGTGGATTTTTACTGTCTCGTGGAAGTCAAACCATCTTGTGTTTTGTGGACAGTTGAGGAAGTTTGTATGTGATAGTAGTTTCTTGCTATGCCTATTTTACTTAGATTTTTAAAAAAATGAGGAATTAGTGCTGTATTTTATCAGTGAAAATGTCTTAGTGTACTTTAATTTGTTGATAATAAGTTAATAGACATCATGATATTGAAGAATCCTTAAACTCATAGACTAAACCCTATCCGGCTATAGGGTTATTATTTTGAAATCCTACTAGATTCTATTCATGTTTTATTTAGAATTATTACATATCTCACAGGTAAAATTAATCTTTGTTTATTGATACTGAAATTTGAATTTTATACAGTTTTCATGTGTCATGACACTTTCTTGGTTTTTGAACCATTTAAATGTAAAAGCCATTTTTAGCTTACAGCCTTTATGAAAATAGGCAGTAGGCTGACTTCCGGTGGAGACAAATGTACCATTCAGAGTTTATCGGAACTCACTCGTGAAACTGTCTCGTGCTAGCGTCCTGGAGATGGTAGATCTTTAGTTTCCTTTGTGATCTCTTTAAGGTGCTCTCATCAGATTTTCCACTTAGGTGCGGGGCTTCGGTTCAGTGAGTCTGGGTTCTCTAGGAAGCCATCCCATTTCCATGGGCCACTCAGTTACATTTGTGGTTTACATTAGTTTTTATATTATTGTGTTTCATCCCCATGGAAGTCCACACAGGATTCTCTTATTATAATTTTATAAAGTTAATGTCTTTTGTACCTTATATTTTATTCTCTGTGTTTTTGCTTTCTTTCTATTTTATTTTTATCCTGGTTTGTGAGAGGTTTACCTATTTCACTTATTTTCTTCAGAAATCAAATTTTGGGCTTTACAAAATCCTTTCTAATGTTTTATTTGATTTCTAGTTCATTAAATCCTATATTTATCTTCTTCAGTTTCCCTTTTCAACTTTTTTTTAGAGTGTTAAAATCAGGAATATGTTTCTTCATTTTAATCATTTCCCCCCACTTTTACAATAAGGCATTTAAGGCTCTATAATTGCCTTTGAATACAGTTATATTTCTCTCTCATCGATCATGTATGAGGTTCCAGTCTGTATTGCTTTGTAGACAGTTTGTCATTTTAGTCCTTACTAATTTTAATTCAGTACACCTGGTTCGATGGATGACTGAGCTGTCTTGCTGTTAGTGCTGAGTGAAGGAAGATGGACACAGGAGGTGCCTGGTGCATGGCCCACACTGACCTCTGCTGTTGAAAGTTGGGGGGCGGGGCTGTTGCGAGGAGAGGGCAGGCGGGGAGCCCCACAGAGAGCTGAAGGTGCTGTGATGTTCTCCTCCTTGCGCCGAGTGTCCTTTCCACAGTGTGTTCACTTTGGGACATTCAGCTCTTCACTGGAGATTTTCGCACATTCTCTCTCCTCATGTCATACTTTCCTCAGTTTAAAAACAAAACACCTAACAGAGAACTAATAAGTAAGAATGCATTTTTAAAAGAACTTAGATGCCTTAGAAATGTTGCTCATACTTACTAACCAGTCTGTGTTCGAAACTGTGGTGTCAGTGTGGTCCCCTTGCTGCTTTAGACATAGTTTGTCAGATGTGTGTTGGTGACTGAACATGGTCTTTAAAACACTGTGTGTGTCTCAGTCAGCTCCGTGCGACAACTGACTCGTTCTTCCAAACAGTCATGGAGTGAACACAGAGTGTTCTGGGGGCCTGTCTGCGAATGTTTCTCCACCTTCCACACAGCAGTCCCCCGTCCCCCGTCCCCCTGCCTGTCTCGGTTCTGTTTGTCGTTGTCACGCTGAGGCGCTCATCTGCCTCACCCTGCTCGGAGAAGTGACGCTGGCGTGACCGCGCCGCCTCCGCTTCCTCTCCTTGCAGGCGATCATGCACCACGAAGGCCACATGGACGACGGCCTCAGCCTGTCCCGGTCGCAGCACGAGGAGTCTCGGACGGCTCGCGTCATCCGCAGCACCGTCTTCCTGTTCAACCGGTTCATCAGGTGCGTTTTCCTTTGGTCCCAGGGGCTGCTTGACATTCTTCCTCAGTGTCCCTGTTGGACGCACAAATAAACAGTTCTGAAGTACTCTGAGGTGGTAAACCTCACCCAGTTTGGAAAAGCGCCAGTTAGGTGATTTTATGTCTTCCTTTTAAATAAGAAATGTGCTTTTAGAAATTGCGTGTGTGACTTGTTATTAGCTAAAGGTCAGGAGTATTCGGGGACAGACCTTTGCTGTGGACCTATTTCACTCCCTTTTACCCTAAGGGTCACACTTCGTGAGTTTTGAGCTGTATTAAAAAATAAAGTGAGTCTCGTAACAGTGAAGTTTACCCACCTAATTATGGAAAAATTGTGTATCTAGAAGCTAACTGAAGCTTGTGTACAAACTGTTTCTGGTAACATTAGACCAGCACAAACTGTGCTTGTACTGAGTGTCATGTACCTCTTCCAACTTCATTGGTTCGATGGGAAAAATTGTGTGTGTGTACACAGAAGTATATTTATACTTATAGGTGTTGTTTAAGGTTGCATTTATTTGAGAATTGTGAAAGTGGGTATACTTCATATTTGCCAACTAAATTTTTCTGGGTGTGATTTACCCTATTATTTGTTAATACTTTTATTAGGTCACTGTGAGCTTCTGTTAAGAGACTTTAATTCCCTATCATCTTATATAAATTGCAAATATTTTTCTAATTTATAGGTTTGAAAAAGTATTTTAAAGTGCTTATTTTAATAGCAGTTTCCCCAAGAAATCACATTTTGTGTAGAGGTTCTAAAACTGAGCATAATTAACAGTTATGGAGTATTAGCATTTGTCTGGTAAGAGGCTTCTCCGAGAAAGTCACCAAAGGGGTATGTTTCTCATAGCAGATAGGCTCTCCTTAGTAACCCAGAAACCGGCATTGCCTCTTGTTTCTCTCTAGGTCTGCAGGTGTAGACATTGTATTGCAATCCCTGGTGAGTGCATTCAGTTCACTAGGATGAGAGTTGAGTCTGACTATGCTATAAATAAGCATATATGATTCAAATATAGTTCTGAGTCAACAGGATAAACTATGTTAGCACAGAATTATTTTCATTGGGAATGAATTTTCATTTTAAAATAAATTTTTTTCTGCAAAGTCATTTCTGTTGCGTTGGGACATAGAAAGCTCATAGACATGATAACACTAGGTGATAGGTGAATGTCATTTTTGTAAATGGCTGGGAATTTCAGAATCGGGCAATGTTACTATTTCTACTGTATATGACACTGAAGTGAAATATTCCAAAATTGCTAGTAACATTATGTAAATAATGAAGCATTTTAACTAATAATTTTTAGCATTGTAGAGTTCAAAGATAAGCCAATTCCGAGTTGTAAGGCTTTTACTGTTTTCTAAAATGTGATTTCCAATCTAGTCAGATAACTGGCCAGAGACATTTCCTTGGAATAAATATTGCCATTCGCTTTTGCCGATGCAGAGAGCAGGAAAGGAAGTATATGTTTCCTTTATGGATTAAGTTTTGCCTTAAGTACATGCATTAAGTTTTGTCATGACTAATATGACTATTACTATATCAAGTATAATATAAGCATTCTCTCACTCTTTTTGGTGTCTGTTGAGTATTTTTCAGTAGACTTTTTATTTTGGAATAATACTGATTTATAAATGATGAAAGTTCTTTGCAGAAATATTCAAAGCTTCGAGTTTGAAATTTTAGGATCTCAGAAAGCTCAACAGATCAACACATTTACATGGCACTGTTTTTCTTCAAGGGCTAGAACATGCAACATGATATCATTTCTTTTTTTTTTTGTGGTTGAAGTCTAGCTAATATCTTTTAAAGTTCTTAACATAAAATACATACCTGTTTTGCCTGTGTTTACAAAAATAAGTTCATGTTATTTATCTCTGCTAAAAACTTGCAGGTAAGAGACAATCACTTGCTATATTGTTTCCTAATAAGTGAATTTTGTGAGTTAATATCATTAAAATTATTTTTAAGCAGGCAGAAATAAACATAAAGGCAATGAATATCAGTGGGTAGCATAAGCAGTTAGAAGTTCCTTCTCCCAAAACAGAACACATAGAAGAGGAAAATGTCAGTCAGCATTGCCAGTCTGGGAAGTTGTATTGTACACCTGGAAGTGTGCAGTGCTTTACAGTCAAAATTGGCTGTTTCTAAGTATTTAGACATTGGTTTTGTGGTCCTCCAGGCCCTTTGGGATTTTCTCTGGATGCATTTCTCTTGATACTGGCGTTTTTAATATAGCAGTATGCATTCATGAAAGAATACACCGTTTCTCACTTTAATATATTAATTATTGCTTGAGGAAACCTAGAGCCGCTCTTGTGTGTTCCTTTTACCGTGGTGTCCTGGTGTTGGGAGGGAGTAAAGCTTTAAGTCACCTGTACACGGAAAGAATGCATCAGCTGTGGGTCACTGCCTAGAGAAATGGTCGCTGTTGATTATTTTAGGGGCCTAGACGCTCTCAGCAGGAAGGTGAGGGCGGTGCCTGGGGACTTGCCCATCGAGTCTGTCAGCCTGAGCCTGCGGGACCTGATCGGCTACCTGCACCCCCCTGACGAGCATCTGGACCATGAGGACAAGCAGAACAGGCTGAGAGCCCTGAAGAACCGGCAGAATCTCTTCCAGGAGGAGGTGAGCTTCTCAGGCCCACGGCTGCTCTGCTGTGTTCTGGGAAAAGCAGCCCTGGCAGGGCATTCTCTGGCTCAGCCCTTTGTGACCTGGGGCTGCAGGGCTCCAGGGCTCCAGGGAACCAGGCCTTGGAGAGCCTGCAGTTCCTGCCCTGCCCCTCAGTATTTAGGGAACTGGTCAGGCCCCTGGCAAAACACACAGCCTCTCACTGTCTCCTCAGTCCTCCTGCCACACGGAGCACGTGCCACACTGTTTCTCTTCCCATTAGTTGTATAGGATAGAAGCAGGCTCTTCACATGCGTAAATGAACACAGGTCTGGAAAGCACGAGGGCTCTCTAACTGTGCAGCAGCCCCTTCGGGCTCCTTGAAGCTGCCTCGGGAGCCACAGGGAGCTTGTGTTGGGGACAGAAGCTGCCAGTAAAGGGCAGCCAGAGACAGGGCTCCAGCCCCCTGCCTGGAGGCAGTGACCCCACTCCTTCCTTGGCTTAAGTTTCCGTGTGTGGCTTAATGTCATGAAACTGCTGCTGCCCAAAAGTGCACAGGCACCTTCTTTTAAAAATAATTTCTCATTTTTAAGAATAATGAGAAAAATAATTTCTCATTTTCTCATTGTCTCATAAGACAATCTGGATGGGGACTAGAAACATTCTTAGGTTTATGGTGCCTCTCTAAATTTTTGGTGTGAAATAAGTTAATTTGATTAGTCAATTCTTTATAGCTCTCCCTTTCATGTCCTTTGCCTCATTTTGGCAATCTTGATCTAGCAATAATAATAAAAGCATAATTTCAAATTTAGGCTGTACCTTACAAAGTTCTGCAGTGAACTTTTATTTGATCTAAAGATACATTTTCCTGAGCTTTTCTTTAATCAATTAGGTCTTCAATTTTATATTAAACTGATGGCGATGATGCTGCTCCCCCTGAGAGTGAGGACCTGGTTATGCAGGAGAAAAGTGTTTTCCTCACCTAGTCACAGGTGCACTGGCTGAGGCCCTGCAGACTGATGCACCAGAGACCGATGTCCTGGAGAAGGACAGCTAGAAGTTCAACAGCAGGGGCCCCGCACACACAAGTAGAGGGCACCCAGTGACGACTGCTGCAAAGGAGTGGTTAGCACGTGGGTTTCTGCAGAACAGCGAGCATATGGAGAAGTGTCATGAAGACAAAGGAAAGAGGCCTGGAGCTTCTAGGGGCAGCTGTGGGAAGGTGTGGAGTGTGAGGGGTGAGCAAAAGCAGTTCGATGACTGCGTGCGGTGCAGGGCCGATGCGTGGCCTTATCTCGCAGATGAAGCCGCCCTGCCTGTCCTGGCTCAGAGGAGGCGGAGGGGCCGGGGGTTGCTCTTGTGTCTCCCTTTTTCTCAGTTGCCTTCAGCCCCCATGAGTCCTATGCCAAAGTGCCAAATGTGGGTGTCATACTCAGCACCCCTTTACTTACCGCAAAATATTGTTATGACTGAGTCACTAATCTCTTATTAAATCTTGCAAATATAAGTATGAAACAGGTATTTTTAAATTGTTCTTCTGCTTCTATTGAGAGCCACAGCTACAACTTAAAAACCACCTACTTCAGTGGCTGTGGGAACATTTTGTTTCACAGGAAGGTGTGTCACTGCTTGTTTTTGTGGTAAATGATCTTAGCTTTCTCAATGAGTGACAGACGCACTTCCAGCCAGGCTTTCCCCGTGGGCGCCTGCCTGCGGTTTCTGACGGTGTCTGTTCTGACCCGCAGGGGATGATCAGCCTCGTGCTACAGTGCGTGGACAGGCTGCATGTCTACAGCAGCGCCGCCCACTTCGCTGACGTCGCCGGGAGAGAAGCCGGAGCATCCTGGAAGTCGATCCTGAATTCTCTGTATGAGTTGCTGGGTAAGGAGGGTGATGGGTGTTTGGGGCAGCTGCTCAGGTCTGTTTCAGAGGGTCACTTCCTGCGGTTTTGTGACTTGCTTCCCACTGAGGCCAGATGGTCCCTTAGCTGCGCTGAGCCCAGTGGTGTTCGGTGTTTCAGTCCATCCCAGGAGGGAACATGCCTGTGGTTAAAGGGGAGTCGTCAGGGTGGAGTTTGTAGGGGGCCTTGGGGGTGAGCATTAACCCGAGTCCTCCGCCCGACCCACCCCAGGGACCTCCCAGGCTGTCCTCCTCGCTGGTACGGGATATGCAGTTGCAGTCCTGGGCATGCCTGGCAGATGCCAGGCAGCACTGGCTGTGGTGGGCGCTGTGCTCCTGGTTGCTGTGTGCAGCTGCGGGCCTGCGTTCCGTGTGTCCTGGACGCTTGGTGCAGCCTCTGTTGTCTGTCTGGTGTCAAGAACCATGAAGGCTCTGAGATCTTACCCCTTGCAAGCCAGTCGGTTAGCCTGCAGTTAGGACAAAAACGAATGGTTTATTTCTCACATCAACGAATGTAGCCAGAACATCAGCAGTTTTGGTGCCAATTTTTCAAGCTGCTATTCATTCCTGAGACAAACTAGATGCTTCAGGTAAAGAGAGGCCTTGTCTGTGTGTGCTTGAGGGTGGAAAGGGGTGTTTGCAGAGAAAACATTGTAGTGGTAGATGCGCATATATAATATTTAATCTCTATTTCATATCAGCTCTTTTCATAATCTGTTTTCTGGTTTGATTGTTGACGAAAACATGGCTGGAATGTGACTTCTAAGTGACTGATGAAGGAAATGCAGTTTGCTTCATAGTTCCCAAGGCCGAAGTGTCCACCCCTCCTCTGACCAGTTCTCTGAACACAGAGTCATAGTCCATACACCTGGGTCTTTCCTGCCAAGTGCGGCGCAGGTGCACAGTATTCACCTGGCGGGGCAAACACTTGAGCTCTCGCTGATCATGGGATGGTGCTGGGCTCCTGGTTGGTCTGAGCTTTGCTCCTCTCCGCCAAGCTTCACTGCAGACCTCCAGGGGCCACCCTGACTTCCCCAGGAATTTTAGTTGACTCTGCTACCTGGCACACGCCTTCTTGTCCTGGCCTTTGGACACCGGGAGCCCCTCACCTGGTCTGTGCCTGGCTTTGCACCTGCGCCCTTACTCACTCTGCCTCCTGCCCTTCCTCTGACCCAGGACTGTTCACACTCCTGGAGCACCTGGAGTCATTTCAATATAGAGTACATGTATTTGTATTAAAATATATGGGTATTCATTTCTTAAATACATATAAATAAATCTTTCCTTAGTTACGTATGTCCTGTTTGGTTAAGAAAGAATTCGAGGCAGCCGTTAACTTAAACTGGACACAGCAGCCCTGGCCGGATGCCTCTGCGAGTTGGCAGGTGGTCCCACCCGGCAGGCGGCCATATGGGTTTATGTGGGTCAGGGCATGTGCAGGGGGCAGCCAGTGATGCTCCATATTCTCTTTGTATTTCTATTCCCCTCACCCCACCCCCTCATTTCTCTCTCTCTCTCAAATCAATCAACATATCCTCAGGTGAGGATTAAAAGAATTGCAGAATTGACATAGTTAGAACCTTGTAATACTCATGTATTTAAAGAAGGTAACAATAAAATAATACACGTCACTGAGAACACAGTGATTCAGGCACAGGCCTGCTTTGTGGCTTTTAAACTTTTTTGTGGAGCAAGACATACTGCACAAACACTCTCTCTCTTACTCTTAACATGTATGTTTTTACGTGTTCAGCTCCTCCTGAGAGGGTTTCCGCTAACCCCCCACACATGTGTTATGACATGTTTTGGGGAGACTTCCTCCTTCCGCGTGTCTGTTCCCCAAATGTCTTGCCTCTTCGCTCCTCGCCTGGCCCCCCATGGGGCATCCGGTGTCACAGACTGTGTCCGGTTGAGAGGGTACGGTGTGCGCTGCATCCAGGTTGGAAGAGAAGCTTCGTCTGCTCATCTAAGACTGACTGAGCGCGGCTGAGGGAGCTGCCCTGACCTGTTCCGAAGGGACACACGGCTGTGACAGACGGCACGGCAGCAGAGCCAGCCACAGTGTCATGTGCACACTTGACTGCCTGCCTGTCTCGATGCAAGTTACTGTTCAGTCGTGATAAGTGATTAATGGTAGACTGAGAAGTCTGACTGCAGAACATGAACACTTGTGATGCCGTCCTTACAAAGTGAAAAACAGATGGAAATCTGGCGAAACGGGCAATCTATATGAAAGTCAAAAGCCCAGCTTTTGTAATGCATAAGGTTTCCACAAATCCATAAGGAAAGAAAATACCATCTAATAGAAGAACAGACAAAACATGGAGATAAGTAGTTCCCAGAAAATAAATAAAAGATTCTTATCATGCAAATATAAAGAACTGCAAGTTAAACTAATAAATAAGGGCCCTACTGTACTTATTGTATTGGCACAGATGGGACTTTGATAATATTGTGACAGTGAGGGACAGGTATTCTGGAGACGTGCGTGTACAGGTGGCCAGGGTGTCTACTCTAAGACCGTTCACAAACAACGTGAAACTGAAAACCACTTTTCTGTCAGCAGGAGACTGGTTATATAAGTGATAGTCCATGTAGGTGGTGTAGTGCTGTGTTATCACTGAAAATGGAGATAAATGTATCATTTGGAAGATTGTTTGAAATGGGCTAGTTTGCTGAATTTTTAGTGTGACAATCTAGGATGTGGTACTAAGTGAAAAAAGAAGCAAGCTGCTCCCTGTGTGCTGAGTGAGAGTCCAGTTGCGTACAGTTAAAATGTGCAGAGAAAGGCACACTTGAATATTCCCTGGGGATTTCTAGGTGGCGCAGAAAACTTCTAGGTGGCTGTTTCTTAGGTGAAGTCTTCTGCTCTGTGTGTTGTCTTAATCTGTTTGCATGGGCCACTTTTATAATTGAGAAAAGCAGTTAACGTAAATGTATAATGAGAGCTGCTGGTGGAAGGAAAGCTAGCAGACTAACTCCAGTGCAGGGAAGAACAGTGTTTATATCCAGTGCGTGTGATGGGCAGGGCAGTTCAAGAGTGGTGGTTTCTGGTCAGTAGAATTGGGGGATTTTGTTTAAATGTGCTTTTGACTACTCTTGATTTTCCTTTTCATTTAGTGAATACTGATTTCATGATTAGAAAAAGATAAATGAATAAAATCTTTAGCTGACATAAGAACCACCTGACTGTATGGAAGTCAGCATAATCATCAGATCGGCAGCTGAGTCTGGAAGTCTCGGACCTGCATCAATAATTAGAGTTAAATAAAGTGTTTATATCGCACTGTCCTCCACTCAGCCGTCAAGTTTGGTTCAAACGCCACTAACTCCAAATTTGGAAAGCCTCCTGCCAGTTCTTCCAAACAGGGAGACAGTGGACTGTCTCTGGGGTTAAGTATGAAACAATGCACCTCCCTTTTCTTCCTTCTGTGGATTTGTTTGGCATGTTCAAAAGGGAGGAGGTGGGCATGATAATCTGTAACAGTTTTTAAATTTGACATGTTTAATATGTACTTTAGGGAGAGTGACAGATTTGTGTTTGCATTTGAGATGCGAGAGCCAGCCACCCTGGAGGACAGGGGAGCTCCAACCCCGTGTTGGGGGTCGGAGTGCGGCTGAGCCACCCCACCACAGCTCGGTTTCCACAGCCGCAGCCATGCTGGCCATCAGCAGGGCCCTGCAGCCCCGCTGCTCTTCGAAGATGCCTATGAAATGGCTCTTCAGCAAACTGTCTGTGTAACACCATTTTACGAGGATGCAGAGTGTGAAGCAAACTGGACAGACTGCTGTTTTTTAGTATGCCAGAAGTCTGCAGTTCCCGAGTCCTTGAAGACTGAGCAGGGGAGAGCAGCTGAGGGTTCTTCGTGGCCAGCTCACCCCCAGGGCCATGGGGAGGCAGGTCTTCCTGGACACGGAGGCCCCTGGGGGTGGGGGCAGAGATGAGAGGGACGGGCACTGGCTACAGGCACGCTCCTGTCAGCTGGTGTTCTGCCTTTGTGCATATAGGTATTTTCCGGGGAAATGCTCTAAGGGCATTTTTATAAACAAGACGTGGTATTTTTTTTCTCCACCTTGGTAATAAATAATCTTATCTATGAATTGACAAAGGCATTAATATTTTTAATGGAAATTTGTTTTATAAGCAATTTGTGAGATAGCTACTGTCTTTAACTGCTTCTATAATACTACCAGGCCCCTGCTCCACCTTCCCATCTCTTCCAGGTAGGGGAGTCCTGCAGGAGGAGGTTGTGGGGGCCGCCTGGCCCCAATCAGAGCTCTGGCTGCGGAGTCAAAGCTGCCCAGCTTCACCATCTCCTCCCTGCGACAGGCACACTTCGTGGTCTCTTCCTGCCTCCTCCTCATCAGGGGGTTGGGAGGAGGGGAGATCAGCTGCCCTGGGCCTGGGGGCCATCGTCCCTGGGGGCCTGTCAGTGGCTGAAAGCTGGCCTTCCCTGGAGGTACACATGTCTTGTCCCTGTGCCTGTGATGGCGACTCCTCTGCATTCGACTGAGCATTTCCACAGTGAGGAAACACTGTGAGGCATGGGATGGCAGCTTTTAGTGTCTCTAAGGCCGGTCAACCAGCACTTGAAGAGTATTTTAGGGTTTAGCATGCTCGTCCTATATTGAGGAAGGAAAGGACCTTTGTCTGGAGTTTGTCCCTGTGCCTCGAGGCACTCTGGAAGTGTCTTGTGCTCTGGGGGAGGACAGCAGCACTCAGAGACGTCTGACAGCAGTTGCTGTTGAGCCTCCCTCTGGGGCCTGCACATTCTGGGAGCTCCCTGCTCATACCTGCATGGCTCTCCGCTGTCCTCTGCTGCTCCGCTGAGGTTACAGCGCACCTCCTGCTCACAGGGCCCTGCAAACTGAAGTCCTTATTGTGTATGACTCTCTTTCCCTCCTAGCTCTCTTTGGAATAACAAATTTACCCCCCTTATTTTTGTTTTTTAAGATTTTATTTGTTTGTTTGTTTGTTTGTTTAGAGAGGGGAAGGGAGGGAGAAAGAGGAGAGAAACATCAATTGCTTGCCTCTTGCATGTTCCCAGTTGAGGGCCTGGCTTGCAACCCAGGCCTGTGTCTTGACTGGAAAGCGAACCAGCGACCTTTCGGTCTGGAGGACAGCTCCCAACCCACTGAGCCATGCTGGTCAGGACAGAAATTTCCCCTTTGGACAAGAGGAGAGCAGCCAGCCCTTATCCCTGCCCCTCAAAGTCTTATTTTTATCCCAGGCAGTTAACAGGGTTTATTTCTCCAAAGGCGGCTCACACTTTCTGAGAAATGTTCTAAAACAACAGTTTTTCCATGCTATACATATACTTCTCTTCAGCATAAACACTTCACAAAAGTGGAATGACACTGTCTGCTTTCATTCAGAGCATTGTGTTCACTGTGGGCGACTGTTCTCAGCAGGGTCTGGGAGCCTCTCAGTCTGGTGGGTGTGACCGCCCAGCTGAGGGGCTGTCGTTACTTACTTGGTCCACACTCAGGCTGTCCCAGCGTTTGCTATCAGAAACAGTCCTGTGATGAACTTCCTTATTTCTCTCTTACACTTCCCCATTGCTTTAGAAACTCACTTAGCTTGTATATTCTTACTTAACTTGCTGCAGTAGAATAATGCACACAGTCCATTCATCTGTGCACATGGACATACCCGTGCACATGCACATGTGCACACACAGTCGTAATTCAGGAGGAACTTTTCACTGAATGAAAATTTTTTGTTATGAACATACAAGGTCTGTCCAGAAGGTATCCAGCCATGTAACATGAAAAATAGAGACATTTATTGAAGAAGATAGAAGATACATGAAACGTTGTACGTAGGACAATGACACCTCAGTCCCCTTCAGAGTAGGCACCTTGGGACCTCACACAGTTCTCCCAGTCGCCATCAGCTGCCTCATATTTTCTCGAATCTCATCAATAGTTTGAAATCTCTTCCCTTCCAAAGGTTGATTTCAGTTTTGGGAAACCCAGAAGTCGTAGGGGGCCAAATCTGGGCTGTAGGTGGGTGGGTCACCTGGGTGATTTGATGTTCTGCCAAAAAACTGTGTGAGAAGTGATGCATGAGTGGGTGCATTGTTGTGGTGAAGCTGCCAATCATCAGTTGCCCATAGCTGCAGCCTTCTGAATCATCTGGATAGTTTTCATGGAGGATACAGATTCATTGCTCTACTCGCTCAGGCATTTTGAATGTGATGGCCACACAGTGCACATTCTCATTCAACACTGTCTACTACCCCCACTGACTAGTGCAGTGCAGTCCTAATGAGGACTTGTGCATTCACAAGTCCACTCTCCTTGGCTGCCAGGTTACATTGATGTTGAGCAAGCCATTCTCGTTGTATTAATGGTTGCTGGAGTTTTTCCAGACAAATGTCGTATATTGAGATGTGAACATATTTCCTAATACGTTTTGGTGTCATTGGAGGAATGAACCCCTGCTGGACTTAATCTTGCTAATCTGCTTCTGAGCATGGCTGTCTGTGCATACCAATCTGGTATGAATTTTGGATTCATAGTGAAAGAGTTCCTCCAGCCCCCTGTGTGCACCAGCATCAGGCATTGCCGTCATGGCAGTGCTGCCGGGTGCAGAGAGCGTGGCCTCTCCTGGCTGCTTTACTCTGTGCGCTTTAGGCCAGAAATTGCATAGTTCTTAAACATGTCAGAAGAGTTTCTGTCTTTGACAAACTCCTCAGTATTATTCATAGTATATTGTTCTTTCTAGATTTTTTCATTTTGGTCAGTTCCACTGGGGAAAATATGTATTGTGTATTTGAAGGCCATTTTTCCCTAAATGTTCAAAACTTTCAGTCCAGAGATATATAAAGTGGCTGTGTTTATAATTTCTTTTTTATAAACTTTTTCCTTATTTCTTCTTGATTGGTATTTAGCTTATATTTTGAAAACTACTGCCTATTCTTATTTACATAGATCACTTTTCTATGCATTAATTTCTACTTTTCTTGCTATTATTCCTATTTTATTTATATTTATTTGGTGGTATTTTTCTTTATTGTAAAAGAAATATGTATTTAACATTTTTACCCTGTAGCTTACCAGTTAGAGTGCTCAAGTTAGTTTTTTCCTGAGTGTGACCGTCTGTCTTTGATATTTTAGGTAGCATCCCTGCTTTTGATATTTATCAGACGGCCTATGCTTGTGGTATTGACTTCATTTTTGTTTTTGCTTTAAAATTTTTTTATTCTTATTTTTTTACTAATTTCTAGTTTCATTACATTGTTATCAGAGAACCTGGTCTATGCCATTTCTGTTTGTAGTATTTAATGACATTTTCTCTGTGGCTCATGGTACTGTTTTCTTAAACGCCCCATGGTTTATTAAAAAGGCTTATTTTTACATTGTTTTTTTTTCTTTAAGGCTCACCTTATTGGTAATATTTGGCATCTGGAAGATATCTAATATCTTTAATTTAAAAAACCAGAGGCAAAATGAAAATAGTTAAATTTTAAACCAGAGACTCTGTAAGGATTGAGAAGCCTCCTCACACACGCTCCCCAGAGGCTGCGGTGCTGAGTCAGCAGCAGAGGCTCCCACAAATCTGAGGTCCCACGGAGCAGAGCAGGCTCTTCCTGCTCCATGACACCTCACCCTGCACACGAGTCCCTGGCATCGTCGCTGTGCATGCCGCCGGGCTCCACTCACGCTGGGGGTGTTGCCTCTCACCTGCACCCATGGGCTCTGCTCACGAGCTGTGTGGAGCAGAGCCTGCCTATCTTTTCTATCAGGATTGCTTCTCACTCTTAGGTCAGGTAACAGCTGTTGGGGGAAAGAAGAAAGGTGAGGACAGGAGTCCTGGGGTCCAGGGGCACCCTGGGACCAAACCCCTTGGTTTGACTCTATCAACGAGGCAAACAGGCCGGTTGTCCGAGTTCAGCTCCTGACTGCCGCTGAGCATGGCCAGGCCCAAGTAGAGACTGTTCTTGCACCTTTCTCTCGTGCAACAGCGTGATGTGTAAAACTATCACCCACCTGTTGGAAACCATATCTCGTGTGCTCGTGAGTGATCTTCTGGGTGTAAGAGTATAATTTACACAAAACATTTACCAGATTTATCTTAAAAGAATTGCATGACTTAAAACATTGAAAGTTTTCCATTGAGTCTACAAATCGAGTTGAAAGAGATCGTCAGGGTCACATAGCATTTCCATAAAAGATGGGCTCTTTGTCACAGAAGTACAGACAACTGGAGGTTGAGTGGAGTTGGAGTAGATGACTTGACTGCAGCTCTCAAGAGTGTTTCTGTGCAGGTGAACCTCTAGGTGGAAGGGGAGATGTGAGAACAAAGGTTTTCAGCCCTGATGCCCCAGGCCTCGGTCCCCCCCTTCCCTGCCCCCAGTCCCAGTGCCTGTTTAGCTCCCTCTTGCTGTGTACCTGTCACTGCTGCCACTTGTCTCCCACGTTCTGTGCTATGTTTCCAGGGAAAAGGAGGTGCTCCTAACTCCTCTTATGTGGGCGAGAAAGCGGAGCTCTGTTAGTCAGCTCCCAGGGCTAACTAGGAGCAGTGAGTACCAGACCCCAGGGAGGGAGCTCCTGGAACTGGGCGTCCCCGGCCCCTGCATTGTCACTGCCATTCGAACTGTTGCCTCCTCCAGATAATCCCTTCTGCTGAGCACTCAGGCTTGGTATTTCCTTTCCTGTCCTTACCCTCAGCTTTCTTTGTAATGCCTCCAACTCGGGTGCATATTTGTTCACGTTTTAGATACATACAGTATTGGTGTTGTGTTGTTCTGGATCCAGCATTTTAGGGCTACTGTTAGCTTTCTGCATTTGGAACTGGAAAAATCACATAAATGTGAAATCTGCCTCTTCTTTCACAGCGGCTCTCATTAGAGGAAATCGTAAGAACTGTGCCCAGTTTTCTGGCTCCCTGGACTGGCTGATCAGCCGACTGGAAAGACTGGAAGCTTCTTCAGGTGCGTTTTCCAGTTATCTCCTTGTATGTTACAGAATTCCTGTTTTCTTCTTTTTTATGTCTTTAAAGGCATTGAAACAGACTCTGAAGCTCAGTGAAATATAAATGTTTTTCTTTTAGTAGGTTAGATACTTGACTTACTGACAATAGTGTCTGTATTTTTATCAGTTATTTCTGAAAAGCAATCTGACAGTATCTCCCTCATTTACATTTATAAGAGTGAACTTGAGCCTTGGTTGGTGTGGCTGAGTGGACTGAGCGCGGGCCTGTGAACCAAAGGGTCGCTGGTTCCCAGTCAGGGCACCTGCCTGGGTTGTGGACCTGGTCCCCAGTAGGGGGCGCGTGAAAGGCAACCACACAGTGGTGTTTCTCTCTCCCTTGTTCTGCCTCCCTTCCTCGTCTCTATAAATAAATAATTAAAAAATCTTTAAAAATAATAAAATTAGTGAAGCTCTGAAAGCCTCACAAAGCCACATCCCTGCTCTTCCCCAAATCAATCACTCCTAAGTACAGACAAAAGTGTTGGTTTGGAATTCCCATTTTTAAATTGTGTTCAAATGATTATTTAGACTTAGAAGAAATTAGTTTTCTAAATCATACAGCACAGTACTGTATTTTATAGGGATTCAGTGAATAATAAACAGTCTGTCATAGTGAAATTGTGACAGGCAGGAACCCCGATCGTCTGCCTCTGACGCGCATACTTTCTGTCCATGGTGCGGCCGAGACCTACGGGATTCCCAGGGCGGCGTGCAGGCCCAGTGCAGGGCCCGCGGAGCCTGCTGCTCCTCTGCTGTTCGTGTAGCGTCTTGTTAGCTGTGCCGCTATAGTGCTGATGCCCCTCGTGCTGTTTGTGTCTGTCAATCTGCTATACCAGTAATGAACTTGAAGATAGGGGCATGATTTCATTCATCTTTGTATTCTCTGTATACTTTCTGGTAAGTAGTTGGTGTTTATCATATTTGAAGAAATGAACGAACAAACGAACGAAAGAACGTTGGAATTCACTTAAGACATTGTCTGTCAGTAAAGAAATAATTTCATGACTTTTGCGTGATAGAGACCCATTCAGGGACAGGCTTATTGGAATTGGATGAATAGAGAGACGGAAAAACTGATAGTTGTGATAAAGAGGGTTGTTTTAGATTACAGTATGAATTTTCAGAGTTTTAAGACTTAGGAGGAAGAGAAATTAGAGTCACACTGAGTTCTAAGATGTAGCTGGATTTCTGCAATGGCAGAAATAGTGTAGAGAAGGATATTGTTGATTAAGAAAGTATAAGGCTTATAAAATGAGGGTTTCCAGGGTGTCACAACATGAGATGACAATATACTGAACGAGGAGAAGACTGACTAACTACTCAGAAGTGATCAAATCAGCAGCAACATGGTTTTGGCAGCAGTTGCAGAAATGGATACACTACTGGCTCAAAGTGCAGAATTGTGGGCAAGCTCCAGTTGATACAAAAGCGTATGCTGGTCCCTTCCCCTGACCCCAGGATTATAGGGAGGGAGAAAGGAGCAGAAAGACCCTCAGGACAGAATATTTATGTGGATCAGTCAGCAGCTTCTCTTAAGAAAATGCCCGAAGGAAAAGAGGGAGAGAAAAAGGAAAGAACAGAGCCGAACGTCCTTGTGCTCAGCCCAGCAGAGTCCCGTGTTTACTGTCTTGAGTTCAGGGAGTTCCAGGCACAGTTGCACTGGATGCAGTTGCTATTTGCTGTTATCTTTCCCCAGTCTGTCTGTTGTTAACAAGCACTTCTGCTTAAGATCGAATTTCTGTGCTCACTCAGAAAGCACGGTGAGCATCGAGAGTGGGCAGGACCCTCAGAGGGTGCTCCACCTGGCACTCTCACTTCAGTGGACAGGGCCTCGAGGCACAGGACCTTTAAGTGACTGAATTGAGAAGCTAGAACTCACTGTCACGGCCAAGATGAAAACCCAGTTCCCTTCCATCAGGCTCTGACATTTTAAATATCAAAAATATTTTTCACTAAACAGTTTTCTCTACAGTAGTTATTACGTTTATGCTTTTAATTAGCTGCTGTTTTCCCAGAGGAAATAGAATGGTACTTAGTTTTTAGAGACAGAAACAATAATGGCATGTGCATATGTATACAAATATATACATTTACGTATACAGGGTGGGGCACAGGTGGGGGTACAGTTGTGCTCAGGTGAAACGCGCATTTATTCTTGTGTCAGGGTTTATTAATTACTGTACGGCTTTCCATGCGGACAACTGCAGACGTGCTTCTGCTCCACCCTGCAAATTCTGAGAGACACAGTCTATCTCTGTGTTGTTTGTAGGCTGCTGCACACTTACATACATTACTGCAGTGGCAGTGGCTGTTTCCTGAGTGCACATCTTCTCTCTCACCCGGGAGTGACTCGCCCTCTTCCAGGGTGTCCGTGGTGCCTGCTCTCTCTCTCTGGCCATGTCGTGGGCCCTCTGCGCTCCTGTCTGAGAAGAGCTGGGGGCTCGGTGACCTCTAAATTTTCTTCAGAAAAGGTCAGTGGGCAAAAATCAGGCCGAATTTGTGCAAACGTAAATAGAATCCTGACAAAAACTTGAGAAAGCCAGCACAGAGGTGTGGAGCCAGGGCTGCACCAGCAGTAGATCCTGAGAGGGGCATGGAAGGGCAAGGTTACTTGGGAAGTGAGTGGACGTGAGCCGAGCAGAGAAGGGCCAGCGAAGGTGTGCTGGCAGGCACGTGAGAGCCCAGGGAACTGGCCTGCCTTCCTTGGAGAGTTCTGGGAACCTCAGAACACAGGCCTTAGGCGTAGCCCGCCTGGGGGCTAGGACAGGGGTGTCTGTGAGCCTCCGTCATCATCGCCGGCCGTGTGCTCCAGGGGCTGCTGCAGATGGAAGTCAGGCAGCGTCCCCTGAGTAGGAAGGATGCAAGTCAGGGCCAGGCCCTGGCAGCTCTGCAGCCCAGCTGTTAGTGTCCTTAGGTGATGGGAGGCTCCGAAAGGGCGGCTGGACAGACATTTGACACTTTCTGCCTCATCTGAAGTGGACTGGAGTCCTGAGTGGGTGTACACAGTGGTAGCAGAGGATCAGATTGGGGTGTAAGGACAGTCCCTGTGAACTTCTTGAGGGGAAAAGGCGAGGTAGACAGTGTCCTGGGCTTCACATGTGACATTGTCTGGGTCAGTTAACGGGGGTCTCTGTGAGCAGGCAGAGGTGATGGAGGACTCCTTAAGGATGCACGTTTCTCAGAGACAAGCTGGCTCAGCCGTCAGCCGATCAGGAGGCCACAGACTTCCTGAGGCTTTTTTTGTGTGTAGTGTGTTCTCCAGCATTTTTGATAATGACAGTGGCCTTCTTCAGGGTGCCTGCCAGGTCCTCCCACTCTCAGTAGTTGCTGTGAGTGATGTTCTCCTTAAGCAGGGGAGCGGCAGCAGAAAGTGTCTCTGAGTGGCCTTGAACTGCCGGAGCTTTGCATCCACACATAGTACAACACATGGCTTCCACAGATGCCCCAGCCAGACCTGGCAGAGCACAAACTCATCACCTCTCAGATGGAAAGCCTTGCAGCCCATGGAATCCTGTGTGCAGGGAGCTCCTCCTTTGTACCTGCTTAGTTGTGAACAGCAGACTCAGAGTCTGAGAGCTCACAGCCCCTGCACAAACCCTGCCGCTAGTGGTGGGAAGTCCCAGTGACCTCTCTGAGGGGCCAGCAGCTCACACAACACTAGTGACAACAGAGAAGGAGACGGTTTTCTGGCAGACACCCTTGGAGAAGGCACCTTGGCCATTGGTTCCAAGCTTTCGGGTTTGCAGGAGGTCAGCGATGGTGTGCCAGGAGAGTCGGCACCAAGCCCCACGCGGGACACTTGTCAGAGTCAGAATGGCTCTGCAAACTTTCAAGGAGTCTCTTTTTTTATGAGCTGTTGGCATCAGTACCTGCTGGGCCCCATTCATTCCCCCACACTGAGGTTGCCCACCCACGCTCACAGTCCAGTGACTGGTGTCTTAAGCGCAACCCTGAGTCATGTAAGTCATGTTTAATGCTGACTGGTCAATGAAGACAGGGAACAATACGTTTTTCCAAGACATTCACTCTGAAGGTTTGAAATAATGTATTGACAACCAAAGGTTACTGATTTAATGGATAGTTCAGACCCTTGTCAAAATTACTCATTTTTGAACAGTGCTGGAAAAGTCACCCTACCACCTCGTAGCCCCCTTTGCATCTCAGCAAAGCATCAAGTTGTAGCTGGAAAGGAAAAGAGGATGGAAAGCTTCCTGGGTGTCCATGTATTTTACCAGCAATGTGAAACATGGGAAGAGATGCCCTTAAAGGGAAGCCCAAAGAGTCACAGCTTTCCTTTCTGAATGGAGACAGATTCTGGGTCACCCGAAACCCACACCCTTCCCAGGATGCTTCTCTAAGAGCCCGTGTGTGGGGTAGTGACAGATCACTCTTCTAGAACATGGGCCTTGAAAGAAAAAAGTTCACCTATCTTTTGTGACATACAATTGATTGATTTTATAATAGTTTCCATAGTTACTCTTTTAACTATTGTACTCATTTCCAGCACAAGGCCTAACAGACTAATTTGTCTTGCATTTACCAACTTAATTTTTATAACTAACCTCGATTTCAGTTCTTCATACCAATGAATCAGTATCTTTTCCTGATTTTTCCATTTGATCAGTATTGTTTATTCAGTGCTTTCCTACCTGCTCTTAATTTTTAATTTCTATTTAAAAAGAAGCATATTGTTAATGTTTCCATGTTGCTCTTTTTTAAAAAAGATTTTATTTATTTTTAGAGAGGGGCAGGGAGGGGGAAAGAGAGGGAGAGAAACATCAATACGTAGTTGCCTCTTATGCACCCCTTACTGGGGACCTGCCCACAACCTGCCCTGACTGGGAATCAAACCAGCGACCCTTTGGTTCACAGGCCTGCCATCAGTCCACTGAGCCACACTAGCCAGGGCTCCCTGCTGCTCCTTTTTGTTTCACTTCACTTGTTCTTTGTACTATTTTGTCACAACCATGAAGCAATAGGATGTCTTTTGCACCCCCGGGACCCAGGCCCTGCTCACGCACATGGCTCCTGCAGCAGCTTGGGGTTGCTGACTTTGTCTCCACTCTGGAAACGGGGATGCGCTGAGAGGTCACAAAACTTGCCTGAAACCTGCCAGGCTCCGAGCTGCCCACCTGGGCTGGAGTCCATGCGTGTGCCTGTGCGTGACAGCCGTGCCCGCGACCACGCTCCCGTGGGTCTCGTGAGCATCAACGTGTCACCCTGCAGTCTCGGGGCCGCTCAGGCAGCTCCAGTGCTGCTTCCACGTTGTGTGCTCTCGTGTTCCCCCCCAGTCATTCCCAGCGTCATTCCTCCTGTCTTCCTGTCCGTCTGCCTTGTTGTTTGGATTTAATCACCCAGAGCAGAATGTAAATCTTCTCATTTCCATTTGCCTTTGGTGAGCCTTGGGGATGCCAGTAATAAGGTCTGACCAAAAAGTTACATGAATTTTAACTCCTGGGTGGGGGTGAAAATAAATGCAACCTGTGTCTGGAGTAATCGGATTTCCTGGTTTCTCTGATGTAAGGGTCCCTGACCCTGCAGTGACCCGGCAGTTCTGTGTTTCTGCCCCTGGGGGCCAGTCTGGTTCACACCCATTGGCACCGGGGTTGACACTTCCTGTTTACTCACCTGCAGCTCAGACCCAGGTTTCCATGTGACATGTCAGTGGGGTCTGTGCTCTGTGTGGAGTTGTTCGGGGTCATCACTCTCCCTGGCAGTCGGATCCACACTGGATTCCCCCATGTACCTGTCCGACACTGAGGACGGGTTTCATCTAAACCTGCATCCACCTTGGCGTCCTGGGATTATTTGCATTTGGTGCCTTATAAGTCAGTGGTTTCCTTGTTCCCATGAGAACGTGGGGCAGGGTATCCAGCTGCACACGGGCCAGCTATGCATGAGTGATGACCAGTCTGATTCTGCGCACCCCTCCTCTCGAGTGTTTAGGATATGGGGCTGTGTCCCCAGGCTGGAGGCCTCCGGACAAGCAAGTTCAGACCAGACACTGTGCTTCTGCTCAGATGCTTGTTTCTAGGCTCCCATGCATACCCCTACCAGTTCTGTGTAGCCTAGGAGAGCCCTGGGCATGACCCACGAGGACAGAACAGCATGCTCAGCTTTGACCCCAGAGGCAGCTTCCACTGTTGGGAGCCAAGTAGCAAACATGTGATTGAAAAGTAAACTGGGCCACTGTTCTGGATTGCAGAAAATGTGGTACAGAGCATTCTCTGCCACTGCAGGCCTAGGGTGCTCTCAATGACATTAGTTCCAGACATTTATTACATCCTGACAAATTTTTCTTCCTCCTGAAACAGAAATGATTCAGAGAGTTACAACCGTAACAGTTTTAGGCAAAGAACTAAATAGCACGTGTATTATATGTTCACATGCTCAGGTTTGCATTAGTCAAAATTAAACAAGTCCTTGCTATCAAGGGTTCATTGTCCAATGGGGGGTTGAAATGAAAGTAAGTGATTTTGATTAAGAAAGACACCACAGAAAAGGAATACTTCATCCCAGGGTGTTGGTGCAGATGAATCTGCAAGGCGACGTTCTGCCTATGAAAGGTGCTCCGGGTTTGCAGCTCTGGAGCAGGGAGTGCGTTTCAGTCTGGGAGTGACCTGCGGCGCAGGGGTGGGAGGTAGGAAGGAAGCCACAGGTGAGGCCTTACCACACTGTGGGTCCTGGGCCCCAGAGCAAGGCCTGGCTGGTGCTGAGTGAATGTGCGTGCTTTACATCTGCGTGGAGGAACCAGTCACTCACACTCCTTGTGGAGGGGAGCGGGAGCCGGGGCAGTTGGGGTCAGACCTGCAAGTGAGGGGCTGAGGCGCCGGCGTGAGGGGACGGGCGGTCTGGGAAGCAGCTGAAGACTTTACCTGGGGAACTGACCTCGATTAAACATAAATTTCACAGCAGCAGTTTCCAACCATTTTCATCTCATGGCACACATTAACTAATTGTTAAAATTCTGCCCACCCCCCAAATAGTTTTTATTCTGATCTGAGAAGAAAATAGGTGTAATTTTGATTCATTCACATCAGGCGGCTATTGTTGTCTTGGCTGTTGTCATTTTTCATTTGACAATCTAAGGGAGAAGAGGGCAGTGCCCTTGACTAAATAGTTTTAAAAATTCCTGTGGCCCACTGGTAGAAAATCGCCGCTTTCGAGTGATAACGGTCTGTAGTCTGGAGGGCAGAAGGGGAAGTGAGGAGAGACAGGAGTCCAGGAGGGGACGGGGAGCTAGTCCGTGAGATGAATTTAGCCAATAAAGTAGGGTGTGGATTTAGTGAAATTCCGAGATGAGACTGGGGAAAATGAGAATGTGGGAGAGGATCCAAAAATAACCTGAGGCTTTTAGCTTAAAGGTATGGGTGGATGACGGACCAGAGAAAATATTTTACCTGTATGCATACAGAAAAAGGTAATGTGTTAAGATTGGGAGAAGTGGATTGGAGGTACTTGGAGACGTTGTGGGCGAAGGTCCAGAAAACAGTTAGGATGTGGCGTTTAAAACCGGCCTGGAAATGGCAACTGCGGTCCCTGTCACTCCGGCTCCCTGAGGTGCAGCGTGCCTGTTCGGTGACAGTTCCGGCAGAGCAGCTCGGACATTAGCTCTTAGTGCTGTCACTCGTGTGCTGTGTGTGCATGAAGGGGGGTTCGCTTATCTTTGTTCTGTAAGATTAGGCTCCTGTAGAGTGGCCCACGCGCCAAAGGCGAGCCCGGAACTAGGCAGAGGCAGGTGGGGAGTGTTCTCGCCCACTTGCCATCAGCAATCCTGAGCAGTGACGAGGCTGCACTGATTGGTGAAGTACTGGAACTTAATGCAGAATAAATGGAAGTAGATGTTCCATCCCGCTTTGTTAGGATTGTTTCTGAAAATGTCTCTTTTCTCAGTTTAAAAACTTACTTGCACAGATTGCAGCAAAATAATGTTTTAATTACTTGAATGTCCTTTTTATCTTGATGTTCCGATCCTCGGTGTTTTTATACTGAGATATGATTGACATGGACCGTTATGTCTGATGTCAGGTGCGCCGCTCGATTCGGTGTCTGTGTCTGTCGTGAAGGAGGCTCCGCAGCGAGTCCGGTTGGTGTCCTGCACCACACACAGCTGCAGCTTGTTTGCTTCATGCTGACGCTTTTCAGATCTGCTCTCAGCAACTTTCAAATACACAGTGGAGCACGATTCACCGTAGTCACCTTGCTGCACACCACATCCCAGAGAAAGATTTGATCTTACTTAGTAATGGAATCTAAAAAAAAAACAATGGAAAGAACCATCCCAAGGCCCAGATACAGAGAACACCAGGTGCGCCCTCCTGCAGCCCCAAACCCGGAAAAGGGTGGTGAGCTGACCCCCCTGAGGCCCCTCCCGCAGGACTGCCTGCTGAGCCAAGCGAGCACTGTCTTCGCCTTTCCCCACCAGGCAACTGCCACCTCATCGTCTTCGCTTGTTAGTCCCCACCCCACAACGCCTGCCCCCATCAGAGTGCCAAGTGACCCACACAGGGAGCACCCGAGTTGTACAGGGTGGGGTGGAAGTACGTTTACGATTGTTTGTATGGCGAATGGTGCAATCATTAATAAGTGATCACACGAGGATAAACTCTCTGTTTTGCACACTCACAATGGTGAGCCTGCTTTGGCCTAGCCCTGTTCTTACGGACTGAGAGAACGAAACCAGAAAAGGGAAGGTGCTGATCACTGTGGACAAGCTAACCTTTTATTTTCTCTCTCTCTTCTCTTTAGGTATTCTGGAAGTCTTGCACTGCGTGTTGGTAGAAAGTCCAGAAGCTCTGAACATCATCAAAGAAGGGCACATTAAATCCATCATTTCACTCTTAGACAAGCACGGAAGAAATCACAAGGTATGCGAACCCCATTACTGTCATGAGTGGATTGTGACGTCATTGTACAGTTGTTTATAAATTGAGGTGACCTTAACAAGCTGCGTCAGGTGATTCAGGAGTGCTTTTCCTCGTTGCTGTCATCGGGTGGTAGCGTTCAGTGTTTGCTCTTAGTGTCTGTGGGAGAACGAGCTGTCCTCAGTGGATGCACGACGGTTGTAGTGGCTGCAGCGCTGTCGTGGTGAAATGACTGTGTCAGAGGGAACCGGAGGAGATGCGTTTGTATTTGTGCCCAGCATTGCCAGCACTTGAATCTGGAAAGGGAGTCAGAGTCAGCTGGCGGTGGTCTCTCTTCTCAGGTTCTGGATGTCCTGTGCTCCCTCTGCGTCTGCCATGGAGTGGCCGTCCGTGCCAACCAGCACCTCATCTGTGACAACCTCCTTCCGGGACGGGATCTGCTGCTGCAGACGCGCCTGGTGAACCACGTCATCAGGTCGGTTCCCGGGGGCGGCGTCCCAGAGGGGCGGCCCGGCCAAGGAACTCACACACTCATTCTGTAGCTGAGACACCAGGTGCTCTGTTTGTTCATTAGGATTTTTAAAGTCTATTCCCCTAGTTAATAGTATAAGATTTGTTTTTCTATTAAAAATAGAGGAGCCAAGCCAATATGCATTTATCATAGACAGATGCATCAGAGCTCTTGTCTCACATTGTTGTGTGGCTGGATCATAACTGGCTTTCAGGAGCACGTAGGGTCTGGTTGGGCAGAATCTGTTTTACATCTTAACCTGTAACTAAAAACACTGCCCTTCACTACGAACTTCGAAGTGCTCACTGTATATAATCAAAATGTTCAATTAGAATGTCCGAAATATAGTAAGTTCCACAAATAACCAGCCAGTGGAACTACATTTTCAGGAAGATCCACCTTCCGAGGTGTCAGACAGAGAGGCCGGGGCATCAGCCTTTGTGCAGAGGGCTCTGTGCGTGCTCTGCCCTGTGTTTGTTCCGGGTGCCGCTCGCCGTGTTTCACAGATTAGCATTTGGGACCTGGGCTCAGAATTCAGGTCTAACCTCAGAGACGGAGCTCATGCCATACTGCCTGTCCTGTGCAACACAGTAGTAGTAATGTTGCAGAAACAAGCACCCTCCCCTGAGGTCTTTTATTTTTACTATGGTTCTTTTTTGCCTGCCGCCAATATGAACTGTGGCTCTCAATGCCAGAGTTTGGTAAAAAGAAAAGGAAGTATTTACTCAAAGGTTATACAGGTTTAGAGTAATGGTGCAATGTCACCGTTAAATCCCAAAGTCCCTATAAAACACCCACAAACACACACAGTCCTGCCTCCCCTTGCCTAACCAGGCCAGTCAGGGGACCGTATCTCAGGAAAAGAAATAGAAGCCCATAGCTCAGCTAGACTCCTGTTCTTAATCCCAAACCACATCCTCATGGTGGGCGGGGGGATCCTCTGCATCCTTTCAAACTGTGAGGCCAGGAGAGAGAGAGAGAGAGAGAGAGAGAGAGAGAGAGAGAGCGCTTCACACAGCTGCTGCATCCTGCTTTCCTGCTTCTTTCTAAGCCGCATGGTTAAGAGAACCCCTGCTCCACTCCCAAACATGCATGGTTAAGCCCCACCTGGGTTTAAATCCTTGCGCAGCTCTTTCTCTGTAACCTCATTTCTGATGCCTCCTCCAAGTGGTCACCTGCCAGTAGTCTGTTTTTTCTGCCCGTGTTGGCTGCCATTGTTAGTCTGGGCAGGTGTGGCCCATGGTGTGGAGTGAATCATCTCCAAGCTCTCATGCAGGCCCTGAAACCAGGGATGGGGTGGTGAGGAGCTGTCTTCTAGCTATATCAGGGGTCAAAGTCATGCATATGTCCCTGGCTGCACACTGGCTGTGAAGCTAGGCTGCTGTTATTGATATGCAAAATAACTCAATCCTGTGCTGCTGCTTTTCTCAGCCCCCCAGCAAGGCTTGTGGGGGCCCCTGGGGCCTCCCAGCTTTAAGCCTGGCCCATTAAGTCTGCACCCCATTAAGTCTACACCCTGTGACAGTAATAATGATAAAAATACAGCTTACTGTGAAGAAAATAGTATCTGTGATATAGTAACAACTGTGATGCCCTGCACCTAGTAGGGCAGGAAGTCCAGGAAGTACTCTTTACTTCACTGTTTTAAATAAAAATGGGCGGATTTGGTGTTTACTTTTATATTGTGCTTTTGAAACAGGTTTGCTCCCAGACACCCTTCACAGTCCCCTGTAGCAGGGCTTCCCAACCCCAGGGCTGTGGACTGGTTGGGAAGAGGCCGTGGGCCAGGCTCACCTGCGCTTTGCCTCCCATCCCCTTCTCCCACCCCAACCTCCAGAAAACCGGCCTCCAGTGAAGAACGGGGGTGGGGGGGGGCGTTCTCTAGAATAGAGCAGCTGTTAATGAGGGGAGTTTCCTGAGACCTTTTGTGATCGATCATTGGTGTTAGCACAGGGTGCACGTTCCTTCATGAAACCCAGTTAAACGGAAGGAGCTAGAAATGACTTTTGTTCACAAGTGAGTTCACAAGCTGACCAGTCCCCTCGCCCTTCAGTAACATGACCTGCCTCACCCTCATGCCCAGTGTGACACAAAGCTCAGCTCACGAAGGTGACTCCATGTCCTGGATTGATACCAGCTCCCTTAATTCCAGAGGCTGACTGCTCTGAGTGTCTCAGCCATGTGTAATGGAGTAAATTTCACTAAGGGACAATTGAGACAAAACAGTAGCACCCCCTTCAGTGATGTTGCCGTTGCGGGGGGCCCAGGAGGCAGAGGCTGCTCTCTGCGTGTTCCCTGCTGCCGGCTGTCACTCGCCCACCCAGTGACTGTCTTAGTCATTCTGTAGCGCTTAGGAAACAGGCAATCGATATCTCGGAAGAGCAGCACTAATGGTCAGAATGGTGAGTGCAAATTTAATCAGTGAGGAGTTTGTTCGGATTTCCTCACGTGCATTTCTGTCTTTTTGAAGCATGAGGCCCAATATTTTCCTGGGCATCAGTGAAGGGTCTGCTCAGTACAAGAAGTGGTACTACGAGCTGATGGTGGACCACACGGAGCCCTTTGTGACAGCTGAAGCCACTCACCTGCGCGTGGGCTGGGCCTCCACGGAGGGGTACTCCCCCTACCCTGGTGGGGGCGAGGAGTGGGGCGGGAACGGCGTTGGAGACGACCTCTTTTCCTACGGGTTCGATGGCCTGCACCTCTGGGCAGGTGAGTGCCATCCACTCTGTTTCATGGCTTTTGGAGGGAGATCGTTGCCCTCGTGGTCCATTTCTGAAAGCTACTGATGTGGCTTATGCTGGATACATTTATTACTCAGAACTTGAACATTGAAATGATGAATGAGAGTATTAAGTGGAAAGCAAAATTTCACTAGGGGAAAAAGAAAATGTCCAGTAATAGAACCTTTTCAAGGACTATATTGCTTATGAACAATATGCAGTGATTCCCCCCTTACCTGCTGGCGTCTGTTCCAGGGCCCCAGGTGGTCCCTGAAAGTGTGGGTTGTACCGAACCCCTGTATGCACGCCATCATTTTTCGTACACAAACAAACCTTTTCCCTTAAAGGAAGCAACTGATGGCTTCCCTTTGGCATGTCTGCGTTGCCACACCACTGCTGTTGGGCTTTGGGGCCGTGACCAAGTCCACAAACACTGTGATGTCACCACAGATGTCGTGAACACGGCTGGGTGTCTGCCCGCGGGGGCGCGGATGCCTAGGGATGCTGGACAAAGGGATGACTCTTGTCCTGGGTGGGGAACGGGTGTCTGGCCTGAGATTCCAGCTCAGCGCTCAGAGGAGCACACAGTTTGAAGCTTAGGCTCATTTATTTCCGGAATTTCCCATTTACTGTTTTCAGACCCCAGCAGACTGTTTTGAACTGAAACCCAGGAAAGCAAAATTTTAGATAAGGGCGTACTTTTGTATTTAAAAAGTGGTATTTTGATTTATGAAGCAACTGCAAAGAGCTTTCTTGTTTCCTACTTACTTCAATTGGTGTTTGTGAGTCTTTAGCTTCTCATGTAAAAAAGAACCAAATACAATCCCTGGGAAATAATTGGAAAACATAAACTAAGTTCTACCTCCCAGTAGATAATTCAATTTCAGGAATCTGTGGTTTTTAACCTGTATTTTGAGGAATCAGTTTATACTCATGTGACACTTTGTTTTAGAAATGTGGAACTGTTTAAAAATAAGTGTATAGTTCATTTCACTGGCTGCCAGCTCTCAACTTTTATGGTTGAGTATATATCTAAAAAGTGAGATATGTATACACATAATAATGTTATTTTGTAACATATTTAGCATATAGACAATACAAAAAGTTACCTTGCATTATGAAAAGCTAAACTTTGTCTCTTGGGGGATGCAAGTGTTGGATAGATCCAATAGCTTAGGAAAGGAAATCTAAAAATTCAATGGAATTAAACCTAAGTTTATGGCAGTGAGTTTATAAATGAAAGTGTTGCACATGGCAACATCTAACTGAAGCTTTCCTGAAGCTTTTCTGTGTTTGGTGCCAGCAGCTCTGTACCTGGTAGGCTGGGACTGGGGCCGGCACCGGAGGCCCATGTGACCATGGCCCGCCCTGTGCATAGGTGTGGTAACTGTGTCTGTCCCCTTCATAAAAATTTCCTGCAGACCAAACAGAGACAACGAACAGTAACTCCAGAGGACCTAACAAACATAGGACAGAGTTAATGTCTATTCATAACAGACTTTAACTCTCTCTCCCTTTGTCCTCTAGTTCGCTGTACACGAACCAGGTGGGACTCAGGTGAGTTAGAAAGAACATGTTCAGTGGCCTCTGGTTACACAGGTGCTCGAGGTCCACTCTGATGAAACAATGCTGGGTTGTTTCTAGTTGTCTTAGCCCTGGAACGCCACATACTCATTTCAGTGTTTGCATTGGTCTGAAGCTTTTTCTTTCGACACACAGGAAGGACCCAGTGCTTAGAATTGACCTGTGCGTACTATGCCTTTCATGGCAAAGTATCTGTTCAACAGAACAGTAAAAACAAAAAAGAAATCGTGAATCTGTGACCATGTCATAGAAAGATTGTGGAATTTTAGGAGAGAATTATCTCAAAACTTTATGTCAGCATAATATTTTTTCTCAAATGACGAAGAAATGTGCCCCTATCATGCCTATGCTGAAAGGTGTGTGCTCTGAGCCACCAGGACTTAGAAACGCCTCGCTCTAGATTCCTAGTCTGCAAGGACTCGTTTAAGTTAATGGGCTTTTCACTGACATACCAAGATCACAGGATGCAGGAATAGAGATAACCTTCCTGAGGTCTTTCTCCTGCTCCTTTGTTGCTTATGGCTGAAATGGACTTCAGAGCATCAGACGTCTGTGATCGCTGGTCTGGGGCGCTTCTTTATCACTTCAGGCTTTGCCCTCGGGGAGTGGGCGTGGCACCTGCACGTGGCTCCTCAGCAGCAGTTTGGCGCTGTGTCTTCCACCCATTCTTTCCCACTTACAGCCTGCACAGGGTTGCCACGGGCCCCACTCTGAATGCAGAGTTGGACTTAGAGCATCCAAGTCCCATGTCTGGGTCAGACTCAAAAAGTGAGAAAAATCTTGGTGCCTTTGGAGAATTTAGATGTAGAAGTGTGGAGGACTGTCACTGAACAGTTCGGTCCTTTACAACAGGACTGACGTGGAAGGCTCACACTGCCTGAGTTCTGCAAACTGTGAATTCCATCCTCGAGACAGCTCTGCAAGGCGATGGCCTGCAGTGCAGGAGGGACGGGGCCGACGTGTGGTCTGGGACATAAGTCAGACTTTGCTGTCTTCCCTTTGGGCTCCTGCAGAGAACAGGCACATGGTGCTGTGGCCTAGAGGCGGGTTTGGGTGAGCACGGCTAGAGCTGCTTGTGAGCGGGCTCAGCGGCTGAGCTCCTGTGTGGCTGTGGCCTCGGGTCATTCCCTGGTATCTCGTCGTGCTCTTTTCAGCACAGCACAACTGTTTACGGTGGTGGCTGTTGGAGAGCTGCTGGCACTCGCATGGGAACACCCGTCAGGCTGGGCAGTGTGTTGCCCTATAGCGCACATCTTTGCAGTAACGCTTTTACCAGCTGCAGGAGTTGAAACAGATGAGGACGAGGACCTTTTTCTGAGAACTGCATCGCTTCCACATGATTTCTTAGAAGTTGGCTGGGTGTTCAGGGAACTCTGGAGGAGTTACTTGACAGTGAATGTATTGTTCATAGATGTGAATATTGGTAAAATAAAAATGTACACATTTTAGAACTAGGCCTCCTGTATTGTTGGCATTTTGAACCTGCTGGGATTAAAACCTTGGCATGTTAGAAAGTTAAAAGGATGTCATTAAGAATGCAAAGCCTGTATCATGAAGTATATTTTTATCTTTGCTCAAGTTCAGAAATTCTGTGTATTTATGGGTGTGTGTGGGTGAACGTCCCCTCTTAGTCTCCCAGTGCACCCAAGGGCTCACTGGCAATGGAGTTCTGACACAGTCAGAGTGGGCTGGGCCCCGGGGTGCCGGGCGCCCGCTGGCATTTACCAGATACCGCTCTCATGCCTCACCACGCTGTGTGCTGCTGCAGTTAAGAAGCCAGCCAAGGTCTCCCATGAAGTAAATGCTGAAACCACAAACCAGTTGGCATATGTTTGTGTCCAGCAAACAACGTGTGAAAGAATGGCCACTTTTTCTGCTTTCACTATCTTTGTGCATTTTTATTTTATGAGTGAAAGGAAATTTAATAGCTTAAAAAAGGACTGATGTGAACTGCCTGACCTTTGGTTTAGAAGAAATGAGGTTTATCAAGGTTAAGTCATTTGCTGATGGTCCCAGAGGTGGTAGCTGGTAAAGTAGTTGTTTGAACTCAAATCTTCCCTGGGGTTTCCCCTCCAACATTATTGCATTATGAGCACTAAGATGATTTCTGCATAAAATGCCATTTGTCTATGTGCAGAAATTTCTGCATATCAGTAGGGCCATTTGTAACAAAGTACGGCTTCTGAAAAAACAAGCAAATGTCTTTTGGACAAAGGATTTAACATACAATGCTCCACGCATCCCAGCTTCTGTTGCAGTGCTGGGAGATGACCGGTCACTGCCCTGAGCACGGTTCTCTGAGACAAACACAGACTTCTCTCCTCCATGTTTCCTGAAGGTTGTATTGCTAGCACCGTGAGCTCGCCGAACCAGCACCTGCTGCGGACAGATGATGTCATCAGTTGCTGTTTAGATCTGAGTGCACCGAGCATCTCATTCCGAATCAACGGGCAACCTGTTCAAGGAATGTTTGAGAATTTCAACATCGACGGCCTCTTCTTTCCCGTTGTTAGTTTCTCTGCAGGAATAAAGTTAGTATTTCTGTGTTCATGCCCTGTGTTCCATCCCACTTATACTTCATGGTCACTGCACCACCATCCCCCTGCTTCCCTGTCACTCTCACCCTCAGTGCCCAGGGCATCTGCCTGTCCCTTATGGGAAGGGGCAAGGTTCACCCCCAAGGGGCATCTCGGGAGGCTGGGGCTGTGTCCACATGTCCATGCCTCCACTCACCCCTCCAGCCAGTGCCCTGAAATATTCCAGGTTCATTTAAGCTCAGTCTTTAATTTAATAAGGGGAAATGAACAACACTGAAAAATAGCACTTATCTGTTATGTTTAGTTGTGTTAGTTCTTTTCCATCACATTTCCACACCCGAAAGCCCCTCATGTCCACAGAAAGTAGATGTGCTGCTGTTTTTGATGAAGGCAGCTGCCCTGTGCTAACCTCCACCTGGTACACCTGTAAGCCATTCCCCTGCAGTCCACTGCCTCCATGCTTTTGTCTAACCCGTGCGTTTTTGCTGCTACTAGAAGGAAAGAGAGGCTAAAATGATAATTCTTTGAGTTCTGCAAAGAGAACTTGACTAGACATTGGTCTGTTGTGACAAGGGCCCCAGTTACCTGTTGTATCGATGCACGTGTGTGTCTGGACCTACTTAACAAGGACTGTGCACTCACTGCAGCCACCCGCCCACCTGCCGGCTGCTCTTCTGCTGGAACCCCTCTTGGAGGGATGGTTCCTAGTTGGCTACAGAAGTGCTGTCCTGAAGGGACAGAGCGGTGACAGGATGTCAGCTCCCCAGCACCAGAGCCCTCTTCCTGTGTGTCTGTGCGGCTGTGCCTCTACCAGTGCCCCTTCCCGTGTGTCTGTGCGGCTGTGCCTCTACCAGTGCCCCTTCCCGTGTGTCTGTGCAACTGTGTTTTTCTCTATGAGCTTCTGCTGTGGTTTACAGTTTGTGCTTCTTCTCACTTTTTGTTTTTTGCTTTTTATTTTTTTCATTGTACTGTATTTTTTAGCATGGAGCTTAAGCACAAATTAGAAAAAGAAGCACAAAGAAGATGAAAATTTGACTTCATTTTTATGAGCTAAGAGCTCAAGAAATCATTAGCATTTAGCTGGTTCAAAAAGGTTTCCAGGGGGATGGTAGTTAAATTATTTTCATTAAATGAGTATGATATACAAAATATTTCAGTAAGTTTTTGTTATTTTAAGAAGTAAGGTTACTTTTTTTTTCAGCAAATGGAAATGTTGTTTAAGTCCCTTTAATGTGTCACTGGGCAGTGGGATCTGGGAAGTGACCTCGCCCAGCCCTGACGTGTGCGGAGACTCAGAGCAGGTCTGCTCTTTCTCTGTTGACGTTCGGGCACCTTGAGACGTTAGACAGCCAAGGCCCGCGGACAGGAGTTGCGTTCCCCAGGGACTGTGTGTGAGGCCTGTGCTTTGGTTAGCGCCAGTGCTGATGGGAGTTTGCTTGACCTGCTGCCATAACTCAGCCAGGCTTTCTTTCCTGGGCCCGTTTGCCTTTTATCATTAGAGGCTCTTGAACTGGTGGAAGGGGCCCATGTGATGATGTTTCTCGGAGGAAAAACATGTGGCTCCTGATTGAGTTAGTGTTGTGCTCACACTTTGTTCCTTATGCCATGTAGATGATGAACCCTCCGTGCATCCTGAGACGTGACTGACACCCACTGTGTCCTTTTCAGGGTGCGCTTCCTGCTTGGGGGGAGGCATGGAGAGTTTAAATTTCTCCCTCCCCCTGGCTATGCTCCTTGCTATGAAGCTGTCCTGCCGAAGGAGAAGTTGAAGGTGGAACACAGCCGAGAGTACAAGCAAGAAAGAACTTATACCCGGGACCTGCTGGGCCCCACAGTGCCGCTGACTCAGGCTGCCTTTACGCCAGTCCCTGTGGACACAAGCCAGGTGCTGTTGCCATTCCTGCGTGTGGGTGCTCTCCACGCTCGGCTGCAGCCCGCAGCGGTGCATTTTTCTGTGATACAGTTGATACGTATGAGGGAAACAAGTTTCACAGAATAATACTTAATCATGTCAATTTACCTATTTTCTGTTCTGTTCTTATTTTTTATGGGTGGTCATAAGGTACTGCATTGCTTTTATAACAGTAAGGAGCCACAGCCTCAGGTAACGAACACATATGAACTCCAGGGAGACTTTCTACGTAGGGTGGATGTGGGAGCTTTCATTTTTCCCAGTTATGTATGCTTACATTTTTTAAATGACTTAACTGACCTTGACCTTGGGTAGGGATTGAGATCTAGGGCTTAAAATGCCTGGGGTCAGGTGCCTATGGGGACACACAGGAAGTTACTTATCTTGTTGATTGGGATGCTAACAGTGTCTTAATCAAGTTAGTGCACAATCTATTAGCAGGGTACTTTGCAGATATGCACCCAAGCAACTGTTAGTTGCTATTGTTGCTGTTCTGTTTTATTGATGTGGGACAAGTCCCGACATTGACAATGAATTAAACATTGCTTCATTTTGATGGTGAAGTAACTTCAAGGGGTTGGTTAGATATTCAGAGTTCATTCGTTTTTGAAGATTAAAGGCCTTGCTTCTAAAGTCTGAAGTAGAATTCATACCAGGCATGAAAGGCTTCAGCTTTTTGAAATCACCCGTTTAGCTCCTTGAATCATACTGTTTTAGTCTCTCCAAGTGGCTTTTTATATTATGTGTTAGAACAACTCAGAAGCCTTTTTAGTAGCTAAACTTCAGCTTGTGTAGTGTTGCTGCAGGTGGAGGGCTACACACAGTGCTGCCAGAGTTCAGCAGGGCCTGGGTGGGAGCCCAGGCTGGGACGGACCACGGGGGTCAGGGTTGCACACAGGCTTTCCTGGTGCCTGGGTAAGCCCACTGGGGAGAGGTGGTGGGAGGGCCTGCTCCCTGCAGGATCCGCACGCCCATGTGCATCCTGGGCAGTTGCTGCTCTGTTTGCTGAGGGGCTAGTTGTGGGGGACACAGCACCTCCCCTCGAAAGTCATTTTACGTTCCTGTTGGAGAAGTCATTAAACTTCCTCTTCATATTGGGAACGTGCAACAATTTGCCCCCTTTAGGATTATGTTTGGAAACCACTAAAAATAACAGAGTTAAGAGGACACCTAAGTCACCTGATCAGACTTTTGGGCTCACGGAGCCAGTGAATTGGGTGTCTGCTACGTGGCCTCCAATGCAGTGTGTGGACATGGCTGGGTTGGGGCGAGAACTTCGCACGGTTCCCCTTTAAATAACGCATGTTCCGGTGGGTGGCGCCCTCTTCCTTAATAGCGGCTGTCCCCACCAAGCTGTTTTCCTTCTTCCTAACTTGGGTCCATAAATTGGACACCTAAGTTGCTACCTGTCCCCCAGAAAAAGGTTCCAAAATGTACCTAGAGAATGTTTAGCTAACTAGTTATATTTTTATATCCAGGTTATACTAGGAGGTTTAGAACCTAGTTCTGTTATCACGTGTCAATGGTGTATGAGAAAGTTCTATTTAGTCCGATTACCGTGAAGATGAGTAGCAAGGTTTTATTGTATTGTTGTCTTATGTGTTTCTTTTTCTTCTTCAATTTTAGATTGTGTTGCCTCCTCACCTGGAGAGGATCCGAGAAAAACTGGCAGAGAATATCCATGAGCTCTGGGTTATGAACAAAATTGAACTTGGCTGGCAGTATGGCCCGGTACATAGTTTTGAAACTTATTTTCAGATTCTGTTAACACAAACTTGTGAAAACATACCAGTGACTTTTTCTCACTCCTCCTGCTGTGTGGTGAACTGAGTGCTCTGGACTGATGTTTTTGTACACATCAGTTTGGATCAGTTTTTCCTTGGAGAGGGAACACTGTGATTGGCAGGTTCATGGAAGGGGAGGCTCAGCTACCTCAACCGTTGAACAGTTTTCCATCTTTAAGCTGAAAGTTCCGGTTTTAAACCAAGGTTAACATAGGCAGACACTGTGCATTGCTTTCTAAGGTGCTTAGAAAGAACTCTGTGAAGTTGGAAGTGAAAACTGAATGTGGAAAGAAGTCAGTTCACGTGACCCTCCTCTTAGTCCCCACGCATGGAGAACATGTGTCCATGAACAGAGGTCGCAGGTGGCTTCACAGTGGGGTCAGGCTGAGAAAGAATGACACCTTGTATTTCCAAGTGATTAACTTTGAAGAGCTCAGTTTAGCCCTGGCTGCTGTGGTTTGGTTGGAGCATCATCCCATAAATCAAAGGGTCTGGGGTTCGATTCCCAGTCACAACACATGCCTGGGTTGTGGGTTCAGGGTGCAGGTGAGAGGCAACCAAACGATATTTCTCTCTCTGTCTGTCTCCTCCCCTTCCCCACTCTCTAAAATAAATAAGCAATGTGAGGATAAAAAAATGAACAAAACTCAGTTTGGAGTTTGTCAGTAAAAGTTAGCTTAAGTAAAACCAAGCAACTTCTGGTTTAACCCCAGGGCACCTGTGTTCTGCAGGACTGTGGCAGTACTTTTTTTTTTTATCACACTATTAGTTTAAGCGTCCAGAAGGCTGTAACATGTTCGTATGTTTGAATATAGAAATGAGTGCATTCCTTGTGTTGGAGTTAGCTGCCTAAGCATCGAGTGAAGCACATTGGTGGCTGCCGCCGCAGTAACCCTGCAGGAGACCCTGTTCTCTGGGTGTGTGGACACAGGCACTCAGAGTTCTGCCTTGTCGCACCTACTCTCACGGGTGTGAGGTTGAATTTTCGCACAGGCACCCAGGGCCCAGTGTTGTTAATCAGTTTCACTGCCGATGGCACAGCTTCGAATTCTCGCAGTTGTGACCTGCCAGATAGCAGTCCCAGAGCTGTGGGAGGCCGGGCCAGGCCTGGGACGCTGGTTGCCAGCTTCTGGTGCAAACTGCTTTGCTCTGTGAGATCTACTGAGGCAGGATCTGATAACAGGATCCTTTTATTAAGTCAGTGACGGTCAGACTAGGGCTGTCCAGTCATTTTTGCCAGGGGCCACATCAGCCTCGCAGTTGCCTTCAAAGGGCCAAATGTGATTTTAGGACTGTATCAATGTAACTACTCCGTCACTAGGGGCAAGGAGCTCAGTGCTGCCACCAGTAGAAACAAGGTGCCGGGCCGGATAAAACAAAGTGGAGGGCCGGATTCGGCCCGTGGGCCTTGTGTTGGCCACCTGTGGGTTAGATAATTGTCAATTCAGCAAAAATGTATTAAGTACCTAGTTTTCCGCTATGAGAGGCAGCGGCTGGGGGAATAGGGTGGTCCCCACATCTGTGTGCAGATGAACCAGGAGGAAACACTGCGGAGCAAGACAGACCCCACAACCCACAGGTTCAGTGCGGGCAAATAAAGCCTCAGAACCTCTGACTGGAAAACCTGTGGGGGCTGAAGCAGAAGGAGAAACCCCAGCCTCACAGGAGAGTTCCTGGAGAGACGCACAGGGTCATAGAATGTACACAGAAACACCCACCCAGGAATCAGCACCAGAAGGACCCAACTTGCTTGTGGGTAGTAGGGGAAGTGACTGAAAGCCAGCTGAGAGCTGAGCAAGTGGCATTGTTTCCTCTCGGACCCCTCCCCTACATATAGCATCCCCAATATGGGTTGCCCCACCCTGGTGAACACCTAAGGCTCTGCCCCTTACTATTTAACAGGTGCACCAAGACAAAAAAATACGGTCCAAATGAAAGAACAAATCAAAGCTCCAGAAAAAATACAACTAAGTGACGAAGAGATAGCCAACCTATCAGATGCACAGTTCAAAACACTAGTAATCAGGTTGCTCACAGAAATGATTGAGTATGATGGTTGCAAAACAGAGGAAAAAGTGAAGGCTATGAAAAATGAAATAAAGGGAAATTTACAGGGAATCAACAGTGAAGGGAAGAAAATGGGGACTCAAATCAGTGGTTTGGAGTAAAAGGAAGAAATAAACATTCAACCAGAACAGAATGAAGAAACAAGAATTCAAAAAAATCAGGAGATGCATAGGAACCTCCAGGGCAACTTTGATCTTTCCATTTGAATTATAGTGGTGCCAGAAGGAGAAGAGGAAGAGGAAGAAATTGAAAACTTACTTGAAAACATAATGAAGGAGAACTTCCCTAATTTGGCAAAAGAAATAGATTTCCCAGAAGTCCAGGAAGCTCAGAGTCCTAAAAATGTTGGACCCAAGGAAGCACATACCAAGGCACATCATAATTACGTTACCCAAGATTAAAAATGAGATCATCTTAAAAGCAGCAAGAGAAAAGGGGACACCTACAAAGGAGTTCCCGTAAAACTCAGCTGATGCCTCAAAAGAAACCTCACAGGCAGGAAGGGGCTGGAAAGAAATATTCCAAGTCATGAAAGGCAAGGACCTACATCCAAGATTGCTCTATCCAGCAAAGCTTTTATTTAGAATGGAAGGGCAGATAAAGTGCTTCTCAGATAAGGTCAAGTTCAAGGAGTTCATCATTACCAAGCCCTTATTATATGAAATGTTAAAGGGACTTATCAAAGGAAAAAGAAGATAAAAAATATGAATAGTGAAATGACCACAAATTTACAACTATTAACAACTGAATCTAAAAAACAAAAACAAAAGTAAATAACTAGAACAGGAACAGAACCACAGAAATGGAGATCACATGGAGGGGGAGGGGGGAGAATGGAGGAAAAGGTACAGGGAGTAAGAAGCATAAATGATGGGTACAAAATAGGCAAGGGGAGGGTAAGAATAGTATAGGAAATGGAGAAGCCAAAGAATTTATATGTACGACCCATGGACGTGAACTAAGCTGGGGGAATGATGGTGGGGGGTGGTGATACAGAGTGGGGAGGAATGAAGGTGAGGAAAAAATGGGACAACTATAATAGCATAACCAATAAAATATACTTAAAAACAAGTTGGGGAAATGTATAAATGCTAGTTAAGATTTGAACATCAATTAAAGTGACCAAAGAGAGATGTTGTAACTGTGTACATCATTAATGGCCAGTGGATCATGGGCAAATTTTACTGTGAGTTTCAAGATAAGGGATTTGAATTTCAGACAAAGTTTGCCTCAGGTGATAATGAGAACGAGATGATTGCAGGTGAGGAAAACTCAAGAAGATTCCCTGAAAACCAACCAACCCCCTTAGAAAGCCCTGCGGTTACAGGGACATCAGCTGTCTGTGGGAGCCCCCAGACCACCTCGATGACACCGGTCTGCAACTGAACTCTGACTCAAGTTTTTTCCCTTAAAAACGAGGACAGCGTAAGTTCTCGTTAGTGTCTGTTCTTTTATAATGATCTCCTATAAGGACTTTTTCTTGGTTTGAGAGAGAGGGAGAGAAATGTCGACTTGTTGTTCTCCTTATTTGTGCATTCATCTGTTGACTCTTGTGCGTGCCCTGACCGGGGATCCAACCCGCAGCCTCATGGTACCTGGACGGTGTGCTGACCAACCAGCTGCCTGGGCAGGGCCAGTGCCTGCTCTTCAGTGAATTCAGTTCTGCGCACACCTCTTCCTGCGGCTGTGTTCAGAGCTGCCTCTTAGTCTCTGATCCTGGAAGGCATGCTGCCCTTGATATGGCTGTCCCCGACTGTCCCTTCCCTGGCCCGAGGCTGACTGCAGCAGCTATGGTCTCTCTGAACCTGGGGCCCCTGCCCTGCCCAGCTCAGGGGTCATGTCAGAAAACCCCAAAGCCGGGAGCCTCTCAGATGCACACGTGAGGAGAGTCCATGTCCTTCTTTCATCTGACAGTTGCTCCGAGTCCTGCGTCCTCACAGGCTTCCTGAAGACTCCTTTCAGAGAAGTTGCCTCTGCGACTCTAAACAGACACGCCCTGATTTTAGGCTGATACCAAGTGTTCTTTAACATTTAAACTGAAGGACTCAAGTGTGTTTTACTTCAGAGTAATTTAAACGTCTCAGTGAGCTGAATAGGTCGGTTTTTGCTTTTATTTTTGCAGAGGATGTCTGTCCTCTGTCTCTGGGTGTCCCTCACAGGAGCGTCCTACAGGAGCTCTGGTTTGTGGGATCTGGCAGCGGATCATTCCTGGCATTCTCCGGTCCTTTAACAGTGATTGTATACCTACTGTTTGCTTGGCTGTGGCTTGGTGTTCGAGTCTTAAAAATAAAAGACTACCACTTTGAGTCCATTTGCCTTATAGGAGCTTCCCAGTTTAGTTGGGTGGTAGACATGCGAATAGTCACAGGCTGACCGTTTGAGGCATTGACAGAGTGGAGACGGTGTATTTAGTGCTTCACAGGGGCATTGACAGAGTGGAGAGGGTGTCTTTAGGTCTCTCCTGGGAAACCAGAGGCGGCTTCCAGGAGGAGGTGCACCTTTGCTGGGGCCTGCAGGATGAGTCAGTCAGTTCACTTGCAGCCAGGGTGTAGGACCTGCATGTGTGACTGTCTAGGGTTTAGGGCACTGTGGTGACGTCTCAGGAGCTTGGTCAGAGAACAAGGAAGGTGGTGCTAGTGGGGCAGAGGGCACAGGTGGGAGGTCTGACCAGGTGGATAAAGGGCCTGGGGCAGGATAGGGTTTCTTCTGTGGGGGGTAAAGAGTGCTGAAGGATGGAGGGAGCATGGTGGCATGCTTCGTCTGCACTGGAAAGGAGCTCAGCTGTGGGTTTGGGGACAGTGAGCCTAGAGGGGGGCTCGGGGAGGGGATGAAGGTGGCCCAGGTGAGATAGAGGTGGGGTGCACCTGCCCTGGGGGTGGAGAGCCGTGGCGACAGGTGTACCGGAGTCCCTCGTGGGCTGAGGGTAAGCAGGGAGGAAGTCCAGCTGGTCTTTGGTTCTGGTGGGGACTCCAGAGAGGATGCAGGGCATGGGCAGTGGGAACCACTCCAACCGGCGGGCTATCTCCAGACTGGGGCACGTTCATTTTCACATCCGGGTTCAGAATTCAGAGTTAAACTTTGTGGCTCTATGTTCCATTGTTAATCAGAATTCAGAGTTAAACTTTGTGGCTCTAGGTTCCATTGTTAATCAGAATTCAGAGTTAAACTTTGTGGTCCTAGGTTCCGTTGTTACAGAAGCCACCCCCAGGGTCTTTTATACTATGGTTTGTCTTTTCCTGCCGCTGCCGTGTTAGGAACTGTGGCTCTCAATGCCAGAATTTGGTAAAAAGAAAAGGAAGTGTTTACTCAAAGGTTATACAGGTTTAGAGTAATGGTGGAATGTTGCCATTAAATCCCAAAGTCCCTATAAAACACCCACAAACATACACAGTCCTGCCTCCCCTTGCCTAACCAGGCCAGTCAGGGGACCATATCTCAGGAAAAGAAATAGAAGCCCATAGCTCAGCTAGACTCCTGTTCTTAATCCCAAACCACATCCTCATGGTGGGCGGGGGAATCCTCTGCATCCTTTCAAACTGTGTGACTGAGAGAGAGCTCCACACGGCTGCTGCATCCTGCTTTCCTGCTTCTTTCTAAGTTGCACGGTCAAGAGAGCCCCTGCTCCACTCCCAAAAACGTGTGGTTAAGCCCTGCCTGGGTTTAAATCTTGGTGCAGCTCTTCCTCTGTAACCCCATTTCTGACTCCTCCCACAATTGGCCGCACTTGCCAGTAGTCTGGTTTCTTCTGCCTTTCTTGGCTGCCATTGTTAATCTGGGTAGGTGTGGATAGAGTGAATCATCTCCAAGCTCTCACGCAGGCACCGTAACCAAGGGGGAGCTGACTCCCCGTCTAGTCACATCCTGGGTCAAAGTCATGCATATGTCCCTGGCTCCACACAGGATGTGAAGCTAGCCTGCTGTTACCGATATGCAGAATAACTCTCAACCCTGTGCTGCTGCCTTTGCAGCCCCCAGCTAGGCGTGTCGGGGCCCCAGGGCCTCTCAGCCTATGTCCCATTAAGTCTACACCCTGTTAAACCTACACTCCATGAGACCATCTGTAGAGGTACACATTTAAATAAGCATATAACATATCCTTTCTCTAAATCCTGTTTATTTGTTAGAGTCACCAGAAAAAAAGAACAAGTATGTCATTTTTAACTTGGGGCTTCTTGAAGACTTTAGAAAGTTTTGGCAGTGTTTGTGTACTTTTCTGTGGCATTTATGGAACCAGTGATCATCCCCAGGGGGTAACTTCCTCCCTAGCAGCCCGTGCTGGTCCCCCAGGTGCCACCCAGCCTGGAGGCCTACGCCACTTCAGTCTCTGAGAAGGTGGAAGCCTGGTTACTGTGCAGTGATGCGGGGCAGCTGTCTCATGATTCACTTCCAATGTCTTGAATTTAGTCTGATTTCTAACAGTTTAAGGATTGATGGGAAAACCCTGCACTGTGCTAATCAGTGTGGCTGAGGTGATGGGGTGACTTGTGACCATGGGAGGGGCATCTGCAGTGAAAGGGAGGGCCAGCAGCACCTCGAAGCATTCACAGCGGGCGGCCAGGCTGATAAGTGCGGTTCTAAACACTAAAATATCATTACACATTCCAGCCGAGCTGTCACTACGCCCTTTTGACGTAGACGTCATGTCAGTATGCAGGACGTGCCGAGTGTGTGCTGCATGTCCGGCATGCTGTTGGTGCTGTGGCTGCCTGGGAGAACAGACCAGACCCCTGGCCCTCTGGCTTCACGGTCTGGTGCAGGGAAATCAAATACTTGAGAATTAATTGAGTCCTGGTCCGTCAGCAGGTGGTAAGGGGTATGGACCAAGAAAACAAGAGTAGGGTGGGTGGGCAGATAGTCACATTGTGGGGGTTGGGCAGGATGAACCTCAATGAGAGAGTGTGACTTTAGGAAAGTTTGGAAGGTGCTCAGGGAGCCAGCGGGTGGGCATCAGGGCAGTGCAGGCGTGTATGTAGGGCCAGGAGCTGTGCCAAACCAAAGGGCCTACATGATGCCTGGTTTTAGCCCTGAGGCAAGTAGGACCCAGGCTTGGAGGCGGAGGTCACATGGGCAGTGGGGCTGGGTGTCCCGTGCAGCTTCCCCTCCACTTCGCACATGTGTTGGGGTGGCCACTGCCCCGTCTGACCTGGAGACTGGACTCTTCCATGCTGCCCTCCGTCCTGTTGCAGGTCAGAGATGACAACAAGAGGCAGCACCCGTGCCTGGTGGAGTTCTCCCAGCTGCCGGAGCAGGAACGCAATTACAACCTGCAGATGTCACTGGAGACCCTGAAGTGAGTTTCTGAACGTGCCCCTCCCGCCTGCTCCGGAAAGGACTCAGGCTGTTGAGTAGTTTCCCCTCTGCTTGGAGCCTCTCCTGGGACGCACAGGCGGCCTGGGTCAGGCTGTGGGGAGGTAGACCATGGCCCTGCTGTCCTGCGTCTGGACCCTCCGCATTCTCACCTTCCGAGGAGCCGTCTCTAGACATTCGCCACACTGCAGGACTTGAGGGTTCGGTGACTGGATAGAGTGCCACTCAGAGACCTGCTCAGTCACACACTGTTACTGACTGGAGGTGATGTAACCAAGATGTTGAAACCAGTGTCTAGAAGCTGTTACACCAGTTGAAGGGAGCAACTTTATGTCTTTTGAGCCTAATAGCTCAAAAAATGTAGGCTTGTATTTCAAAATGAAAGCCTATTCATTTTGAAAGATTAATTTTCCCTAACAATTTCATTGTATTTTGTCAGAGAATCAGACCACGATGGACTGGAAATTAAAAGGAAATTGGTCCTTTGTTATATCTGTAGGAAATACTGAGTTAACTAATTAAAGAAGGTTTTATTGCTGCTGCTGGGTGCTGCGGCTCTCGAGTGGGAGGGAACGAGTTCCTTCCCCAGACACAGCGTGTGTGGCATCTCCTGTCTGGGGAGCTCCCGGGGCCGTGGGTCTGCGGAGCCGCAGTGCAGGGGCGGTTGGCCATCCACCCTCCTGAAGTTCGCCATCACCCCAGCAGGGGAAAGAGTGAGCTGGCATGAATCGAAGGGAGGAAAGCCATTTTAAATGTGAATATAGAAAGATTCAGAAAATACTTTTGGGAAGACAGTAACATTTCACATGTTCCTCTTTGTCCTTGGTGGCCTGTGGAACTGCATGTGTTCACATTGGTCACTCATCCTAATACACGCTCACATTACGGGGGAAACAAGGCTTTTACCCGGTCCGTGTTTCTGTTTTGTTAAGAGCAAGGAGTTACCATGCTGTACCACCCTGGCCTAGGCTGCCATTGTTCCCACCCAAAACGGTAAAGGGACAAGCAACAGAGTGGAGAGAATTATCTGCACCTTATGTCTCAAACATTTGAAGAGCAATTACGAAAACTAAATCTAGTAGAAAAGTGAACAAAAAATTCGTTTGCAGGAAAAATAAAGTGCAAATATCTCTTAAGCATATGAGAAAGGTGCTCAAATGCACAGATTAATTAAGAAAAGTGCAAATTAAAACTATGGTGAGGTACCTTTTTAACCTATTAATTGACAAAGATCAAGCAGTTTGGTGACTGGTTGGGGAGGGCGTAGGAAGAAGGCAGTGTCACACACTGCTGGCGGGGACCCGAGTCATCTCCACTCTGTCAGCGTCGCCACCACTGGTTGAACTTTAAAGTATGTGCACCCTGTGCTCCAGCAGCTCTGTGTCTGGGGATGTGTCCTGCAGGCGGAGGGTCCAGGGCGGGCGTTGGTGTCTGAGGCTGCTCCCAGCAGCACTGGGGGCAACAGCAGAAGACTGACCCCAGAGAACTGGGTAAAACATTTCGGCACTTCCAGCTAACGGAACACTTCAAGCTGTTGAAAAATAAACCAGCTTTATTCAAAAGGACAGTATTTCAAAGTTATCTTGTGAAGTCAACATAGCAGATTACAGAGAGCTGTCTCTCGTGTGTACCCAGTGTGCAAAAAAAATAAACAGCCTGCACCCCCCCCACACACACATGTGCGTGCACACACACACACACACCCCTACACACCCCTCAGTATATGCAGGCACTCTAGGAGGACACGGACAAATGCGGAGCTGCCAGTGCTTCAGGGGGAAAAGGCTAGAGCGAGGGGACTGGAGGGCGACTCTCAATAACTTCCTCCTGGGGCCACTTACATTTCCTGTGTCTTACTTGTTACTCAAAAGTGAATAATTCGTAAGTAAGTAAGTGTTTTTTAAACACACACATACACACACACACACCTTGTGCTCTGCTTTCGGGTGGACTGATGTTTCTTACTTCCATCTGCCATTATGTTGGGTTGGGGGGGACGTGAAGATGGAACTGTGCTCATCTCTGGCTTGTTTTCCAGGACTTTGTTGGCATTAGGATGCCACGTGGGTATATCAGATGAACATGCTGAAGAAAAGGTGAAGAAGATGAAGCTACCCAAGAAGTAAGTTGAATGCCTGATGGTACTCAGTAGTCCATGCGCCGACTGAGCTCCCCTGACTAACTTGTGACGGAGGCCTCCGTGCATGGCTCGCACTCAGCTGACCGCTCGGATGCAGAGTTTAAACTTGCTGTGCTCCACGGGGAGCAATGTCAAGTCCATGGTTTCACAGACAGACAGGAAATGAAGCCCAGAAAAATGGGCAGAGTATGTTATAAAAAGTGCGCTGTTTTCCCTGTGTCTGCTTGTGGTCAACACACACATTCCCTTATTTCTGATTGATTGGGTATGCTTTTCCTCTTTCTACCAGAAAATATAATTTTATTTGGCTTTACAAAGAAAATATACAGGGTCTGGCACAATATAATGCCCCCTTTTTATTACAAAATCTTTCCAAACTTGTGAGCATGTAATTCTGTAGCATAACAATGTCACACTCAAGCACACCATGTGGCATTGTAGGTGAAATGTTCAAATTAAAACTATAAACGATTACACCCATACTATCATCCTACCAACCACACTCAAGCAGGCCTCACTTCTGCCAGACCCTGTGTTTTAGGAATAGCTATTCTGTCGGTATTGTCCACGTAAGAAACATTTAAATCCGGAGAGAATTTTTATGAATTTATTTGAACCAAACTGGTGACAGTTGCTGGGAAGCAAATCTAAACAGATTGGGAAATGCCCCTAAAAATGGCAATTTGGCCCTTGACTGTATACATGAGCAGGTGAAAGGGGGTTACATGAAGTCACTGGACGGACAGTAAAATGCTGGACTCGCACTTTGCACTTCACACGGGGGGGCGGGGAAGAGGGTAGAGGACAGTCGGTAGCCCACAATTAACACGACAGCAGCAGCAGTGAGGGGACTGCTGGTGTCTGCCCTGGTGTGCTGGTGGTCCTGGAGGGCCCTGGAGAGGGGGCGGTTACCCTGCCATGGCGAAGGCGTGTTAGCCCAGATGCACGAAGGCAGGGACAGGCTCCGTTACGGTGAAGCCTGACCTCTGTCAGGGAAAACACCGCCCAGGACAGGACCACGTGCCGAGAACTGCTCTTAGTTAGAAACTTTAATTTCAGACGGCCCCGCGTGCTTACCTTCGGTCTCTGAGTTTGTAAGGCCGCCACACAGGCCTCCCCTGAGCTGGTCAGTGTCTGCACGAGGCCCCTTCTGTTCACAGCGGTGGTGTCCCCATTTTGAGGTGAGGGGACAGAGGCTGTGAATGTGGTAGCATCGGTTTTGCCTGTTGAGAAGTCGGGGCCCCCTTCCAGACTGCAGAGTCCGCGCACCTCCACGTCCTCCTCTCCCGCCAGGCCCCAATAATACCTACTTCGGACAGCCGTTCTGGGTGCTAGAGGAGTACACACGTCAGAAGGAAAAGTGGTTTCCTGTCCGTTTTTCTTTATTTTAACTTCAGGGCTGTGTAACCACTTTTCTGAGGTCCGTGCATGGTAAAGAGCAGGCCTGGAAATGCGTTCGGTGGTTGATAAAAACAAAGTAGCCACCTGTCACTGACCCCTGGACTCTAGTTACCTCCACAAAACAAAATTGAAATAGAATTGTGTTTGCTATGGTACAGAATCAAAGTGGGGTTGGGCTGCCCGCTGCCACCAAAAGGCAAACTCTAGAGGCGGAGGCTGGTGAGAAAGGAAAGACGGTTTTATTTGATGCTGCGCAATCTGGGAGAAGGGGGAGCTCCCTCTCTCCAAGCTCATATCTTCTACAAAACCCAGATAAAACCCAGCCATCCCCAGCAAGAGCAAAACAAAAGGCAGTGCCCAGAATTCCCGCTCCATCTTTAAAGTACCATCTTTGGAGCCTGAGGTGGCTTTTAAGCCTTCCTTCCCCAGGGTTATGTTGCTGTAGGGTGTGGGTCGGACCAGGTGCTTTCTCAGAATAGTTAGCTTCCCAAACCTCCACGCACTCTGGGGGGAGGCACCTCCTGACCAACCCCTTCTTGTCCAGAGGCCGGCCTGGGTGCTAGACATGTGGGACACTCACCCGATGGGGAGGGAACACTGGATCCTCTGGGACTGTCGTTTGGCTTTGCTGTCATGACTGAATTGTGTCAAAGAAAACCAGGGCCAGACAGGAGGCTCAGACCCTGAGGCGGGTTGGGCCCTTAAAGTGATCAGCAGGATTCTTGCTTAGGACTGGGCAGAATGGAGCAGACGGAGCCCGGGCCATTTATTTGTAGAGCTTAGCGTAGTTATCTGGTGAATCGTCTGTGCCAAAGGATAACCTTTGAGATGGGCAGGCATGCATCTTTATCTTAGCTTGGCAAAAAGAGTGAACTCCTCCAAACACTGTAGCTGGGGAGCTGCTGTGTGCCACTCACTGGTGTCAGGACAGTGGCGGCTAGGAGAATGTGCCACGTGCTCGTGTAAGGACAGTGGCAGGTAGGAGAACGGTCAGAACAGGTTTGGACCGCCAGGCCTAGTGACAGTGCAGAAGGCGGCATCAGTGTGACAGAGGAGGAGGGGCATTCACGGGCCCTGTGCCAACTGGGGGGCAACTCAGGACACAGCTGTGAGTCTGCGCAGAGCAGGGCAGGGCTACTGCCCAGCTCAATGTGTTGAAAATTTTAAATTTTCAATTTTGTATTTCTTCTAAAAGATTAAAACTTATACTCATTTGTTACCTTTTCTCTCTAGCTCAGAGGATGGAAATTGTCTCTGGTAAGAGTCCCTAGGAGACCCAGGCCTTCCTGATGTTTGGGTGGTTATGGATTTCCCAGTCTCTCTGACTGAGGGCTTTCTCAGCCATGTACCTGGGAATGACAGTAGGGACGTCATTTTTAAACGCATTGGAGTTTTTCTGTAGAATCGTGAATGGTATCCGAAAGCATACACAGCTTTATTAAAAACATCGCATTAATACAACATTTAAAAGTTGAAACTTGAGAACTTTGGTTGAGAAATCCAGCAAATGATCTGATTGATCACCAATAATTTGATTTATACTATACAAAAGACTGGACTGTTAGGAACACAAATAGTATAATTCCTTCTCAGCTTTGAGAGATACGTGAATTGTTTTATCTCCGCTTTATTGGTGAGAAAACTACACCATGAAGGAGATGTGGTCTTTCCTCCTGAGGAGTTACTGTCTTCAGTCAGAGGGTCCAGGCCTGCTGACCGGGCTGTTACCAGGGGCTTCCATGCGGTTTATGGGACACTTGCAAGACGGCGGGACCAGGCGAAGGCCATCACAGCGGTTTTTAAGGTTCGACTTTTCTGGAAAGACCAATTACATGAGTGTCTTGCTTTGCTCCGTAGTTACCAGCTGACGAGTGGGTACAAGCCTGCCCCGATGGACCTGAGCTTTATCAAACTCACCCCGTCTCAGGAAGCGATGGTGGACAAGTTGGCAGAAAATGCCCACAACGTGTGGGCCCGGGATCGGATCCGGCAGGGCTGGACCTATGGCATCCAGCAGGTGCGTGGGGACTTGGTGCTGCAGGTGTGGGCCAAGGAGCACTGAGGGGTCCGCAGCACCGTTTGTGACAGGAGAGATGAGAGAGCGATGGTGTAAAAACTCATCCCAATACCTTAAGGCACCTGCTCAGTGCCGGACCCGAGCTTGTGCGATGACCACAGCTCTGCGCAGTGAGGTGCAGTGCGCAGCGAGTGTCATCAGGACAGCGATGCACAGTGTGGCTTTGGGGCATTTCTCTGGCGAGAGTGTCTTTCAGGAGGAACTTTTGAAACAGGAGAGAGATGAAATAATAGAAAGAGTCCATGGTTCCTTATTTGCAGCCCTGGGGCGAGGCGACATTCAGGACCTGGCGTACCTGGCCTTCCAAGTAGTGGCGTGAGGCATTGCGCATCTTTTGCATCAGGTCGGCAGGCCAGGTGCTCACCTGCTCCCCATGACAGGTGGGACAGTGCTAAGAGCAACGAAGGCAGCCTCACATCCATTCGGATCATGCTTTGCCACAAACCAATGTTTGTTAAACTTGGTCAAACCAGAGGTTTCTGGACTTCACAGCCGTGGGTCCCTGTGAGCGGGAATACTGGCAGAGTCGCTAATGGCGTGGGGCACACAAGGAGGTGGATAGTGAAGGTTAAGAGCAAATTTTAGCCTTGCCTCTAAAGGAATCACGTGGCCTTTGTTGGGCAGGCTACTTAAACTCTCTGTGCCTCCGTTCTGCTTATCAGTAATTTATTTAAGTCACAACAGCACCTGGCACCTACAAATGCCGTGCAACCACCCACTCTCAGTATCAGGTGCCCGTGCCCGTGCCTGGACTCCACCGGTGTTTCCTGCTGTAATTCTCACAGTCCCACGAAGGATGGGCACACAGGGTGCCCAAGGGTCTGGGAGCGAGGGTCACCCAGAGCCACAGAGCCCACCGGTGAGGGCCGCCCCTTTCTCCCCTGTTGTGACAGGACCTCCGGCCAGGCTGCAGCAGGCGGCCTTGGCTGAGGTTTTCAGAGTAAAGTGGGTTGGTACTTAGTAGACACTTAGACTGTGGTTCGGGGTGAATCTAAGTGATACTTTGAAGATGTGTTTCTGATCCCTCTAAGGCACTGACTTCTGTCATTTAGAGAGCTAACGAGGAGGCGAAGAGCCTCGCTTTACCTCATACATTGATAGGGTATTTCCATGTTGAATTAAACTAGTTGTGTCTGATGAGAATGTCAGCACTGAGTCAGTGTAAGCAGGAGTATGTGTGTGTGAGAGAGAGAGAGAGAGGGAGAGAGAGGGAGTGACAGGGAGAACCTGACCTTTCATGCACCTTGGGCTCCCTCTGCCTCGAAGACCTCAGGGCTCCGTGGTGGGCGGGGGTTTCTCTGCAGCTGCCTCCTGGCGGAGCTCCTTCCTGGACTCGTGGGCTCTCCGCCTCCTAAAGTCACAGGCTCTGTCCGAGAGGCCCAAGCCCTCACTTGCACCCTTTGTCCCCCCTCTCCCAGCTCCCTACTGTTACCCTCCAGGTTTGGTGGGGGGCAGGCACATGTTGGAAGCAGTCTCCCAGTGCTGCCTGCTTTTGCACCCCCTCTCCTCGAGAGCAGTAACTCCTCAAGAGCAGTCGACTTGCTGCCTCTTCTCTGTCTATCCAGCACAGCTGAGCTCAGACACGAGTGTGCATGGAACCCTGGGAGGGGCTGGGCGCAGTCAGGCTCCTGGACACCGTGTCCCAGAGCAGGAGCCACAGCAGGCTTCCCAACACCATTCAGGAGGAGCGTGGGGGCAAGGCCGTGTTGGAAAGCAGGGGTACTGGGTCCAGTCTGGAGGCTGCAAACACTGTTTACGCTGCTTCTTTATCCCGAGCAGCTTTGGGGCTGTGTCCCCAGGTGTTACAGGTGCTCCTGCTTTGGGGGTGAGGTATTTAGCGCACGTCTCCAGGGAGCAGGAGGCAGAGGTGGAGCAGCTCTCCTCACTCCTGCCAACCAGGACAAACCCTCTGCACTGCAGAGCTTGTCTGGTTGGGAAGGTTTGCCCACGCCCCTGGCCTCCCCGCCCCCTCTGTGCCCAGGTACATTGGAACTGCGTGTGCCTCTGGGAGTTTGGGAAGGTCAGTGGACGCTGCCCAGAGTCTCAGTGCGTGAGTGGAAAGAAGGGACGTCCGCAGTGCTGGGGCCCTGAAGACCTGCAGGCCCTGTGCCTCTCCACCAGCCACGGTGCAGGCTTCGTGCTCACTCTGAAATAAGTGTCCTTTGCCTGGCAGTAAGACGGTCTATTTGCTGTCTTTGTTAGCACCATGGTGACCACAGTTGAACTTGGACCCTCCTTCGTAGCAGTTCTGTAGTCAAGTCTGTGCTTGTAGAATTACCTGGTTTCACTGATTGATGGGGTAAACTTAGTGCGTATTTTCAAAGATTGCTGAAGGCATAGAATGACCTTCTATAACGTAGCGTATTTTCTCTTAAGGAGGGACGGTAGCCTTACGTAGACTGTCCAGTTAAAGCCGCTGGGACCAGCACTAATTTGGCTCTTCTGGAAACCAAGGCTTGTCCGTCTGTGCAGCAGGGAAAGTGTGTGTTCTCTCCGCTGGCTCACTGCCTGTGTCCATGGCATGGGGCAGATGGTTAAAGAGACCCTCCAGGCTCGCTTTTGTCATTGCTGTGGCAGCTTTTCGCTTTTGGCCTTGTGGAGTGGGCTTTAAACTGACACAGTCAGTCACTCACTCAATGAAATCTGTGTTGACTGTGTTTTGGTGACTTCTGTAGCCTGAGAAGGCAAAGGGAAGGGGGGAGGGGCAGCCTTTACCCTCAGGGGCTTTATATTTTGTAGTATCTTTTTCATCCTCATCTGAGGATGCATTTTTTATTGATTTTAATTGCTTTTTATTGATTCTGTTGTATTTACTGTCTCACTTCTGAGTGTTGTTGGTATTACCTCGATGACGGCACCCCTCTTCCTATAGGACGTAAAGAACAGAAGAAACCCCCGCCTCGTCCCCTACACGCTTCTCGATGACAGAACCAAGAAGTCCAACAAGGACAGCCTGCGGGAGGCGGTGCGCACGCTGCTGGGGTGTGGCTACGGCCTGGAGGCGCCGGACCAGGACCACGGTGCGTCGGGCTGCTGTGTGCCTCTGCCTGCGGAGCCACGGTGGTTTTCTAAAGCCAGATAGAGGGCTGAGGGGGGCGGACCAGGCAGAGTCCTTTAGGGTGGACTCTGTGGGCGGCATGCAGTCCAGGAGGGACTGCACCCTCCTTTTTCCTGGAGGGTTGGACCTGTCCCCCGGCAGAGTGGCTGAGGCCCACAGTGATCCTGCCGGGGAAGAGTCCGAGGTGCACCTTGAACTAGCTCTAACCTTGCCCCCCACCCTGAGTCCACCAGTTGTCCTTCAGAAGAGCTGGTTTCAGTTGTTCACAGGAGTAAACTGTAGTGGGAGCCAGTGTCTGACCCTTCATTATTTATCCTCATTCATAACGGTGACATTAATCAGTGCAACAGTTTGCTTTACATTAGAATAGACACTCAAAAAGAAGTGTTAAATAAATGGACTTTTAAAGGTTTTATGAAGGACATACTTTCTTTTAATAATATCTTTTAAGACTATGATTTAAAATGATCAACTTTGTTAATTTCTTGTTCTTGCAGTATAAGTTGGCATTGTTGACCTTGACAAATAGACAAGATACTTCCCAGGGTTTGTTTGGGAACAAGGGGAGGAACGTTCTTTTCGAGAGACAGGGGGGCACTCGGAGGTTGTAATCAGAGACCCTGGGGGAAACTGGGAGGTGCTCAGGGCGGCGGCTGTTCCTTGGCTGAGGGGTGGTCCGGTGAGGAGAAGGTCCTCCTCCCTCCCGCTGGAGCAGTCGAGTAGACAAGTGCTCTCCTGTAGGTGATGGTGGTGCGTCCTCCTCTTTGGGGTGGTGAGTGGCCAGGCATGAGTGAGCCCTTGGCAGGCCTTCCCAACTCCGATTTAAATGAGGGTTTTGTTTATTATCTTCACAGTGTTAATATTCAAACTTTAAAATTGGCAAAGACTGTATGCTTCATTATAGCACCGTATCGGAATCTCCATCAGCCTAGCTAACACTGCTCACCCACCCTGGTGATTCCGAGACCTCCAACCACCCAGTTTGTAGGCTCACCCAAGCTTCTTCCAGGGGCTTTTCTATATAAGCGGCCTGTCTTGGCTCATGCTGCAGACTTTCCTAAAATCTCTTAAACAGAAAGACATAGCAGCTCTACCTAATACACAGATATACACACACACACACACACACAGGGAAGCTGCCAAAATGAGGAGACAAAGAAACAGTCCTAAACAAAACACAAAACTCCAAAAAAAAATCTAAACAAAATGGTGACAAGAAACCCACTAGGTGCAGAGTTCAAAACACTGGTTATAAAGATGCTCAATGAACTTGGGAGAAGAGTGGGTGAACTCTATGAGAATTTTAAGATAGAGAAAGGAAACAAAAATGGAGGAGGTAGAAATGTAAGAAGGACCAGTCAGAAATGAAGAATACAGTAACTGAAATGAAGAATGCACTAGAAGAAATTAACAGTACAGTAGATGAAGCAGAGCATCAAATCCGTGATTTAAAAGTTAAGGTGGCAGAAAACACCCAGTCAGAACATCAAAAAGAAAAACAGCAACAAAAAAGGAGGATAGTTTAAGCAGCCTCTGGGGACCGCTTCACGTGTACCAACATTTGCATCAATAACAGAAAGGGCCCCTAACTTGGCCAAGAAACTAGACATACAAGCCCAGGAAGTGCAGAGAGTCCCATAATTAAAATGGCAAATGTTAATTAAAGACAGAATCTTAAAAGCAGCAAGAAAAAGACTATTAGTTACCTATAAGGGAGCTCCCATAAGACTGTCAGGAAGTTTCTCAGTGGAAATTTAACAGGCCAGATGGGATTGGCATGAAATATTCTAAGTGATAAAGAGCAAGGACCTAAAACCGATACTGCTCTACCCAGCAAGGCTATCATTTACAATTGAAGGACAAAGAGCTTCCCAGAAAAAACCTGAAAGAGTTCATCACCACCAAACCAGTATTATAAGAAATGTTACAGGGACTTCTTACGAAGAAAAAAATAAAAATTATGATTAAAATAGCAATATATAATACATATGTCAATGATACTTTAAATGTAAATGAATTAAATGATTCTATCAAAAGACATGCGGTGGTTCTGGCTGGTGTGGCTTGGTGGTTGAGGGCTGGCCTGTGAATCAAAGGCTCGCTGGTTTGATTCCCAGTCAGGACATGTGCCCAGGCCAGGTCCCCAATAGGGGCACATGAGAGGCAACCACACATTGACGTTTCTCTCCCTCTCTCTCTCTCCCTTCCCCTCTCTCTAAAAGTGAGTAAATAAAATCTAGAGAAAAAACAAAGATGCAGGGTGTCTGGATGAAGAAAACAAGATCTTTACATATACTGTCTGAAAGAGACTCACTTGAGACTGAAAAAAACTGATTGAAATATGCATATGGACTGAAAGTAAAGTGATAGAAAAAGAGATTTCATGCAAATGGAAATGAAGAAAAGCTTGGGTTGGGGAAATTGTGATTTTCACAAGGATGATGAAAATGGAAATTAAAGGAGAGATGTGAGATTATAGCGAATAAGTCTGGTGATCACTAGGATAAGATTAAAAACATTACTTTATAAGTGACTGTACTGCTTCTGATATTAAAGAAGTTAAGAGCATAAAAATTTTTCTGCAATGGAATCTAATCCTATGTTATTAATCCAGGTTATAATTTATTTTCTAGTAGAAAAATGCTACATAATTTAGACTGAATCTGAACTCAGTATTTGAACTGTACTCTTTTTGAAGTCTTGTCCTGAATACTACTATAAACATTGAAAATTAATTTTCTTCATTATAGGGTTTTATTAAAATTGGAATTGCTTAATCAGAAACAATACAAGGTTAAAAGGATATTTGTTAATATCAGTAATTTTACTTATCTAGATACATGTAAAATATTTTAGATGTATATGAAATTTTAAAGACAGTAGCCTCCCTTCCTTCATAGCTTACTATAAATTAAAATAATTTAATGTAATGCATAATTAGATCTCGCCTGCCCTCTAGTGGCCAGTGTCTTTTATATGTAGGGTTTGCAGCCTGCTGTGGTAGATGCGTTGGCCCTGTGTGATCCGTCTTGTGATCCCTCCCTGTGCAGCACCTGGGGGACCTGGGAACACAGTATCATTCATACCTTACCCTTAATCTTGAGGTGGTTTGATAAAGGCAGCTCCTGAATTTCTTCTCCTGTGATCAGTAACAGCCTTGATAAAATGAATTAGGAATATATTGGCTGACTTCATTTTCTAGTGTCAGTTTCAATTATATTATTTATAACAACATAAAAATCATGTATGTAGCACACATGACCTAGAACTGCCTACTAAACAAATATGAATATAGAGTGTTTAACATCCAGTGAAGCCTAAGACATGCACGTTTGGGGGACAGGGGTGCCACCATCAGCTGCAGGCCTGGGCACCTGTGTCTGGGCTCAGGATAGGTTTCGTTCCTCCCTCAGCTGGCACCTGATTTGTACCCCCTCTCCAGGTTCAGTGCCACAGGGGACACAAAGAAATTTGTCACAGATTGTCTGGATCTGTTCTTAGAACTTCTGTGGGTCCATATTTTCACTGATTATTGAGAAACAGAATGCTAAACGGTTGCTTCTGAAACCATGTCTGTGAGCTCACCTAACAAATGAGAGAAGTACAGAGTCTGAGCCGCGAGACACACCGATGTGGAGGGAGGCGTGAGGAGGCCCGTGGGGACGTGTCCGTTCCCAGGGCGGACTGAGCCTCACGAGTGGTGAGGGGAAACCACCAGGCCCAAGACCTCCGGCACCGCTGCCTCGAATCGTCACGCTCTTTCAGGGAGCCCGCACTCCCACTTCCTCTATCAGGAGAGCAGCGGTGCCAACTTTTAATGCCAAGAGACATGTGCAGCGGGCTCTTATGGACCTTGTTATGTTTTCAGGCCGAAGCTGCCGTCTGGCATGTTAGGTGTAAGCTGGTGTGAATGTGCCTGCCTCCCCTGACCACCTGAGCCTCATGGGCCTGTTGGTGGAGGTGATGCTCCAGGAACCTGAACAGGAAAATACATCTGTGCGTTTTTCTGTACTTTACAATCCTAAAACCCTAGTGTCCACACTTAGAAAAGAAGGTGTTTTCTCTTTTGTTCATATTAAAATACAGTGTATAATTTTACTTGCAAATGTTGACACAATTAAAATAAGGATAACTACAAAAAAGCATTCTTCTCTGAAAAGGAGTTCCCAGGTGTCTGGGTGGTAGGTGGCATTTCGAGTTGGAGGCTGTCACTGCTGCTGAGTGGGGGCAGCTGGGAGCATGCTGGGTGGTCAGGCGTGTGCATGTGCACATGTGTGTTGTGGGGAGAAGGTGGAAACACGACGTGTCCCTTGCCCAGAAACAGCACAGGTGTTGAAAGGTCAGCACATACAGTTCTGCTGTACCCTCAATAATCACCACAGACCATCAAAAAGCAGTAGTTGACCGTTTCATTATTCACGCCCTCCTCGTGCGTGCTGGACCTCTCAGTCCATTTTCTTTACTTCACTCTAATCGTGAATTGTTTGAAGGTGGGCTGGCTGTGCATCTACTGGGGACCTTTAGAGTTTATCTAGGTTTCGTATAGTTCTGATTAGGTCACATGCAATTGGTGGTTAAGCTGTTATTAAACTTGTATTATTTATAAGGTCTTTCCCAGCTCTTGAAAGGTTTATAGGTGAGTGCTAACATTTACCAGCACCTTCTATCTCTGTGCCAGCTGCAGAAGCAGAGGGCAGAGAACACAGGCTGTGGCCCAAGGCAGCTCCCGAATTCTGCCATTTGTTAGTTGTGTCTTCGGTTAAATCACTCCAGTTTCCTTCTCTGTGTCTAAACCAGACCGTAGCTGAGCTGACTGCATCCTCGGAGGTGTCGTTCAGTGGACCTTGTCCCTATGCCCTGTGACTTCCCGGGGGCTGCCATTCTCACAGTCACCCTGGCTTCAGGTTCCTCGGTCTGAGGTTTCTCACTCCTGCTCTCAGTCCACCTGTGTTGACTGTCAGTCCACACGTGTCTATTCTCAGCCCACATGCACCAGTCCATGTGCATCCACAATCAATTCACATGCATTTACTTTCAACCCATGTGCATGCACTCTTAGTCCATGTGTGTCCCTCCAGTCCACTCTTGGTCCACATGCATCCACAGTAAATACACATGTGCTCACTCTCAGTCTGGTGCCCCCTTTCAATCCATGTGTATCACCTGTTTTTCCCTTTGCACCAAACACACTGATTCTCATGTTAGACATGGCTCTTCTACTTCCCCCCAATTCCTAAAACAACGTCTGTGTGTGCAGCGCATCATAGTAACATGTGGGCAGTGGGAGTTTGTGGGTGGTAGCCCTGCTCTGCTGTTTGTAGTTTTCTCTCCCCCCTACTGCCCGGCCAGGTCTTCCCTCTTCTGTTCCACCCACACGTGTGGGTTCATTCCTTATGTGGAGTGGCTTCTGTCTGTCCATGCCTCACGTGCATCTTACCTTCTTCTGCCACCCAACTGTCCAGTGGCTAGTAGGTCTTTCATGCAGAAAGATAGTTCCCCGCTGAAAGGGCGGCCTTGCTGCCGGCTTAGCCCGCTGCAGAATTCCTGTGCTGTGCGTGGGCTGTAGCAGTGGGAGGCTGTCCAGGTCAGTTGCTCTGCACAGTATCAGGCACAATGGGAATAAGAATGTTGATAGCCCGTGGGCACAGGTGTGAGTCCCGAATGTGGGTGTGGCTGCTATGCCAGCTCCCGTGATGATGAGCAGAGCCCCCTTCCCCCGCAGCAGCCCGGGCCGAAGTGTGCAGCAGCACCGGAGAGCGGTTCCGGATCTTCCGCGCAGAGAAAACCTACGCCGTGAAGGCCGGGAGGTGGTACTTTGAGTTTGAGGCAGTCACGGCGGGAGACATGCGGGTCGGTTGGAGCAAGCCGGGCTGCCAGCCGGATCTGGAGCTGGGCGCCGACGAGCACGCCTTCGCTTTTGACGGTTTCAAGGTGAGCGGCCAACGTCTGCTGGGCCCCTGGTGGCCTCCCTCCGAGCCTGGGCTACCCCTGCTAGGACAGCGACAGCTGTGCTTTCTGGAGCAAGAATTTGGAAATTTGCTAGGGAAGCTTTTGCCCTTGTGGTTTCAAAACATTTTTCTGCATGGTACAAATACAGTAAAGCCATTAACAAAGAGACAAATCACCCATATCTATCAAAAGTGTTACAAACACGTATGCTGATTAAAGACGCATTCTTTGTGACACAGCAGTTTCCGGAGGAAATGTGTCCTCAGAGCAGTGAGTCATGCTAGGTAGACACATTTATTAACTGTAAGAATACCTAAGGCAGTGTGGTTTGCAATCACAAAAGGTTTTGATTTTCAACATTGTTAGTAATTTTTATTTCTTAAACTGTGGGGAAGCTGGTCAGGTGCTTATTCTTTCATTTATGTATCATATAAATGTTTAAATATTTTTGTCTAAGTTATTTAAACATTAAAAAAATGTATCTATATGAACATAGCCACAATAGAATAGTAGTCATTTTTTGGTTAATAAAATTATTGATACTTTATTCTTTTATTTGTATTCTCTGATTTTTCTTCAGTGGATTGTATTCCTTTTCATATGAGGGGAAAAGTCTAGTACAACAAAGGAATTTAGAATAAATACGCAGTCATGTAGCACAGGGGTGTCCAGCCTGCAGCCTGTGGGACCACATGCAGCCCAGGACTGGCAATGATTGTGGCCCAACACAAAATTCTAAATTTACTTAAATCCTTTTTTGTTGTCTACCAGTTTTTGTTAGTTTTGTGTGTTTAATGTGTGGCCCAGGACAATTCTCCTCCTTCCAGTGTGGCCCAGGGATGCTACAGGGTCGGACGCCCCGACAGAGATTTGACGTGGGGTGTTCGGCCCGCGTCACGTGCGGGAAAGCATTTCCAGGCTAGAGATCAGCGTTGAGTCCTTTAAAGCCCCTGCCCACTTTGGTTCTGAAAGGGCATGTTTCCTGAGTCCCGTTTTTTATTTCAGGTGGGAAAATTTAAGACCTTTCGATGCCTAATTTAGTTAAATAAGTTTTCCAAAAACTGCTATGTGTGATACACTGGAGGAATCACATTGTTTTGCATTGGTGACTATATTGCACTACATATTAGCTCACAGTGAAGTTTACGCTTAGGGGAAGTTAAAAGGCTTTACTGGAAAATGAATATAACTAATTTTGTACCTATAGATCAGTAGAGTATATTATATTTATCAAACTACATTTTAAGTATATTTATAATATGAGATTTCACCTGTGTTTATCAAACACTATTAGTATATATATTCAGTCTTTAACTTTTTATTTCAGCAAACATATTAAGAACATTTTTAGGTTTGATTTGAACCTTTTGTTTTATCATACGGGCTGGGGAAAAAGTAGGTTTACAGTTGTTCATTTGGAAAATAATACAATAATTAATAATAGTAACAAGAATAAACTCTGTTTTGTATACTCCCAACTGCAAACCCACTTTTGCCCCACTGTGTATATTGAAATGCTTCTAGATTTCTATTTTGTTAAGTATCAGTTCCATTGATTCCAAGGAGTGCAATTTTATTTTGAAATGGATGAAAATTCAAATCTCATTGATAAATTGTCAGCTGGATTCTCCTCTCAAAATTCTTTGTATTTTGGGGAGTAGAGAAAAAACAACCATGTCTGGGGAAGCAGTCATTGTGGGGAGATAAATTTTTAAAGTCATAGAGTTTCTTGTTTAATAGGAAGTACGTGGACTAAATTTTTAAATGACGGACTCTCAAAATGAGGAAAACGCATTGGGGTTTTTCCTGAGCCAGTCCATACAGTGCTTAGAATTCTCAGACTTCCCATCTCTTGGGCCAGCGGGCCCCTTCCTGTTGCCCTGGGTAACAGGAGGCTGTGCCGCCCGGCTTCCCGAGGGTGGTGGGCGGGGTCTGTTCTGGCTTTCTGGGTGCTCATTCATTCTTCTTCCCCAGGCCCAGCGGTGGCACCAGGGCAATGAGCACTATGGGCGCTCTTGGCAAGCTGGCGATGTCGTGGGCTGTATGGTCGACATGACGGAGCACACCATGATGTTTACACTGAATGGCGAGATCCTGCTTGATGATTCAGGCTCGGAACTGGCCTTCAAGGACTTTGACGTGGGTGACGGTAAGTGTGGTGGGTCTCAGGTGGCATAGTGAGGCGCTCTGCTCTGATGCCACATGACCGCTGTGTGCGTCAAGGGGAGGGTGGAGGGGCTGCCGCCGAGAGGCCCACGGTACCCATGTGGCCCATTTGGTCAGACACCCTCGCAGTCACTCTAGTGAAAGCAGTGTCCACACTGCTTAGCTGGGTTTCATTGAGGCAGTGGCAGCTTTTCCGAATGGGAGTAAGAAAATAAATGGTAGGCAAAAGTACCATTTTCCACAAATGTTAAATTTTTTATTTTGAACTTTGCTCTGAGCTGCATATAAATTCTTTCTGTTCCTTCGTTTCATAAGAAGGTAAGGAGAACCTCCTCATTCAGGCTCTCTGCTGGATGCTGAGATGATAAAGGTGAAATCATTGTCCTTTTTAAAAATTTTATTATTTTTAAAAATTATTTTATTGTAGTTCAGTTACAGTTGTCTGTATTTTTTTCCCCATCCCTCCCCCTTCCCCCTCCAAACCCACCTCCCTCCCTCCCTTGCTTCCACCCTCCCCCTTGGTTTTGTCCACGTGTCCTTCATAGTAGTTCCTGTAAACCCTTCCCCGCATTGTCCCCCCCTTCCCCTCTGGTTTCTGTCAGATTGTTCTTAATTTCAGTGTCTCTGGTTATATTTTGTTTGCTATTTTCTTTTGTTGATTAGGTTCCTTAGAACCTAATTAGATTAGATTAAAGGTGAGATCATATGGTATTTGTCCCTCACAGCCTGGCTTACTTCACTTAGCATAACGCTCTCCAGTTCCATCCAGGCTGTCTGTCCCAAAGAGTGGGAGAACATCGATCGGCAGGAAAATCTCAAATATTCCACACAACAGCGTCTTTACCGATCTGTCCCCTAAAGCAAGGGACATAAAGGAAAGAATCAACAAATGGAACCCTATCAAATTTAAAAGCTTCTGCATCGCTAAAGAAAACAGCATTAAAATGAAAAGAGAACCAACTATATGGGGAAACATTTGCCAATGATACCTCACACTAGGGTTTGATCTCCAAGGTATATAAAGAACTCACACAACTCCACTTCAGGAAGACAAAAAACTCAGTTAAAAATGGGCAAAAGATTTGAACAGATACTTCTCTAAGGAGGACACACAGAGGGCCCAGAGACATATGCAGACATTGCCCTGTCTCTGTGCAGGTCACAACAGACCAGGGGTGTCCACATTTGCATGATTGGCGATCAGTGGCGAAGTTCTGAAATACAGTGCAGAAGGTGCCACGGGAGCACAGGGTAGGGAGCAGACAGCAGGCTGTGGCAGGCCGTGGCCTGGAGCAGGGCTGTGAAGGGGAAGGCCCTTTGTGAAGCAAATGCTTCCAGAAAGGAGCCCTTGGCCGCAGGAGGTTATTTCAATTTACATTCATTTAAATTGAATGAAGTTAAAAGTGGAGTTTCTGAATGGCACTTGCTGCATTTTAAGGGCTCAGTGGGGAGCTCTGGCTAGTGGTGCCCCTACTGGACAGCACAGGTACAGCACACTTACAGCCTCTCTGAAGGCACAGTGAAATGACTTGGACCCTGTTGCTTTAGAGCAGCGATTTTCCACTGGTGTGCAGCAAGGAGTTTTACAACATGCAACACCTGAATGTGTGGTCAGGGGCGCTGGCCTCTCTTCCCTTCCATTATCAAGTGAAAAAATGGCAACAGCCAATACAAAACTAGCTGTCCAGTGTGAATTAGTCAAAATTGTACCTATTTTTTGGATCAAATGGGGAAAAATTCTTTTTGATGTGCCACAGAATTTTAGTAATTTGTTTGTGTGTGCCATGAGATGAAAAAGCTTGAAAATTGCTGCTTTACAGCACAGACACAAGATTACTTAATAAATATTACATAAATACTATTTCAAAATGAGCTAAAACTTTTTTTTGGAATGACTGTAGGTTTATTCTATTCTTTGAATATATACAGTCTTGGGATTTAAGATACACCTCATTCAGTACTTTTAATATTCAGTAAATTTGTCACTGATCTTCAAAAGTTAGCCAGCTCATTATTTGCATTAAATTTTATATTTGTTCATTCAGTATGCTTCTGAGCAGGTATTGTTGTGGGGAAATGAAGCGACCAGACACCGAGGGATTCTGGAGTACGAGGTTTATTCCTTTACGTGCACGGGCCCAGAGGAGTCAGTCTCCAAATTCCGAGCCCCAAACAAAGGATTCTTGGGGAATATATAGATTAGGGGTCTTCCTGTGTACGTGACAAACGTGGGGTACAGAAACAGAATGTGATAATCGTTCTATTAGTGGGGGTGCCAGTTTCAGTCCTACTGACTATCCGGCTATCCGCTCTTCTGGCGGGGGGTGCTAGTTCCAGTCCTACTGACTATCCGCTTTCCAGACAGCCCCATCACTCTCCTATTGCGCCCGGCGTCCTAGGCGAGCCAAAGTCTCCTGAGGCTTCTCCTTCAGTATGACCATTATTTTGGCTGGATAAAATTAACAGGAACTTCATGTTTTCATAACTTAATTTCTCTTTGGTACACCTGTATCTCTGGGTGATGAAACTGGCAGGTAACCCTCACCTGCTGGTGCATTGCATTTCAGAGCAGTCATGTGTGGGAAGAGGCTGGAGAGAGACTTTCTGTTTACCTCTTTCTCTGCTGGCCAATATTATGGACATGGCCAGAGATTTTATCTTTATGCAGGTCAGTGGAGAAGTTCTAAAACAAAGACATGCAGGAAGCACATCTTTGTTTTAACTGGTTGTTGCTTAAAATGTGTGCATCCCGTGCTTTCCTTCTTTGGGAGTTAAAATCTTGAAATGCCCTTGTGAGCTGTTTACTTAATTTACATCACATACATTCCCATGAAGGCGTGAGAGTGATGCAGGGCGGACTCCCACCCACACTGTGTGAGTGTACAGTGGAGTTACTGCTGCAGAGTGTCCCCAAGACCTGTCATGGTGGCGGCTGGGACCCCGGGGCTCTGCGGTGAGTCAGGTGGCAGCCACCTGCACGGCTGTGCTGTTTGACTTGAAGGCACAGTGAAATAATGACTGGACTTGGAGGAGTGACTGGGCACTTGCAGGGAGAGGTCTGTGCAGAGTTCTGGAGCATGCTGGCCACCTGTCTAGGAGCCCTGTGGTCTGCGTGGCTGGGTTCTCTCGGGATGTGTTGGGAAAGGGGCGTTTTGGCCTGGGGTGCAGGTTCTAGGTTTTATGGGGCCATGACTGTAGCTGTGAACTTTGTAGGGGTCAGTCCTGATTGTAAGTCTTCTGCTGTGGGAGGAGTTGATCCATACCTGTGACTTTCAGGTGCTTCAAGTAGTGGGTGGCGTTTTCCCCTTCTGCCTTAGTAACTTTTCATGGTTTCCTAAATGCAAAGAAACTTGGTGGACTTTGCCTGGGTGTAACTCCCTCAGGAGGCCTATGTGAAGCTCCCTAACTTGCCCATCAACTGGAGATAGCCATGGAACATGTGGGGCTCCCAGGGACAAGTTTGAAAATCCACTCATTGAGGCCAACGGATTTCTTAGCACGGGAATATACAGTAATTGCTCAGGTACCAGGGAAGTTTCATAGTTGTTCTGTTTTCAAATGGTTCTTACACCCAGCTTGTCTCTGTGCCTGCACCATACATTCTGTATCTAGTTCCTGATTCCCTTTCATTGCTGAAAAAACAGCTCCATCATACATGGCTATGGAAGCAACTGAAAAAACCATGTGGTGAGATGGATGGAAAAGATCTGGTATGTAAAATGTACACACACTCACATATTTACGTAGCCCTTTTCTCTGACTCCTCGGGGGACGATTGTTTAAAACAACTTTCCTTGGTTACCTGTTCAGGAGCTGTCACAGTGCAAACACAGCTGTGGCTTTTAACAATTTAACTAGAAGCTCATTATTCACACTTCCTCAAGCAAGACTGGGCATGTCCTGCATCCTGGTTGGTAGCAGTGCTGTGCTACCATTTATTTCCATTTGATCTGATGAATATGAAATGGGTGAAGTCATCATGAATTACTGGATGTAATTTCTACTGTCATGTGCTATTTCGAAGGTTATATATTGCTTTTGTTGCCACTACTTTCAGCAAGGGAAGGAGCAGGAGCCACAGTGGTAGAAAATTGTTAGCTTGTCCTCAGAAGCCAGTGCTTTTTTAGATCTACTAGTCAGCTTCTCAGATTTGTAGTCTGCATTTTAATGCTGACCTTGTTTACTGTGCCGAGTACTTGAACTTTTGTATGAAATATTATAGAAAGAAATTAAGAGCACATAAACATCCCCCACCAAAAATACCATGTCATTCTTTTGCCAAAGGTGATCGATTCAGAAGAGCCCCATGAACCCTGAGCAGAACTGATAGTCCCCCCTTTTATGCAACAGTGGGAAGACTTGCTAACCCTGCCCACATTAGATTAGCTTATGAAATATATTATTTGCTCAATTGCTATTGCTTTTGATTTAGTTTCTCGTTTCCTTTAACTTACTCTTTGGTTTCATGTGTTGATAGTTGAGGTGAGACTGCATGGTTCTGTGTAAGCTGCAGGGATTGTTAGATGGAAGGAAAAGACACGGAGGGATTAGTTTCAGTGAATTTAACAACTATCAAAGTAATTGTTTATGTTTATATTTTTCCATGCTTAGATCTAGTATGGCCCAGCCAAAAAAGGGCAGTATTCTTAGTCCTGGCCATGTAGCTCAGTTGGTTAGAGCGTCATCCCTTCATGCCAAGGTTGTGGGTTCCATCCCCTGTCAGGGCATGCATAAGAAGCAACCATGAAAATAAGTGGAGCAACCAATGGATGTTTCTCTCTCTTTCCCTCCCCCCTCCCCCCTCTCTCTCTGAAATCAATCAGTAAAAAATAAATAACTTTTAATAAAGAGCAGAATTCCAAAGCAAAAGCAGCTATCCGTGGAGGAAAACCTTTCAAATGTTCCTTTCAGTCCTTTTTCCTTTGAGTTACGTGTGAAGGACTCTGCAGCTCAGGCTGTGTTGGGGGTTTGCGCAGTTCAGGTTACTAGCCAGGTGGGAGAGCAGCACCCTCTGGCTCTTTCTTTTCCCACTTGCCCTCCTCGGTGGAGCCATGCACTCCAGATCCAGGGGCTGTGGGACAGGAGCTCCTTCTGTGACTGTGCCCCCTGGGGTCCTGGAGGACCTCGGGGCTCCTTAGCACTTCTCTCTTTTACAAGGTGAAGAGGGGCTTATCAAGGGGTCACAGTAAATTATGATGCTAAGATCAAACACTGCTCTTCTGGCCTTACTACTGACACTTAGTGTCGGTCCTCTCTATCCCACCGTTGTCTTCACCGCAGACACGTCTCTCACATGGTAAGAGTTCTGCAGCAATACTACATTCTATGCTAACGGGGTCGGATTTGGATTCTCCTTTCTTCCAGGATTCATACCTGTGTGCAGCCTTGGGGTGGCTCAGGTGGGAAGGATGAACTTTGGCAAGGACGTGAGCACCTTGAAGTATTTCACCATCTGTGGCTTACAGGAGGGCTATGAACCCTTCGCCGTTAACACGAACAGGGACATCACCATGTGGCTAAGCAAGCGACTTCCTCAGTTTCTCCAGGTCCCGTCAAACCACGAACACATCGAGGTTCGCTTTTTCTTTAAATATCAGACCATCGCCAGAACCAGGGGTGGGGGTCTTTACCTGTAAGAGTTCGTATGGACAGTTGTCACTCAGTTAGAATGGTAGCTCCAAGGGGTGACATAGTAGTGGAATCTAAGACTAGGGTCATCGTCCTCGATTGTAAACATTTTATGAGTCGTGGATGAGACCGATGCATGCTTACTAATTCTCCGTGTGTGAGGGCAAGGTCAGGATCTGCCGGAGTGTACACAATCATAACACGGATTTCCCCAGCCGTCTTCTGCGTGCAGCAGACCTGCGAGTGTACCTGTGACACGGTGCTCACTGTGCGCAGTTACCTCACTGATGAAGCCCGCCAGGTGCGGCCGTGTTTGCGGTGCTAAGGGTGCGCTGTGCGGGGTCTTTAGAACCACCAAGCCAGCAGTGCCGATTGGAATGGAACCATTGCTTTTTTGCGTGCTAGGTGACCAGGATCGATGGCACCGTGGACAGCTCCCCATGTTTAAAGGTCACGCAGAAGTCATTCGGGGCCCAGAACAGCAGCACCGACATCATGTTCTACCGCCTGAGCATGCCCATCGAGTGTGCGGAGGTCTTCTCCAGGCCGGCAGCCGGGGCGCTGCCGGGGGCCGGCCTCTTCGGGCCCAAGAACGATTTGGAGGATTATGATGTGGACTCTGACTTCGAGGTTCTGATGAAGACGGCACATGGCCACCTGGTGCCCGATCGGGCTGACAAAGACAGAGATGCTCCGAAGCCAGAGTTTAATAACCACAAGGACTACACGCAGGAGAAGCCCTCTCGTCTGAAACAAAGGTCGCTGATCTGTGCAGAGTGGTTTTCAGCCTGTGCTTGCTGCGTGGGGTGGGCGCTGCAGAGGGTGGGGATCTCCCCCCTCGGCTTTGTCTTTCGCTTCGCCTTTCTTCTTGCACTGAGGGTCATGCTGGGGACAGCGAAGCCACGTGCTCGTCTTCTCATTTTTTGCCACCTACATAATGTATCCCAAATTACATTTTTCTGCATTTTTATGAATGTTATGGTAAAAAAACCAAAATTCTACCACTTTTAAGTGGGCTTAGAAATTTTAAGTGTACAGCATAGTTAAATGAACAGTAGTGTTAAGTACATTCACTTTGTTGTGAAACATATTTCACGATGTTTTCATCTTGCAAAACCAAGACCCTCTGCTCATAAACAACTCTCTTTCCCCCCCTCCCTGCAGGCTCTCGTAACCACCGATCTACTGTCGGTGTCTGTTACTCTGACTGCGCTGGTACCTCTGTTAAGTGTGATCATACAGTTTTTGTCTTTGCGACTTGCTTGTCTCCTTCGGTGCGATGTCCTCAAGGTCATCCATGCTGTAGCACCTGTCAGAACTTTTCTTTTTTAAGGCTGAGTAATATTGCATCGTGCACGCAGCCACATTTCGTTGATCCTCTCATCCGTTCATTCCCTGCTGGAGGTCTGGCTGATTCCACCTCCTGGCTGTTACACACAGCGCTGTTACCAACACAACCCGACTCTCAGTTGTGTCAGATACGAGCCCAGAAGGGGGATGGCTGGGAGTTCTGTTTTCAAGTCAGAGAGGAACCTTCATGGTTCTCTGCAGCTGTCGCACCATCACGACCTTACCACCACTGTATGGGTTCAGATTTCTTCACATCCTTGTCAATTCTTGTTGCTTTTTCCCCCCCATATTAGCTATCCTATGGGTATGAAGTGATGTTTTGTTATGGTTGTGATTTGTATTTCCCTGATAATTAGTGATAGTGAACATCTTTTCATATTCTTTTTTGGCCATTTATAGACCATTTTTGGAGAAAAATTTTTTAAATTCTTTGTCCATTTTTGGATTGACATTTTTGCTTTTTGTTGTTGAGCTCTGAGTTCTTTATGTATACTGGATATTAATCCCTTATCAGTTATGTGGTTGGCAAATATTCTCTCCTGAGAATCAGTTTTTAAGATGTCTCTATTTACATTCTTCTTGAACTGAAAGAGTATTCTCTCTAAATGGTATTTTTATGGACAAGAAAGGAGCTTGTTTTGCAATATTTTCTTGCACTAAATCTGCATTTCTCAAGCTCAGCATGCTCTGGGTCAGATAGCTCTTTGTTGCGAGAGTCTGCCCTGAGCATTCTAAGATGTTTAGTGACGTCCCTGGCCTGCACCCACTGGGTGCCGGTGGCACACACTTGGCCCTTGGCCCTGCCTGTGACAACCAAACATACCTCCAGACAGTGCCAGAGTCCTCTGGGAAGGAAAGTCACCCTGGTTGAGAGTCACACCACCAAACTGGTCGTGTGTTCATGTTTGAGGCGGGCAGAACTTCCAGTGTGGCTGATCCACAGTCCCGTAACACTTCCAGATTCCTGCTCAGGAAGACAAAGCCCGATTACAGCACCAGCCACTCGGCGAGACTCACCGAAGATGTCCTCGCAGATGACCGGGACGACCACGACTATTTGATGCAGACGTCCACGGTACGAGGTTACAGCTGTCCTTCCGTGCATCTCTCGCTGTGCTTTGGGTCCCACATGGTCCACTTTGGGTAATCGTATTTAGCAAGCTTATTTTTAAAGTAATTATTTGCTTATTTGGGGGGGACTAAAAAGTGGAAAAATATATGTATGTGAGTTAAGAGATTTATTTTAGGAAAAATTTCTTTAATGGTGCCTGAAATCCTGATTCTACCATCTTGTTTCTTGGCAAAATTTGAATATGTGATTTAGGTTTTTCCAAGTACATATAAAGTCTCTCATCTTTGTAATATGTCTAGAAGGAGGTCCATTGTATTTTTGTAGAGGCCAAGTTTTGCTGCCTGCCATTCGAAATGTTCAGGACAACTTCTGCTAAAATACAAAGTGGAAAGAGATGGATAGTTAAAGTGATTTCAAGGTGTGAAAATACTGCATGTTTGTGCTAGGAAAGGTGAAGCATAGACACAGGTAGGTGACAGGTGTAAATCTCTAGCACAGGTTAGCATTCAGTCTTCACTGGCGCAATGTGAAACGTGCCTGCCTAATGGTTGGTGATTTTATTATATAAACATACTGTATGTGCACACATACATATGGTATGAATGTTCTGTATGTTCTCACAACATACATGCGTACACACTTGGGACTATAAAAATGTCAAACCATTTAGCATGTCCTCTCAGGTAGAGTCTTTTCTCTTTTTCCTACTATTTCTAGTTTAATGCGGGATATCTGTTTTAAAACTTCTGTTTTGTAGTGTCCATCTTTGGTGCCAATAACATTTTAATTAGGTTCATAGTTTAAAGTAAATATATTCTTCCCTGGCTGTTGTGGCTCAGTGGGTTGAGTTCCAGCCCATCGCTGGTTTAATTCCCACTCAGGGCACATACCTGGGTTGTGGGCCAGGTCCCTAGTTGGGGGGTGCGTGAGAGGCAACCACACATTGATGTTTCTGTCCCTTCTTTCTCCCTCCCTTCCCCACTCTCTAAAAATAAATAAATAAAATATTTAAAAAATAATGAAATAAATATATTCTTTGGCAATTTGAAATTTTGTCAAAGAATACATAGCCAAAACATTGCAAATTGAAGTTTTGCTTCATTTTCCTTTGCCAACCCCTGGTTTTGCTGTGTCGACAGTACTATTACTCAGTGAGAATCTTCCCCGGACAAGAACCCGCTAACGTCTGGGTGGGCTGGATCACGTCTGATTTCCATCAGTACGATACCTGCTTCGACTTGGACAGAGTTCGCACAGTAACCGTTACTCTTGGAGACGAAAAAGGAAAAGTGCATGAAAGGTTGGTTTCTCTCCATTTCCTGCAAGTGACATCTGATGAAAAAGGTGGTAAACCTAGGAATATTTTCCCTGGGATTTTGTGCCCAGGGTAATATTTCTATTTAGAGGAGCAATATAATAAAAACTTTAATATCAGTGTTCTTTCTGTTGCCCATATGAGCCAGCCAGGAATCTGAATATAATAAAAGTGAAACCCATCCTAAAGTGAGAGTGGCACTCCTGTCTGGGTAATAACCATGTGTTCCCTCAGGTGACCTTGTACGAGACTAACAACTCGGGTTACAACCCTCAGCCTCCAGGCTGGGGTTATGGATGGGTGAACGTGAGGCAGTTAGCATTTGGTCCGATACGTATGACGGGAGCTGGTCTGTGGTGGGGAGACAGTTGGAGATGTGAAGGGCTCGTCGTTTAGCCCAAGTGGACACATTTGAACTTGGACTGAGGAGCAGTGGGTTCTTTCCTCAGCTTGGCCATTGACTCGCTGTGTGGCTTTGGGTAAGTCACTTACACTTTCTGTGCCATCCTTTCTCATTTGTAAAACAAACTCAAACCAAACATTCAAAAAAGTGAAGAAGGCTATCTTCCTTGCAGAACTAGACAAGAGAAGATCCGACCATTTGCATCTATCTTTTGCGCCTGTGCATCCTCTCTGATCTGCTGAGACAGGTCTCGTGGAAATAGTCCTCCACATGTTGCTTTTCTCTTACACCTGCTCCTCATTTTTGGTGACAGGAAGTTCACTCTCCTGCCTTCAGGGTTCAGCACTGGAAACACTTGAACTTTGACCCTAAGACAGTGGGCCTGGCACAAACCTCCAGTGCAGAGTGCTTCTTGTCAGTGTAGGGGCCCCAAACCAGCAATATTCTGGGGGATATACTTGATATTCAGAGAAGGCAACAATATAAGGAAATAACTCAGTCTAGCGATGAGCTGCCTAGTAGGTGACTCCGGAGTAGGGAATAGTCTGGGGGAGGGTGGGTGCATCTTATGTAAGTGGTGCAAAGAAACACAGTTGACTTTTGCTTATTTAGAAACTGACAGTACCTCACCTTCTTGTTCTTTGCCTGCCTTTGACATTTTTTATTTTATTTTTTGCTGATCTCATGAAAACGTCTGTATAGTGGCAGAGAAAGCACAAACAGCTTAAGTTTGTTACCATCTCTGGTGAAGGTTTTGCCAAAGGCAAAACTCAGGTGGGGTTTGTGGATGGTACCACTGATTTTGTGCATATTCCAGCTAAGTCTCTCTCTCATAAGAGGTCACCTGGAACTGTCCCTAAAGGGACACTTTTTAAACCAAATTGTAAATACATTGAAGGACTGATGGCTCATGTAGAATTTGTCTAAGGACTCTGAGAGTGTTTAAAAATTAGTGCTTCTCATCTCAGAACAGTGGTTAAAAAACTCTTGAGAACAAAAATTACAAATTTGGATGATTATTAAATAAACTTTTTTGAACTTCAGAAAAAGGTCCAGTTTGGTTTGAGTTTTTGGAGGGAAGGTGCAGGTCAGTTCTTACCTGGTTCCAGCTTGTTGACCTGTCTCCATTAGGTGTGGACTTAGGGACGTGTAAGACCTGATTCAGAGCGCCCCCTGGTGCCAGTGAAGTTTTGCTCAGAGTCACAGACTCGGGCCCATGTGCACCTCTCCCATCACAGCATGAGCTTGTTGCTTGCGCAGCATAATTTAGGTTTAGTTTGCAAGATACACATGCTTTCTGTTACACGTGTGGTTGTACAAAGATAAAAATGTTCTTTGAAATTCAGCATCAAACGCAGCAACTGCTACATGGTGTGTGCGGGCGAGAGCACGAGCCCTGGGCAGGGCCGCAGCAACAGCGGGCTGGAGATCGGCTGCGTGGTGGATGCTGCCACCGGGCTGCTCACCTTCACGGCCAACGGCAAGGAGCTGAGCACATACTACCAGGTACCGGTCGGCCGTGGGTGCCCGCTTCTCTGGAGGGAGGCGTTGTTACCCGTTAGGGGAAAACGCCTTTTGTCAGATCAAAAAATAAATTAGGAAAATGTGAAAACAGAAGTAAGCCGATTAAGTGTTTTCACTTCTGTTTGAATAATAGCTGTGCCTTATGCCCTGCAGAGTAAAGAGTATATTCCCCCATCAACGTTTGTATAGTAAAGGAGAGACTTCTAATAATTATTGGAAGACAGTGTCCCTGTGAGAGAAAGGACAAGTCTCTGGTTCCCTTTCATAAAGTGTTCCTTAGTTGCTGTGAAGAAAGTGTTTTCTTTCTGTTCCTTCCTTTACTAGTGGCATTCAGTGCATTGGTTTCTTTAAGGTGGAGCCAAGTACCAAATTGTTTCCTGCGGTTTTTGCGCAAGCTACAAGTCCCAATGTCTTCCAGTTTGAGTTGGGAAGAATAAAGGTAAGAAGGACTCGCTCTTGGTATTTTTTGTGAATTAGGTGCTGTTAGGGAATAACGTTTACTTAAATGAATTCAGTATTTTGTTAGTATTGCTATTAATCTTGTAAATCATTTTTGAAAAGAAAGTCAGCCATGTTTAAAAATTCTATGATCTATTTCCACTCATTAGGAGAACATTATTAGGAATTCGTTCTCTTCAGTCATCATAAATATAGTTGCCAGTAAAACTTGGCTTATACAGAACAAAAATGCCAAATTACATAGAACTCGGTAATCCCGAAACTGACATGTGAGCTAGTGGATGGGCTTACAGAGCTGACGCAGGCTTCCTTGTGGTCGTGCAGGGCACCGGCACGCACAGGTTCTGTGAGAACATCAATGAAAGTGCACCGAGATGCATGGGGTGGATCAGGAAAAGCTGTAAGAAGAGGAGACTTTTTGGTTGGCTCTTAACTGTTGAATAGGAGACCTCAGGGGACATTGACTGGGGGGTGGGTGACAGAAAACAGAGAAACGTAAGCTGGAAAGTGCTGAGCTGAAGAATTCAGTGTGACTATGACAGAGAATGCCTTCTGGCATGGCTGGAGATGAGGGTGCCTAGAAGTGGACCAAGTCCATGTTGAAAGGCCTTGGACGCTGTGCTGCAAAGTCCGCTCCTGTCCCATAGTTGGTCCCCCACTGGAAATGTGGAGCAGGAGACGGGGCGTAGTCCAGCCGTTGGGGGAGAACTTGTTGGTGCTAATGGAGGAGAAGCCTTGGTGCTCGCAGGACGAGGGCGGGCAGGCAGCAGCAGCTCGGTGTCAGCAACTTGGTGCTGTGGATGCTGGAGAATGTGCGCAGGCACGGTGATGGATGGAGGGTGTTTTAGAGGAGAAGTTAATAGAATTTGACAGTGAATTGAATTGAGATTTGTTGATGACTTGGAGTCAGCAGGTCAGGCACTCAAGGAGAATGAAGAATCGAGGATTAATGTATAATTTTAGTGTGTACGGGGGGGATGCTAATGCAGCCACAAGCGGAAGAGCAGGTTTGACATTCAGGAAGTGGAACGAAGTGAATTTGGCACTTGTGAACATGGGGAGGCCAGGTGCACATCAGGTGACTCTACTGGACAGTTTCCATGATGCCTCAGTGACCATGGACTTGTCTTTAAACCATGCGAGCCTGGTTTCTGCCTTTGTAAGTGGATGTTTGGCCACCACAGAAAGGCCCATGCAATACATACTAAAGGAATTATGGCATTTGTTAATCAGGAGGGCATTAGGGTGCTTTCCAGAAGAATTTCTGAAAAATAATGGACAAAAATCTACATTACAGTGAATTTCAGTTGAAAATGTGAGAAAGGAGGCAGCGGGTTTAGATGGTATTTTTTTTTTTGCCTCTAACAGAAGTGGTGGTTTCTTGGAACCCTGACTGACGTGTGCACTGGCCTGTCCATCATCTGCACTTGTGCGTGGGTTGGGTAGAGTGGATTGAATGTGCCCGAGACTGGACTGCTGCCCATCACTAGCCGCTCCTAACCTGACCACCTGGTCTCCCCTGACATTTCATAGCAGCTCTGGTTGCTTAGGCTCAACACCTGGGAGTCATCCTTGACTTTCCCCTTCACATTCTGTGTCCCGGTTCCTGCACCTTCTGACCCCTGCTGACCCCCAGCCTGCTCCCTGGCACTGTCATCTCTCAGCCTGTTTCTCAAGTGGCTGCCTCATGGGGTTTCTTTCCATAATTTACCCTTGCCCATCTGTGTATCGTTAAACAGTCTGTGCAGCCATCGCAGCTTTCAAGTGCAAATCAGATCGTGTCCTTCCAGTGCTGGAAACCCTAGAATCCCTCTTTCCCATCGGTACAACTCAGAGGTCTCCTGATGGCTCCCTGGCCCCGAGGGGCCTGAGCTCTGGACTCTCTGGCTCCTCCTCCCCCTGCTCCGCCCTCCTCCACACCACTACTCTGGCCTCCAGTGCTTACTCATGCTTTCTAGGCACGCTGCCTCCCTAGGGCCTTTGAACTGGCCACCTCCTCCCCCGCCACATGGGCATTTCTTCCCTGCATATCCACAGGTTGTCCTTCGGTTCTTTCCTTAACTGTCGCCTGCTCAGCGACACCCATTCTGACCACCCTGTTTGTTACTGCCCTGCCTTCTGCTTCTCCCACCCTGTGGCCTTGTTCTGACGTACTATGCTAATTTACTTATCGGTTGTGCTTGCGTCTTCAATGAGAAATCAGGAGCTGTGTGAGGGCCTTTTGTCTGCGTTGTTCTTGGTCCCTAAACCAGGGATGGGCCGTCTGACAGGAGAGAGGGAGACTGAAGCCCGTGCAGGAAGATGAGATGGGTTTCACATGGCCCATCGCAGGCAGGCAGAGTGGTGCCACGGTCGCACATGGATGTGCAGGCCTTGGCGGAGTCGAGGGCTCTCTGTCCTTTAGACCAGACTGATGGGATTAGGGCTGCAGATCTGTGCTGTGGAGGAAGGTGGGGGGCAGCGTCATGGTGGCTGATGCCTGCTCAACTCTGCTTCCCCTGGGAGAGTCAGTTTCCTGGGGGGGGGGGGTGCTGTGTCTGGCTCACCGCCGGTGACTGAAACCCAGCAAGTCTAACAGGGAGTCAGGGCCTGGGCTCAAAACCAGGTGGTGGGGACAGGACCGGCGGGGAGAAAGCCAGGTGGGCGTGACCTCGGTGTCAGGAAGTTTGGCACTGCCAGCAGATGGTAGAGCGAGTCCGAAGGGCATGGGGACACTTGCCTGCACCTGCCTTCTCTGTGGGCCAGTGTGACTGTGGCAGCCGCCTGCCCCCAACTGCTGGGCATGTCCGCCCCTAATAGTGCCTCCTTGCTAGAACTTCAGCCCCACTTCTGGTATGTCTTGTACTGTGGCCGACGTGTAGCAGACCTTACCCCTACGACCTGTCCCTCAGGGCTCCTGTCACCGGTACCTCAGGGAGTGTTGTAACGGGCCTTCTCTGCTTCCTGTCCTAGAACGTGATGCCTCTCTCTGCGGGCCTCTTCAAGAGCGAGCACCGAAACCCCGTGCCCCAGTGCCCCCCGCGGCTGCACGTGCAGTTCCTGTCCCACGTGCTGTGGAGCAGGATGCCCAACCAGTTCCTGAAGGTGGACGTGTCCCGGGTCGGCGAGCGCCAGGGCTGGCTGGTGCAGTGCGCGGACCCCCTGCAGTTCATGTCCCTGCACATCCCTGAGGAGAACAGGTCCGCCCTGCGTCTACACCGTTCCAGGGGCTCCGGGGTGGCACTGGGGCGCAGACGGAGATTTGAAAGTATCTCATTTCTCGTGTCCAATGGAGACGTTGTTTTACATATGACAAGTTCAGATCCTGAGACAAAACGATTATGCTGCCGTTGGGGAGGTGGGGAGGTGGGGAGGTGGGGCGCTATTTCTTCCCACTCTCTTGCTTTTCTTACGGCGACAGCAAGTGAAATCTCAGGCAGGTGCCCCTGCGGCCTGGCTCCCGACCTTATGAGTGACTTGGTGTCAAAAAGTTGCAAGGGGTTAGAGACAGGGTCACAGGAATCAGTTTAACCCTCCGTTGGACAGGCACGAAAAACTCACAGTAAGTGACAGGCACGAAAGAAAGCCAGAAAGATGCTGAAAGCCTTGGAAACAGCGGACCTGCACTCCAGGGGGTGACTGGCAGCACGGAGTGTGGTCCGCACGCACAGGTGGCTCCATGCTCGTCAGTTTTTCCATTTTGTGGCCTCTGAAGTTGTGAGGTCTTTGTTTCGGCAGCCTCAGGATCGAGAAGGAGCTGTTTCTAAGTTTTGGAGCAAAATTGGCCTCCCAAAATATCATCAAAAAGTGTGGTCACAGAGTGGAAACATCGCATGAAAAATGCAAAGATGAACACTTGTGTTTGACGTCTTTAACCCTAGAACGGTTGCAGGAGATAGGCCCAGTTTTATATAATTAGACATGCTTGGCACTTCAAAGAAATTTGAATAGCTTTAAAATTTAGCATGTGCCTTGGAAAACAGCTTGTAAGTTCCTCAGAAAATTAAATACAGACTTGCCATATGACCTGTCAATTCCACTGCTAGTAAGCACACACCCAAGAGAAATGAAAATAATGGCCTCAAAAGGCTGTACATCAATGTTCATAGGAGCCAAAAAGTGGGGCTCTCCCCGATGTCCAGCAATGAGGTGGTAAATAGGGGGCGGCCTCTCTGTACAGCGTTATTCGGCAATAACAAGAGCACAGTACCAATACAGTCTGTGAAAGAGGCAAACCTTAAAACATTACATTTACATGTTTTATGTTAACTAGTAAAGAGATTACTACGAGGGAAGACAAGCTAAATCAGTTGAGGTGTGTGCCTTGGCTCGCCCTGATGTGAGTGTGAAGTTATGAGATGTAGACTACAGACCCTTCAGAACCTTCTCCTTCATTGCACAAACCTGCACTAGTGCCCACGGCATTCCTGGCCCTGGATACAGAGGGGAAAGCCGCAGACCTGGCCCCTCCCGTAGGAGAGCGGTCTGGAAGGGGGAGAGGTGTTGGAAGGGACTCACTGCGTGAGTGGTGGGTGGGGGTGGGTTGGGGTGACAGCAGCGGTGGAGGGTGAAGTCTGTCCGTGTTTCTGACATGGTGTGAGGGGTGCACTGCGTTCTTCTTTTTCCTTGTTCAAGTGCGATTGTCTGCAGTTCCACCCCACCGTGTGCACTGTGTTCTTTAGTGTGCACCTGGAGTGCAGGTGGTCGGTGGGGCTGCAGTGCATGTTTGTGCATTTGACCTTCCTTCTGGCCGCAAGGCAGGGGATCATCTTCCCAGGGGGTTGAAGCCCAGCCCAGACCTGGGGTCGCCATCCACCACACTTTGAGGGAGGGGCCACTCAGTTATACCTTCCCAAGGATCGGGTGCCGGCAGTGGGGGCCCAAGGTTGTGTGGTGCGTAATCGTTTGCTTTGAGACTGTAGTGCAGGGTACTTCCGATTCTGAGAGGTGCGAGGTGGCATCCGTACAGACTGCACCATGGAGCCTCGGGGGCTTGTCATGTAATGCCTGTGCCATGAAAGACCTCATCCAGTGGCTAGGCGTGGGCAGGACGATGGAGTAGCGGGGATGTGACAAAGCTGAACAACAGTTCATGACGCCTTGGTCCCTGCTATGTCCTGGGTGGGGTTCTGGAAATATGTTAATGTTACTGCACAAATGTGTAACAGCCCTATTCTGATGAACTTACGTGATAGCCTCACCAAGGGACCCTTTCCAGAGGAGTAGCCGCTTATCTAAGGCAATCATGTACTCTTAAAATAGCCTCTATTCTATAAGGAAAGACTTTAGGTATCTTCTGGCCTATTTTTGAGGTTTTATGTGTTGAAAAGGCATGGTTTGTGGCAAAGCAAAATGACCTAGAGTAGGAGCCTGTGTAAACTCGGTTTCCCAGCAGAAACCTTCCTGAGTGGGAAGCCTCTCTGTGGTCTGTGTTTCCTGAGCCGTGAGCCACGCACCCTGGTGGAGGCAGGGGCCCTGTGTTCTGTGAGGGAGATCAGCTGGAAGTGAGGTCATGTCCGGGAATCAGCCCGGTTACCTGCTATGACTGGTTAGTGGATGGCGCTCAGGTTAGAGAAAAGGGCACAGACTCCTGAATGTAAGGCAGAGTTTTCTGGCTTCTGGGAACCAGACAGCCAGTTGGAAATGAGACTCGGGATTTTTCAAGGAGTTCTCACGTTCTGAAAGGAGGGGTCCCCAGAGTCAGACTGAGACCCAGGTATCTGAGAGGTGCCCCAAACCTTGGGAGCATGGATGAAGAAGAGGGTGCAAGCACGAGTGAGTGGAAATTTTCAGCATAAAATTCTGTGTGGAAGGACTCTTGTAAAACATCTAGAACTGATCTTTAAACAATCTATGCTGCCTGTCCCATGCCCCAGGAAAGGGCAGGGGGCAGGAGAGAGCGTGTGCAGGCGCGAGCTCCTGTCTCTCCTGTGACTTAGGGTGCCCCTCCCCCAGGTCCGTGGACATCCTGGAGCTGACGGAGCAGGAGGAGCTGTTGCGCTTCCACTCGCACACCCTGCGGCTCTACTCGGCCGTGTGCGCCCTGGGCAACCACCGCGTGGCGCATGCGCTCTGCAGCCACGTGGACGAGGCGCAGCTGCTCTACGCCATCCAGAGCAAGTACATGCCCGGCCTGCTGCGCACCGGCTACTATGACCTGCTCATAGACATCCACCTGAGCGCCTACGCCACCGCCCGGCTCATGATGAACAATGAGTTCATCGTGCCCATGACAGACGAGACCAAGAGCATCACGCTCTTTCCGGACGAGCACAAGGAGCATGGGCTGCCTGGCATCGGCCTCAGTACCTCGCTGCGGCCACGCATGCGCTTCTCCTCACCCAGCTTTGTGAGCCTCAACCACGACTGCTACCAGGACAGCCCCGAGTTCCCCCTGGACACGCTGAAGGCCAAGACCATGCAGATGCTGACTGAGGCTGTGCGGGAGGGTGGACTGCGGGCGCGGGACCCTGTAGGGGGCACCACCGAGTTCCTCTTCGTGCCTCTCATCAAGCTCTTCTACACGCTGCTCACCATGGGTGTCTTCCAAGGCGAGGACCTGAAGCACATCCTGCAGCTGATTGAGCCCCGGGTGTTCACAGAGGCTGCCTCAGAGGAGCAGCAGCAGGCGCCGCCCTTGGAGCCCCACACCGATGACTCCAGGCCCGAGGGTGCACGTGGGGATGCAGCTGAGGGGCTGCTGCAGATGAAGCTTCCTGAGCCCGTGAAGCTGCAGGTGAGCAGGGGAGAGGACTGTAGCTGAGCCAGGGAAGGAGGGTGGGAGCTCAGGATTGCGGGAGGCCCAGGCACTGAGACTCGCGCGTGCGCATTCCTGTATAGTGGGGCTGTTTGGAAAACTGACGCCCCGTTATGTTTTGGGACCCATAAATCTAATTTTCCTATATTTGGAATGGGTTTAATGGATTTTCCAATTGAGTCAATTGACAGTAGTTAATAAAAGATAAACTTAGTATTTTTATCAAGGTGGTTCTTTGGCAAAGTACACATCTGTCTGCTATACATGTCTGAAAGTTGGGCCTGTCAATGTGTGTGTGCATGGATGTGTTTATATGTCCATATGTGCACCCATGTGTAGAGTTGTGTGTATATGTTGGGGACAGCTTGGTGTGGTTTTGGAGACTGTAGCCCTGTGAGAGCAAGCTCTGAAAAGGACTGATAAGTCTCCCTGGAAAACCAGGTCATAATGTAGGTGGCAGCCATGACTCGATTCTGACACTGAGGGTCCCACAGGAATCAGGCCCAAAATGTACGTTTTTGTCCTCTGAGGCCAACTCCGCTCAGCTATAAGCCCTGTCAGTATAACCCAGACGCTTGAATTCAGGGCATAAAGAGTGAAACCCCCTACCTACTTCATGACATCGGCCTTTACAGCCGTCTGGTGCCTGCATGTCTCACAGACCCCAGCCCGAAAAGATTTCTGTGTTTCTTTAATTGTTATCTATAGGTAGTGTTAGTTTTTTTATAACTATAGCCTGTTGGATGTTGATTGATAAGCTATGCACATGTGCTGCATCCCCCCGCATGTCCCAACCCCAGTAAAAGCTGTGTTGGAGAGAGGCAGGGGCCATTCTCCACTACAGGGAATCGCCACCCTTTTCCCACCAGCGCAACAAGATTGTGGCTGGGAAAACTCCTTATTTCCATCTGTGGTGGCCCCGGGGGCCCTCGCTGGCCCAAGTTCCCCTCGTATGTATTTGCATGTATGTGTAGTTGTGTGTATGTATGCATACGTATATTTGTGCATGTCCATTTGTGTGTATGTATAGTTGTGTCTGTATGCACATTTCTGTGTGTAGAGTATGTGGGTATAAATATGCATATTTGTGTGTAGTGTGCATATAGGTGTGTGTGTTGTAGAGATAGGTGTATATGGGTGTACAGTTGTGTGTATGTCAGTGTACGTGCCTGAAAGCCACGGGCACAGGCTTCTGTCTGTCAGCTCTTCTTCTCCCTCCGGGCCCTTTGCCATTCCCTGGGTCTTTCCTTCTGTTTCTGCATCACACGTGTTTGCTGGAATGCCTGAAATCCAGGGGTTTAATAACCACTCCTACCCTGCCCACACTCTCGCCAACCTCAGGGCACACGTCCCACAGCCAGACGTCGCTTTCTGCATGTGTTCCTGAGGAGGAACCGCAGGATGGCCTGTTTTTGTGCTCATGATGTCTGAGGACCTTTCTTCAGCCTTTTAGGTCTGTTGGGGCTACCTGGCTGCGTGCATCATTGGCACACTGCTTTCCCTTCCGTTGCGCTGGCAGGTGTTTCTCTGAGCCAGGCGCTCGTGCTGGGGGTGGCAGGGGGCGCCCTGCCTTCCAGCAGCTCGGTCCCTGGGGGAAATGTGCACTTGCTGATGCACTTCTTTCCAAATGCCTCACCACTGACCTGAAGGCGTTGGACCTGAAGGCACAGAGTGGACGACTAGCGTAGTAGAACGGAGTACTAGAAGGCAGTGAGAAAGGCTTCGGAGCTCCTACCCGAGGTCAGACCAATGAGTGTGTGTGGACAGGTGGGCAAGGAGCAGGAGGATTCTGGGACCCTGCCTGCAGGATCCACAGCTCCACAGGCTCTGAAGCAGGAAGCGGCCATGCGGCTGCAGCTAGTGCGCCCTGGAGAGGGGGTGAGGCAGGCCGAGGGCAGGCCACACAGATGGGAGCTGTCGGCTCCCACCAGCCGTATGACAGATTATGAGTTGTAGCCTAAGTATGATTAAAACCAATGAACAGTTTTAGCAAGAAAATTTTATCCTGAAATCATAGTGCAGCTGCTGTGAGTAAAACGGGTGTAAGGGAGAGAGGCCAGTCGGGGCAGACTGGGCCAGGAGGCCATCACGTGGGCCTAGACCGAGGGGTGCGCTCATGCTAGGGTAGGGCAAATGATAGGGGGTGGACACCGGGGCTACTTTAGAGCCACCACTGACAGAAATGGCTCTCTTGTGGATGCCCAGGGTTCTCTATTGAATCACAATTGGTATCACTGCATTTAAATGTTTTCCTAAACTTGGGCATAGCGTCTCTGGATAGGCATGTTTGTAAAGACTTACTGTACAGTGAAAAACCCTTTTGGCTTCCTGTAGAGAATATTCGGTCATTTAGTGACTATGTGATAAAACCACTTAGTTAACTTACATGCAAAGTCTGGAGATAAACGGTTCTGGAACTGCTGGAACTCAGTGGTACCATTTGAAACCCAGAACTTAGTGTTCCCCTGTGACCTTTAGTCTGTGGTCTCCATCCTGAGGGGCTATCTCCTCTCCCTCCGGGGAGCACATCATGGCCCAGGAACTCTCACTTTGACAGGAGACTGTTCCAATCCGTTACTATGATGGAAGTTCTGTCACAGGAGACCCTGGGGACACTTCTTACATGCCTCATTGGCCGTTGCACCGGTGCCTGCAGGGGGCCAGGACAGGGAGTATCCACCAAAGGGACAGGCCTCTGCCATTTTGGCTTCGGCAAATTCTGTCTTGTCCCTGGGACCTGCTGCACAAACTCAGGGTGCTGTTCACAGAGGAGCAGGGTTGGCAGCCAGGCATTTCTGCCCTGATTTCGACTTTATGTCCATGAACTGTTTCAAGATTCAGATTTGGCGTCTTTTCAATTGTCTTCTTAGATGTGTCTGCTCCTTCAGTACCTCTGTGACTGCCAGGTCCGACACCAGATAGAAGCCATAGTGGCCTTTTCAGATGACTTTGTTGCCAAGCTGCAAGACAACCAGCGCTTCCGCTACAATGAGGTCATGCAGGCCTTGAACATGTCGGCTGCGCTCACAGCCAGGAAGACAAAGGAGTTCAGGTCCCCGCCTCAAGAACAGGTACGAGAATGAGTGGAAAGTCCCTCCTTTTTACTCAGGGTGTCATCTCATTCAGGAGTCACGTGCTGCAGAATTATATTGTAAGTCACAAGGGTATTTTTCCCTGTTCTCTTTAAACCAGCCAAGGCAGTGTAGTCAGTATTCGCAGGTTCACCAGTCAATCCACTTGGTGAGTTTAAACAAGTAAGAGACTTACTGAAAGCGGTGAGGTGTCTGATGGCCTCCTGGAGGAGGCCCTGTGCTATATTCTGACATCCCGCAAACCGGGACACTCCGCAGCCACAGGCGGTAGTCACGGCGGACCCAGGCCTACCCACTGACGGGGCCCTGGACTGCTAGGGCGCTTTCATATTCTAAATTCTTATTTATTTTCTTGCTTTTCATTGACAGTTGGCATTCGGTATTATTTTATGTTAGTGTCAGGTGTGCAGCATAGTGGTCAGACATTTATGTAATTCACAAAGAAGACACTTCCTACTCAGTCTGTCCCTAGAAGAACCAAACGTCACTGCCTCCACTCTTACTGGATGATCGGTCCTGTCATGGTTTTTCCTCTCATTTAGCTCCAAGCCCAGGTCTCCCCGGGGTGCGGCAGAAGCACAGGTGTGTGCCGGCACCAAAGAGTGAGTGCGTCTGGGGACGTGAGTTTTCTGGAATTATCCTCAGGAGGGCAATCACAGTGTGAGAAGTTAGATATCGTCTTTGGTATCTTACTTCTGCCATTTCCCTCCAGAGTCAAGATGAAGGTGTTTAGGGACTTACCGCAGAATTTACTATTTCTCAGAAGAATGTAATTTCTTTGGGGGAATAGACAAAGAACATGGTTTATTGCTATAAACATCAGTTACTGAGCAGAAGACACGTCCAGCTGCCCCTGAGTACGCTCCATTTACTGAACCGTCGCTGGGGGGCTTCTGCCTCTGAAAAGGTGGGGTGGGTCTGTCGTCCCCTGCTCTGCCTGCACAGTGCAGCTGTCATCCTGGGAATTGCAGAGAACACACAGGGACTCTGAATGACAGAGAGAAAGGCGGGTACTGGCTGCAGAACTCAGAACTCAAGGAGCAACCTGGTGATAAGCTCCTGTCCCACACTTGGAGTTGAAGAAGCCAGCTACCCAGCATGTCCTGAATGCCAGAATGCCCACAGCCATAGACAAAGAAAGCCCTATGAAAGCCTTCTATGTCGGGCCAGACCAGGAAAACTCTTTCAAGTAAGACAGAAAACTTTTAGGTATTAGGTAACCACATGATCCAGCCAAACTCCACAGCAAACACTGGAGCCTGACCCCCACCCAAGCAGCAGTGGTGAGTGAGGAGCCAGCCGTCCCATCTCATCAGCTGTGACAAGGTGCTTCAGCTGGGAGCTGAGATTTCACCCCGAGGCCCCCACAGTGTGAGCAGAGGCCAGGGAGGGAGAGGCACCAGCCAGGCCTGTGCACGTACAGGTGAGTGGGGCACTGGCTCGCCCAGCCTCCCCACTCTTCACAGGTCCAGGCAGGCCGAGCGGGGAGATGGACGTGCACTCCCACCAGGCAGTGGTGAGGCACCCAAAGCTACTCCCGTGCTCGATAGACTCAGGTAAAGCATGACGTTTACGTAAGACCCGAAGTCCCGTAACAATAACCAAATGTCCAGGCTTCGATACAAACATCTCTCATACCAAGAACCAGAAAAGATTTGAATAAAAACTATAATAGACACCAGCTCCGAGATAACCAGGTTGTTAAAATTATCTCACCAAGCATTTAAAGCAACCATCATAAAGTGCTTCAAAATGGAGGAAAGTAAGTCTCGGCAAATAAATAGAAAATGTAAGGAACCAAATGGAAAGTTTAGAAAGGAAAATAATCAGAGCTTTAAAAACCTGTATAGATGGACCTCACAGCAAAAGCGGGGCAGAGGAAAGAATCACTCAGCTGAAGAGAACGTTAGAAATTACCCAGCTGGAACAGAAGAGAGCAGCCCGGGCAAGGTCAGAAAGAGCCTTGGGGACCAGTGCAAATGCAACAAAACCATCTAAAGTCCAAGGGTTAGGAGAAAACGCTGAACTGAAAAAATGTTTGAAAAACTAATGGTTGAAAACTTTCCAAATTTGACAAAATATATAAAGAAAGAGATCCAAGAAGCTGAGTAAACTCCAAACAGGATACCCAAAGAAATCTAAACCAAGGCGTACCAGAGTGAAACTTCTAAAAACTAAAGACAAATAAAATAATCTTGAAAGTAGTGAGAAAGAAATCGAAACCGGAAAAGCTGTTGTTCATGCTGCCTGTCCCATACCAGGCCCAGTAAGCAGAGATGGGGACTGAATCTTCATGGGCTCTTTGTTCAGAGGGCTGGTGATCTGAGAAGACACAGATTTGTACCTTAATGTTGTGTAAGCATGTTGTGTACCTTAATGCTTGTAAGCATTTTCTTACAAGCCAGCTGTTTTATAACAGAGAACAAAGTGTGGTGAGGAGTTTTGAAATTCAAGGAAAATTAGATTACAAAAAACTACGGCATCCTCACCCTGAGTGGTTAGCTGTCCCTGGGCCAGGTGGGCAGTCATCTGTCTCTCTCTGGAACACAGTGGCTCAGATGTCACCAGCTTTGTCCCAGGAGGGAAAGGTAAGTGTTACCTGCAGTTCCTGAAACAATAGCTTTAACCTGTGCATTACCTACTGGGCTTGTCAACTAGTCACTAAAATTTTCCAACTCTTGAGTCCTCTATCAAAATGACACCTTTAGGGGAAAAGCAATTTGAGCAATTGTATTTCTGCTTAAAAAACATGGAGGCCAGAAGGAAGTGGTATATTTTTCAAGAGCTGAAAGAAAAAAGAAAAAACCCCTGTCAACCCAGACTTCTGTGTTCAGAGAAATCCCCTTTATTAAGGGGGAATCCAGACCTCCTCAGATGGATGAGCACTCTGAGGATTTGACTGCACCAGACCCACCCTGAAAGAATGTCTAAAAGGGTGTTCTTGAAACAGAATGAATCTGACAAGAGCATACAATTTGGACAGTCAGGAAGGAGGAAAAGAACAACGGGTAAAGATACGGGTAAATATAATACACTTTCCTTCGCTGAGTTCTGTAAACAAACATCTGTGTGTACGTGCACCTGTGCAGTTCAAATCCATGTTGTCCTGTGGTTTCCTGTGCTTTCAGTCCACAGTGGGGAGCCCACGTGTGTGGAGGGCGGACTTAAGTTATACATGGGTTTTCAACTGCACAGGGGGTTGGCATCCCTGACCCCCATGCCATTCAGGGGCCAGTTATTTAGGGAATATTTCAGTCAATTATATTTCAGATGAAGGGAAATAGGGAACAGAAAGGAGATACGTTTCTACACTTCACCAAACTGGTGAAATGTTGACACCAGAGACTCTGATAAATTATGTGTATATAACGTGATATCCAGAGCCATTGCTAAAACAGTTTTACAAAGAAACACGTGAAAAAATGCCATGGATAATTCAAAATGGGAGCCTAAAATTTGTCACGGAACCCACAGGAAATTGGGAAAAAATAAATTAGAACACACATTAAAGAGGTAAAGTAGCAGACCTCAGGTATAAGATACTAGTAAATTCATGAATATAAATAATCTAGTATACCAATGAAAAGAGATTGGCAGAGTGGATTTTATAAGCTTCACCTAACTTTATGTTGTCTACAAGAAACTCACTTCAAATACAATGATGTAGGTAGGTTGAAAGTAAAAGGATGAGGAAAGATAATAGCATGAAAAATTAGTCAAAAGAAAGTAAAATTACCTATAGCAGAGCAAAGAAAATGACCAGAGTTAGACATAACATTATGTACTGATAAAGTATATGCACCAAACAACAGAGCTGCACAATGTGTGAGGTCAGCACAGAACCGAAGGGAGAGACAGACAAACACAGTTGGAGACTGCACCACCTCTCTCTCACGATAATTGATAAATCTGGACGGTGTATGCACTAAGAACAGAGCTGCACAGTATGTGAGGGCAGCACAGAACTGAAGGAAGAGACAAATACACAGTTGGAGACTTCAACAGCTCTCACAATAATTGATAAAGCCAGACAGCAATAAGCGAAAACATGCAGAGTGCAGCACTATCATCAGCTGACAGGATTTCTGGATATTGTGGAATACTCTATCCAACAACAGAATACACATTTTTTTCTGATCACCCCTGAAACACCCACAAAGATGGACCTTTGTAGCCTGTGTATCTAAGGCTATAAAATGACCTCAACAAATGAAAAATAATTGGATCTTTTTCATGCAGAATGTTTTTTCTTCTACAGTGACATTGTTACAGAATGGACACAGGGGCTGTGGGGTCTTTGTGTCACTATGGATTCTTTGTGCCAGGGAATTGGAACTGTAGCTCTCAGTGCCAAAGTTTGGTGAAAAGGAAAGGAACTAGTTATTCTAAAGTTATACAGACTTAGAGTAATGACTTAATGTCTTCATTAAAGCCCCAAAGTCCCTTAAAACATCCACAAACACACACAGTCCTTCCTTACTCCCTTTGCCCAGTCCAGGAGTACTGTATCTGAGGGAAAAGAAATAGAAGTCTGTGGCTTGGCTAATTTCTGGTTCTTCCCAGTAATCTGGACTCAGCAGGCAGGCCTCCCTCGGTTCCCAGCACCATTAGCTGTGTCGCCGGGATCTCCAGTTCTTAATCCAAACCCACGTGGCACCTTCTCATGGCCCACCAGCAAGAGTCCTTTTCACCCCTTTCCTTCCTGCAGTGTCTTTCCTGCATTTTTCCAAACTGCTAAGAGAGAGCTCTGCATGGTTGCTCCATCTGGCTTTCCTGCTTCCTAAGCTGAGTGGTTAAAAGAGCCCCCTCTCCACCCCCAAAACTGCATGGTTCCAACCCATATGGCTGCTGCCCTCGGTTTAAATCCCAGTGCAAATCTGCCTCTGCTGTCTCATTTCTGGCTCCTCCCACAATTGGTTACACCTGCCAGCATTCCTGTATTGTTTTCAACCTTTCTGGGCTGCTGTAGTAAGTCTGGGCAGGCGTGGCCCCGTGGCATGGAGCGAGCCATCTCCAAGCTCTTGGTGCAGGTGCCTCCCTGTTACAGCATGGGTTGAAGTCACTCCCGTCTCCCTGGCTCTAAGCATAGCCTTAGGTACTTAACCTATTCCTGCAGCTAGCCAGCTGCTATAGATATGTAAGATAGCCATTTTTGCATATCAGGTATGAAGCTGGCCCACTTTTGATATGCAAAATAACTCTGAATGGCTCTGCTTCATGTGTCCCATCTCCCAGTGCAGACTTGTGGGTTTGGGGAAAGCTTATACTTTTATATTTCCTGGAGACCTGGAGTTGTGGACACCATTACAAATCCCTCTTTGGGGGGGGTGGCTATACCCTATTACAAAATCAAATTAGAAATTAGTAACAGAGAGATAACAGGAACAATCTTCAAAAACTTGTTAACTAGAGAACATATTTCTACAATTTTCATGGTTCAAGGGGGAAATTTAAAACTACAGTGAAGTAGAAGAAAAATAAAATATCACATAACAAAATTTGTGGAAGTGACTAAAGCTGTGCTGAGAGGGAAATACATTTAAAAAGAGAAAAATGCTCAAATGTATAAAACTGAGGCTGCCATCACAGGAATTTATAAGGAGAGCAAAATAAACCCGAAGCAACCATAAGGAAGGCAGTAAGAGATAAAGAGCAGAAATCAACGAAACTCAAAACTGGACGCTTGAAAAAAATTAGTGTATCCCAAAGCTGGTTATTAAAAATGTTATGAAAAATCAACAAACCTCTAAAGAGACTGACAAAGGAAAAAAGAGAGAAAACACAAACGACCAATATCAGGAATGAGACATCACTGTGGACCCCGAAGATATCTGGGGGTGGCATGGTTCCCTTTTTGTAACACTCTTGACAGGGCAGTGAAATAGAAATGGAGGGCAGAGTGTGGTTGATGGGAGTCGGGCAAGGAGAGGGCAGGAGGGATGTGGGAGTGGCTGTGACAGGGCAGCAGGAGGGACCCTGGAGGGGTGGACTTGTTCTGTGTTTCTTCTGTATCACTGAGATGCCCCGGTTGTGACACTGTGTTACTGTTTCGCAAGGTGGTGCCGGTGGGGCGCACCAGGCAGATGGTACATGTATTGTTTTCTACGATACCATCAGAATCTACAGTTATCTCAGAGTACAAGGTTTCGAAATCTCACATTAAAAATTCTAAAAAGGAAACCAACAATTGTTTCTTAAAGGAAAATTACAGGCTATCACAGACCTTTGTTTTTCATCCATAAATTTAATATTGTCTCTAAACTTTTAAAAAATGGAAGAAAGTGTCTTGCAGTTTAATTGAATTATGAACAAGTGCATAGTTATCCGTTGTATTATTTTTATTATGTTTAGATTTTTTCTTCTTTACTATTGTATCTTTTTCAAAAAAAGTTTTTGTAAATGTTCAATAAAGTGTAGAAGTTAGGTAAAGAATTGGAAATCTAGGTGAACCCAAATAAAATACTTTAAATAACATTTAGTTATTAGTTGGTGTAAGAACTCTCAGTGTGCAAGGGTTTAAGACATTGTGGAGTGACAAGAAGAAGCAAATGATGTGACTGTTTTGCAGCACGTTCAGCTCTGAGTGATTTGATTTATTTTGTGACTTTTTTTGATCTGATGGATAACAGTTTTCCATAGGTTGGGCAACAATTTACAAATACGCCAAAACAGGTTTTGAATGTCTTTGGTTTTCACAGTTTTTGCTGTGTTGCTCCTGAGTCCACTTTTCTCTCATACATGTCCTTCTTCTCCTTGGTTCTAAACTTTCAGATCAACATGCTTCTCAACTTCAAGGATGACAAAAACGAATGTCCGTGTCCCACGGAAATCCGAGACCAGCTCCTGGACTTTCACGAAGACCTCATGGCTCATTGCGGTGAGGCCTCTGTGACGCACAGCTCACGCTCAGTGCACACACACTGGTGCAAAAGTAAACCTGGACAGAACAGGTCCACGGACAGGCTCGGTGTCTGTCAGGGGTCGCCTGACATACTCACCACAGTGAGAGGGCTCCCTGACCCCCGGTGGGAAGTCAGGAAGGGTGGAGAGAACAGACAGGCTCTCAGACGGAGCAGGGATGACAGAATCTTTCTCCGTACCCCCCTCTTCATCTTTCCCCCCTCTCTCAGGGCCAGGGCTTGGGGGTGTTGCTGGTGAGAAATTGTTACCAGGTGCTTTGGGCAGACCGCTGACTGTGAGGTTGGTTGCACCTGAAGAAGTTCGTCCATGAGCAGTTGTATGGAAACAGACTGTGGGGCCTTTCTTCAGGTCTGGCCGAGTCCTGAGACATGCTGTGTCATGAGACAGCATGTGTCTCATGAACTTACTTAATGCCCAAGGAAATCCTGCATTAGATTACATGTTGGTGGCCCAAATCTATTAAGGGGATTCTTCCCCCTTTTATTTGGAGAACTTTAAAAATAGGGTTGATTAGGTGTCCTGGATGTGTGTTCCTTCTCTCTGTGTGCGGAGGTGCGGATAGCATCTGTGTTCCAGTGGGAAAAATGAACTGACCACTTCTTAACTGATACATACAGCAGCAGCAGTATTTTTCTTTTCATTCAGAGAATGAAAGCACTGCCTCCGTATTAATTCAGCTTATGAATGAAGAGCCACTGATGACTGCCATGACGTCATACCATGTAGAGTGTGGATAGGGGACACTGCGAAATGGCAGAACTGTTGCTTCAGCCATCCCCGATCCAGGGCACCCAAGTCTGCCTGTTCTCCCAGCGCCTCAACTCCTCACATGCCACCGACATTTATGGAGGCAGAGCTGCAGGAGTAGGCAGATGGCGCCTGAGGTCAGAGACGGTGGCCCCAGTTGGCGCAAGGAGGAGAATGGACTTTGTCTCCCGAGACAGGGTTTCTGTCCTCTGTTCAGTGTGTATTTCGGGCTGGCTGCCTGTGCCCACCAGCCCGCAGGAACGGGGACAGAGGAGGGAGCAGGCCCGACCGGCGTGTGGCCCGCTCTCACTGGGGGCGCCTGTGAGCGGCTTGCTCGCTGTCCTCCAAAGGTCTCAGACAGGGCGTTGCTTTGCACTGTGAATGGGAGAGGTGGCACAGCCCGAGAAGCGCTCCTTCTGCGTGTACTTTTTCAGTATGTTTTTCTCTCCTACTAGGAATTGAGCTGGATGAAGACGGCTCTCCGGATAGCAATGGCAACTTAACAATCAGAGGCCGCCTGCTGTCCCTGGTGGAGAAGGTGACGTACCTGAAGAAGAGGCAAGCAGAAAAGCCAGTGGCAAGCGACCCCAGCAAGTCCTGTAAGCAGTAAGAAGGGGCACTTCCTGGGCACTCAGCCGCTGGCGCCTCCTCACCGTTGAACTACTAATATTGCTCTAGATGAGCCAGTGAGAAACTGAGATTGCAGCGTCCAAGAATTGGGTTTCTGAGCAGGCGTCAGTGGTGCCAGGAGTGTGCGGCACTGTCCGCGATATTCGATGTTCGTAGGAACTGGGGAGGAGGCGGCTTTGCGAGGGTGGGGGGCGCCCCACACTAGGGCGTTAGGGATTGGATCGGAGGCTATTGGGAGAAAGCCAAAGGGGGTAATAATGCCGTCTTCATGTCTAAATACTCTGCAGTTGATTTTCAAGTATTCTCACATGAAATCAAACCTTTTATTAAAGCATAAACAGATACTGTCCGTAGTGCACTCTGGTTCTGAGATATTGATGCGCTTTACGCATTTCTGGCTTGTGCACGGTCTGCGTAACTGGAGAGTTGCAGCTGACACTGGGGACCAAGGCAGCACAGGGATTTCGAGTCTCTGCCATGTGTTCCTGCGCAGGCGGGCAGGTGGGGGTGGCGTCTGTGAGACCTCGGCTTACCTCCCCCCCGAGACTCCTGTTTCATGTGCTACGCTGAAAGAAAGTAAACTCATGAATTTGCAGGACCGTTTTCACTAACTGAGCAGGGAAACTTTTTTTAATTTATACAATTACCGTTAAATTTGTTCTGTAGTGTCAACAGCAAATTGAGTCAGGTTTTCTTCAAAATCAGAGTTTAGCATTTCTTATAATCCCTTTTTTATTATCAAGTTCATGATTTTGAGCTGTGAAAATGATGGCATGGTTTTGAGGAACATGGAAGTATATTGGTATTTTATCTGCAGTTTGTTAAGTGGTTGAAATTGGTAGTTTTTGTTTTTCCTTAAATCTGTTTTTTTGACTGGGTTACAGCAGGTTAAACTGCTTTCTGTTTTGAACATGAGCCAGTGTGTTGCTGATGTTAGGAATTGAGCATGCCACCACGCGTGAACTGGCCATATTAACCCACTGACTTTGGGGGTAGCATCCATTGTGCCAGGTGCGGAAGGAAGTTCTTTTGTTTTGAAGTGCACTGTGTTACACATTACATAGCAAGTAATCTTCTGTGTATGAAATTACTTCACTTTAATACAGTTTCACAATGACATCCTTTTGACGATGTTTTAAGTGACTGTCGAGGACCCAGATTTAAGTGTACATATAATTACATGAGGTCACCATTGCAGATGACTCCAGTGAGGAGACAGTTGGGTAAACAGCTCCTTGAATGCTCATGACTGACCTTTAGAAGGACATGTGGTGTCAGATCTTCTGGGAGAAAGAGAATGGAACGAAGGAAATAAAAGTAAAATAGGATCGTTGACATTGGTCATTGTATGGATTGCCAACAGTAGTTTTGAAAAAATAGCTGCAATTTTGAAAAAACTAAAACTCTTTAGCTATAAGACTAGTTTGTGTAATTTTATTCTCTCATCACTATAACTTTATTGATATATACCACTATTTATAAATATTTAAATAAAGTTTGTTTTCCTCATAATATTTCTATTCATTCTAGTACAAATATAGATACGGTTGGGACCGTATCTATACGGTTGGGACTGGGAGATAGGCAGTTGAAACGCCCAGCTCATTTGTCTTCTCTTGTTATTTTCCTTTTTGAAAACTGTCGGTCGTGACGCTGCAGCCACCCTGCAGCAGCTGATCTCGGAGACCATGGTCCGGTGGGCTCAGGAGTCCGTCATCGAGGACCCCGAGCTGGTGCGGGCTATGTTTGTGCTGCTGCATCGGCAGTATGATGGCATCGGCGGGCTGGCGCGGGCTCTGCCCAAGACCTACACGATCAGCGCCGTGTCCGTGGAGGACACCATCAACCTGCTGGCCTCGCTCGGGCAGATCCGCTCGCTGCTGAGCGTGAGGATGGGCAGAGAAGAGGAGAAGCTTATGATTCGGGGACTAGGGTAAATTCAGTCCCTACAACCTTTTGTCTCCTCCATCTTTTCTTCCTAGTTGTTCATCTCAGCACTAGAACAGTGGGTGCATTAATAAAAGTACAGTGTGTAGACTTTATGTTCACTAAGTAAGATCGTTGTTTTCTAGAGATTGTCCTAACACCGAGTAGGGAAGTCGCTTGATAATGAATCTAATTTTATAACTGGAGGCTGAGATGGCTGTGATGCACAGCCAGCAGCCTGGGCTTTGTTTCTCATCGCTGAGTTAGTTACTCAGCGATGTAAAATCATATATAAAAATACAGGTTAATGAAAACACATTAAAATCCATGGGGACAAAAACTCTCATCAGCAGAAATTAATAAGAAAGTTTCTCTGGGCCTGTTGGGCCCTTTAAGAAGAATGAGGGAGTGAGAACTCAGCGGCAAAGGTTGCGCTCCACGTAGATTTGTGGGTTAACGTTTATACCTTATGCAGAGTCTGAGGACCCCCAAGTGGAGAAATTAACATAAAAATTGGCCTGGTGGTATGCTTTCTCAGCTCAAGTTTATCTGAAATTGTACAAGAAAAGCCTAAATACTACCAAAGATTAGCCCACAATCAAAAAACTGCAAAGCACATAGGAAAGAATCCACCATAAATAAGGGTCTGGAGATATGATAAACTATGGAGTTAGAACACCTCCCCCAAGAACTTCCCATGGTAGCCTGCTAGAAGGAGAATGTAAAGGTGCTGTACATAAAAGAATACATAGGGTCTCTAAAATTAAGTCATGCAGAAAGTCCAGGAATGTTTGAAAAGGATCTAAATAGAACTTGTAGAGATGAAAAATATAACTGACATCAAAAACAAATTGCAGAAAAAAACATGAGTAAATTAGACCACAGCTCTGAGGAAATTAGTCATGCAGCATCGGGAGACAAAAATACAACAGAACAGGGGACAGACCTGAGGGAGGGGCCTCGGAGAGGGGCCACCTGTGCTGAATGGGAGACTGGGAAAGAAGACAGGACACTGGAGCCCAAGGAGGGGAGTGTGGGAAGAGCCACTGGCTTGAGTTTTTCAGAAATGATGAAAGATGGGGCTTCACAGATTCCTGAAGCACCTGCAGTTCCACATCCACAGTGTAAAACCAGCACTAACTAGACTATTGTAGAAGAGAACAGAGGGGAAGGCCAGGTTGCTTACAGAGAAGCACTGTTTAGAATTCTCCAGGGCAGAGCTGGACAACACGACTCAGCCCAGCTGAGAAGTCAACACAGTGAGCTTGCGCTTTGTGTGGGTTCGGAGATCCAGATGTGTACCCCATGTTCAGGAGTGAGGGACACAAAGGTATTTCAGAATTCTTACCTGCCGTCCCTCATTGAAAGACCATCTAAAGGCTGCACAGTCAAGAAAGGAAAATGGAATTCAGAGGGAAGGGATGGGAGACCATGAGTTTTAGAGAGAAGGTTACCAGTGCATATTTACAGAAATCTGAGCACTTGATAATTTGCAGATATGAAAATAAGAGGGAACTAACATACCAGAGAAAAATGAGAAAATGACTTAAACGTAAGCATGTAGAAAACTGGAATGTAGCCCTGTCTGGTGTGGCTCGGTTGTTTCAGTGTCATCCCGCTAAGCGAAAGGTCACTAGTTTGATCCCTGGTCTGGGCACGCGCCTGGGTGGTGGGTTCAGACCCAGTTGGAGCACCTGGGAGAGACAGCCAGGCGATGTTTCTCTCCCTTTCTTTCTCCCTCCCTTCTCCTCTCTATAAAAGTAAGTAAATAATTTTTTAAGAGAAATTCATGATGTAAAATGTTGAAAAGTGATGTTGGAGACATATTTAGAAAAGAAAAAGCTAATCTAGCTCTATACATATCAGATAAAAAGACATAATGAAGATGACTATTGACATGGATAAAAGAGAATGCAAAAAATAACAAAAAGGATTAAAGAAACCTCAAGTTGGTTCTTTGAAAAAACTAATAAAATAGAGAATAGTTTTTTCTTTGGCAAAACTAAAAAATAATTGCAAGGAAGAGAAAGTACCAAAAACATTCAGGTTGTATGATATCATTCATGTACATTTTAAATTCTCCTAAAGCAATGCTATATATTGCCCACTTTTGAAATCATAAAAATAAAATGGAAGATTGTATTCCAAAATGGTTACAATGGCTACACACTAAAAATAAATATACTAACTGGACAAAGAGGGAGCACGAAAAAGCCTGAACAACAAAGGTGAATTTTACAGTCTTAATTTATGATTGTATGAGCTTCGGTCATTTTATTTAATGCCTTAAGTCTACCCTGAGGAGGCTTCTGATAATAAGCCAGTGAAAAAGGAGGCATTCAAGGAAATGGAAAGCACGCTTTCAAATAAACGTACAATGTTTCTTCTTGTGAAATTAGAAACATCCCCTAAAAGGGCACATTTAACAAGTGACAGCCTGCATGCCGGGTGGTTGGATTATAAATCCATTCAGTTTACCTAGACCTCAGGCAAACGAGATTCTCAAGTAAATAGTTTTCAAAGTTTGGTCATACTAAGGACTTGAACTGACACGGGAACAGACGCTGCAGCTGTAACTGGGTTTGAGAGCGGAGGGTCGCCTGTGGCGTGTGGGGTGTGCTGTGAAGGAAGGGGCCTGTGGTGGCCGTGTCTGTCGTTGCCCGAAATAGACCAGATTTTGCTGGTCCTGGGCCCTCCTCATTTTTCTGGGTTGTCCTGTCTTAAAGTTCTCTTTATTAAAACAAAAGTAAACTGAATGCTAGGTAAAAGACTGAAATTAAATAGCAAAGGAAGAAAAGAATCAGAGGAGGATTCTGCTATCCCATTTCCTCCATGTAGCCTGAGTGACAGAGTTAGGGAGAGACTGACTGCGTGGGTGACTCATGGGAGGGAGACCAGAGTCGGAGGCAAAGTTTGCATTTCCTTGCAGCCAGCACCTCCATTATGTGCTGAAGTTCTGACAGAAAGAAAAAGCTCTTGCATCGGATCGATTTGTGTTGCAATAACAATTAAGCGAGCTCCTCATTTGCAGTGACTACTAAACATTAAGATCCTTACAGACCCCTTCACACGCGTATTGTCATACTATGCGAGGCAGTGATGCTGAGGGGAAGCACTTCAGGTGCTGCCTGCTGCTGTTCTTCAAGCTGAATGTCTGTTTAATGAGTCCGATTACTTGTGCCTGGACTTCATGTGCATTCAGTTTCTTTTGGAGAATGTGGATCTTTTAAAAGGATTTCACCACAATAACATGCATGTAACAGGAAATAATGGTACTGTTATTAAACATGCAAATATTGAACACAGTACCAAAATAGCATCTGTGGAAAGCAAATATATATCAATAATCTATACAGGAAATTTCCTATAAATGTGAAAACTGATTTATTTCTATACAAAAGAAGGTGATCATGTTTGAATAGAAATTAAATTAGGAGTGATGTGTCCAAAATAGCATTTCATATTAGTGAATGTTTATATATTTAGTACATGTAAATGAAAATCATAGACAGTTTATATACTATTTTTAGTAGGCTACCAATCTTTTTGAGAAAAACTTAATTGTTGTTACTTTTGTGGCTTAACTGTGATTGCTCTTACTCTTTCATGTTTGCCAGCACTTATTTCTAACCAGGTGATTAGGTGAATTGTTACTGAAGTTTTGCTCTGACCTCTGTGCTTCCCTCCATACCTGTGTTCCTTTGCAGGGACATCATGAATAATAAAGTGTTCTACCAGCACCCTAACCTCATGAGGGCGCTGGGGATGCACGAGACGGTGATGGAGGTCATGGTGAACGTCCTGGGCGGTGGGGAGTCCAAGGTAAAGGGAGCCTTTGACTGCTGGCACGCTGTGTATCTCGGTCGTCTCTGTGACATGCATTTCCTAAACCCTTTCAGGAGGACTGTTCAGAGAGACAGCTTGTGAAAAACAAGCAAATGACACTGTACAGAGTGAGAGTTGAGCATACCGCTAGTGTTTTTTCTTTAATATCTGTAACAGTTTTTATCCTCTGCTGTACAATTTAGCTACACCCTAAACTGTTGTAGTTTAGGGATGTTTAGAAAGGAGAAAATTAACACTGTGCTGCCTTTTTGAAATTGAGAATAATAAAGCATCCATAACACAGACATGTCCTTCGAACCCAGCCATCCCCCTGATGACAGGGGGTGGCACTGAGTTCTCCATCCAGACTGAGACCTGAGGGTGATCCTCTGGTGTATTTGTTGAAAGACTCTATGAACTATTAAGGGATTAACATTTAAAAAGAAGTTCTTTAAAACCGAATGAATAGGGTAACACAACAAATAAGTTCATGTAAGTCGGTATAATTTCGTAACCTCTTTTTTGCAAAATGCATTTCAGCATTTTTAGCAATTTTACAATGTATTTTTCAGAATATAGAAATGAGTCCCTGATTCTTGTGTTCAGCCTACCCGTTAGACAGGCTTATAAAGGTGTTTGTAAAATGCTGTGTTGAAGAGGGACTCCCAGCATTGTCTGAGGATCCCAGAACAAGGTTTGGCTCTCGGGGGACGTGTCTTAGATGGGTCAAGGGGGAGACTGGGGCCACCTGGAACCAGGACAACAAAATCAACTACAACAGCGCCGATGACGCCAAGTCGGGGTCCCAGATCCTGCACTGGGTGTTTATCGCAGACTGCCTCACTGACAGCCCCCCCTTTCTCACCTAAAGGGGCATCATTACCCAACTTACTCCAGTTTCACATAACAGAATCGGTGAGATGATTGCACGAGGTCACAACCAAGCGCAGCCGACAGTGCTCAGGCATCACAATGAGTCTGCCCCGTTCCTGAGCCAGCCCCAGTCACGCCTCCTTCAGCTCCCAGCTCCGAGCTGTACATTGGTTCTGAATGAGGCTGTGGATGGTAATGCCATGCTTGATTTTCTGTGGCTCACAGGCTAGGCGTGTCCAAGTCTGGAAATGTGAAGGCCTTCAGGGTCTGAGGCTCTGCAAATATGGCCACACGTGGGTGGACAGTGTGACTGAGACCTGAACCTCTGAACTCCATTCTATACAGATAATTTGCTTTCACAGCTAATCCAATGCTCTTTATGTAGGAGATCACTTTTCCCAAGATGGTGGCCAACTGTTGCCGTTTTCTCTGTTACTTCTGTCGTATAAGTCGGCAGAATCAGAAAGCTATGTTTGATCACCTCAGTTATTTATTGGAAAACAGCAGCGTTGGTCTAGGTGAGTAAATGTTTGACTTCACTCGATTTTTAGGATAAAAGGAATGTACACGTTGCAGTGCAGTGTGAATTGACTCAGAGTAGTGCTGTGTGTGCTGCACTAGGAATTAAATTTGCAGTGAAAATGTGCTTTGCACGGAACTCAGCTGCGGTACGATCCAGGTTTTGTCTCGTGTGTGTTTGGGTTGACAGCCTCACCAGCAATGCGGGGGTCGACTCCACTGGATGTGGCCGCAGCCTCGGTGATGGATAACAACGAGCTGGCCTTGGCGCTGCGTGAGCCAGATCTGGAGAAGGTAGGCCTCCCCCTTGCCGCTGCGCTGCTGTGAGGCAAGCTCGCTCCTCCTGTTTTTCAGGATCATTTAAATATAACTATCCTATAGTTATAATCATGTTGCTGTAATTATATAAAAGTGTTATATATGATATTATATATGATATTATAATCGTAAGTTACAAAGAACAAGGAATTTGAGACGAGTTATTTCCTTTAACCATGTGCATTTTTCTCTGAAAAGAGGATCAACTTTCTCTGTATTCCTGTGTGTTTTTTCCTTTCATGATGTTTGCCATCGCACTTGCTTTAATCACATAGTTTCAGTTTTCTGAAATGTCAGAGACTGAGGTATGGGGCTGCAAGGTGGGGGTGGCGTTTTATCACCTGTACTCATTTTCCTGTATGGAGCTCACCCTCCACTCAGCTAAAGCTTGTTCTGTTTTAGCCTGATTGACTCTGCTGGCTTTGTCCTGACTCCCTGAGACTCCAACCTACCACGAATCCACGGGGGTAGGCAGGTCCTAGGCAGGTCCTAGGCAGGTGGCAGCTGGCCTTGGTATACCCTGAGACTTGCTGAGCAGCCTCTGACCTGACACTGGCACCAGATTAGAATCTGTGTCAACCTGCTGTACACCACTTGTTCCTACCTGGTGACTCACTGAGAAACTACCTCATGCAATTTGCCCCCTGCCAATGGCTTTTTCAGTGACTGAGCCTAACAGACAGCTGACAAGTGGAGGCAAGTGGAGGTGGATCTTGGTGTGCCTTGGGCCTTTTGCTGACCTGTACCTGGGTTTGGTGCTGGTGGAAGCTGGCCTTGGTGTGTAGCTTGGTCTTTCCTACACACACCCAGGCCCGTCAGAGGCAGCCACAGACTGTGGATCACTTGGCTGCTTTAAACATGTAGCCCATGGTCAGTTACAGGCAGTGTCTGACACTGATGTACACTGGTCCCTCCCCAGAGGCCCTAGAACCAACACACCTGGTAGTGGGCTGGATACTACACCAGAGCACGGCCCATTTAGCTTCATAAGTGGCACAACTAAATAAAGATCCTGGAAGGCACCAGACCCTACTGGGGCAGCTTTTGCTCTGTGGGGTCAGCTCCCACGTAATAGCTTGTTCACTGTGGTCAGGATCAATCCTCATAGTCAGCCAGCACAAGAGGCAAACCAACACATGGACAGGACAGCCACAATTAAGACTCAACTGCAAGAGGAGGGCTTACGTAACCCACACAAAGGACACTCCTAGAGCACCTGGATCTGGTGATCAGGAAGACTGTGCCGCTGAGCCCCACAAGAGGCCTACTATTTCAGGCCACCACATCAAGACTGAGAGATACAACAGATCTAGCTAGTACAGAGAAATAAATACAAAGAGACAGCCAGAATGGGGAGACAAAGAAACAAGCCCCAAAAGAACAGGAGAAATCCCCAGAAAGAGAGCTAAATGAAAGAACGACAAGCAAACTGCCGATACAGAGTTAAACAATGGCCATAAGGATGCTCAAGGAACTTAGAGGAAGAATGGATGATCTCAGTGAGAAGTTAAAGAGATAGTAAGTATAAAAAAGGATCCACAAGCCATAAAAAAGGACCAGTCAGAAATGAGGACTACAACAAATGAAGAATACACAAGAAGGAATGAACAGTAGGTTTGATAAAGCAGAGGATTGGATCCGCAGTTTGTAGCAGAATGTCTTCTGCTACATCCAAGCAGAGCAGAAAAAAAAAGAATTAAAAAAGTGAGGGTAGTCTAATAGACCTCTGGGACAACATCAAATATAATAACATTTTCATTATAGGGATACCAAAAGAAGAAGAGAGACAGACCAAGGGATTGAGAACCTCTTTGAGTAAATAATGACAAAATTTCTCTAACCTGGTGAAGGAAAAAGACAGGCAAGTCCAGGAAATGCAGAGATTCCCAAATAAGATGAATCTAAGGAGCCCACACCAAGCCGCATCATAATTAAAATGATGAAGGTTAGAGACAAAGAGAGACTCTTAACTACAGCAAGAAAAAGATAGTTACCTACGAGGGAAGAAGTCCCACAAGACCGTCACCTAATATCTCAACCCAAAATATTCAAAGTGGTAAAAAGCAAAGACCTACAACCAAGACTTATCTGTCCAGCAAGGCTATCATAGAGAAGTAAAGGAGAAATAAGAACTGCCAAGACAAGAAAGAGCTAAAGGGGTTTTTCAACAACAAACAAGTATTATAGGAAATGGACTTCTTTAAGAAGAAAGAAGAAAAAGAGGAACCTATTGTAAAGAATAAAGTAGCAAAAAATGCATAATTATCAATAATCACTTTAAATGTAGATGATTAAATGTTCCAGTCAAAATACATAGGGTAGCTGAAGGGATAAGAAAACAAGACCCATATATATGCCATTTACAAGAGACCCACCTCAGAACAAAAGACACACACAGGCTGGAAGTTAAGAGATGGGAAGAGATATTTCATGTAAATGGAAACAAAACAAAAAAGAGCCAGAGTTGCGATACTTGTACCAGACAAAAGAGACTTTAAAATGAAGGCTATAATAAGAGACAAAGAAGGACACTACATAATGATAAAGGGATCAGTTCAACAAGAGGAAATAACCCTTGTAAACATTTATGCACCCAGTATAGGAGCACCTACATGCAATATATAAAGCAAGTCTTGATGGACATAAAGGGAGAGATCAACAGTAATATACTCACTGTAGGGGACTTTAACACCCTATTGACATCAGTGGATAGACCTTCCAGAAAAAAATTAAGGAAACAGTGATTTTAAGTGACACATTAGACTAGATGGAGTTGTTGATATTTTGAGAGCCTTATACTGCACAAACTGCAGGATACACAGTTTTATTAAGGACGCATGGAATATTTTCTAGGATAGACCACATGATAGTCCTTTAGACAAGGCCTCAATACATTTAAATGATTTCAGCCATCTTCTTTGATCAAAATGGTGTGAAAGTAGAAGTCAATCACAGGAAGAAAACAAAAACATTCAAACACATGGAGCCTAAAGAATACTATTATACAGGTTAAAACCAAGATCAAGGAAGAAACCAAAAGATACCTTGAGACAAATGAAAATAAAAACACAAAAATCCCTCCTCCAAAAAAAAATATATATATGTGTGTTGTGTGTGTGTGTGTGTGTATATATATATATATATATATATATATATATATATCTGTGGTACACAGCCAAAGCAGTTTTAAGAAGGCATTTCATAGCAATACAGACCTATCTCAACAAATGAGAAAAATTGCAAGTAAACAATCTTACTTTACATCTAAAGCAGCTAGTAAAAGAACAATGGACAAAGCCAAAAGTGAGTAGAAGGAAGTAAATAAAACGGGTCAGAGCAGAAATAAACAAAATAGTCTAAAAAAATACAAAGGTCAGTGAAACCCAGACTGGGTACTCCGAAAAGGTAAAGAAGATGGTTTCACCTTTAAATATACTTATCAAGGAAAAGAGAGAGAGGACCCAAATAAGTATAATCAGAAGGGAAATGGAATAAGTAACAACTGACACCACAGAAATACAAAGGATTATAAGAAAAATACTGCAAACAATTATATACAACAAATTGGAGAATCTGGAAGAAATGGATACATTTCTAGAAATATACAAGCTCCCATGGCTGAATCAAGAGGAAACAAAATCTGTACAAATCAGTTGTACAATCTGTACAAATCAAAATACATAGGTAGTATTTTACTTGGACATTTCTTATTAAAACTGTTTTTTGATCTATCTCCTTGGGTAAGGTAAATAAAAGGAAAAAATAAACAAATGGAACTACATCAAACTAAAGCTTTTTCGCAGTAAGAGAAGCAATCAACAAAACGAGAACGACAGCCTACTTACTGGGAGAAGATACCTGCCAATGATACATCCAGTAAGGGGATAATACCCAAGATTTATGAAGAATTCAGGCAATGCAACACCAGGAATACAAACAATACAATAAAAAATGGACAAAGGACCTGAATAGACACTTCTCCTAAGAGGACAAAAGTAGGTAGGATTATCACCAATTTTATAGACACTAAAACAGTCTTAAAAAATTCAGGAATTTGCTTGAAACAGTGCAGTAAACGACACAGGTCAGATGTGAACCCAAGGACATGGGACTGTAGCGAGTTCTCCACTTCTCTGTGGCTGTTCTCACACCCTCCCGCCCCCCCTATGAAAGTGACAGGTCATTTTGGAGGTAATTCACTTTAAAGTATCTTTGTACTTTAGAAGGATCTTCCAGCATCTCAGATGGGCCTCATGTCATTCGAAATTTTGAAAGTTTATCAAATATCATCATTTGTTTTTATAGGTAAAAGTCACAAATTAAATGATACAAAATTTAGTAATATTTTTCTTTCATAGAGTTTATTCATAAATATTTTTATGATAACACTTTGTTATGATTTTTGATATTTCCTAATTCTAAGGTTTTCCTGTGTGGATTGTCATGAGATTAAAAAGAGCTTTCAAAGCTGCGTTTGTTACAAGCCAGCCCGGGACAGCACTGTTCACCAGGTCTAGCACAAGCGTCTGACTTGTGCCCCGGGGGTCACCCTCCTGCCCCCATCCTGTCCTGCCCACAGGTTGTGCGATATCTGGCCGGCTGCGGACTGCAGAGCTGCCAGATGCTGGTGTCCAGGGGGTACCCGGACATTGGTTGGAACCCAGTCGAAGGGGAGCGATACCTCGACTTTCTGCGATTCGCCGTCTTCTGTAATGGTAGGACTGACTGCAGTGGGGTTCTGTTTGGTCATCGTTAAAACTGCACGAAAATAGTTATATGGGATCGTGATACAACCCAGTGTTTTCATGAAGGAAGTCAATATTAGAAATGCAATTGAGTATTTCATAATCATATTTTTACAGTAACAATTCACTTTATAATATTTGTTTTCATAGTGATGCTATATATCATGTTTAAAATGAAAAGTTTAGGAACCTACATTCAGACAGATTTTTGTAATTGGATTCTAATGAGACCTAGGACTATAGCTTTGAATAATGCTTGTCTTTGCTTTGAAAATATTAAGTGCAAGAACAGAAAATGACTGTCACGTCCATCTAAAACTAGCAATCTGAGTTTAGTTTTGGCTTCACCACCCTGTTGGTTGGTTTTAGTCATCTTTCTTTAAATGTAAATGATGGTTGTAATGCCTTTGTGGCCTGTGCTATGTGTGTTCGTTCCTAGGGGAGAGTGTGGAGGAGAACGCCAATGTGGTGGTGAGGCTGCTCATCAGGAGGCCTGAGTGTTTTGGCCCTGCCCTGCGGGGGGAGGGCGGGAACGGTCTTCTGGCAGCTGTGGAAGAGGCCATCAAGATAGCTGAGGACCCTTCTCGAGATGGTCCCTCGCCAACCAGCGGGTCCAGCAGAACCCCGTAGGTCTAATACGCACACTCCTGAGTAAATTGTGCTGCTTGTCTTGAAATCGTACAAAACAGAATTTGCATTCTGTTAATTACAGTATAACTCTATCTCCACTTGAAAACCAAATGGGTTGGATGTGGAAGACTGGGTGGGACTTGCTCCTGGAACAGGCTGAAGGGACAGAGGGACCTGCGGACAACTGGCTTTAGTAGAGGAATTCTGGTTGTGGGAGACTGTGCTCCATGACTTTTCCCAGGGGCTCTGCAAAGTCTAGTTATTACAAGTGATGGCAGACGAGCCTTTGGAATTGGAGTCGGGTTTAGTGGGGAGACGGCTAGAATGAGTTTTTATGACATCAGTGAAAGAGGAAGAGACCATTAGCAAGAGAATTGGGGGCCTTAGTCCAGAGATGGGGGTGGCCTGATCCTGGGAGTGAAATGGTGTTTGAAGCCTCGGTGGCGGAGGGGAGGCAATGACCACCTTACGTTTGTCCCTAGTGCGTGTTGTTTGGACTGGGTTTCATCCGTGGATGTAAATCTATCCAGGTGTGTTGCCCCTACCTTTTAAATACGGGTAGTGGCCGTCCTGCTGGGGGCCATGCATCCCCACTGCTGGTGTTTCTGGCAGAGAAATAATGGGGCCTGTTGGAGGCACAGTCCCAAGCATGTAGATGCCCCAGTGAGCCCTGTTGCTATGCAGCCCGGGCACTGGTGTTCAGGCCAAGCCAGGCCAGGGCCCTGGGCGGGGCGGGTTACTGGGAGTGGGTTGGCGGGTAGGAGATGAGTGAGTGAATGAAGTCACGTGTATAAACTACTTACTTGGGGAAACACTGTCCTGGGTGACCTTACAGGACAGCTCTTTGTCACCCTTTCTCTAAATGTATCTATTCACAAAAATGTTCCAAACTTACCAAATGCTTCTATCGGTCACTTTCTTTGTTAATAAGCTGCCACTACAAATGAGCACCAGATCATCAAATTAGCAATTCTCCTTTTTCCCCCTTGAAAGAACCTTAATATTCAGGTTCCCATGAGTGTGTTCTTGGTGATAGAATCTCAAATTGGGTCTTCAGCCTGTTGTTACTTTGCTGCAAAATGTCCAGCTGTAAATTAAACACACACACAGGAAGTAGCAGCAGAGGCAGAATGAGTTACCCGGGGGCCCCTTCCTCTGAAGAGGGAATAAGCCAGAAACACCGCTCTGTTGCCTGTTTTGATTTGCTTTCCGCTTCTTTGGAATGATCCGTGAAAGGGATGCAGATGAGGAGGACGACACCGTGCACATGGGGAACGCCATCATGACCTTCTACGCGGCTCTGATCGACCTGCTGGGACGCTGCGCCCCTGAAATGCACGTAAGTGCTTGGGCCCCCGAGCGGCACCCGGCTCCTCTGTGGGACAGGCCCTGTGCCTGGGCGGGGTCCCTGCTGCACCAGACCAAGGCTCTTCGTGCTCCTTAAAAGGCACACTGCAGCCTCATTGCTGAATGAGGGTCTGTCTAGTTGGAAACGTCTCGTTGGCTGTAAAAACCGGCAGCGGAGATTCAGTAGGAGCCGTTGGGAGAGCAGTCCGTTACTGACAGCTCTGGGAAGCTCCCCCAGCGGCCACGCTTGAAGAAGAAAAGAACGTGTTTTCTCTACCCAGAGTCCTGTCCTGTGTCAGCACGTGTGGAAGGCAGCCGCTCTGTAGAGTCATTTTCTTGTCGTACAGTGTTCAGTCCCTGTGTGGGCGCTGCTTCGTGTGGGCCTGGTTTGGGGGAAGTGCGGTGGAGCCAGGTGGGGGGAGGCAAGAGCTGTTCGGACCAGATCAGTTAGTGTTTTCTGGCCTTGCTGACCAAGATGAAATGAAAGTTTCATGCAACAATACTTAACATTGTAGTGCATCCTGACATTTTCTTCTCTATCTTCCAATCTATTGTTTCGTTCTATTACATTCATTTAAAAAAAATGCTTGCCAGGCCCCATAACATTAGCCTTGTTTCCTGCTAGTGGGAAGTGAGGCAGGGTGTGAACACACCGGGGTGGAAGATGGACTCACTTGCAGGCTGGTCTGAGCAGCAAGCAGATCAGGCTTTCTCCCACCCTGAGCATCTGTGGGGTTTTTCTTTGCTTTCTGTTTTTTTCTTCGGGTTGGGGGGCAGTGTCTTTCTCTCACACCCATTGGTTAAAACGTTCTTGCTTTCCGAGTATAATCTGTTGTGAACAGAGAGGAATCACAGGGAGAAATGTCAGGATATTAGAAAACCGATTGTCTGATTTTTGTAAAAATTTCGCTTGCTGTTTGTTGATGAGGTTTTAATCACATTAGTCAGAAATCAGCATGCTGGAAGTGACTGTGGAGAAAAACCTTTATGATCTCAGTATTTGTTCTTTTCCTGGCAGAGGTACCCAGCCTGTGGCCTGAGTAAGTAAATTCACTTAAAACCTGTTTATTTGCTCATCAATTTTTGTTAGTGTTTGTGTATTTAATGTGTGGCCCACTCTTCTTCTTCCTGTGTGGCCCAGAGATGCCACAAGGTTGGGCACCCCTGGAAGTGAAAGGTCAAAGGAACCAAGAAAGGAACTATGCTAACAATCAGAAGTCTTCGGTTATGGGGCGAAATCTCAGTGACTTAACAAGGGACCCACCTTGGTACTTCTGCGGCTCACTCGCTTTAGTGACTATTACCTTAGGGCCCCTGTGTGCCAGGACTGGTGCTTGTGCCCATGCCCTGACGCCCGCCCGGCTCTGAGGCCCGCGCTTGGTCCCAGGGACTGGCTGAGCTTCTGGACTGTCTCAGAGCCATGTCTTCAAAGGGGCTTCCTTAGCCAGTGAGGGTCTCAGGCCTGTTAGAGTCACAGTAACCACTTACCTCCATACTGTAAACCCACCCTCGGGAGAAATCGGGTGGGACATACATGGATGCGCAATTACATTTTCATTACAAGGCAAGAAAAGTGAAATCAGGCATGAATATTAGCGTATGTCCAGAGCCTAAAGATTATATATTCCCTTGTATCATTGTTCATTTTGTGGACAGGTATCTGCATGTAGTTTTGGTGAGGTAAACATTAATAGACTTAGGAGAATCTCAGTATTTTTCAGTACCTTGAAAAAAATAGAAACCGTTGTTTTGTTGGGTAGACAGACCAGCTGGTCTAGATCACAGTAATAACTCAGTGTATGTTGATGTCAATGAAAAGTGTGTAGGCAAGTAAATATCTGTCTGTGAGCCTGAAACAGTTTTTTGAGTGAGGTCTAACTTCATATGTATTCTTAACAGAAAATGATTTTAGACTCAGATACCCATGCTTCAGCTTGGCTATAGAATTCTGACATTGATTTAACCAAGTGACTCTGATGTTCCTTTGTTTTTCTTCCTGCAGTTGATTCATGCCGGCAAGGGAGAAGCCATCAGGATCAGATCCATTCTGAGATCCCTCATTCCGCTGGGAGACTTGGTGGGAGTGATCAGCATTGCTTTCCCGATGCCCACAATAGCCAAGGGTGAGGCCCGCTCTCTGTAGGTCAGTGGGGCATCGCGAGGCAGGTCTCACCAGTGCTCAGCATCTCCCTCCCTGCGTCCTAGGGACACTACTTAAGTTTCTTTAAAACAAGAAAAGAGCTATAAAGTGCATTATTCTATAAAATGTTTTCTGTTCTCATTGCTTTTAAACAGCTGTGTTTCTGATCAGGAAGGACACCCCTCAGCTGTCCTGTGTGATTCCCCTGCTGGTGTTCTGTGGGCCCTGTGTTCTCTGTCGTTCTCAACCGTAATTCCTTAACTCACTCTGACGGTTTTCATGGTCACTTCCTCAACTGTTCCCGCCCCCAAAACGATGATCATAGCTTTGGGCTGAGAGATTTAGAAATTAGCAGTATGTTGAAAGAAGTGCTCTTTTCAAGACTGAGGAGAAAAATTTTTAAAGTAATCTTTTTCTATTTGACCCAACATGCCATTTTTGGTATAGAAACCACGAGGGATCGGTTTTCCAACTGTAACTGGAATATTTAGTGAAGTCGGCCTCCTGTCCACAAATCAGCACCCCACTCGGCATCAGCTAAGGACCTTCCTTACACGTTTGTCACACTTGTTCTAGAATAGGAGTGTGGCCCAGAGTAACAGTGGAAGAGGGAGGGGCTCACAAACCTTGGAGGCCAGCCCAAGACCTCAGAAGGAGACGAGGAGACTTTGCTCCCGCAGCTTTGGGCACAGGCAGGCCGGACAGTCGTCTGAGGCGGCTACTTCAGGCAGATGGAGGCTGCAGGCCCCAAGGGTGAAGCCAGTGCCCGGCCCTCCTCCCTCCAGTTCACAGACCAGATGTGTGAGAGGAGGCCGCCCGTGGGCTTTGCTGTCTTCCGTGCTCAGACGGTGGGCAGATGGCAGCGTCTGTGGTGCACCAGTGGGTTCTGGGCCCAGGCGGCTGCCGTTGTCTGCTCCTGAAACCAGCGAGCGCCTCGAACACAGGCTCAGCTCGGTGTCAGTGAGTGGCTCACTGTTTCCTTAGGCTCCACTATATGTTAAAATAATAAAATCTGAAAAATTGAAATTTTGTATCATTTTTATTTTTAATCTTGCATCAATTCTAATTTCATTGAAAATTTAAAAATTTTTTTGATATCTGATAAATTTAAATTTTGTATAGATTTTTAGGAGACTTGAACTGGAACTTCATATAGGCTTTTAATTGAAAATGATAGGCCCTGGCTGGGTAGCTCAGTTGGCTAGAGCATCATCATCCTGATGCACCAAAGTTGCGGGTTTGATCCCTGGTCAGGGCACACAGAGGACTCAACCAGTGAATGGATGAGTAAGTGGAACAACAAAATGTTGTTGTGCTCTCTCTCAAATCAGTGAATAGAAAATTTTAGTGCAGTGATTTAACACTAGGTTAAATAAACATGAGGTTAAATAAACGCTAGGTTAGATCAGTTTTGGTTGGGTTTTAAATCCAATTTTACTTGATTTAGATTTAAATTTGCCAATTAGTAGGTGTACATTCTTAGTATTTATTTTTTAATATAATTTTCCTTAAAACATTGTTACTTGTTTATTTTCATGATGTAAATATAAAATTCATTCATTGACTGTGAATGAAAACCAAAAAGCTCATGTTTTGGAATGATTATGGTCGTGTATCATCTCTCCCTGGTACTTCTTTGTCCAATAGCGTGCCTATTGAAGGTTCCGTGGTCACCTTCATGGGGCCTTCTCAGTGCTACGAGCAGCAACCACATAGTTAGCACGTGCCAAATGGGGGACATACCACCGTCTCAATATGTGAATTGAGACAGTCATCTCATAACTTCTCATATTAATGGTCCCCAACCTATGAATCTGTGGACTTATTTTAGGGGTTTAGTAATTTATATAGGCATCAACACTGGTTGTTATCAGAGAAAATAGTACAACTCTCAAACATGTTCTATTTTTAAAGATTTTGTTTGTTTATTTTTAGAGAGAGGGAATAAGAGGGGAAAAAAGAGAGACATGGATTTGTGGTTGCCTCTTGCACACCCCCTACTGGGGACCTGGCCTGCAAGGCAGGCATGTGCCCTGACTGGGAATTGAACTGGTTCAAAGGCTGGCACTCAATCCACTGATCCATACCAGCCATGTTCAAACATGTTTTAAACATTGTTAATTCCACTCTAATTATGGTCATTAAACATAGTGCATTTGAAAGTCAAACTGGTTTCAAAGAGCTGTTTCATCATTTTGTAATGATCCTATAAATATGTAAATGTGCCATGCTTATCACATAGTGGATAATGAGTTTTATTAATGTGTAAAAGATGCTCCTGTTCTTGAAAAGAGTGAACACCTCAGCTTACATTTTAACTTTTTGTGGATTTGACTCCTTGCTTCACTGTGGGGGCGTGACTGCCCTTGGTTTCCTTCTCCTCGTCTAGCACAGTGCTGATTCCTTATCACACAGTGCGCGTGGCTGACAGATGAATGTGCACGTAGCATTGGAGGGACCTTGGCCTTAAGCTGCACCGTCATATGTCCTCAGCCAGTTCTCAGCATTTGCTTGTTCCCTGGAATAACTGGAAACCATTGAACAGATAGCTGCACTGAAAGCGTGGGGAGGCTGAGAAGTAGCCGTCTGTAGCTGTCTCCTGAAGGGCAGGGCCACTGACTGCCGCGTGTCGCCTTCTCTCTTTTAGATGGGAGTGTGGTGGAGCCCGACATGTCTGCGGGGTTTTGCCCAGATCACAAGGCAGCCATGGTTTTGTTCCTTGACAGGGTCTATGGAATTGAGGTTCAAGATTTTCTCCTCCACCTTCTAGAGGTCGGCTTTCTGCCAGATCTCCGGGCTGCTGCTTCTTTAGATACGGTAATGATGCGAGCTTCTGGCTTCCTCAACTTTTTTTCATAGCTGTATTTATTCATTTATTTATTGTCACCTAACGTTTATTGAGTACCTATTTACACTTTTTAGGCAAGCAGTGGGTAAACAAAATAAAATAGACTATTTACTCAAGGAATTCATTGACTAGTGGAGGAGACCGCAGCTGGAGAAGGAGATAAAAACTCTGGTCAGGTGCAGCGGAAGACCAGAGGACACTCACATGGCCCTGACCACAGGAGGTCCCGGCGGCTCCTGACAGCCTCCATGTTGACTTAAGCAGTTATTCTTCCCAATAACGCAGTTAGAGTACTAAGACGGTTTAATGGACACTGTTGAGAGGTGTAGTTACAGTATCATCCTACTGTTTTCATTCGTCAGCATACAGATGGGCTAAAATCTGTCCCGAGTGTCCAGTGACCTAAACTGAGACTCGGCCGTCATCAGTGGACAGGCTCTGCTGTGTCAAAGGCTGGGGCAGGGGTTGTGGCTCTGCATGTTGTCCAGCGGCCTCAGCGCCACTTTGTTTGAGTCTCAGCTCAGTGAGTCTCTTTGATTTCAAGGGAAATAGATTTTTAATTGACAGCAGTTCTTTTATGAAAGTCATGAGATGAGAATCATAAAAATGAAGTTAAATTTTTTTCTTTGGGTGTGTCCCCTGAAATTCTGGGACAAAATAGTACAGGTAATAGCCTGGTGAGGCAATCAGCCCTTGAGCGTTGATGCTGGCGGATGTGAGCAGGAGTATCAACAGCACTAATGGGTGGATTCAGAGAGGGTGTGGGAGCGCGAGCTGTATCAGGAGGGTGAACTGTTTTTCCCCCGGGTAGAGTACTCACCCCCTCTAATGTCATCAGAGTCTTTAGCTTTTGTTTTTCCTACTCTTTATATTTTATGATAGAATATGCACCTCTTGGCTCTTGGGCTCTTTGAGGACATATCACTTTATTTATTTTTATTATTGATAAGCAGTTGAAAGTTGACTTTTTTCCGTGGTAAAGACTACGTGAACCACACTTAAGGGTATAACAGAAGCACACACTTCTGTGTTTCACATTTTGTCACTTTCCAGATAGTGAAATCACACATCAGCATGTCGCTCCCCAAAGGCAGATGACTTTCTATCAGTATTCTCCGGTTGCTTTCCAGGCGGCCTTGAGTGCTACGGACATGGCCTTGGCCCTCAACCGGTACCTCTGCACAGCCGTGCTGCCTCTGCTGAGGAGGTGCGCCCCGCTCTTTGCCGGCACCGAGCCCCATGCGTCCCTCATTGACTCACTGCTCCACACTGTGTACAGGCTGTCAAAGGGCTGCTCGCTGACCAGGGCCCAGCGGGACTCCATAGAAGTTTGCTTGTTGTCCATTTGCGGGTGAGTAGGCGCCAACTGTCCCCCGAGCCACCTCCTTAAGTTTAAGAAAGAGAATTGAATTGCTCTGTGGCTCTTGACAAATCGTTATGAATTTTGGCAATAATTTCTGTGCAAGAATTAATTTCCTTTAGGAAGTTCTATGTACTGAGGCATGAGTCAAGTTCAGGAGTGCTCCTCCAGGCCTTGGCTATGGTGCTGGGCCCACTCTGCTGTTCTGGAAGTTGGTAGGCAAGAGACTGTGAGGGGTCCCTGGCCACTTCCGTGTCAGATATTAAATAGATTTTCCGCTTTCAGCTGGTCAAAGGTTTTAACTCCTCTTCCAGGATAGAAGAGTAGAAGGTCCTGTTAAACACGAATAATGATACAGTATAATGTGAAGGTGTTACTTCTGTGTGGCAGTGATGAAGGCCGGCTAGTTCCGCCAGCTTGGGAAACCACTTTCTGTAGGTAGAAGTCTTCAAATGCCTTCCAGTGGAAACCAGAAACACATCTCCTTCCTCTAAAGTTCTGACAGTAAAAGGGACACTTTCAGGGGCCCCACACAAGGCCGGGGCTCCTTTCTGATTGGGCAGGAGCTGTGAGAGGGAAGGCTTGCTGCCCAGCACTGTGCAGTGAAGGGAAGGTGTTCCCCCACAGCGGACTGTCGGGTGTGGAAGCCAAATGGGACTGAGGGAGCTGAGAGGTTAGGACTTAAGTTCTCTCACTTCTCTGATGCTAAAATTCTATAAAATGGAATCAAAATACATAATCTCATAAATTTTTTTTCTACACTTTGAATGGGGTGAAGCCTTCAGGGTTGCTGGACACGGGTGTGCACTGTGTGTTGGTCATCTTCCCCTTCATGCTCTGCTTCCTGTCTGGGCCCTGGGGGCCCTTCCACCCTGGGAGTGAGGGAAGGCACATTGGCCAAGTTGCTGGAGCCCATGGGCTCCAGGCTGTGTGTTAGGGTGGGAGGGGAGCAGAAGAGATGCACGTCCTGTAGTGAATAAGGACGGGCCTTCAGATTTGGGGGTAGAGATGAGAGGCCGGTGGAACCACTGATAGAATCGTGGGACTGTTGTTTAATCTTGGGGCCGGGGCCACCTGAAGTTAACATTCTCTGAAGAGAGGGGTATGTGCAGTTCTTGGCATATTTAATTTAGTCTAATGAATTGTCTACTTAGTTTAGACATGTTAACTCCATTATTAAAATCAGCTTTGTTCCACCAGCCAATTGAGACCTTCCATGATGCAGCACTTACTCAGGAGATTAGTGTTTGATGTCCCGCTGCTAAATGAACATGCAAAGATGCCTCTTAAGGTAAGGGCAGGACCCATTCATAGTTATTTGATTACCGGGTCCTCTGGCTTAATTTCCCTTTACGACCTGTACATCTCTAGCTACATCATGTTCGATGTTAGATGTTGGAAAATTTCCTCCAGTGGTTGAAATGGGCATGTAAGTATAGATATGTGTATATCAACCCAAAATAAATAAGCAATAGCAGACCATACAAATCCTGAGATTGATTTTCTGTGAGTCGGTCACAATGGAAATCAGTGGGAACAAATGGCCCACAAGAAAAATAAGAGCCAAGAGATGCTCAGAGGGGAACATGATGACAAGCCTAACCTCGAGTTCTAGGGACCTCGAGGATATAGAGCAGGCTTTATCGACAGCGTTTTCTTTCTTTCTTTTTTTTTTTTTTAAGATTTTATTTATTTATCTGTAGAGGGGAAGGGAAGGAGAGAGGGAGAGAAACATCAGTGTATGGTTGCCTTCGTGCGTCCCCTGCTGGGAACTGGCCTACAGGGAACTGGCCTGGAACCCGGTATGTGCCCTGACTGGGATTTGAACCTCGATTGCGTGGTTCGCAGGCCCGCACTCAATCCACTGAGCTACACCAGCCAGGGCTTCGACAGTGTTTTCTGAGTTGACAATCTAACAACAGTCTCCAAATGCCATCCAACAAGCCTCGGAGCTAACTTTCTGTACACGCAGTACCAGAAAGTTGCTGTGGGGAGAGAAGGCCAGGACATCCTCTGCTCTGTCACTCTGCTCATGAGTGGCCACACCCCACACTGTCCTACTGACCCGGGGCTACTCTCTGTCCTCAGACAGCCGGTCTAGGCTCAGGACTCAGGTGCCAGGTGCACACTGATAGAGTGGTCTGTGTGTGGAGGTCATGGCCATGTCTGGGCATTTTACAGGTAGCCACACAGCACGGCACTACTGTCTAGTGAGCACCTTCTTCCTCATGGACACCAGCAACATGCTGGGAAAGAGTTTTGAGACACAAATGTGCCTGTATTTTGAGCTGCTGTTATGCTAAGCCTGCCTCAATGTTTGGCAAAAATAACCACTATGAAAATTGATTTTGGTTTAATAAATTTAGATAGATGGATAAATTATATAATTATATCCTTGCCAAAATCTCATTTTAATCTTTTTTTTTTCATCCAGGATAGCCCTTGTCCTGCAAAATTTTCTTGATCTAAATGAGCTGGAATATCCCTGAGAAAAAGATACAGTATGACTTCATGTGATAAAACTCTTTTATAGTGTACCTATTTTCAAGTCAGTCTAAGCAAAATCGGATCTCAGTGTTCTATCATTTGGGAATCCTGAATTTGTGTGTTTTGTAACTGAGAGAGAAGCCAAACTAAAAGAAATATTTCCATTGTAAGCAATGTAGTTAGCTTTTATAACAGTAAAAGCTAACTTATCATTTCCCTCCTTAGTTAGTGAGAGGAGAATCCAGAAACTTGTAGTTGATTCATAAACATCATTTTGTTAACTTGGCAACTAGTTGTGAATATTAGTTTATTGATCAAGAATAAATTATCCAAAGAGCTTCCAAATAATCAAAAGATTCTGTACCTATCTTTGAATTTCCAGTTCAGTTCTGAGCAAGTAAAATATTTATAGGAAAACATAGACACTCAGTAAGGTTACAAATTGCATCTGTAACCACCAAAGTAATATACTTAGATAAAGAAACTATTGAAGTGGGCAGTTTTGGGGGTTTACGGAGAGAAGTTAGGTCATAAATTGTGGCGATTAGGGTTGGCAGAGAGGATGCTCAAATGTCCAGGGGTGTAGCTCCCCTAGAAGGCGCATATTGGGTCCCGTGTCCTAACACTTGTGCTCCGAGGCACCCTGGCCTCAGCCCCTTGTCATGCGCATGGAGTTCAGGGGAAAACCGCTCATAATGACTGTGAGTGAGTGAGAGCCACTGAAAAGCACACAGACTCATGAAGAATGTGCAGGGTGAGTCATTTGTCAAACAGGGTGTTCCACCTCCAGACTGCAGTCAGTGTTAGGTCTCAAAGAGATGCGAAATACACACTAAGAACTTCCTCCCAAAGAACCCACGTGGATCGAGCAGTTTCGTCCAGTCGATCGTATTATGTGGTGGTAGAACGCCGCCACCTGGGAAGAAACGGAAAAGTGCCAAAGGCGTCTTGGGCTCATTGCTTTCGTAATTGTTTCCCCACATAGCTGCTGACAAATCATTATGAACGGTGCTGGAAGTATTACTGTCTGCCTGGAGGGTGGGGAAACTTCGGAGCTGCCTCAGAAGAAGAGCTTCATTTGTCAAGAAAATTGTTCTGGGGAATTTTTGATGCCCTGTCTCAAAAGGTAATTTAATATTTTTGTGGGTTTATTTGTATGATAAAATAATTAAAACCATAGGTTCTTGGTAAGACTTTAAAAGACTCCCATAATTTTATTTAAAAAATTTTTTATCTTTTCTGAATTTATAGCAAATGTTGAGAATGCAGTTCATTTTGGCTTTTCATCATTGCTATGGTAACATGTTTCTTGTGATTATAACGCTTTCTGAATTTAAGACAGCTAAGCATTTTAGGAAATTATGCACACGAATTGATACATTTCTGATCTATTTGTACTTACTTACTCTCAAACTCCCCCTAATCACCTCCCCAATTTTATAAAACCTGAAGAAATCATATCAAATATGAACATATAGTATATAAAGTCCCCCGAGGGTACTATTCCAGGGGTTCACCAACTTGCCTGCTTCGCTGCTGTGAAGAAGGAAGCCCGCCCGCACCCAGAGCCGCTTTCCGAGTGGCCGGCCCTTACAGTGCCCGCGTTTGCACCGGAGAGCCGGGGCGCCTCCGGCAGCTGCGCGGTGGCAGGTCAGACAGGAGGAGATGCTGCGCTGCCGGCGGTTGTGCCGAGCCTGGAGTCGCAGGCCTGTGGACCTCCCCCGACAGACGCTGTGGGTGGCCGGAGTCGCTTCCTGATGGGGGACAGTTCCTCTGGGACTTACTTAGCAGTGACTTCATGATACTTTCTCTTGCTGAATTGTCTTTTGTAAACAGAGTCCTTTTAACATAATACGTAGAAGGTATTTTTAGAAGAATTTACAACATTAATTTACAATTGAGTGGTTAAAGCGAGATAACTTTTAGAGGATTACTATTTTTGATTTAAAAAATTCTCTAAATACAAAATTAATGGTGTGGTTAATATACAAATGCCTCTTCCCAGAAATTCTAAGTATGCGTATTTGTTGTGGCACGTCTTTCCTAGTGCAGGGCTTTTTTATACTTCATAATGCAGCCCAGAGCAGTCAAAGCCTCTTACCCGGGGATCTTTTTGAAGGTGTTTTCTATGAGGTCTTTGTAATGTGAGGTGGCAATAAATAACCCCTTACTGAGAAATACAGTCCTCATTGATGGGAATTATGTTTGTGTTGTACAGACATGTTACAGAGTTACTTTGTTACATACTTAGAATATTTGAGGCTGTGTCACCTCAAATATTGAAGAATAAACGTTTAGAGAGGCAAACATTGGTTTCTCCTTCGGCTGCACCTGCAGCGTGCAGCCGTCAGCTTCTCATGCTTGTGGGATCTCAGGCCGAACGTCCCATTTTCAAGATGCCGAATCTGCTAGTGAGTTCGGTTACCTGGGTGGGGGGATGGCAGAACAGATTCAGACTTTTTCCTACAACATTTTATCCGTCGCAGATCGTGTTGGCAGCTTTGGCTAAGCAGTGACATGCTTTCGTTTGTTGGTCTTCTGTTTCTTCCCCAGAAATACGAACAAGAACTTTTCAAACTGGCCCTGCCCTGCCTGAGTGCCGTGGCTGGAGCTTTGCCTCCAGACTACATGGAGTCCAGTCACGTCAGCGTGATGGAGAAGCAGTCCTCCATGGACGCCGAAGGCAACTTCAACCCACAGCCTGTCGAAACCTCCAAGTATGGACTTGCCGTTGCAGCAGCTTTTTACTGTAGATGATGAGTGAGGTGTGAGACTGACTGAGGTGCCGGAGTGAGCTTCCTCCCATCCGCGCCCCCTCTGAACTGGTGTGCTTTTACTAGGGGCCCCTTCCTTGATGAAACAGCAGTGGCCATGGCGGTTACCTGAGTGTCAGAAGTAGATGAGGTACACCTTCTCGGGCACTCTCAGTAGAATCAGGGTTCTCTGTGTGACACCCCAGGGGCAGTCTGGAGTGAGGAGAATCACATCGGTTATATTGTTAGCTGAAAACGTGCCCAAAGTGACCATTAAAATTTCAGCCGACTTCCGTGCCCTGTCTGTGACCCGGGTGCTCTGGGCAGGAGTGCAGCAAGGCCCCTGGGAGCTGTCGCTTCACGTCCCATCTCCGCAGCAAGGCCTGGAGTTGCTCCTAATGCTCAGTGTGCAAGGCCCAGCCTGAGGTCGGCGGGAATATCAGATGAGAATGTCCGTGGGAAAGTCAGTGTGCAGTTAGAATGCACTGTGACACCTTCACTGCCGATAAAACGTCACTGAATATGGTGCAGCACCTTCTGAGTGCTCAGTTGCAAACATTGTCAGACAGGTAGGATGTTAGGGCACCTCAGGTGTTCGGAGTTCAGCACTTTTGTTGTTGCTGTCACTGTCTTTAAGTAGGACCATGGTTTCCTGTTCGCAAGGAAGCTGTCTCTTTCATCACTCAGCAAGATGAGTAACCACAGGGCCGTCCCTCCGTAGTCCCTCTCCACGGCATTGGAGCTGACTGGGGAGCTTGAAGGTCAGGCGTCAGGGCAGCCCACCAGCTGGTTTAGCCCCCACACCCAGATGACTTCAGACTTCGTGGTATTTTTATTAGCTTGGCAGTGCCTTAAATTTGCATGTTTGGTGTTTGAGGACAGTCCTGTGAGGAAGGACTCTACCCCACTGCTGGGCTTATGTGGCTAATCCTTTGTATTTCTTCCAAAGCAAGTAAACCAAAAGCACATGTTGATATTCCTACATTGGTAAGTTTGTGGTTTGCTAACATACAGTATAATCCAGGATTTTAAAATAACTTTAGAACAATGTCATAGTTTGATTAATTAAACCTAACTAGTTAATAAGTGTTAGGCATGTGTATTAATTTACCTAGAATTCCCCTTTGGGGACTTCTTAACAGATTAGGTTTAAAGAGTAGTCTCAGTAAGTTCTTTGTTTCTGTGATTTTTCTACATTGCTTCTTACATGTATGTCCTATGGTTCAGTTACTGACCGATAATGTGCTGGAGAAGAACAGTAAACCGTCTTATCAACTAGATTCAGTCAGAATTCTAGTCTCAAGGTTAAGTGCATTAGTAAGGCATACTTCCTAAAGAACAGAATGCTGTATATTAATTTTTCATTCATGGATATATTTGATATTTGGAAGTCTTAGAGTTACCTGACTGGATCATCAATTGCATACACTCAGCACCTGTTAGGAGATTAAATATTTACTTAAACATAAAAGGAATCAGGAATAAATGTTACAAAATCATGAAGCATGAATTACTTACTTTTCCTTATAGTCTATATTAGTAACAATTAGAATAGGATGCATTGACCATTGATAATTAAAATCATTAATACATCGGTAGTGGTATAAAATTAAGTTAAAATATTAGTACACTTAAATAAGGTAACAGGTCAGATTTCAGCCATTGTTCACCCATGTCTCGTTGTGGAAGAGACTTCAGTCAAAAAAGAAAAATAATTTCAAAAAATGAATGCGGGGGAAAAGTGTGTCTTGAAACTTGGTGCGTTTAACCATATCTTGATTGTCCTCATCTTTGAATACATTTTAATTATTTTTATTAATGCTATGCGTAGTTTTATTTTATATAACTCATGTTAAGACATAAAGTATGAACTAGCATATGATAAGCAGATAGAAGCTTATCTGCTTGACTTTCCTTATATAATTCCTGTCGTATGGAGAAGTAGTTCCTTGTTAAAACCACTTTTTAACAGCTATGCATTGAATGGGATTTAAGCCGTCGGCAGCTGTGAGTAAATTGTTAATGTGAGTTTGTGTAATCCTGTGAGAACCCAGCCTTTTCTCTCTACTTCTCTCACAGTATCACAATTCCCGAGAAGCTGGAATACTTCATTAACAAGTACGCTGAGCACTCCCATGACCGATGGTCCATGGACAAGGTAACGCCAGGGCTGCCCAGGCAGCTGCAAGTGTGGCTGGTGCCCACTGCCCGGTGGCTCTGACCGGGCGGTTTTCTCTGTTGGGGTGAGAGCTTGGTTTAGATGAGGGAAGAGCATGTAATCGTGACCTGCTCATGTGGTGTTTATGTGGCACTGTCTGTGGTACACACATGAACACGTATGAGCAGGAATAGTCATAAGTAGCACAGTTTTAAATTTCAAAAAACCTATTAAGTCATATACATAGCACATGGTTTGTGGGAATAAACAGTAATAATCATCAGGGGCTTCAGGAAAAAGTAGTGACTCTGGGTCCAGAAATACTTTAAAGAAACTTTAGCTTTATGTGTGAGTTTATATTAGAAAAAATTTTGAAAATTATTAATTGGAATTTAGTGATCGTTTACACCTTTAACTCTCCTGTTGTGCTTCTTATTACCAAGTCAGTATCAGTTCACTGAGAATGGATTACTTGGCAAGGTGACGTGTCTTCGTGTTGTCTGAGTCAGCCTGAATGAGATGACCAAGCCGGTGCCGTCCGGGACGTGAAGAGGTTTTCTGAGGGAAACACTGTGTGGAGAAGCCACATTTAAGTTGAGCCTGTTAAACTTGAGAGTGGACGTTTGTCAGAGAAGCTGAGCTGAGGGCATGCATAGTCTAGAATGAGGGTGTAGTGATGGGGGTACTGAAAATCCAGTAGTGAAGCTACCGGAGGATGTTACCCAGCCACACAGTGGTGCCTGCAGTACCCAGATCCCGCCTGACCCTGGCCACCCAGTCCTCCTCCCGCTAACAGCTCCCTTTCTGTTTTATAAACCTGTGGCTCTTTCCTGAGTCGTTTAATTGATTTACCAAGTAAGGCAGTAAGAGCTAGGTGTCTGTTTTATACAGTCTTCTAGGCAGTGAGCTGGTGGAGGGGGAATGGAGACAAGTTGACAGAAGGCAGTGCTGGGCTGTGCCCGCAAGTCCCCCAGATTCCACAGGCAGACGAAATTGCAGAGGCAAAATCATGGGGGAGAGACATGTCAAAGGGTGTTAGACAGGGCAGTGGGCAAAATGATGAGTATTATTCAGGATGCTTCCTAAGGAAACACCGCTCCCGCTGCCTCTTCCACACACACGTGCCCTGGGTGGGCTCCTGCCCAGGACAGGTCTGGGAGTGGGGGTGGGGAGGGGGGAGCCTGGGACTTGGGGCTGCCCGGCCTGGCTCATTCCCGGCCCGTGTGTTTAAGGAAGTCTGGGCACTGCCACTCTCGGGATGAAAAGACTTGTTCAGGTGACTGATTGCTCAGACTGGGGTTGGCTAGGAAGTTTTTACACTGACTTAACTCTGGATAAAGTTCAAACCTTAATCCTTATCTTGGTTCATTTCAGATTTATTTTATCAGCACATACTTAAACATGTACACACCTACACTCTCTGAAATTAACACATACGAACCAATTTTGATGTTTGTTTTGTTTGTAGTTGGCCAATGGATGGATTTATGGGGAAACATATTCAGACGCATCCAAAGTTCAGCCGTTAATGAAACCATATAAACTACTATCTGAAAAGGTGAGGATTTTAAAAGTTACATAGTTATAAAATTTTTCAAAATGTTTTCCTTTGTTATGTAATTTCTTATTAAAAAATCTTTTTTACTTTTTGTATACTATTTTAACCTTTATTCAAAGGTTCCTTTTTTTAATCTTTTGTCTTTTTGTGTCTATTCTTATTTTCTGTCAGTATTTAATTGGTTATTTTCTTTTCTACTTAATATTTTTCTGTTCTTTTTCAATTTTTATTTCTCTCCTGTACGCTTAAGGATTGTAGAAAATATTATTTTTAAGAGTTTCTTAATTGAGGAACAGTGAAGTAATATTTTAATATTATTGTAAGTTTTCATATATTTTACTTCTTTGGGAGAAGTCAGTCTCTTGTGAAATGAAGTAAAACGATTTTCAAGCATGGTGCTTGTGCAGGGAAGTTTTCTCTCTCTTTATTCCGATGGTACAAGAGCCTTTGCTCCCGTGCCCTGGAATCCGCACTTTTCCCCAAGCAGGCTTCTCCTTCTGGTTCCTGTCTGCAGTGCCAGGAGCCGGGCCCTGGAAGGTCGCCAACCTCCAGGCTGCAATAGGCAGGGGTCTCTGTTAGCAGCATCGTGCAAACTAGGGCTCAGCTCATACTCTGCTTTTCAGAGTTTTTACTTTCCTTTTTTATTTTTGAATGAACTATGTCAGTCAATTTTTTTTTTAAATGAAGGTAGTCTATCTCACAGCAAAGCATTAAATATGGGTGTGGTACAAGTAACAAAATCTTTATTTCAAAAAATCTTTTATTATAAGATCATAAGCATGTAATTCTGTAACACAGCAATATCACAGTCAAGCACACCATGTGACATTGTAGGTGAAATCTTCAAATTAAAACTATAAATGATTGCACCCACATTATTTCCCTGCCAGCCACACTCAAGCAGGCCTTACTTTTCCTGGACCCTGTGGTTTTTTTTTCCCCATCTGGATTTTCAGTACTCTCCACCCCTTTATTTTCTCTTCCTTTTTGTCTCCAGGAAAAAGAAATTTATCGCTGGCCAATCAAAGAGTCCTTGAAGACGATGCTGGCGTGGGGCTGGAGGGTCGAGCGCACGCGGGAGGGGGACGGCATGGCGCTCTGCAGCCGCACGCGGCGCGTCTCGCAGACCAGCCAGGTGAGGCCCCGGAGCAGGCCTCCGTTCACGGTGTTGTAAACTCGTTTTAATCTTTTATTTAATTATTGGGTTTTTTAAACAGTTTGAAATATTTGAAGATCAATATGTTTACAGGGGATAACCATATTTGTTTCTTTTTTAAAAACTCTTAAGTGAAGTCTTGGTGGAAGTCCGGGGTGATTCGTAGGCCAGGCTTTTCCTGGCCGGGTTGTGAACAGGGACCCGAGAGCAAGGTCTTGACCGTTCCCTGGTTAAAAAGGCTGTAGAGTGTGTCCACGTCTCAGCACTTTCTCCTCCTTTCCAGAAGAACGGAAGGTTGGCTCTCAGGGAGCAATGAGTGGTCTAGTGGCAGACTCAAGATGTGTGGGCGACCTTTCGAAGGTGGGGAAGGCAGGGAGGGAAAACCTTGTTCCATGAAACCTCTGACAGCCCGCTGACACCTTGGTTTTAGTCCACGAAGACCTGTGCCAAATGTCCAACATGCACTCAGTTTATCGTGACCTCTGACAGGGATAATAGGAAATTAGCACAGTTATAGGATGGATACCAGACAGAGGTGGTAATGAACAGCTGAAACTTAAGTCTAGAACACAGGAGAAACTTTAAGCTACATCAGTTGGTTTCTGCTTTATTAAGAAATAGTTGATAAGTTATATATCTAAAGTAGGTATGTATGTGGACACTAGAAAAAATACTATATGTTATACTTTTAAAAGCAATGAGTTGGTTATTTTTTATCTTAATATTTATTTAGCCCATAAAGACACATAAATACTAACTTCTTTGATTAATCAATTTAAGTCAATTTAATTGACTTATTTATTTTGTTAATGCGAGGAAGAGTAAGTTCATTGCAGCCAATTATAATTTGTAAGAAACTCAAGAATACAATGATTTTTTGTTTCTTAAGGAAATATTTTAAAATCTTGGCATCATTGCGCAAGTTGTTGAGTCCTGATTCTTACCTTTAGAGGTGGGCAACCCCTAAGATGTTGGAAATTGTTATGTAGTCGTACACAATTGTCAGACACCCCAATACAATGTAATTTGCTAGATATGTTTGTGAAATAAGTTTGTGTAGATTCTTGACAGTTTTATCTGAGGAAACGTGTGTGGGAGGCTTGTTTGCCTTGCATTTCTGCAGTATCTCTCCCATCTCTTTCCATGGGGCATTTCATGAGATTCCACTTTTCCCATCAACTGTCTAGGTTTCCATAGATGCCGCCCATGGGTACAGCCCCCGGGCCATCGACATGAGCAACGTCACACTGTCCAGAGACCTGCATGTAAGTGTCGGTGGCTCTTTAGAGTATTCTGTGAATTTCCTGTTTCCCATGCACCTTCCTGCATGTGTTTTGCAGTGCGAATTGTTTGCATGTGGCCATCATATGTTGGGCCTGTGGAACTTGTAGATTACGTACCCAACTTATTCATGCTGTGAAAGCTGGTGCGGTTTTTCCTAGGATGTTTCTTCCAGGTAACATATTTTCTTTGAGGATAACATCCGTTAAATTAAAGCTCTTCAGTATTTTCATGTCATTAAATGTCTGGGGTGGGAAGGAGGTAAATCAGTCCCTAATGATGCTGTGCTCAGCGAAAGCCCTCATGCTCCTTACAGAATATGGATGGTTAGTTGTTTGTCCACAGAAACTGATGGCACTGTGCTTGCTTCAGCATATTTTTAATTGTTGTCTTACATTTTATTTAAAAATCATAATTTACATTCAGTGTTATTTTGCATTAGTTTCAGGTAAACAGCACAGTGGGTGGACAATTACTTACTTTACAAAATGCTCTCCCAGTATTTCCAGTACCCACCAGGCACCATACACAGTTATTACAATATTACAGACTAGACATATGAAAAGATGGTCAACGTCACTAATCAGCAGAGAAATGTGAATTAAAACTACAGCGCAATACCACCTCATACGTGTCAGAATGGCTGTCATCAGTAAATCCACAAACAACAAATGAGGATGTGGAGAAAAGGGAACCTTTGTGCACGGTGGATGGGAATGCAGACCTGGGCAGCCCCCGTGGAAAGCAGTATGGAGACACCTCAAAATTTAACAATTGATTTGCCTCGCGCTCCGCTCATGGTTTTAATCTGTCCTGTGTCACTGAGGGATGGCTGTGAAATGGCGGATTTGAGTGATAGATAAATTTGTTGCCATGGAACATAAGTTAACGGGCCAATACAACGATCAAATAATTATATTGGGGTTGTTAGTACTATCAAGAGAAATAAGTATTACCGAGAAAGAAATCTACATATTGTTAAATTGCTCCTAATGAATGTATTAAAATGTCACAGTAAACTTGAAAATCAGAAGTGAAAAGGATCGTAGAAGTTCCTTTTTGAAAACCCAAAGGTCCACAGAAAGGTTCATGTGGTCCGTCTAGGGCCTCCCCTAGTTTGGCCCAGACGGTGCTCCAGACACACAGTTTGTAACCGGTGTGCCTCGAGAATGTTTTGAACTTGCAGGACCTGACTCTGGAGTCAGGACCACTTTCCCTCCGATTGCTGAATGAGAAAATAACCACAGCCAACACAGCAGGTGTGGGCTGTTGTGAGTGAACTAAAATTACTCCTATTTTTCCATCAGGTAGGCAAAATAATGTATGTTTTGGTATGCCACAGGATATGAGTAATTAGTTTGTGTGTGCCAACATGAAAAAGGTTGAAAGTCACTGATCTTCTCTGCCATCAGTGTTTTATCAGGTTTAGAGGATCATAAGTTGTAACTGTGTTTTTGGGTGGAAGTCTGTAGGTAATTTGAAGTTTCATTGTTCAGTTAACACGGCACGTGCCATTAAACAGAAAGGACGAGGTCCCCACCGCACTGCTGTGCTGCCTGCTGCTCATTCGCGGGCATCAGCATCCTCCGCAGCCAGACGCCCAAGCGCACGCTGGTGTTCGGTCACATCCTGGTCGTGCCTCATGCTGACACACTGCAGTGTATTAATATAAAGCACGTTTTTATACTACGTATTGGGAAACAAAGCTAACTTTTGTACTTATTAAAGTGTAACTTAATTGCTAAATAATTTGTTCATTTAAGGCTATGGCAGAAATGATGGCTGAAAACTACCACAATATATGGGCAAAGAAAAAGAAAATGGAGCTGGAGTCCAAAGGTAATATTCTCTAAAAATACATAAGACTCATTTTCCCCTTCTGTGTGGGGCGGGAAGGAAGCGTGTCCCTGGAAGCGTGCCCTCCAACTGTGCCTGGCCCAGCAGGCGGGGTTCGCACCCCGCACATTCAGCGATGGCTGGCATGGAGCTCCCGGCCTCTCCCTGCCTGTGTGTTTGCCGGTGTGCTGGGCTCTGGCGCTCACGGACACCCATGTGCACGGGTGTGACTGCCTCCTCAAGGGCACGTGCACAGTCCTTCTTGGGTCGTCAGCGGCCCTGGAGAGGGAAGGGGCCCGAGAAACGTGCGGACCTGGAAGTTCTGTGGTGTGGTCCTGTTATATAGGCTGCCGCATTGCATTTCAGATTATTTGTGTTGCTCTTGTGTGTTCTCGTCTGGGCATTCTCTTAGGAGGGGGAAACCACCCCCTGCTGGTGCCTTATGACACACTGACAGCCAAGGAGAAAGCCAAGGACAGGGAGAAAGCCCAGGACATCCTCAAGTTCCTGCAGATCAACGGGTACGCTGTGTCCAGGTAAGAGCACGCCTGCTGCAGGACCTCATTCTTCCTGTGAGACTCAGTGTTAAACAGCCCACGGATTCAGTGGGGCCGGCAGTGGTCGCGATGTAAAGGGGTGTCCAACCTTTCCGCGTCTCTGGGCCGCACGTTCATTCAGTACATTGTGATAGGTAATCACACACGCACACAAATCTCGTAGTGTTGTAAGTAAATTTGCAGTTTTGTGTTGGGCCACATTCACAGCCACAGGTCGGACACCCTGGCAGGGCTACTCCTCAGTGTGCTGTGACACACGCCCTGGAAACACCAGTGCCCTTGACTGTTTGCCACGGGTCCCGAGAGCAGGTCGAAGTGCCGCCTACCTTAAATCCCCGTCTGCCATGCAGGCAGAATCCAGGCAACAGTGATGCTCTGGTTTTCGAAAGACAGCATTTTGCTGCGTAGTAATGGAGTTAGTAGGCATCATTTTATGTCAACGTATTCATCTTGTTCCTTCTAAGTTAAATTTTACTTTTGCCTTTAGGTACAGAATATGAGATAATCTTCTGAATTTATTTTTTCCCCATTTTTACTTTTCTATTTTTAAGTATATTTCATTGATTACGCTATTACAGTTTTCCCAGTTTTCTTCTCCCCGTTATCCCCCCTCTGCCCTACACACCCCCACCCTCCAGCATCTGCCTACCACTTAGTTCATGTCCATGAGTTACATGTAAGTTCTTTGGCTTCTCTGTTTCCTGTACTGTTCTTCTATATGTAATAAGTACAAAACTTTGATGAATGCATGTACATATATACACCTTCTAACAGCGCTCGTAGTTGGTCCTTTCCACAACTCTTTTGCTCTTCCAGGGGCTTCAAGGACCTGGACTTGGACACACCGTCCATCGAGAAGCGGTTCGCCTACAGTTTCCTTCAGCAGCTCATCCACTACGTGGACGAGGCCCATCAGTACATCCTGGAGTTCGGTGGGTGCCACGGTCCTGCCAGCAGCCCGGCCATCACTGGCGTCTGTGTGTCGGGGTGGAGGGAAGCACAGCCCCCATGTCCTGTGTGCTGGTGGCACACTTCCTGCCAGCCTGGTGCCGACCACAGTCTAACACTCAGTAGGCAGACGTGTTGTAGGGATGGCTGCATTTTGAGAACTTAAAATCTTACATAACTCCGTCCTTGTAAAGTTCATTGGCATTGATTTTTCACTTTGAAAGTATGCTGGATTGACATCAGAATTTAAGGTACAGTTACATCTTTCCTTATGGAATCAGGTGCTCTGTCCTTAAAATAACCTGAGAACACAATGGATTCCTGAGATTTCTAGGCAACATAAAGGCCTTGCGTTCAGCCTCTGCAGGGATGCCTGTCCAGGGTCAAGTGTCTGCAGTGCAGAGCAGGTTATTGTCCTCTTGGTAAAGTGCAGGATTTCTGCCCATCTGGCCTTGTGCCACCTGCGTTCGAAAGATTCCTCATTTTAAATCTCAGATTCAGGACATGTTCTTGATACTACTGCCTCTCATTTCTGCCGTGTCCCGTGCCATCAGCGCAGTCGGAGTGCAGCCCCAGGCTGGTCCCTCACCCCTCCCATCAGGCTGCCTCTGGAAAGCGGGCACTCTTCTGCGGGCGATTTTTAAGTTTTCTTTTTCACTCCTAAGGCTTGTTTGTTTTTTAATGCTGATTATTCCCATTTCCAACATGTTTTCTCAGCACCCACATCCTAGATCCCTGAGCGACAAATGCACCGTCAGCCTGCCCCTCCTCACCAAGGGCGCTGGGCCCTGTATTCAGGGGCCTGGCATCAGATTCAAGTTCATACAAATGTCCGCTCTGGTGTTTTCTTGTTTCCGGCCTCCCATATCCTAAGTGTGATTAAAGATTTTCTAGTTGTTCATTATTCTCTTTTTAAAAAATTGTTTTTAAAAATATTAAAAAACTTTAATGCAGTTGGCATACAGTATTATATTAGTTTTGGGTGTGTAGCACAGAGGTGAGAGGTTTACAGAACGTAGGAAGTGACCCCCCCGCCCCCCCGCCGAGTCTAGTGCCCATCTGGCACCATACACAGTATTACTGACCACATTCTCTGTGCTGGACTTTTCCATCACTGTGACTGTTTTTATAACCATTTATAAAGTTTTATGACTATTTATAAGCATAGGATAATTTATGCTTATCAATCTCTTCACCCTTTTTGATCTCTGTGCTATTCAAGAACCTCCCTTTCAACCTATCTATAGTCTAAAAGTTGTATTTTTCTGTCTTATTAACCACTGATCAAAAAAGCTGTTTATGCAACCTAATTTACAGCATATAATCTCTTTGTAAGTGAAACAATGATATATTTTGAAAATATGATTTATGAGTCATTCTAACTAGTAGCCAAATTAATCTGAATTAGTGAAATTTAACCAAAGAACAAAAATGAGGCCATGGTGAGTTTTTGAAGCTGTTTTGCACAAAGTTCAATATTAAAATTCCTCTTTCACGTTTAAAAGCATCTGATGTCAGTGGCCGTTCTGGGGGCCTGTCTTCTCTTTGTCAAGTGAGGGGGTGGAGGCGGGGGGAGTGAGCCTTTGGCGAATTGCCGGTTGTTCGCAGCCTCTCTGCTCAGCACGCTTCTTTCCCTCCACGGGGAGAAGGTGAGGCTAGATTCACAGAGATGACAAAACAGGCCTTACCTGCTGCTGCTGGTCCACGTACCGTTCCAGAGGCTGCACCCGGGAGGTTGGGTCCGAGAGAGAGCTGTCGGAGGAGCAGTGGGGCTGTGGCCGGCTGCACTGCCGCCCTCGCTGCTGCAGGTGGAGCTCCCACAGCACCTCTCTCCGTCCGCTGTCCTTGCCACGCTTTCCGTCTGCCACGAGTCTTCTCAGACCAGGCTGCTGGTGGCAGTGGGGGTGTGCATGTGCCGCCTTCTAATTTTCCGGTTTCATCACGGGTCATGTTTTCTCCAGATCTTTTCACATTGGCACATACACATCTTTGCTCAAGTGTACAATGAAAGCCTATTTAACTATGTACAAAATTATCTTGACAGATTTTGTATGAGAAAGCCCCTTATATGGATCTAGCCATTTTGAGTGACATGCTTCAGAGAGATTTAGTGTAAAAGTGACAACAGAAGTGAAATTGGAGGTTCGATTCCCAGTCAGGGCATATTCCTGGGTTGCAGACTGGTTCCCTGCAGGCCAGTTCCTAGCAGGGGACGCATGAAAGGCAACCATACATTGATGTTTCTCTCCCTCTCTCCTTCCCCTCTAAAGATAAATAAATAAATAAAATCTAAAAAAAAAAAAAAGAAATTGGCAAGTCTTCAAAGTCATTTCTAAAAAATGTATTCTTGGGAAGAACATTGTTAGGATAAATTAGGAATCATAAATCAGGATCTAAATGATCCTGAACATATGTCTAAGATTCAATAATGTATATCTCAAATTGTTTGATTTCTATTTGCAAAAGAACTTTTTCAACCAGGTTAGCTCGATTCCTAAAAATCTGGAGGCTAGCTCACACATGTTACTGAAACCTTGATTCTGAATTGTTCGGCTCCCTGGTATGCCCTGCATACCCTCACGGTTCTCAGGGTTTATCGTTCCATCTTGTGTGAGTGGGAAGCCCCCTCTGTGAGCACAGAGGAGGGAAGAAAGACCACCTTCTAAGCCAGATGCTGCACCAAGGTCCATCAGCTCTGAACCTCTCAGTTGTTTTCCGAATCCCAGGGAAAACTTGGGTGTTGTGCTTTGCTTAAGGAAGGTGCTCAGCTTGCACCAGCTGCTCTCCGCCTGGCTGCCAGGCCGTCCTGCCAAGACAGGCATTTTTCCTGAGTTCTGTTCCAGTTTGTGCCTCCGCACCCGGGAGCCCTGTAGCTGCACCGGGAGTGAGCACGTGCTCATTGCCACGTGGCTGGGCTTTGCTTAGGAGCCCGTTAACTCATACTTGGCTATTTGTTTAAACCTCTTCCATTTATTACACTGCCAGCATGAGCCTTTGTGTTTTGGGTTGGCTGTTTGTTTATGCTCAGTTCAGTGGGATGGCACATCAAGCCATGTGCTCTAAACTTCGCATTTGGGGTGAACATCTGGTAATGTTTGAAGTGCAACATGTTCCTGAAAATTCTCTCCTGTCTGCAGATGGTGGCAGCAGATGCAAAGGACAGCATTTCCCTTACGAACAAGAAATCAAGTTCTTTGCTAAAGTACAGTATACAGTCCTTCTTGTTTTTGCTGTAATGTTTGCTTACAAAACACACTGTTAGCTCCTCTGCCTGATGTCGGAATGCATTTGTCTGTAGCTGTGGCTTCTCCTGCAGGCTGAGGTTGCATGGCACCAACTGCTGCATGAACCCTGGGGGCGATTTTTCCAGCATCTCCCTCTGTCCTCCCTGCCTCAGCTTGCAAATGACTTGCTTCTATACGAAGGCTGATTCAGACTTCTCTTTTTCTTGGCTTTGTCATATAACACAGGGGTGCCAAACTCATTTTCACCAGGGGCCACATCAGCCTCCCCATTGCCTTCAAAGATCAGAATGTAATTTGAGGACTGCATAAATGTAACTGCTCCTTTACAGTTAAGTGAGAACTCGGTGCTGCCAGGTAGAAGCAAGGTGCTGGGCTGGATAAAACAAGGTGGAGGCCGGATTTGGCCTGAGGGCCTTGTATTCGCCACCTGTGATGTAACAAGAAAAATATCTACTTCTTGACATTTGAGTGTTGTTAACGGTTTAAGGTTTTAGATGAGCATCTCTTTTATGGAGAGGAAAAGCAGTAGCTAATTGATGAACTGGCACATGACAGGGGCCTGTGCAAAACAATCTTTATTGTGAGACCTTGGTCCCCTTGCCATATGACAGGCCAGCTGAGGCTCCGAGACGGCCAGTGGTTCGGGTGCAGAGTGTGTCCTGTTGGCTCCATTCCTCCTGGTGAGTGCAGCGTAACAAGAGCTTGTGACCTGCCTGGGGAGTGGGCAGCTCTCTTTCAGCCAGTCAGGAGGGTTGAGGGTTGAGTGTTTCCATGCGGGCGTGTCGACCTACTGGAAGTGGACACTGCGCCCGGGCTGCCAGGCGTCAGACGGTAGCCTGGGGTGTCCCTGTCGCTGACTCAGAGGGCCTCAGGTGCGTTCCGGTGGGCAGTGTGTCGCAGTTCACCTGAAGATCTCAGGATTTCTGCCAGTTACCTTTCAAAGTACTTGTGTTTGGTGGTTATTAGAGATTCTTTGCAAAATGGCTTATTATTTTGATTCACTTGTATTTGGCCTGTGTTATATGTTTCTAGAACTGTGCCCTCTGTGGCAAGGGAGGCTTCTCTGGTCTTTCCTTCCACTCGACGTAGCACTCAAAGTCTGTGGGGAGCAGCTCACGTTTACTCTGAGCTGCACTTTGCTCGTCGCCCTTCTACTGGGATTCAGTCCCCTTGGTACCCAGTTGTCGGAGTGCTGAACTCATGGCCTCTAATCATATTTAAAAATACCTTCTGCCATTGCATTGCTGACACACGCAGCACCCTAGGGACTTTGTTTGTAGATGCCTAATGTGGCTTAGTTTCTACTGGTCTGTGACTCATTCATTCATGCACTTATTGAGTGCTGCTCATATGCCAGTCCTGAAGTTCAAGCAGTGTCACAATTTTCTGGGAAGATCACCCAGGATTACACATCCCTACAGCGTGTAAATATGCTGTCTGCATGGTGGGAAGAATGCATTTGGATAGACTTGAGTCAAACCACTGGCAACACCAGTTATTCTTACTTTTTTCGTTTACTCAGTGAGTATTCGTCTACTGGTTGCTCAGTGCCCAAGAAAGCCCATGGCCCTGGTGATTCGTGGTGGCCGCCCCAAGGGCCAGGAGAAGGCTGTAATGGGAGACCAACGCAGAGATGGCTCTCATTCTCTTGTGCTGCATGGACTCTTAGGGGAGAACAAACCACTTGTCACTCAGATAATATGTAAAATTGCAAATGTTGTTACCAGAGCAGAGAATGTGGAGGCTGTCTGACGGAGGGGTGGGCAAAGGCTTATGTGATGGAGAGCCCTGGAGCAGGGCCGGCAGGCAGGGGCAGAGCTGTGACAGGCAGGAAGTGCGCTCTGACGGTGGAGCAGGCGGGCAGGGAAGAGGGGAGCAGGTCACTGAAGGCCCGCAGAGCCGGAGCAGGAAACGGCCGGTGGGCTTTGAGGGTGGCCCAGTGAGAGCACGGTGGAGCTGGGCAAGCGACCGTGGACTTTTGAGTCAGTCACAGCCTTTGTGCATCTCAGTGCTCTGCCTGCAGAGAAGGGGCCGGGCCCCCACTGCACCGAGTCTGCACAGGGCGAGCTGCGTGGCGGCAGGCCAGCTGCCACCCTGACAATGCACAGCCTGGTGTGAGATTGTGGAGAATGGCTCATTTTGATAAAACACTAAAAATAGTTTCAGACAGCTGACAATTGAGTGTTTTTTCCCATAATTATGTCTTCTCCCCCTCTGCCCCAACATAGGAACAGGAAGTGGCAAGGTGAGGTGTGCAAGCCAGCCTCTGGCACGGTGTGGCTGTCCGTGGGCTCCAGGGGCCCCCTGCATGTGGATGGGACTCTGCCTGCTCCAAAGCCTCCGTGCTCACCCTCCCCCAAGTTCCACTGTGTAGACCTGTCTTCTCTTCCTTCCTTGCAGGTCGTTCTGCCTTTAATTGATCAGTATTTCAAAAACCATCGTTTGTACTTCTTGTCTGCAGCGAGCAGACCGCTCTGCTCCGGGGGACATGCCTCAAACAAGGAGAAGGAAATGGTGACGAGGTAAACGGCTGTAGAGCAAAGACCCTTGTCTGTGTGTGTTTTCACTGGGGAGGGAGCACCCGGGGCCCGAAGGGGCCGTGCGCAGGGTGCCGCCGCCTGCCCCGCCCGCCCTTTGGGAACCAGCCTCTCGCGGGGACGGTTTCCGCAGGTTGATGCGTGTGATGTAGACACTGGGGTGCCTTGTGTTTGCTGCCGAGTGGAAGGAGTAGAGCGCCCAGCACAGAATTCACAGGTGGGGCTGGCGAGGCCTCGCCTGCGTCGGGAGGTCTGAGGGACGGTGCTTCTCACACTAGTTCACTAAACGCCCCTCGAAGCTCGTATTTTCAAGAGCCTTAATTTTTTAGGAGGGTGAAATCCCATTGACAGAGATGATAATTTTAAGTATTTTTAAAAACATCGTCCACTGGTGGAAGAGAATGGAGCGAAGGCTCCCCTTCCCCTGCTCAGGAGGGCACGCCAGCAGTGCTCCCTCCGTTCAGTCTCACGCCCCTCGCAGGTTCGTCTGGGGTGCTCCTGGTTGTCCCCAGCGTGACTCCTCAGAACTCTGCCAGATCGTCTGCAGACGAGAGTCTGTGGTAGGAAGCCCTCCTCCGCATTGTCGTATGCACAGGGGGCCGTGCGGAGCTCCGAGGTCACCTCTGAAAAGCTGTTCTGTGAGAGGGGTCACTACTGCCCAGGCTTCCCTCGGGCCGGACGCTGATGGCCTGCCGTTGGGCAGGGTGGCGGCGGCCTGTCGGAGAGAAGGAGGTGGGCTCGAACACCCAGGGGTGAAAGCAGCATTTCTGTGTCACGGAACTTTGGGAATGAGGACTGCAATGGAATTTTAAGCTCATCCCTTTACTGTGGTACAGGCCTGCAATAAGATGAAAACGTCCCCAAACTTCAAGAAAATAACCTTCCTGTGGAGCTGGCAGACCTGGTTGTGGTACAGATGGCAGGGAACCATCCGAAGGGTATCCTGCTCACCTCCAAGGGCCCTCCTCCAGCCCGGGAGCGCCAGCAGGGTGCCAGCTTCCCCTCGACCTCCAGCACCTGGGCTGTCGCCCCGTGTCTGCATCCCCCTGGGCCTGCCAGCCTTTCAAACTGGAAGTTCGTTCCCAGGGGGCATCGGCCACTTGTATGCCACTCAGGGACACAAATGACGAGACAATACAATCAGAGCGCTTAGGAAAAGCACAAAGAGCACTGTCCCAATTCCACTTCTCCCACCTGCTGTGCTGTGTTTTGTCGCCTCTGTCCGCTTCTCAGTCTGGCTCAGCTTCCATCGCTGACTGGGCCCCTCGGAGGGAGTCACAGCAGCCTCACGGTTGTGGTTACCTGGGCAAAGACAGGCTGTAGGGTTCACTGTGGGGTGTTTGCCATTGACAGTGACTGCCAGAATAAGCTTCTTCTTTCTCCCTTCTTTTTAATCTTTTAATTATTTTTTCACTTCATTCGTTAGTACTAAGACGCCGTTGAGGTGGGAGACAGGGAGAGACCAGCTGGGCCTGGCAAGCGGAGAGGGAGGCGCCCGGCGCTGCAGGCTCAGGGCCGGGCTGTTAGTCACTCTGTGGCACTAGCACCACCAGGACACTTCGGAAGAACTAGTTTAGAGAAGAAGAGGCTGGACTGGTTTGGGTGTTTAGCACCTGTTGACAGGTCATCGGCCAGGGCCGTCAGCAGAAGGCTGGGACTACCGTTTGCTGCTGGTGCACAGATCAGGGTGAGAGGTGACTTTTTCAGGGATTACCTTTACCCATGAAGTGCTCCAGGCTCTGAGAGTAGATGACAGTAAAAAAAAAAAAAAATGGGGGGAGAAGCACAAAGGTCTGACTTCCCAAACGTGGAGATGTACTGTGGGGTGGGGGACTGAGCGGTGGGTGTTTGAAGAGAGCAGAGGACAGTCAGTGGTGGGAAGGGACAGAATGCAGTGTCACAAGGTTGAGATGTCAGTGACGCTGACAGCGAGAGCTCTCCAGGTGGGATGCGCAGGGTTTGCTGGCGGGGGTCCCAAGCGCTTGGAAGTGAGGCGTGGAGCAGGCATCGGGGCTGCGGAAGGATCCCTGCCTGTGAATCCTCAGGACGTTAGTCGTGAGGGGATGCGGACGTTGTGGAAGTGTTTTTAGAGAAACTGGCCCACAGCTCCTAACATTCGAACCGTACAGTCTGTACAGACTCATACCTGGGAGGCGGACGCGTGAGAGGACCCAGCTTTCCCTACACCGGTATTTCTCACAGGTGGCACCTCTGTTACTGTAAGGAGCAGCTGATGGCGTGAGACGTTGTTTTTCTGACAGGTTGTCAGCTGTTAAAGGTGACCCCACAGAATGGGGTGTGGAGCAGTTCTGTTAGCATCATAGCAAGAGATCCTAGGTCGAGGTTAATTGGGTAAAACACAGGGCCTGCGGTATAAAGTCAGCTTCATCTCAGGTTTGACCCGGATGCCAGAGAGCGCCCATTAGTGAGAAGTAAAGGTACCACCTCGGTTAGGCTGGAGCACAGGGAACCCAGTGAGTGCACTTCTGAGAGGTCACTGCTCCCCTTACCCCAAGGCAGACCCTTGCGGAGTCAGTGTGCATGAAGCTCAGTGGATGAGGGCACCTGCAGGAAGTTGCTCTTGTTTTACTGTCTTTTTTGTTCAGGTACTGCAGCTCAGGGGGTGAATGTCATTATAATCTTCGGTCTACGTTAGTAGATCATTGTTTTAAAAACTTGTAGCATGGAAGAGATCTCTCAAGACCTCACCTTCACTTAGGCATTTGTAGGTGAAGATTTTCTGGGAAGAACAACACTGTGCCCTATATAATTAGTTTTCATCAGTACATTTTTTTCCACATTACTACTGAAGTGAGATAGGATGGCCAGAACTTTCTGTAGAAGAGGTCAGCATCACAAATAGGGTTTCCTCTGTCTCCTTTCGGCCATCCTGTCGTGGGCAGCTGCCTCCATGGGCACAGTCTATACCTGCTACAGAGGATACGTCTGCACATCACGGGTACTATGCGGGGCCAGAGAGGACTGGGGTGGGGGAGGTCAGCCTGCAGCTGCCATGGTACTTGTGGAAGTCAGGCTGGGTGGGGGTGCGCCGTTCAGGTCCACGTTCAAGGTGAGAGCTTCGGTCAGTTCTGACTGTGCAGAGCCGATGTTCTCTGAGAGTTCTATGTAGAGGTAAGGTGTTGGTAGATGTGAAGATAGTGTAAGCTGTGATATAGGAAGTCAGAGGTTATAGCAGAGACTCAGAAATGGTGCAGGCAGAGGCTGGGAGGAGTCTGTCTTAGCCCGGTTTGGGAGGGATAGAGGGGCTCTGCATGTCAGAGAAGGCTTCTCCGAGTCAACGTGTCCTGAGCTGAGTGTGGCAGGTTGGGGAGGAGGGAGTGCAGCGTGGAAGTGAGTGAGGGGTACTCCTGAAAAGAGGGACCTACGAGGAACCCTCCAGACTGCCAGGATGAGATGCTTGCCCAGGTTCTGGGGTCTGACCTGAGAGTCGGGGTGCTGCAGTGCTCTCTCACCAGATGGAGGCCACCATGTTTGTGTCCTCCCTCTGCTGACTGCCAGGGAGGACACGGGGCCCAGGAACGGCACTATAGGAGGTGAGAAGTTAACATGCTCCACTCACATCTCAGTGCCGAGAGCACTCTGGGACAGTCTCCTCTGAGCGGTTGCCAGGCGCTTGAATCCCATCTCTATTCCGCGGTGTCAGAGTCCCTGGATGCTGCAGCAGAGGTGTCGGTGGGGGGGGAGGCTGGGAAGGAGAAACACTTAAATGACGAAACACCGAAACCTAATGTGACACTTCATGCCAAAACACCGTACTTCTATCATTAAATATCGTCTATAAAAAACGAATATTAGAACTTCAGTCGTACATTTGGACAAATAAAATTTAAGTATTTTCCTTGTGGTTTTTCGGTAGTTACAACTACTGAATGTATTCTTACGGGGTTCATAGAGATTGCTTTTATATTAATTAGCTTTGCTTTCAGTTTTTTTTTGGTTTCTTTACTTATAATATGTGTTTTTTAACCATGTTTGTTAAAGATACGCACTCAAAGACTCTTGGTACCTTTACTTCACATTCTGCTCAGAGAACTGATTCTTTCTGCGTGACATCATGTCGCTTTTTCTGGCTCATAGATCAGCTGTTTATTTTTCTTTCTTCTTCTTTTTTTAATTTTATTTTCATTTCCCTGTCTTTTCTACCTCCCCTTCCCCTTTCCCCTTCCTCTTTTGTTTTTCTTTTGTCTTCAGCCTGTTCTGCAAACTCGGAGTTCTTGTCAGGCATAGGATTTCACTGTTTGGTAAGGAGACCCTTGAACGGACCCCGGCATGGCCCTCACCTGGTTTCCTTTGCCGTCTGCACTGTGTCGTGTGCCGCTGCATGAGTGCACGTGTGCCGCTGCATGAGCACCCGTGTGCCGCTGCATGTGCTCGTCCTAGGCCGACACAGTTTGCCCGCTTGTGTGCGAGCAGTGTGAAACTGAAGATGGGAATTTTTTGTGTTCGTCTGAAGTGCACTTGAAAATCAAAACGCTACAGTATTAAAGAGCAAATGAATGGAAGTGGCAGCTTCTGCCATGTTTTGTTTCAGAAGACACAGCGAAACTGGGGCCTAGAATTTGGTTGTCGCTGGTGTAGGCCAAATGATAAGCTCTAACGCACGAAAACACTGTAACTGCACTCGTCGTTTAATGCCCCGACTACAGGTTTGCATGTCGACTGCGTTTCAGACATTGGAGCATCAGAGTAGACACAGGGAGGCTAGGACTTCAGTTACGAAGGGGTCTTCTAGAACCGCTTGCCCCGTGGTCAGTGTTTTTGGTCTCTAATTCACATAGCTGAAGTCCATGCTCTGAGCACCACCTCCACAAGCCACAGGAGGCCCGGCTGGGGGCTGTGGGACACTGCGGCCATGGGCAGAGCATGCGGGACTGTCCTGTGTCCGCTGTCAAAAGCCGACAGAGCAGGCGTTAGCCCTGTGCTCTGTAGGTTTTGAGATGGTGTTATGGTAATTCCAGTATTGAAACATTGGGTGTAATGGAAAAGATGTTGTAAGTTTAATTCCATTTATAGGAAGAACTAAGAGTTAGTTCTATAAAGGCACAGTGAGTAAACTGAGGAATTTGTATGTGTATATGTACATATGTGCACATATGTATCCATGCAAATATGTATGTACACGCAACACCTGTAAGTTCTAAACATTACATTTTTTGAGAAATGGTAGTTTGTGAATATAATTACTTGATGTTGAATTTGGTCTCCAACATTATTATATTTAATATTGGTGCTCTTAAATTTAGCAATTAAATGTTACATTTCACATAAAGTGAGTTTTTGCATTAATGTTTTGGTTATCAAAAATCAATGTGGAAAAATCAAAAAAGAAGTTTCTTCTTTTTTTAAAAGATTTCACTTATTTATTTTTAGAAAGAGGTGAAGGGAGGAAAAGAGAGGGAGAGAAATGTCGATTGGTTGCCTCTCACATGCCCCTAACTGCGTACCTGGCCCGCAACCCAGGCATGTGCCCTGACTAGAATCAAACCTGTGACCTTCCTGTTTGTGAGATGATGCCCAACCCACTGAGCCACACCGGCCATGGCTAGAGATTATCTTCTGAGTAATTTCCAGCTCCAGCTCACTGACTTTTGCTTGAGTTCTCTTCAGCATAAAAGCCTCGGTGGAAAAGTTCGGGCAGAATGCCCATGAAGGGCTTCAGCCCTCTCCGGACAGTGGCGGGCTCCGCGCCGCTGCTTGGCCTCAGGGAGTGCAGCCTCATGAGCAGCTCTGCAGGGGCGCGTCTCCCAGCTGCACGCTGGCACTCTTGGTGATGAGCACAGTACTTCTGCTGTGCTGCTTCTGGCTTCTTACATGCTGGGAACCCTTGGTTTCCTGTGCTATATCTCTTGTGGTTTCCTTTTAATAATTTTTGAAGTATTCCGTACATGCAGCGAAGCCTGCGACTCTCAAGGACAGCCTGATGCTGTAGCGTGATGAAACGTCACCTGCGCTCACACCCACTTGCTCAGGGCCGAGACAGAGAACTTTTCTGGGACCCCTGAAGCCTCCCCTGTGCCTTTCCTCAAACCCTCAGAAAAGGGGCTCCATGCGGACTTCCGTTACCATGGATTTATTTGGACTGTTCTTTAACCTTTTTTCCTTTCGAACATGTAACACGTCATACCCATCAGAAGAGAGAACTGGACTGCTAATGTTCATCCATCTCTGTAATTTTAATACTCCTTTTAGGTGTTGCATTTTAAATCCCTTAGCATATAAATGCTAGTTTTAAAATCTTAAACAGGAACTTAATGGAGAGCTACCCTGTACCTTTTCTTCAACGTTGTATTTTTGTGAATTCTTTATATTATTCTAGCATCTGTTACTATTATTTCAATTTGCTTTGGGATTTTCTTGTAAAATAACACAAACTTCAAGAGGCCTTTATTAATGAAACATACTCAAATGCAGACATCTCCAGTTATCAGAATCTTTAAGTCTAAGACACATGAACCAGAGATGATACAGTTGAAATCTGGCTTCAGACACTCCCCTGGGGTCCTGGAGAGAACAGTGTGGCCTTGAAATGGAAATCCTAGGTGCCAAGTCCTACCTGTGTAACTAAACCAGTTGCATGATGCGGACAAGGGATTTCATGTCTCCGAACCATTTTTTTAAAGTTTCGAACGAGGTTAGAATAACAGGTCTGTCAGGCTTAGAGCTGTAGTGCGTGTTTCCATCTCATACTGGGCAGTGCACTCAGGCTGCCGTGTGAGTGGCCACCATGCGGCCCTCATACACCAGCTGTTCCTCATCAGCGAGTGTGGAGGTTGGCAAAGAAGCCCCCAGGCTCGGCGTCTGCGGGCAGAGTGAAAGGTGGGAAGAGGCACGTTGCCCCGAAACGTGTCAGGGAAGCGCTGTTGAGATGATGAGAGCTTTATGACACAGAAGGGCAGACCTTGTCCCAGTGGCGGTGGCTGTGGGCAGCGAGTCTGAATACTTGTCCAAGTTGGATGCCAGATTACAGTGATATCTCCAAATTTCATCTGCAGTTGAAAGACTTTTCTGATTTAAAGTGAGGAATCCCAAAACTTGGACTTAATCCATCTGTGTGTATCTTCAATCTAAATCTTTCCTAGCCTTTGAAGCACACTTGAGAATTAAAGATATTTAATTCTCTCTGTTTTTATGCCTCAGATAGTCCCTTTGAGCTGTTTCATGCAATCATTTGGTACTAGAAAAAGGTAAGGTTTAAAAAGGGGGGACAAACCATGTATTCCTTGCAGAACAGTAGTTCTCTGGTTTCATTAAAATAGTTGATAGGAAAAATGGCATTTTGTTTATGTATAGGCTTACCTCCAGAACTCTGAAATGCCCTCTAGTGACATAAATCCCCACCATCTTGTCTTTTGGGGCTCAGGGTGCGGACAGGACCCAGCAGGAAGGACCCTGGTTTCCTGTTTCGGAATTTGTGCTGACTGAGGAACTAGTTTGGCCAATCCCCGCTCCCACCTTTGCTGTGTGAAGTTCCAATTCCCGACTTCAAGGCAGCTAGAGACCACACAGACCCTGCATGACAGCCCAGCACAGGCCTTCTGACGCTGTCAGAGGTGGCAGCCGGGGGTCAGGGGCAGCAGTGGCATGGGTTTGCTTGTGAGGCCGAGTCTAAGGGCGCACTGGCCCTTGTTTTCCACGTTCGTGCGGTGAGGCCTCCGTGCCCTCTGCTGCGTGCAAGGGTTCTCGCAGGCTGGGGGGCTCGGAAAGGGTTTTCCTGTCAGCCAGCGCTGCCTCCACTCCTACCCGGCCAGCCCAGGGCCAGCCATTCTCTCTGTGTCCTTTCAGAGCCTTCTGAATGGGGCTCCTCCCAGCCCTGCCTCTCCCAGGACACAGTGTCCCATTTCACTCCTGCCAGTGGCTTTCCATTTCTTTAGAATCAAGGTCAGAATTCTCCATCTGGCTTCTGGAGTGTTTCGTGGGGTCCCCTGTGGACCTCCATTCACATTTCACTCTTGCGAAAAGCTCTTGCTCACTGTGCTTCAGCTGAAGGGCCCTCTAGTTGCTCCTCGACTGGGTTAATTCTCTTCCTGTCCAGGGTCCCTGCTCGTACTGGTATTGCTGATGGCCACAGGGTCCCCCTAGCATTCACCTTTTCAGTCCCTCACCCTCACCATGGAGGCCACTGTGCCTCCTTCAGAGTTCAGCCTAAACTCTCTGCTCTGGGTCACCGCCCACCTCCCGGATGTCATTCCTGCCGCGGGGGCACTCTCGGAGCTCCTGCACCAGCCCTGCCCCTCTCTGATGCAGTGGCCAGAGCAGCGTTGTGGCCAGAGCAGCATTGCCTTTCGGCACCACTCAGCTCTCTGAGGGCTTATTGCTGTATCCTCAGTGCCAGCAGGGGGGTCTGACACATAGTAGGCCTTTTATATGTCTCTGATGACTGAGGGAATGACCCATCCAGGGCCTGCCTTCAAGAAGCCTACACTTGTCTAACAGATAAGTGAGCAGATGTCTGCAAGGAGAAATGTGCTCTCAATTTGAAATTTTCTTACATTCACGAGTAACCCAAACTTAACATTTTTTTGTTAAGTTATATAGTATCTACGTAATTCCCTCACAATTTAGACTCGTGTTACTTAAGTTCCTTAAGCAGTCCATGAAAATGCACAGGGCCCTTTCCCTGACCCAGAATGGTGCATGATCTGTGACCGTTCCAGTAGGGTGATTGGACTCTACCAGCCATGGTCCTTTCTGTCCAAGGAGTGATGTGAGAAGACTGACACCCAAAATAGTTATTGCTTGGGGACCTTTTCTACTTTTTCATCTTCTGGTGAATTTTTTTTTATCACATTAGAGAGATGTTAAATTGTCCAGAGATTCCTCAGAGTTACTGGAGAAGTTCCAAATTTAATAACAGACAGACTTCTAGGAATGTCTGGAAAAAGCAAGCATTCTGTAACATAATGAGCATTGTGCTCCAATATTTCTGTTGGTTTGACCCTGAATGACTCTAGAAGTTAGCACGTCACATCATTAATTCAGCTCTAGTGTCAGCTGCAGAACGTTGAACAAGATGAGTGTTGGGTGTCGCAGTGAAGCGCTAGTGCTCGTTGAGTATCTGTTTCTTACTCCTGGGTGAGTTCGTCCCATTTAATCCGGTGCATAAATCTTAGTGTCATGTGTGCAGGAGTTTTAATAGCAAAGTAATACAGTGAATCCTCTCAGTTGGTGTCCCTCCTTGAACAATTAGCAGACAGTTGACGTTCCTCCTTCTGTGTCTGCTCCTGAAACCCGAGCATGTGTTGCCACGAGCTCTGTGCTCCTGCTTCTGGAGAGATCAGAGAACTCGTGTGCGTTTGTGTCATCCCTGAAAAGTTCAGGTTGTGCTTGCTCACGGTTGTAGGGCGCACAGGCTGAGGGGACAGTCATTACAGTGTGGTGACACTCAGGACGGGGCACTCCTGAGGGTGGCGTTCCCCTGACGGCACGTTCCTTTGGGCACACCTGCTGCTCGGGACCACGTGACTGCCCCTAGGGCACAGCAAAGGCCTGTCCTTCACGCAGATGTCCTGCAGTTGATGACAGTACGTGTGGCAAAGACAAGAGTTCCCTGGACTTGTTTTATAAGCCTTATAAAAAGTAACCCACTTCCTAGGGAGAGGCAGAAACATCAGATTCAGACACTGTAATGAAAATAATGTCAGTAGATAGTATTAGAGCAATACACATATTTCTTTCATTTGAACATATTGGTATGAGAGATTTTCCTTACTGTGGGGCCAATGAGTAATGTGTAATTATCAGATATATGTTCTCAGTTTAACCAAAACTTCTCAGTGAGTTAAGGAATTGGTAATTTTATTTCTGTCAGTGTTACAGATTCCAGAGGTGACAAAAGTCGCTGGTACTCTTCAGGTTCTCTTGATTCACTCATCACTCTGAGAGAAATTATATTTTAGCCCGATTTTAGTTTACACTATTAATAGGGGTCCCGCCATGATTCATAGGTTAATCATTGTTCAAAGAAGAGAATGTCATGAAACACTGGGCACGGCCATGCAGAGGGAGTGGGGCAGAGGCAGAAAGGTCAGCGTGGCTGCTGCCCCCCTGCCCGAGGAGAGGGCCGCACTCCAGGGTCCTCAGTAGGTCAGCCTACAAAGCAGGGGCAGACAGAGCAGGTCAGGTTCTGGATAACATCGCAAACTCCTCAGGATTGCAAACCTTATGTTAAAAACCATTGAAAACCATGAGCCAATTGGGGATTAAAATGCAAAAAGATATTTAGCCTTGGACAGCTTTAACATCGTTACTTTTATTTAGAGAGTGACGTTGTGTTATGGGCATCGGTGCCTTGCTTGTCATCTGCTGTGATTACGTCTGAGGCCAGCTAGGAGTGTCACCCACACGCTTAGTCGCTTGCATAGAGCTCAGCACAGTCTTCATCACAAATGGGGTTCGGTCCGTCACCGTCTCTCTCCCTAGCTGTCTGGGGGCTGTGTTTGAAGACAAGGGAAGTAGCTGGGACCTTGAGAAAGCACGAGCTTAAAAGCATCAAAGTTTGTTTTTTTTACATTATATAGAGCAGTTAAGCCATTACATAGAGTTAATACATAAAACTATAATCATCACTTCAAAATGTTAGCATTTGCTACCCTTCTTGACTACCCTTCTTGCTGCTACTAAATGATATTTCTGAACGGTGGTGTGGGTAGCCTTCAGAAGGGAATTATTTAGATGGTTCTCATTGGTTTGAAAACCTTCCTCTGTGCCGTATTTTTTTTTTAAGAATAACCATTATTTAGCTGTCTATCTGAAATAGATGCTTTCACTTGGCCTGCACCATAAAGGGTTGAATATTTAGCCAATACCTTTTCTGTGTCCTTGGGGTCCTTGTCTGCCGTTTTGTTTTCCCACATTGAGGTGGTCGCACTCAAAGTCTTTCCAAGTCCAACGTGGAGGACGTCGAAATGTATGGACGCTCGGAGCTTACAGTTTGGGGCTTTAACTGTCACAGAAGTCTGACGCTCAGCAGACACGTTTTCATCCAAAGCACCGAACTTGCCTGCCCCCAGGGATTTAACGAAGTGCCTGCCCTGTGCCAAACACTGGCCTAGGCTGTACAAGCTCTGCCCCGTATACAGAGAGCAAAGGGAGGGGGGGGCTGTGAGTCAGGGGAGAGTGGGGGCCGGCCTCCCTGCCTGGTGCCCCGGGACAGCTGCCTGAGCCTCATCCTTGATGCCTGTGAACCCTTCCTCCCGGGCCTTCCCGCCTCCTCTTCTGTGCTATACCATCCTTACCTTTTATTCTCCAGGCGTCCCAGGCCCCGCGGCCTTTTTTCAGTTATATATATACATGTGCACGCTGGCTGATTTCATATAGGCCCAGGACTTTAAATATTACCTCTGTGTGTAAGGTGCCCAAATTCATAGCTCCCACAGGATCTCTCCTCTGCACTGCAGATTTTTCCATCAGTCGCCTGCTCGGCATCTCCAAGAAGATAACCTGGGGGCCACAGAGGACATGACCCTGCCCCCCTTCTCAGTCTGTTCCTCTCTCGTCTCTGCAAGTCACAGGGCCCCATCCCTATCCACCCGCTGTTCACACGACTGCTCACCAAAACCATCTTGAAGTTATTCTGGTCTCCTGACTCCCTGGCCTCCCACTTACTGCACGAGGAGAAAGCTAACTCTGGTCTCACTGTCCTCACTGCTGATACGCCGATCCCAGTCCACCTGCATCAGCTCTCCCACAGACTCTGCTGGCTCCACCACAGCAGCTTCCTGACTGCGGTCTGCTCTTGCTCCTCCAGTTTGGCATGTTGGAACCTCATCCAACATCAGATTCCAGTCTGTTCGAAACCTGAGAATGTCTTTTAGTTGCAACCTAAAAAAAAGAAACACCCAGAGTTGTTGCTCTGGTAACCAGGTTTAGGAGCCTCCCGCCTGCTCTGCAGGCGTCACCCCTCCCCGGGTCCAGCACCAGCCACCTTCACTGACATCCTCGCCTCATCTTCTGCAGACGAGCCTTTACGCATGCGCCCCCTCTGCCCAGGCCTCCGCCAGCTGTGTGCAAGGTCAGGTCCTTCGTGCCCAGCTCTGCTCACCTGCTACGACTTCCTTGGGGACGGCCTGAGGACCTCTCCTCTGAAACTCTGTCCACTTGCTCTAATTCCTACTTCCTGCTATGTTTTTACTGTGGCCCGATGTCAAGTATTAATTTTATTAATTGTTTACTTTCTGTATTTCTTATGAAAATGCAAGTAGCTTAATAACTACTGTTTTGCTTATTACTTGAAGTTTGCGAATGCCTGGTATTTAACGTGTGTTTATTGAGTGAATGAATAATTGAATGAGTGCTATTTTCAGGGACTACAGTACAAGCCCTGTGATTGCCACCAGCCAGTATCTGGGACATAAAAAATCCTGCCCTTCTACTGGTTTTGCCTTTATTATCACTAGAAATTCTGAGATACAAAGCACAAGATCAATGGACCTTCTCTTAGAGAGCTCAAGGTGTCATCCATGAGTGCCTTACTTATTTTCTTTATTGTATCAACTCACAAAACTGGCTTGCTGGCACTCTAAAGCACATTAACATCCATATATATTTATTTAATTAATTTTAGGGTTTTTTGTGTAAAGAATATAACGGACTCAAATCTATTAAAATCTTATATTCAAATAGGGGTTGTTAACCTCAGGTCTAGGAACTAATGATGTTACATAGTGAACACACACACACACACACGTACACATTGTATATGGAATGTAGAATGAAGAAGCCATGATGTCACACTACATCGTGAGTAGTCAATCCCTTTGTGACTTTGGGCTTGCTTTTTGGTGTGTGTGTGTGTGTGTGTAGAGAGAGAGAGAGAAAGTAATCATATAATTCATATTTCTGCCAATCAAAATATATATAGTAATTATATAACTCATATTTCTCCCAACCAAAATGAGGGAATTTCAACTTTCAAGAAGAGTCAGCCTCATTTCAAAGATCTCATCAGGGTAGAATTAAACCTTTCCGGCTTTTGATGCTTTTTTACATGATAGCTTGGTGCTTCTTTTTCACTGAAGACCAGTACCATTCAGGCAGATTAATTCATCTGATGCAGTTGAATGCAATTAGAAAGCAGAGACACTTGGGGTAATTAAAACGGAATTAATTTTATTAAAGTTTTAGCTTGCCTCATTTCATGAAGGCTATGAGCTGACTTAAAAAGCTGTCACACAATGTGATTTGAAGCTAAGATGAGCTGCTATGGGGAGGGTGCGCTGGAAGAATTTGGTCAGACTCTTCAGTCCGGTGCATTGCTTTCGACGCTTCCTGAGAATGTCAGCTCCTTGACCCGACCCGCTTCACTGCTTCCCCTTGTACGTTTGCATTTCCACTTATAGCAGAAGAACTGCATGATTTTAAACTTGATTAGCAAACATTTTTTCATTGAGTGATTATTATTGAGTTCTGTAGACTAATTTTTGAAACCCAAGCATTAATAAAAAAGAAGAACACCAACAAATTCTTAGGGCAATTTACGCAGCATTCTTTTTTCCTCTTCAGGAAATGACGCAACATCAATTGTCAACTGCCTGCACATTCTGGGCCAGACGCTGGATGCGAGGTACGTGGATATTTTTATCTGAGTCAGTGAGTGTAATGATGACATTGGAGAACATTAAAATGGACCCACTGTCTTGATTTTACTCTTTGGGGTTATAATGAAGACTTTAGGTGAAAAGAAAACCTTTTGTAAATTACTGATACAGTCGTATATAAATTGTTACTTAAATTTCAAGTAATTTCTATAGCAACTCAGTACCTAACTGGAGATTGAACTGGGAATGTGTCCTGTGAGGTAAAAATGGCACTTCCAACTTAGAGATCGTGACGATGTCGCTGCGTGAGACGGGGCTTCACGTGTGCGGTGACAGTTTTACAGGAAACGTGGGGTCTATTCCCGGTGTACAGACAAGTCAAGTGAGACTTGAACGTGCCCAGGGCGGGAGGCGGCAGGGCCGCTCCCAGGTCTGCGCTCTTCCAGCCCGGCCCGGCCCTGCCCTCCACACGCCCACTCATCCCAGTGTGTGCACTGCAGGGCTGGTCAACCCACTCAGCGAGACTGCTCCAGCCTCCAAGCCACAACAGTAAATTCAGTTACTGTCGAGGGTAAATCTAAACAAACGTTTCTGAACATCTTGAAACTAAGTTTTATTATCAAGAATAAAACTAAATAACAGTTTTCAGAATAAGAGTATCAAGCTCCATGATATTCTTGGATTTTCTGTTTTTGTGTCTAAAATTTTATTTGGGGTGTTTTGTGTAACAAACAAGAAAGGACAGGCATTACCCATCTTCAGTTTTTGCTACAGGTTGCGGTGTTAGACTGTTGAATGGTCAGCCTTCAAAGGCCCATCGCCACCCTCAAAGCACAAATAGAGACTTCATGTGGTGATGTGGTTTAGTTGCCCTTAAATATTTCTTTACAGCCATTGCCTTGGAAACATTCCAGATTCGTTTGGTTTTGGGGTAACTAAACTGGCTCAGAAGCTGGGTTTGGTTAGCTATAAAGTAAGTATTGGTGACATTTATGCTGGTGGAAGATAGACAGTGTTAGCCCTGCCCTTTGGTCTGAGGTTCTAATTAAGCTGACTGTGAGGGAGGTTAGGAACAGTTACGCACTTACAGAGCACAATGGCTGAGTCTTCGGTGTGTTGAAAGAATGTTAGAGAGTAGATTTAAAAGTTGGCGGGCGAGTGGATGCTGTGCAGAAAGACAGGCGGCCGTGGCCTGAGCTCCCTGGCCTCACAGGCCCCTGCCCCCCTCCTCCCAGGACAGTCATGAAGACAGGCCTGGAGAGCGTGAAGAGTGCGCTCAGGGCATTCCTGGACAGCGCCGCTGAGGACCTGGAGCAGACACTGGAGAACCTGAAGCAGGGCCAGTTCACCCACACGCGCCACCAGCCCAGGGGCGTCACCCAGATCATCAACTACACCACCGTGGCCCTGCTGCCCGTGCTGTCCTCGCTGTTCGAGCACATCGGCCAGCACCAGTTTGGAGAAGACCTCATACGTACGTGACTTCTGTTTCTCAGAGCCTGGTTACCGGGTGGTGCAATCTGACGTTGTGAAAGCCACTCCTGGGTTCCTCAGACGCAGCTCCAACACTGGAGTGCTGCTTTGCAGAACATTCTAGGGTGACGTGTGAGTTACAGAAACCCTTCCTACAGGGGCGGGTCACCGAATCCCTGGACCACCTGCTCTACATTGGCCAACGACAAAGTCCAAAGCTGACTGTTTCTGCATGGTCCCTTTCTGAGGCCACTCTCTCACGTGCTTTGACCACGGGACCGATAGCATGAGAGGTGCCCAGCTCAGTTCCCAGTCGATGCAGGTTGGTCCCCCGGGCTGCGCCACCAACAGGTGTGAAGGCTGCCGAGACGGCGTGTGTCCCAGTCACTGGCTGACTCAGGCAGCCCAAGCAGCTTGTGCTAATAGGTGTCAGTCTCTTTGCACTGGGGACCTAGCCAGCTGCCTGGGGCTGGGATGCTCTAGTTATTAGAAACAGCCACAGAATGCCCAACGGTATGTGAAAAAAATAGCGCAGGACCTGCCCTGGTATCCTGCCTTCATGCTGATGTGAGCCCTCATCCAGCAGCCCTGACCGCAGACCCGGCCCTGACACTCACACCCGAGGTGCCGGGTGAGTGCGCCCTGAGTGCGCAGACCTGCCTGCGGCGCTCACTCACCCGGAGCAGCCAGTGTGGGTCAGGAGGCGGATCTGCAGGGCCGGGATGGGCTCTCCATGTGTGTTGCTGTGTTTTCTCCAGGAACTGGTTCCAGGGTTGGAATTAGAAGTTTGAAGTTCAAAATTCTCAGATTTCTTTACCTTTAATCACATCTTATTGGGTCATAGGTCACCTACCATTCTCTAGCTTCAAAAATGACCAAAGTGACTTATTTATACTGTAAACGTCAGGTCACCTCAGAAATAACTGACACCCTCTGCACTCCTGCATCCTCTTGCTTGTTCATGAGACTTGAAATGAAAGACCCCGTGTTTTCCCCTTTTAGACCAAAAGGAGATGGTGTCTCCCGGTCTGGAGTCACAGTCTGCCTGTCCGCCCGACACTTCCAAGTGTGACTTCTTCCTGAAGAGATCTTTCATTCTTACACCTATAGAAAAAGTGTGATGCCACTGTTCCTGATAATGTTCTGAAAGTCACAGCACAGGAATGCTTTATACTCCCAAAAGAAAATAATTTTGTTTGGGGAAAACTTTTTACATTTCACTTTATGTATTGTTTGTTCGTATATTGTGTCTTTCCAACATGAAAATATTAGTGTGCCTTTAAGATGGAATTCTGTTCTTAGCCTGAACTTTTTTAGGACAGGGTACAAATAATAAGTGGTTTTCTTCATGTGAGATTCTCTTTTCCTTTAGTGGAAGATGTGCAGGTATCCTGTTACAGAATTCTAACCAGCTTATATGCTTTGGGAACAAGCAAGAGTATTTATGTGGAAAGGTAAGATTGCGGATTTAACTGTGCCTTAATAGCTGTTTCAAGTGTTATAACACTTTCTAACTTTTTCCTTAGTTATAAACTAAACTGATTAATGTACTGAATTCTTTGGGAATAGTTACGCAATCTTTAGATAGATTTGAGTTGATATAATAAAAGACAGCTGAGCTATGGGGAAAAAACGTAAAGCAATTATGGTAAAGACTATAATATAAAGTTTGGACCTGAGTGTTATGAGACTTGTGAAGGAATCTGCTAGTGTGTGTACACATACGCACACATACACACACATACACACACATATATATCTTGCAATTATAAAATGACCTGGGGAGAATGTAAAAAAAATTTTGAAGTTGAGTAAAAGATATATTTTTTAAGATTTTATTCATTTATCTTTAGAGGGGAAGGGAAGGAGAGAGGGAGAGAAATATTAATGTGTGGTTGCTTCTCATGCATCCCCCTGCTGGGAACTGGCCTACAACCCAGGCATCCGTGTGCCCTGACTGGGAATTGAACCGCAGTCCTTTGGTTTGCAGGCCTATGCTCAATCCACTGAGCTATGCCAGCCAGGGCTATTTTTAAAAAAATAAAAAAGTGACATTGTGCTAATAAAACTTAAGTAATTTTAGTATAAGTTATCTAAAAGAAAAATTGCTGTTTCTAGAATACCAACACAAATGATCATAGCTGGTCTGAGAATTACTACTTAAATAAAAAACATAAAGTTAATTATTAAATAATTGACATGAATTGTTAGTGAATGGACTAGTCCAGTCAGGTGTAAGGGACTAAATTACTGATCTTGAAGTCACACATGAAATATCTTCACCTATTAAATTCCTACATTCTGCCATTCGGCATCCCCATTTTAGTTAAGGAAAGCGGAAATTAGAAAGAGTAAGTCATTCTTCTACAGTGGTTTGAGTGTTAGGAATAAGACACTGGGTCTTGGGTCTCTCTGAATCAAAACCTGCGATCTGTGTGATTTCTTGATTCCTAAGTTATTTCTAATAATGAAATGTTATTAAATGTTTGATTTGGACTCTAGTTTACTCAGTGCCATCATATGAAGGAACATGTGTCCTAGCTGACTGAATATCTCATTATTTTGAATTAAAACATTAGATAATCAGACATTGTTAATTTTAAGTATTATATTTTTTCAGTGAGAAATTTAAAGCTGCCCAAGATAATTGTGTAACCTTAATTATACCCATTTTATTGACTTTAAAATATTTATTTATCTAAAATCGGTTGAGGAGTCTATAACACGCTGATGTTTAGTAAACATACAACGTGCCGGCACAGCCCTGGGCCGGGGTGGGGGCTGACGGGCAGTGAGCCGATTCCGCAAACACTGTCGTGCCCTGGAAAATGATAAATCTATTTTCAGGCGTCATGATTAGCTTTGGCACTTGTATGCTGTAATGTTTCATAGGTAACGTGATACTCCTTACATGTGGTAAAATTTTCATTGTTATATTAATTATTAATATTTGTACCTTTAAATTTTTTATTAATCTATTTATCACATTGCAGGATTCTTCCTTAATAAGTCATTATGTTGAAAAAGAAAAAGGGAAATACAGAAAAGAAATGTCCAAGCTTGTGGAGGATTTACAGGGTTTTTTTTTTTGTTGTTATTTTGGTCTTTACTGTTTTAGCTGAAAGATAATTTAGCCTTTTTATTTTTTTTGAATGGCAGGGATGAAAATATAAGATGATTTGTAATACAGAAATTACATTTGGTGGTTAATGCTATTAGCTGCATTATTATTGTCCCTGTTAAGGCAAACTTGCCAATTTTAATATAATTTGGACGATTCGGGAGACCCGAAAACCACAGTCATCTTCCCCCCCCAGGCAGCGCTCCTCGCTGGGGGAGTGTCTGGCAGCCTTCGCCGGTGCCTTTCCTGTGGCGTTTCTCGAGACTCATCTCAACAAACACAACAGCTACTCCATCTACAACACCAGGTCTTCCCGAGAGCGAGCAGGTAGGCAGATGGCGTGCTGTGTTGGAGACTCGAAGCTAAAACTTCATGACTCACAGTGCGTCTTCCTGCGGTGATTTTTAATGGGCTCTTTCAGTCTGTGGTCCCCACTGCGCTTTGTTCTTAAGCATTGGTACTTAGAATTTTGGGGGATGATGTGTATATTCTTCCTTTAGTGTCTCTGAAAGAAAATTAGTTCACTTTCTTCGAATTTACTGAGCCACATACCAATCAACCCTCGTAAGGGTAAGGCGGAATAATCAGCAGAGAGGAATAATAGGCGAGTTGGATTTCTGGTTCAGTTTTCTCTAGTAGGTAAAGGTAAAGAATAAACAAACATTCTTATTTATTACATGTATGCATCTGTACCCTTCACTTTTCTTTGTTCACCAAATATGTCTACATGATTGGGACACTTTTATTCCATGTGAGTTTTCCCCAGTTATTTTGGTTGATTTTTATCATTTACAAAACTTAAAAACATAAATCTAAAACAGTTAATCACTGACGTTAATTTGTACCTGACCCTGGCATGTGTATCCTTATGATTCTTATGTCTGTGTGTATAGTACCTGTCTGTATATATTTATGCATCATGTGACTTTACATTCAGGAGAATCTGATAATTTTTTGGGTAGATCCATCCAGTTTTTTCACTGTCCCCATTGAAAACTTCTAGAACCATTACCAGTGATTTCAAGAACTGGCCTTTGAGAACTTATTAGAATTATCTACTAGGATTTAAATTGAGTTGGATAACAATAGTTAAAAAAGCAGAAGCAGGTTATTTCTTAATCAGCCTTTTTGTAAAAAAGTTTTCATTGTTGACACTATGGCAGATGTCCCCCATTTCTAGGCCTGGCCATCACAGAAGTGTCCTCTCAAGTCATTTCTCACTGGGGTGGTCGGTTCCCTCTCAGGGGAGAGCCTTCTGCTGTTCACTGGGGCAGAACTCGCTGCCCAGATGGTCTCTTTGTGCGTGACTTGTGTTTTCTGGCAGTTGCTGGCCACACTGATAAAGCAAATAAAACCTCTTTTAAAAATACAAATATTCATGACTTAATTTGCCTATTTATAATTCTAATTTTATATAACTTAGGAAGTTAAGCAAAATCATATTAAATGTGACTGAGCAATATTTTTCTACAAAATTTCCACCATGTATTTGTAAATAGTAATATGTGGTTGAGTTTGAATTATTAATCATCTGTATAAACATGTCTTTTTAAGTTGTCTTATTTATGATTAAAAGTTTAGCTGTGAGTCAAGAATGAAGCGGATTTCATTAGAGATATTCATTATTCATTAGAGATATTGTATATTCATTAGAGATAAGGGGTAACAGCATTTGCGTGACAAGTAGAGGGAGTGAATTTAATGATTCCCTCCCATTCCTTTTTTCAGTCATTCCGCAGATATTTGGATTTACACTGTAGTAGATGGAGAGACATGACACAAAGATACCTGAGACTTGGTTCTTTTCCGTGGGGACTTTCAGTGGCAGTGGCAAAGAGACTGATAGAGATGCATGACAGAATTCAGAGTAAAGAACCTGGGGACACGCAAGGGCAGTGTTGGCAGAACAGCCGGAGAGACAGTGCCGCGCTGGCCCCGGGCAGGGCTGGAACCAGGGCACTGAGGCTTGGGCATGTCAGGAGAACCTTCTAGCTCTTCGGGGTGGATTTAGCCTTCAGGAGGGAAAGGAATGTGAAGTGAGACAGGAGTGGAAAGCCCGCAGAAGTGAGGTGGGCTTCCTGGGTCAGGTAAGGGGTAGGGCTTCCTGGCTTTCAGAGGGGGTATGGCCAGAGTCATGTGCCCCTTGGAGATCCTTCAGGGCAGAGGCCAGGACGTGTGATGCTGGCTCAGCAGCTGTGACAGAGCAGACACCTGGGCGGGGTGCACAGAGTGACCCGGGTAGGAGAGGTGCTGGGCTGGGCCACGCTCTGCAAGGGGCGGTGGAGTCCACAGCCTGGCTTTCTCCAGGCCTCCAGCCGGGCGACTGGATGACGTCACCAATGGAGTACGTGCTCAAGGGGTGGGTCAGAGGAGAGAGAGTCGAGTTTAAATTGAGACCCGTTGTGGTTTAGTTGCTTTTGAGACATTCTGTGTTAGGCACACAAAAATTAAGAACTGTGACTTTGGAGTTGTTAGCTCATGGCAGGAGCCCCTAGGAACTGGCAGGTGTGCCCAGGTGCGCACACAAGCCCGAAAAGGAGAGAGCCAAAGACAGGTCCCTACGGAAAACCACACTAGAAGTTCAGCAGAGAAGACAGTGAGTGAAGAGGGTCATGATAGAACGGATGCAGGGAAGTGAGGAGAGAGGGACTTGGGGAGGGAGGTTTTGTCAGAGCTACGAACTGAACTGCGAGTGTTGGAAAGCTGGGGCCTCCACTGCCGGTGATGGACCAGCACCTGGAGAGCAGATGACCAGGAGAGACTTGAGCTTATTGGCCAGTGGGGGGAGCTGATGGAGGGAAGGGCTGCGCGTGAGGCCCACCTAGCAAGGCCCTCCTGTAGGGCAGGCTCGGGCTCTGGAGCACCGCTGGGACCCTGAGTAGGGACCCCAAAACTGCTTCCTCTGAAAAGGGTGGACGCGAATGTGGGAGCAGACAGAGGGCGTGTGAGCAGAGACGTCGAGATTCTTGTCTGCTCTGAGTTATGAGGAATGGTCGCTTGCTGATCGGAGGGGTGGGGTGGGGTGGGGTAGGGTAGGAGTGTGGAGAGGAGGGAAAGGTGGACATGGATGCTATGGAATGGGGGGGGGCCCAGGGAAGGTGTGTGGGCATATTGCATCTTGAAGCTCCAATGAAGTGGTTGGTTGTGTCTCTTCTTTCAGTGGTCACCATTTATTTCCATGTGTGTTCCTCTAGCTCTCAATTTGCCAGCGAGTGTGGAAGATGTCTGTCCAAACATACCATCTTTGGAGAAGCTCATGGAGGAGATAGTGGAACTAGCCGAGTCTGGTATCCGCTACACGCAGATGCCACACGTGATGGAAGTCATCCTGCCTTTGCTGTGTAGTTACATGTCCCGATGGTGGGAGCACGGGCCCGAGAACCACCCAGGCCGGGCGGAGGCCTGCTGCACGGCCCTGGACTCGGAGCACATGAACACCCTACTGGGGAACATACTGAAGATCATCTACAACAACCTGGGGATTGACGAGGGGGCCTGGATGAAGAGGCTAGCAGGTGAGGGGTGCGGGGATCCCACTGAAAGTTGTCGGATTTCCAAAGAGATTTGAGATAAAGAAGACCAGAGTTTTCTCCTCTTAGTCTTTATCAATATTTTATTCTGTGCCAAAAAGTGTTACCATGTCGGTCACACTCTTCTTTAAAAGTGTAGGCGTCACACTGAGTAACTTTCCGTGTGCTGGCTACTTTTCACTTCCCAGGACTAAGGAGGGTGATCGAGATGCACCCACCTTTCGGTTCATGTGCCACTGGCCCGTTTCTGTGGAATAATTGGAAGCGATTTCTTTTATTTACTTTCTTGTGCTGACATTGTGTGGATTCTTTTCTTTTTCTTAAGAGTTTTTTTTTTCTTTAAGATTTTATTTATTTATTTTCAGAGAGGAAGGGAAGGAGAGAAGGAGAGAAACATCAATGAATGGTTGCCTCTTGTGAGTCCCCTGCTGGGAACTGGCCTGCAACCCAGGCATGTGCCCTGACTGGGAATTGAACCGCGATTGTCTGGTTCGCAGGCCCGTGCTCAGTCCACTGAGCTACACCAGCCAGGGCTTTAAGAGTTTTTCATTGTGTTTTTCCATTAGCATTTATCACTGTAAAACCTACTCTCCCCTGCCGTCACATTGTTGTCCATGTCGATGAGTCCTTTTTCCTTTTTGCTTGCTCGCTCCACCCCCTAAATCCCCATATTTGACATCCTGCTCTCTGTGAACCTGTCCGTATTTCACTTGTTAGTTCAGTTCATTCATTACATTCCACAAATCAGTGAAATCAGATGGTTATTTGTCTCGGTCTGACTGGCTCATTTCAGTTAGCATAATGTTCTCTAGGTCCATTCATGCTGTCACAAAGGGTAAAGTTTCCTTCTTTTTATGGCTGAGTAATGTGCTCTTGTGTACATGTCCCACAGTTGTTTTATCCACTGATCTACTGGTGGACACTTGGGCTGCTGTCATGTTTTGGTGATGGTATATAATGCTGCAGTGAACATAGGGCGCTCATGTCCTTTTGTATTAATGTTTAGGGTTTCTTTGTTTATTTGCCCGGAAGTGGGATTTCTGGCTCATAAGGCAGTTCCATTTTTAATTTTTTTGAGGCATCTCCATACTGCTTTCCACAGTGGCTGCATCAGTCTGCATCCACTTAGTACAACGTTCCCCTTTCTCCACATTCTCGTCAGCACTTGTTGTTTTTGATTTATTGATAATAGTCATTCTGACCCGTGTGAGATGATATCTCATTGTGGTTTTAATTTGCGTTTGTCTGATGATTAGTGATGCTGAGCATCTTTTCATATGTCTATTGGCCATCTGTTTGTCCTCTTTGGAGAAGTGTCTATTCAGGTCCTTTGCTTATTTTTGTAATTGGATTTTTTGTTTGTCTTTTGGTGGATAAAGGCATATTAATCAAAACAGCATGGTACTGGCATAAAAACACACACACACAAGTCAATGGAACAGAATAGAGAGCCCAGGAATAAACCTACACCTTTTTAAACATGAATTAAAAATGCATTTAGTATATATTTGTGAAGTTATTTATTTATAAAAACTCCAGAGAAATACATGAATGTTTTACTAACTTAGGTAGGATTATTATGACTGATTTTAACATGTCTCTTTTATACATTTTTGCAACATAATGTGTTCCCTTTAGGGAAGGAATTCCTTGTAAAATGTGCTAATCGGGTTTAGAGGGATTGCTGGCAGGCGCACCTGTCCTTACATAGACGAGCTGTGAGTGGTGCACTAACCCAGCTCTTGCACTGGGATGGGACGGGGCCTCTGGGGAGGGAACGGCACGTGGTCTGGGCTGACAGCTGAGAGGCGGGCGTTGTGTCTAAGGAAGGGCCCAGGAGCCTTTCCATCTGGGGGATTTTCTTTTTTGTGTGAAAAGATTTGATTTGCAAAGAGAATGAATATCTTTTTTTTTTTTGTATTCTACATTAGCTGTTAGTTGCTTTTTGAAAACAAGGAAGCACTGCACATCAATTCAGTAGTCAGTTTTGGACCAGCCGCGGAGGCGGGTGTGCTGGGGGCGGGCCTTCAGTGGGGCTTCGTCCTAACTGCAGTGTCCTCGTGACAGCATGCACAGAGTGCCACATTGGTGTCTCTCTTCGAACAGTGTTTTCCCAGCCTATAATAAATAAAGTGAAGCCACAGCTCTTGAAAACTCATTTCTTGCCACTGATGGAGAAACTGAAGAAAAAGGCAGCCACGGTGGTTTCCGAGGAAGACCATCTGAAAGCTGAGGCCCGGGGGGACATGTCCGAGGCCGAACTTCTCATCCTGGATGAGTTCACCACGCTGGCCAGGGACCTGTATGCCTTCTACCCTCTCCTGATTCGCTTTGTGGACAACAACAGGTACGGTCTTCCAATGTGGTTCCATCTCTCGAATTCTGCCCTGGCCTTGCTATGTGTGCATCCTGAATATTTGTGTCTCCTTCACTGACTGTTGAGTGTTGAGCCTGTTCGTGATGCCGTCAACAATGTAACCAAGGATTTCTAGATAAGTTTTTTTCATGGAACACCTTAAAATGACCATCAGCAAGTGCTTCTGGAGCAGTCCGTGTTTCGCAGGCAAATGCCGGCAGTCTGCCAGTCCGGGGTTTGAGTTCCTCTAAACGTGACGACGGCGACTTCGGCCCCACGTGCTCTGAGGGGAGCTGCGGCCCCGAGTTCCTAGTCTTCAGACTCAGCTTTGGGAGGGCCACTGGTACTTTTTTTAACCTTAGGTTTAACTGAGCAGCCACTTTATTCATTTTGTGGTCCAGGGCGAAGTGGCTCAAAGAGCCTACCCCGGAGGCTGAGGACCTCTTCCGCATGGTGGCCGAGGTGTTCATCTACTGGTCGAAGTCCCACGTGAGTAGGACAGTGCGGGCAGTGCCTGCTGCTCGGATTATTCGCCAATTTTCCAGCTCCTTAGTGCTTCTCAAACTTGTCTACCGGTGTCACCTAACAGTGAGGACAGAGAAGCGGTTCCCTGGGGAGTCTGAGCCAAACCTTCTTTTGAGTTTTGTCATTTGTCCTCCTGAAATCAGAGGGATTTTTAATTACGCCCCATACATGGTTACGTTTGCCCTACGTCTCAGGGTGATGTGGACACGGGTTGGTGCTGCGCTGCGTCCCTGGGACCGCTCCAGCCTCGGTTCGAGAAACGCCTGCACGAGGTCACGTCTGCATGGGACACACTTGTGTCGCCACCTTGAATTTCCTTTGTCAGCACACTCTTTCGATTCTCTAGGAAGTTTGTTCTGCTCACGAGTTAGAATAAAATAAAACTCCTGCCGGGAGTCTTGGCGGTAGAATTTACCAATTGCATCTGTAGTGAATCGCCACTACTTTGTGTGTTGCGAGTAGAATGATCTGTTTTTAACTCTGAAAGTGATTTTAGTCCTGAGAAGAACTTTGTAATATTCTTCAATTTTCAATAACTAGCAGAATATGGGTAAGTGAGCACTTATTTTTGTCCCATATCATTTTAAAATCTGAGCAATTTTGTATCAGTGACAACATGACGGTACTTTTTAAATGGGAGTCTCTGAGAAAGTAAAGACAAAATGCCGCAACCCCGGTTTCCCCCCTGGGGTGTCTCCCTGGTGTTTTTAGTCAGACTGGCATGCAAATCAGATTACTTCGAAAATGTACTGTTTTCTAAAAAGAACATTTTTATACTTAATAGTTAGTATATAAGTATTATCTGTTGCCTACCTTGAGGAGTCTGTTAAGCTTAATACCCAAATGTGTGTAGAAATGTACATTTAAAATACCATCACATAGAAATACTATGTGAAATAGTGGCCTTTTTTAACATGTGGATTTTAGATTCACATGGACATTTATTTACTGTGACATCACAAGAAATTACGTTCCTCTAAAAAGGAATGATTTCCTACCCGAGTCACTGCTGTTCAGGGGAGGCATTCGGTCACTCAGGAACTTCTGACGGAAGTTTGGGAATCCAGGGCCCAGGAGAAATCACTTAAGAAAACTGAAAGCTGCACATTTCTCTTGGAATAACTGAGAATTTTCAACTTTATCAGTCACAGAAGACCCCAAGGAACTTCTTTAGGTTTGTATGTAAGATAAAATTTTGGAATGTTTTTTGATCACTTATCATGATCAGTAGGTTTTTAGATGAATGTCTAATGATACTTTCAAGACTAAGAAAAAAATTCCGAATATGTGCTTTTAAATCTAATGGGTATATTTAAGCATAAACCTTTTAATATGTGACATGTATATACTTACCTACATACTTAAGTATGAGACCATATGAGCAGCCATGTTATTATTGGTAGTGAAACCAGAATATATAACTGAATGGAAATCAAGGCTTACTCTTCTCACTGTTGTTCACAAAAAATAGTTCCTCACTTACCACTCACTAACATATTTAAATGCTCATATGGAACCTGTGATTTGGGTTTTACTCATCTAATAAAGGAAGGCCTCTGGTTAGCTCGTCGACCTCTCCTTACAACTCTGCGGTTATTTCTGCCCTCGTTTTGTGTATTCTCTGCTTCACTGCTCAAATACAGGGTCTGGCAGAAGTAATGCCTGCTGGAGTATGGTTGGTAGGGAAATAATACGGGTGCACTAACTTACAGTTTTAATCCAAACACTTCACCTAAAATGTCATATAGTGTGCTCGAGTGTGATAGTGTTATGTGACAGAATCACATGCTTATGATTTTGTGAGGGAAAGAAGGGGCGTTATTTGTGCCAGACCCAGTGGTTCATGTTGCCAGTATCCCCGTGTCCCTAGGTTGACAGGGAAGGAAAGAATGGTGTGGATTTGAGAAAGTGGGCAGGCTGTCGGGACGGGTGGGTCCATCCCGGCCGCATGTGCTTTGGGGAGGCCTGGCCACCCCCAGCAGGCAGCGTGCATTTTCCCCAGCCCAGGCTGGCTTGCGTGTTCATTCTGCCCGTGCTGGATGAGTGTGTTATGTACCTTTTCCAAACCTTGGTTTTCCTGCCTTTGAAACATGTAGTATTTCCGTCAAGTTCCCAGGATTGTTGCCGTTATCCAGCCTTTATCAGATAGTCAAGAGATACTTGTTCTCTTTCTTGATAAGCCTTATGTTTCAAATCAGTATTCACTGTGGGTCCTGTGCCACCTCTGATCACACAGGCTTCTTATCTTTGAGACTTGAACTGCAACTCCCTTTGCAACTTTCAGAATTTCAAGAGAGAAGAGCAGAACTTTGTTGTCCAGAATGAAATCAACAACATGTCTTTCCTGATCACTGACACCAAGTCAAAGATGTCGAAGGTATTCATGCACTGTGTCACGGCACTAAAACTGTCTGAATGCAACTTTAATTGGTTGATTTTTTAAGGTTTTTTAAAGGTTTGTGCGTGGAATTTAATAGATTAGGTAATTTTTACTGAACACACAGTTTTGAGGGTGGCAGGCATTTGATGTATTCACATACAGTAATGGTTGTCAGGGAGGAAGTCTGTACTCACAGCTCCCTAGCAGCAGACAGCCTGGTGGGGTGTGCAGGGGAGCCTCAGGGTCAGTCAGGAGCCAGCGAGGGAGGGGGTGTGCAAGAACCTTTCCTGTGGTGTGTGGGGCAAGGCCCAGGTGAGGTAGGGTGAGCAGGTACAGGATTGGTTGGTTTGAATCATTTCAGGGCTGTGGATCATAGGAGCTGACGCTGGCTGTCTGGCACCTGGTCCTCGATCATTAGGACAGGTAGATTGGGCCCAGGCAGAGGAACTGATTGCAGAAAATGGACACTGGATTGGTAGGTTCATATAGAAAAGATGTGTTTGTGGGCCAGTAAGTTTCTGGCACTAAAAGCTGACTGCCCTGGGAAGGGCAGGCAAGAGTCAGCAAAGCCCCATAGTGTCAAAGTGTGTGAATAAAAAGACTTGCTTAATACACATACTTACAACATAGCCAGTCAGCGTAGTATACATGTTACTGGTCAATGTCACGTACAGTCATCTCCCCTTATCTGCAGGGGTGCCTTCCAAGAGCCCCGTGGATGCCTGAAACTGTGGATAGTGTCTGACCTTGTACAAACATATGATAAAGTTTCATTTATAAATTAGGTGCAGGAAAGATTAACCACAACAGTAATAGAACAGTTATAACAACATACTGTAATAAATGTTATGTGAGGCTGGTCTCCCTCTCTCTCAAAATATCTTTTGAGTTGTTTATTTCTGGAAGTTTCCATTTGATAGTTTCAGAGCACGGTTGACTGCTGGGAACTGGACCGTGCAAAGCAAACCACTGGTGGGCGGGGGCAGTGGGTCCTGCATTCATCAAGAGTAGACGTGTGTGCGTCACGTGTGCCGCACACACAGCGCTCGGAGCAGCAGCTGCAGGGTTGAAGAGGCATATGGATCAGTTCTGGGGTCTCACCTAGAAGGTGGGAAGCAGGCCCCTAGATTTGTGTTTTCCCGATGTCACACGCATTGGGAAAGAGAGGAACTTCTTATCAAAACACTTTAAAATGTATGTGTTTGCCACTGAATTATTACTAAATAAGAAATGAATGTATTGCATGGGTAACACAGAAAGTAGGCCACCGCGTGGCCTAAGATGTGCGGTCACGTGGCCTCTGGCCCAGGAGGTCAGTCCCCCCAACTCCGCATGGGGAAAGGGCTGTGTGGGAGGGCCAGCTTTTTGAACCCCGAGGGGCCAGTCGGCGGTGGCGGCTTTGTGGGTGACCCCCCAGGACTGTACAGTGGCACCCCTCACTACCTCTAGTCTTGTTTGGAGTTAGAAATGCCATGTGTTTGACACAATTACACACAAACCGGATGCTGAAGCTTTGCACACTTGGGGCACTTGTTGTTGCTTCATGTGACGGTGCCCTGAAACACCGGTGAGAAAGGGTGACTTTCTGTCCTCGGCGCCAACAGTCTGAGTGTCAGGCAGGGAGACGCACCCCAGGAGGTGCGGCACGGACGGCACACATTTCATGGTGTTTGAGCTGGAGCCTGTTAGTGGCTCCCCCACCGTGTCAGTGCAGGCCGGAGGGGACGATGAGCTGCAGAGAGGGCGGGAGAGGCCAGCGTTTCCTTTGGGAGGATGACACAGTGTTGTCACACGCGAGACAGATCACAGGTCTTGAGAGCAGATGTTGGTGGGTTCTGCCCAAGCCCTCTGTCTCTGTCCCCCTTTGCATCCAGCGCTGCTCGCAGCGTAGCTCCCAGACGGCCCACCCAGGGAGCTACGCTGGAGCATAGACCAGTGGGAACATTTTCTCCTGTTCTCGGGGCGGGGAGGAAAGTAATGGATAGGAGCCTCTCCATTTTAATGCTGTGTCCTAGATTTTCTCCTTTTTACTCTGTGACTGCTAACACTCCAACACAAGATAGAAAGCAAATAATATTGATGAAAATGTTAGAAATTGGTGGCTATGCTTTGCTTCCTTATTTTTATTTTTATATTTTTAGTTTTGCCAGCATATGTTGTTGAATTTTAAATTACATAAGTGCAATAACCTCTTTTTTCCCTCGAAATAATGTTTCTAGTTCACACAAGAGTCAAATATGCTCATCTCTTGCATGGTTTTACTGAGGGAGTATACACAATGTATGTGATGATATATTGTAATATATAATTAATGCAACACAATAGGTAAGCATTACTGTAAGATGATTCCCTTGTTTCCTTGTTTATGGGAAAAACTTTCAACATCCTCTTGTGATATATTTTTCCCTTCCTTTTGGGCAAGCAAACTATTTGTATATTATATCCACTTCTGCTTTTTTCTCAGTAGCCCAAAACAATTATAATGTCATTTTTATGAAAATATCTTCAATGTTTGATTTATTGTACAAAGACACTTTTGACGTGCATGCAGAAGTGGGTAGGGGACTATTATTTTAATTTTGACATTAGAACATACCCCTACATGAGAAGAATACTCACCCACTACCCAGTAAAAATCAGATCCTGACATTGGAGGTGACCCTGTGGTTCGAACATAATCTTCAACACAAGCGTGAGAGCCCCCCGAGGGGCGTGGCTCTTTGCAGTTGTTACCAGGTCACCCAGAGATAATCCCAAATATCCACCTAACACTGATTTGTGTATCGTGTCTGTCTGTACCAGGTTAGGGTTAAGGCCCCGAGGAAGGTCTCTCACGTAGTGAGAGTTGGCTACACAGTTGGCTCTACGTAGAAGGGTTTTATGATAGTTTTTATGTATGATGTGGTATGTAAGCAAAACAGGCATTTGTCAAAACAAAACTGTACCATTTATCTTTAAATTTTTGTTAAGTATTGAAAATTATAAGACATACAACAACCTAAAATTACCATGGCATTTTCATTTATCCATAAGCTTCTCTAGACTTACAATGTGCATTTTCTTTCTAAGATTAACTAGAAAAGCACAGCAGTGGATTGTAGGAACTTGGGAATCTGAGAGCGGGACTTGAAATCAGCCCAAGCTGCTGAGAAGGAAAGAGCGAAGGCATTCTCGGTAGGCTTTTCCAGCATAGGGAGCAGCAGAGAAGGCGGAGGTGAAAGCACAGGCTGGTTAGAAACGTTCACAGCTGTGGGGGAAGAGCGTGCACACCCCGACCCCTGTCCCTGTTCTGCAGGCGGCTGTTTCCGACCAGGAGCGGAAGAAGATGAGGCGGAAGGGCGACCGCTACTCCGTGCAGACCTCGCTCATCGTGGCCGCCCTGAAGCGGCTGCTGCCCATCGGGCTGAACATCTGTGCGCCTGGTGACCAAGAGCTCATAGCCCTGGCCAAGAATCGGCTGAGTATGGTGCGTTCCCCGTTTGCGCAGGGGGCAGTCGCCCAACCGCTGTCTCCCAGCTCTGAGCCAGGGTCCCTCCGCAGTCAGGGCTCTATTACATGTGTGCTTCACGGGCCCTAGGACTCGGGCAAAAGGGAAATGATCGCCTACTTTTTTGGGAGGCTGTTTTATTTCTAAATGATATTACTCACCTTCAGGCACTTTCAGGAACCACATGGAAAGTTACAAGTCACTGGTTGTGAAAAAACGGATTTCTGTGAACTCCTATATACAATTTTTGATGAGTGGTGTATTCAGATTCAGGAAGGGCCATTCTTCAGGATTAGGAGCAGAACGTGTTGTGCCACTTGTGCTGAGATGCGGTGTTGACCTTCCAATTGGCGGCTGTTCTTTGCAAGTGTGGAGATTTAAGTTCCCAGGATTTCTCTATGGCCTGTTTTTTTTATCTTCATGGCTATGCTTATGAGGATGGATACAATTTTTCAAAAATACACGTGGGATGGCTATGCTATACTCATGGTGATTGGATGCCATGCTCCCCTGCCCTGGGGACCCTGCAGCGCCCTCTGTATACCTGAGCCGAGCTAGTGAGTGCAGGCTGGCAGGTGTCCGTGCAGGTGTGGTCCGCTGGCTGGTGCCTGACAACTGATTTGCAGGGCTGAACCTCGGCACTGCCAGTGGGCTGTGTTTTAAGTGCTGAATGACTGTGGACATTTCAAGGAGGGACAGGCTTCTGTTTGAAGCCCAGGGAGCATGCTTCTCCCTGCCCCACCCCTGTTGTAAACCGGAGACACAGTTCCACTGAGTCTTATGCACTTGTTGTGGAGTTCACGTGGGCTGTCTCAAGGCACAGCAGTAACAGGAAAGTATCTGAAAGAGACCCACAAATTAGTGGCGTGTGTTCAGATCCTGTGAAGATACTGTGCAGACATACACTGTTTTAAAAGGGGTGTGCGGGATTTCTGTTGAGTTATAACAGGCGATGCCTCATCAGACTCCCAGGTAACATTTCTTTCTTGACAGAAAGACACTGAGGATGAAGTCCGAGATATAATCCGCAGTAATATTCATTTGCAAGGCAAGGTAAGCCTCATTTATTCTAAAGCGCATTTAGCATCTGTACAGTGGTTAGTCTCTCTTTACAATAGTATCCTAAATAATGTTAATTTAGCAATTAAGATAGTTAAAAGAATATTATTTTAATCAGTATTATCCTACTTGAAAATCCTCTTGTATTATAGACCCTCAGGGTAACAAATGTGTTTCAAAGCAGCTCATCAGAGATTGCCCAACCTCTGTCGTTAACGAAAACAGTGTTAGTTGACATAAAGGTTGGATATGTCCTTTGTCTGCCTGAGTTTGAGGACCTTTCGGAGATGGAGATGGGTCCACAAGAATTTGAGATTTCACATCTGGGGCCCAGAAATTAGTTACGCGCTCTGTATTTAAGAGCCAGTGGTACTCAGAAGGTGTTAAGAACTGCTGTTAGAGGGGTAACTAGTTACCTAGAAAAAGGACTATCCATTTAGAAGAAAACACGAATGGAAATCACAGTGGCACCTACTTTTTAACGTGGGTAAAAAACAAAAATGCTGGAATTGGTTTTGTACTCAAGTAAGCATGGACTATTACATAGAAGTTTTTTGATGCTAGCGGATAAGTTATTGCTGTGTTCAGAGAACCTGTTACGTAAGGAGTCTAGCAATTTATCCTTTTCAGTCGCCTGTTTGTATGCTTGTGTCCTTTCTGAGGACTCCTCCTGATTATGAAAGTGCCAAATGTCGTAAAGTAGTGACTACAGTATAACGTATGTCTTTCTGGGTATTAAAATATTTCTTTCCAAAGGTTCAAGTCATATTATTTTGCTCTTAACACTTTGGAATATAATGGGAGAAAGATGAGACAAACCATTACAATATTCACAACCACAAATACTTATTGGGAGCCACCTAGGTGTGTACCTAGGTGTATACTGAGTCACACGTTTACCTTCCCAGAGCAGATTAATTCCCACCAGAGCATGCTCTCTTTCCAGATGGCAAAAGAGTTTAAACATTTGAAAGATGTTCAGGAAGCCTCCAGTTGAGCCTCAAGGGAAGAGTTTGTCACACACAGGTGTTACAGGGGATCATGTTCCCCCAAAAGGTCCTTGGGATCCCTGGGGACTTGAGGCCACACTGTGAGGACCGTGGTCTGGGACGAGCGCTGCTGAGTGGAGACGGGATGTGTCTGGGGTGTATGATGCTCTCAGGGCCTGGTCCTGTGCAAAGGTTGCGTTTGGATGCACAGAAGGGAGCCCTTCCATTACGTTGTGGAGGTCACTGGTAGGAATTCTTCAGACAGTCTGTGCTGTGTACTGGGGAGTCAGGGAGAAAGGAGAACAGGAAGGGAAACATGTTTGTTGTTCATAGTTCTCCTCCGGGTGAATGAGAGCTGACTGTGATGAGGCAATGCATTTGCATTATTCCTCACATTTCATACTATGCTTTTTGACACTGGGGGTCAGCACACGTTTGGGGGGGCATGCAGACTTACGAAAATGAAGCTTTTTTCCCTAGCTGCTTCCTGAATACATTGTCTTGAAACTGTAGAAACAGTAGCTCTGAACAACAGTAAAAAAGTGGTTAAAGAAGAACAACAATAAAAAATGATAAAAAAACTAAACAGTCATTCTGGGGACAGGGGAAGTAATTTTATACTAGAATAAAGATTGTACTTATTTTGCCATACGTAAGTAAGGATGCATACCAAAGTCTAGACGAACCACATACAGTTCTCAGGTGACAATAGTATGGGGAGGCAAAGCAGTTGGTTTTCCCAGAGGACACGTGGCGTTTGCCAGTCACCCAGGGCCCGAAGCTCCACCTCTGCATTCGCCTCCGCGTGGAGGCTATTTCTGACATTCCAAACGAGGCTGTCCGAGGAAGAGTGGCGAGGGTTCGATGTTGTCCACCCACTTATGCTCCGGCCCCCCACCCCCCACTTTTAATGGAGATGTTAAAGGGAGGGGACCTAGGGGTTGCTTTGCTGTTCTACGGGCGGACTTGTTCTGTGTGACTTTCTTGGAGCAATGTGCTTCGTTCCTGTAGAGACGCTTGACGTCACCAGTTCTATGATTATGATAATCTTTGTGAGAGACATACAGGATTCAGTTATACCCTCCACTCAGAAAACTTGACAGTATTAGGAAGAAGAATGTATAGACTCCTTTACTGTAACAATACAGTTGTATAGCTCTCCATTGATTGCCTTAATTGGTATTTTGTTTCAGTGAGACTAAGCTCCCTTGTCCTTGTATTTATAGATAATTGTGATCCTATAGCATTTCTATGAAAGTAAATGTGTACATCTCTCAGGGTTTGACTAGGAAAGGAAGAGAGAAAGATGAAAGAGCTTTGTGTTTTTCCGTTTCCTGAATATTTCCAAGTCATCCTTAAATCGTAGTTGAAACTTCACTTGTTTAGGGAAATCTTCCCAGCCACCAGCAGACTGGGTTGAGCCTCGTAATGCTCTGCATTTCTTTGCAGTAGCCCTTCTCCTAGTTGTAAGCCTTCATTTAATGTTTGTCTTCACACTAGAGGTGAATTTCCTGAATACAAACTTCTTCCGTGTCTCGGTCTCCAGACAGTGCTCTGAGAGGTGCGGTGCTCAAATGTAGTTGTAGACCCTCCTATTTCCATTGTGGCCTTGTGCTGCTGAACCTTTTCCTTTGCTCTGCAGCTGGAGGACCCTGCTATTAGGTGGCAAATGGCCCTTTACAAAGACTTACCTAATAGGACTGAAGACAATTCAGATCCCGAGAAGACCGTGGAGAGAGTCCTGGACATAGCCAACGTGCTCTTCCACCTCGAACAGGTGAGGGTCTGTGTTCATGCAGTTGTATTTACCTAATTCGTGCACAGACATTTTTTTAAAAAGGATGTGTGTCAAATTGTTAACCATGGGCCCAAAAATTGCATGTTCAGCATATTCATTGTAAAGAATATATGGCTTAGGAGTACTTAATATTTAATGTATAAAATTTCTGAGCTTATAATTTTTGTAGCAATATATAGACAATGTATTTGGGTAGATCAAGGCCTTTGTTTAATTATTTTATTCAAAGTATTTCCAAAGTTGTGTCGATAATTAGGATTATATACTTAATTTTAAGTCATTCCACCAGAAATTTCAGGAGTTCCACATAATTTCAAATGCTTTGTGCTTTATCATCTTTATCACCACTCAAAAAAAACATTGACCTACTATCTTTCACTGGTTCAATATTTGAATTTTCTGTCTCATGTTTAAGTTTTTCCTTTCATTAGAGATACTTTTGAGCTAATTTTTTCTAAGATCAGCAGTAAATTACATTTAAAGAACAATGCATTGTCTGTAAAATCATGTAAGAATAGTGTTTTTATATAATTTTCAGTTGCATCTTATTTTAAACTACAAAGCTCACTGTGTGTTAGAGCTTCCAATTCATTATCTTTGCTCAAGAATTCCCAAGCCAATAATATTTGAAATGTTACCAGTCAGTGGGTTATATTTTTGTGTAAGGGATCCTGTGGCAGAAGTAAAATATCTGCAATAGAGAGACAGTGTCTATTTAATTCTCACAAGGCCCATTCCACAAAACAACGCAGTGAACCAGCAGTGCCCTCTGTCATTGAGCCTCCAAGACAGCGCCTGCCGGACATGGCTTACAAAATAGCAAAATGCCCTGTTGTTGCAGGAATGACGTCGCCCACATGCTTTGCAGAACACAGCAGCTTTGCAGTAATGCGCATTTTTCTTTGATTCCTGATACTCACTCTCAGATGACCTCCTGTCCCTGTCCTGGCTAGTTGAGTAGCTCAGTGCTATACTCTCTGTCACTGCACTTGGTGAGAGGGAACTCAGGGACTTGATGCCACATGGCGACTGATGTATTTTATCTAAGTTACACCGTAATATGAGTAATATAATGTAATGCAAAAATATAGGCAATTTCACATTTCCCTATCTCCATAATATTGTCATGGAACATCAAATAAATACAAATTGTCATCCATCAGCAGATGACAGGATCTGAGGTCATGGAATTTGAAGTATATGTAAAGTCTGAGTTGTATTTCTAGAGTTATGTGCATATTTAGAAAGATTGTTCAATTTCATTTAAAGGCTGCTAGAGGACCCATTCTGGTATCATCGCTCTATCATATGTTTTTAATTCTTCCAGGTTTCTATGAACATATCTGGAGTTGCTTGAATGAATTTTAGATGATACATTAAATGAAGCCCATTGAAGTCAAATTGTTTTATTTTATTTTCATAAATATATACAATCATAATGAACAATGCCATCTGTGAAGCAGGAGCATCCTTTTCATCCCCCGAATGTGCCCCCTTCGAGGGTGCAGCCCTCATTCAAGGGCACAGCTTCATGGTGGCATCACACTCGTCAGGCGCTGGGACTGAACTCGGTCCCTGTCCTCAAGTTGCTGGAGCTCTAGGAGGATGAGGACACCTGAGCAGATACCTGTGTGATGAGATAGCTTGCTTGGGTTCAATGTGCTCAAGAGGAAACATTGCCCTTGGCTTGATCTGGTTGTGGAGTAGGTGATCGCTGTGTAAATCTTAAAGGAGAAGTAGGAATTATCTGGAAAAGGTAAGGCAGTCAGGTTTTAGTCAACAGCAAGGGTCATTCACATGTTAAGGATAGAAGTAAAAAGATCATCAATTATGAAAGGATAGGAGAGAGTGGGAGATACCTGTGTGGAGAACTCATACCTTTAATCCCTCGAATGTTAACTTGTAACTCAGTTTGCAAATAATACTTTCACTTGCTAAACTCAGTGCAAGAACAGTGCACTGAGTGCACTGGATTTGACTTATCTCCCGTATCAGCAGCCTTTGCCAATGTGTATTTTGTGTATTGTACACCTGGTAATTTTACTCATGAAGGTAAGCTGTCTCCTTGGAACTTCCTAATGCTCCATCTCTAACCAGGCTGATTGGCACAGCCAGACGTTCTGTCCGTCTTTGGATCGTAGAATCCACTGATACCCAGTTATTTGATATATAGGAAAACTCACTATGTAAGGTCTTTTCTTGTGCAATAAAATGCTATGCCAAGTGGTAAATTTCATGATGGCAGAGACCTTTTCTACCATGTTCATTGTTATATCTTTTCTTTAAGTATATTTTTGTATCTTTTAAAAATATTTTTGTTGATTGGTTAGAGAGAGAGAGAAACATCAATTTGTTGTGGCACTCATTAATAGATCCATTGATTGATTCTTGTATGTGCCCTGACTGGGGATCGAACCCACAACATTGGCGTGTCAGGACAATGTTCTAATCAACTGAGCTACCTGGCCAGGGCAGCTACTTTGTCTCCTGTGCCTAGGCTTTTGAATCATGTTTCTTTGTCACCTGTGCTAGTTAGAATGCCATATTCTAATAAAAGCTACCATTTACAGACTTGGATCTCAAAACGGAGTTTTAAGATGATGTGTTGGGTCTATTTGAACAACACTACCTTTGGTTCTGTTTTCTGTTAAGTCTCCGCAACGTTCTGTTTCACTTAACATAGTCATTGAGAAGAAAACTGAAGTGGATAGTTGTCAGAGAGTGTTCACTGATCCTGTGGAGGGAAGAGGGTCACAGAAACAAATGTCATCAAATTACTTAAGTTGCTTTCTTATAATTTCTAAACCACTTGAGCCCAAATACTCTTACGGTTTTCTTTAAGTAATATTACAGTCGTGTTTTGACCCTTTACTGCAAAGGGTAATGAGTCCAGTTTTATTTTTTCAGCTAACATGACATTTTCATTTCTTCCAGAAATCTACATGTATGCGTTGGAGATATTACAGTCTGGGAAGTAAAGTGTTAAATTGCCTAGAGATTACTTATTAATTTAGAATTACACGTTGGGACTTTTCTCTCTAATACTTATAATTAATCCCTTCTTTCTCTTGAAGTTCCAAACACCATTAGCTAAATAAACAGCTTGCTTGCGTTATTGACTACAGCTTTTAAATTCTCATGTGTGTCTATCTAACAAAATAGTTACATATTTTAACATTTTTGCAAAATTACGTGCTTTTACTCATTCCTAGTAATGTGTTCACGAAGCTGGTCATCTCCCTGCCACCCCATTATATTGAGGGACAACAGAGTTTTCGTCAGACTTTTCTTTAGGTGCTTCTGTGTATGAAATTGCTGTGACTCTTAGGATAAAATTAGTTAAAATGGGTACATAAATAAAAGTGGGTTAATTTTTTGCATAGACAGAAAATATGTTTTAGAACCATAACCAAATTCTCAAAAGGATGCAAACTGATTTTCTCATTGAAAGGTTATGTATTTCTTCAGTCTTAGAGATGACATTGCTTCTAGTACACACTATTGGGAAAATATATTTTTGCTAAGGAAAATGTGTAACATTTTAAACTCTTTCAAGTTTAACATTAGATAACTTTTAGGACATGGTCTTTTCCATAATTTTAAGGTGCTTTTGGAGTTTAAATTGCTGAAGTTTTTAGCTAAAAGGCATAGCTGTTCGATACAATGTGTTGCAGTGAGAGCTTGGGGTTTACATGCCGTCTGTCGCCCCCTGCAGGTGGAGCACCCTCAGAGGTCTAAGAAGGCTGTCTGGCACAAGCTGCTCTCCAAGCAGAGGAAGAGAGCGGTGGTGGCCTGCTTCCGGATGGCCCCCCTCTACAACCTGCCCAGGTCAGAGCTGTTTAATACTTGTAACAGGTTGAAGTTATGTTTGCAGGAAAGCGATGGGGTCTAGCCCCTACTTTACTGTGAGTATCACTGTGCAAGAGAACGACAGAGGGGACGACATATGGGCTCCTCTGCGTAATGATGGACTTTGTTTTCCTCGGTTGGTTATTCTCAGAGAACTGTGGTCTCTAATGCGATTGTGCAGTGACTGTTGTAGAAGCTGCTTGTCTGTCTGCGTCAGATTTGTGAGTCTTCAGACTTCTGTGCAGTTTCATACCCTCAGCGCCCAGAACGTAAGCGAATGAATGAATGGATGAATGATACAAGGCAGGGACGTAACAAACAACAAGACATCACAGCTTCCTGTCACCAAGACCACCGGTCTCTTCTCTTCCCCATCTCCTCACACTGAGTATAAAACCGTGAGCTGCTTCTAAATTCTCTGCCTCAGCCTCAGTGTCACCAGTTAGTCCCCTGGGACATCCCTCTCTGGTGACTCCTGGGTAGCCGTTCTCCAGGTCTCATCGTGGTTCCTCTGAACTGGTCACTTCACACTTCCGTTTGCGGCCACCTCCTCTTGGGTTGGCAGCAGCCGCGCTGACCTGGCTTCTGCGCTGTCACAGCGTCTGCTGTCCCACCCTCTCGGATGTGCCGCTTCCCAAATGGAGTCCCTTGTTCCAGTGCTTCTTGAACCTGGTGCTTGTAGTGAATGCGCTGACCTACCTGGGGAAATAGCCTGGTCTCAGCTACTGAATCGGGGTTCCTGCGAGGGCTCCACGGGGCGTTACTTGAAGGCCACGCTGGAGTTCCAGCACACCCTCTGCTGGCCCGTCTCAAGCACAAGGGTTTACACTGGTTTGCAGGCGCCGTGTCCTCTGCCCCCTTTCCAGGGCCCTTCCTCACCCCGACTGCACGGCTGGGGCCCCGCAGCCCGTCGTCCGCGAGGCGAAGCCCCGCTGCCCGTCCTGCCCAGGCACCGTCTCATTCTGGACGTCTGAGATTCTAGTGGGACTCCCTTGTTTTACCCATCCTCACCCTCTTTCTTTTACTGGAATCCTGTCTGTGTCTCTTCGTAACTTCGCGATGAGTCCACTGATCTTGCAGTCTGCGCTGTCTGTCTCCCAGCGCTGTCCAGGACGGAGCCCGCGGCTGGGTGCTCACAGACAGGCCCCGTCCCACCTGGTCTCTGATCCTGGGACCTGGTGCCCGGTGGCAGGTCCAGTACTGAGGACTTCCTCTCTTCAGAGTTCTTACAGTGTTTACCCACAGCCACTTTTCTTGTGATAGCTACTGTTTCATGAACATCTATCCAGTGTGCTTTGTATTTTTTATCTCATGTTGAGTCCCACAAAGCTGAAGCAGAGAGGTTATCTTTGGTTTATGAACTAGAAAAATGAAAGTTGCAAAGTGAGCTAACTTGACTGATGTTACAAAGCTTGGAAATAGTGAAGCCAGGATTCAAATCCGAAGTCACTGTGTCATTTCAGAAACTTTGCCATGTCCCCTCCAAAGAGTGCCTCTCCCATTAACTGCAGTTTATTTCTATTTTTGCTGCACAGAAATTAAGTGATAAAGCACTATGTGATATCTTTTAAATTTGTTTTAAAAAGCAGCACTGTGTTTGAAATTGTGCTTATTTTTTAGGCACCGGGCCATCAATCTCTTCCTTCAGGGATATGAAAAGTCCTGGATTGAAACGGAAGAACATTACTTTGAAGATAAACTGATAGAAGATTTAGCAGTATGTCTTTAATGGGCTTAACAATGAAGGCGTTTTGGGCCTAGTGGTGTGAGCAGTTACCGTGTGACTCTGAGAAGACCTCGCTGCACATAGTGTTCTAGGAAGCTTTGTTCTCAATTAATACATTCAGTGTTCAGGGGAGAATTTAGAATTTAAGATGAATTATCGATTGAACTTGGATTTTGTTGATTCTTTTAAAGTCATCCTCAAGGCACCTTTAAACACCTCAGAACCAGGATAAAACTATAATGGCAGAACTAAAACGAAATTAGTCACCAAAAAATAAGTTGAAGGTTCATGAGAACACATGGAAAGGAGCTGTAAAACTAGGCAGAGCTGGAGATGGTGGCCTGGCACAGGCAGAACAGGAATCACGCGGATGTCATTGAAAGCAGGGCGGGTTTCATCAGGCACAACTGTGAGCGGGCACTTGGGGACCACGGCCTTAATCTTGTCTGTGTCGGTGGGAACGCAGACCGGTGCAGCCACTGCGGAAAGCAGTGTGGAGACACCTCAAAAAATGAAAAATGAAGCTGCCATGACTCAGCTCTTCTATTTCTCAGAATTTATATAAAGAATCCCAAAATGCTCATTTAAATCAAATGTGCACTTCGATGTGCATTGCTACATTATTTACAGTCGCTGAGATTGGGGAGCAGCCCAAGCGTCCATCTGTGGATGAGTGGGTAGAGCAACTCCGGGGCATTTGCACAGAGGAGCTCTATTTGGCTGTAAAAAAAGAAGAAAATTTCACCCTTTATGGCAGCACGGAGGGACCTGGAGAACATTATGCTGAGTGAAATAAGCCAGTCAGAGAACGACACGTACCATATGATTTTACTCATAAGGGAATCTAAAGAACAAACTGAACTAACAAGCAAAACAGAGACAGACTCATAGATGGAGAGCAGCAGGCTGAGAGCTCTGGGGAGGAGGGGTTGGGGGTGGAGGGATCGAGCCAAAAAGAAAAAGAGCTCGTGGACACAGCAGTGTGGTGATCGTGGGGAGGAGAGGTGTGGGTGGAGGTAGAAAAGTGTGTAAGGGAAATAAATGATAGTGGGGAAAAATGCAATAAAAAACAATAAGACCGATGGTAGAATATTGGATTTATGGTAGAAATTTACCCAGTTCCTGCAAGACTGAACCTTAAAGCCAGGAAAGGGCATAATTTATGTCCAGAGTCACTACAATATGAATAAGTCAATCAATATATTGAATTCATTGTTACTCAACAAAAAGTCAGGATTAATGAATTCTACCATCAGTAAAAATGCTTCATAATTTTTTTCATGGTGAAAATTCTGTTCAGTAGTACAAACTTATTTTTTAAGTCTTAAAAGTAACTGAAAATGGGAAAAAAGTAACTAACATGTACTGACACACACACTCACATACAGAATTACATGCACATATATACTCATAATCATGCGTACACACATGTACACACTGGCACACTCACCATTGCACATGAAAACTCAGTCATGCATGCACACGTTCACATGCACACACATTTAAACATGCTCACATAGACATCGCACACCCACAGCCTAGCACACACGCACACACATGTCCTCACACACACACTGCCACAGCAGAAGAGAAGGGCTTTCCTTTCACTTGTTGTTTGTAGCCTTCATATTTCTCTTGAATTTGATGGGACATTTCACTGAAATGTGCGTTTCATGAATCCAACTCTCCTGCAGAAACCTGGAGCAGAACCTCCAGAGGAAGATGAAGGCCCGACCAGAGTGGACCCTCTGCATCAGCTGATCCTCCTGTTCAGTCGCACGGCCCTAACGGAGAAATGGTATGGTGGGGAGGAGGGGCGTGCGAGGCGCCGTGTCGGGAGTCTGTATCCCATCTTCGTGTTTCTGTTTCATCCGGTCTGGTTAGGAGAGAGCCTTGTCCAGAAATAGGCCCGGTTGCGTTACACCTGTGGGCCAGTGTTCATTCAGTTTTAGGCTTTAATTTAATACCTACTCTGGTTTTTCTTAACAGTTCGTAATTCGCTGATCACTTCCTTCTGAATTGTCTTAGAAAATGATTTTTCTCCTTGTCACAAGCAGCCTTTATAAACAAAGAGCTCAAGGCAAATTTTAGTACCAAACTCGCGTGGAGACCAGTAGTGACAAAGGACCGTTGGCACTGCGCAGGAGGTCTTAGGAACCCCCCGGGGGAGGGGAGCCCTCTTCTCAGTGGGGGGTCTCTGTGAGGCCTGTTTCAGGGCCCCTCCATTTTTCTGACTTCTCATTCGTGCGACTTCTCCAAAGCCACAAAGGCCAGACGTCCATGCATTGATTACATGAGAAACACACTTACAGGCCGGCAACCAAAATGTCCCCACCGCCGCTCCTGCAGGTCCCTGCCAGACCACACCTGCATCTGCTTCCCCACCCCCTTCGCCAGAAGACAGCCTGCTCTGCTCAGGCTTCCCTCGCTCTCCACAGCAGCGGGAGATGATTGGTTCCCCGCCCATGTGCACAGAGGCTTCTCAGAGTCCTGAGCAGACCTATGGCCTCGGCAAGGCCACGGTCACGTGCATTTCTCCCCCTGACTGAAGCGACCTCTACCTCTCTCACAATTTCTCCTTCCCTCCTCACCTCCTAACTAACAAGTCAAATCATCCCTAAGTGTAGCCCCTGTGCCTGCCATTGCCAGGTAATGAGCTCTTTCTCGTAAGTGGATCTTGCTGATGGCTGGTGTTTAAGACTACAAAAGTAACTTTGCAGTGAGTTTTTTCTGATAGAAACCTTCCTTCATAAATCAATGGTTTCCATATTTCTTAAAAAGGGGATAATAAACACTTAAACTTTTTAATTTTCAAGAATTGTTATGATGATTTTATAGCATAATAATTTGGGGAGTCTTTTAATCAAATGTCAAACGTCACTTCTGTCAAGAGCCCCTGCCTCCTTTAAACTTGCTTGTTCCAAGTTTCGTAGTTTCCAGAACATGAAAGTTATTGCGTGTGTGTGTAAGTCATTACTGTCTCTCCCAGAAGGTAAGGCAGGCCACTGTTTGAGGTCTGAGACCATTACTCTGCCTGAGTTTTGTGTTTATTTCATTTAAAAAATGTACACTTGAAGAATACACGGTGTTTTATATGATGGTAAAAGACTAGCCTTCTACTTAAAAACAATATTTTTTTTCTTGTTTTTCATAGCAAACTGGAGGAAGACTTTTTATACATGGCTTATGCAGATATTATGGCAAAGGTAAATAAACGTCAGTCTTAATTTTAAAGTTTAATGAACTACAATTACTGTATCTGACAGAGGATAAGAATGTATGAATTTCTGGATTGAAATAAAATGCCCTAGACCTTAGACACCTCAGGCGTGTTCATCTCAGCTCTCCCCCTGTTCTGTGAATCTCCGTTCTCACTTCCTGGACAGGCAATCATTGTTTCCTCCTCTAACTTGTTATTTATGGGGAGCTCACTAACTTTTCAAACATCCATTCATTCAACAAACACTCCCTGGGTAGTGAGGTATTGGAGACACACGGTGACAGAGAAAGGCACTGCCACCTTGTATTTTATTGTCTGATGGGGAAGATAGCACTTAAACAGATGATCACAAACTGGTGCGTTTAATGGTGGAGGGACAGGTCACACAGCCCAGTGGTGAGTTCTGCTTAGTCTGTGGTTTAAGAAAGTCCTCGATGGGGGAAGGATGGCTTGACCCTGAAGAGTCAGTAACAGCTGGTGGCCACTGAATGTATGTGTTGCATACACCATTTAAGGATGGGTCTGGGAGGGGGGCCGGCTTCTCAGAGGCTTCTGGTCTGAGCAGCTGGGGTGCTGACAGTGCCATGTGCTGTGGGTGGAAGGAGCAGAAGGTTGCAGGTCCACAGTGACAGGGCAGATGACAGGTTTTACGGCGCACACATGAGTTATGTGCGACTGCTGAGTGGAGATGTCACCAGTGTGGAGTGATGTTCACATCTGGTGTGAAGTGTCTCAGGGAAGGCTGCTTATACCCACCTGGGCTCGTCTGCATCACTAGGTTAGTTGCAGCCATGGGTGTGGTGGTCTCACTGGCAGGGGGCAGCAGGAGCAGAGAGAAGAGCAAGGGCCCAGCCCTGAGGACACTCAGGGATCGGCAACAGGAAAGGAGCCTGTGAAACAGCAGGAGAGAGTCTGCAGTGTGCGGGCGTGCAGGCCGCGTTCTGAGGTTGCGCAGGTGCGGACTGAGTGCCTGTTCACCACGTGAGCAGGTCAGCTCAGTGGGCAGGACTGCGGGCAGGACGTTGGCGCAAGTGCCTTGGGGAGGAGAGTGAGGCTCAATGTGCAGGTACGGCAGGGAGAAAAGCAGGCGCCCCGTGCGGGGAGCTTGGCAGGACCTTCCCAGGAAAGTGGAGGAGGAGGAGAAAGGCAGAATGGCAGGTGAAGGGGGACTGTTTTGTTTTTTTGTTCCTTGTTCACTTTTTTAAGAGAGAACTGAACCTGCTTCTGCCCTGGTGGGAAGACTCCGGTAGATTGGGCAAGGTGGAAGCGCAGTTGGGGCGGGTTGCAGAGAAGGGGGGACCGTCCCAGTTGTCCAGCCTCACGTCAGAGCAGCGGCTTTCAGCCTGTCCGTCTCCGGGCGCACACACGCTGAGTGCTAGCACTCTGCAGCACACCAACAGTATGTGTTCTGCCCATCCGACAAAAAGACTAAATGCAGCTTGGATTCCTTCACACAGGGCAGCTGTTGTGTTCACTGTTGTCATTTTTTTAATTTGACAACTGGAGGGAAAAGAGGTCAGTGCCCCTGACTGAACGGTCAGATGCGCCATGTTTTAAGCATTCTTGCAGCACACCAGTAGAAAATCACTGTTTAAACCATAACCCACAGTAAAAAGTACGTTTTCCAGCATGTTTATAGAAACATAAAAATAGATACTTTGAAAGAAAATGTTCACAAAATTATACTGTTCCTCTGAGCACTACAGTCTGATATTTTCTATTCTATTTAAATTGTAAAAATGTTTGAGCCCTGACTGGTGTAGCTCAGTTGGTTGGGCATTGTTCTGTAAACGGAAAGGTTGCCAGTTGGATTCCTGGTCAGGGCCCGTGGCCTGAGCCGTAGGCTGGTCCCCGGTTGGGGGGTGATGCGCCACCACTGGATGTCTCTCCCTGACGTGTGTTTCTCTCCCTGTCTTTCTCCCTCTCTTCCGCTGTCTCTAAAAAGAAACAAACACAATCTTTACTAGAAATGTTTGAAATCATTACTCATTAACTAGATTGTATATCCAATTAATGGGTCGAAACCCACAGTTTTAAATGACCCTGAGTTAAAAGATTAAGACGACGATGCTGCCTCCTTTGGAGGCGGCTGCTGGGGGTCACTGTCCCGCAACGGCGGGGTCCGGCACAGACAGCGCCCCTGTGTTCCTACAAAACCCGCGTTACAAAATCATCAGCATGTAATCCTGTAACCACAATATCACACTCAAGCACACCGTTTTAGGTGAAGTGTTCAAATTAAAACGATACATTATCACACCCATATTATTACCATACCAGCCACACTCAAGTAGGCCTTACTTCTGCTGGACCCTGTATTGAAACAGGTCCTGATGATCCAGAAAGCAGATTGAGACAGCCATGCCATCTTCCCCGAGATTCTGGGGGCCAGATGCAAATCAGAGAAGGCAGGAGGTTGTCCTTAGGAGAGGGTTTGGGTGGAGCAGGCCCAAGGACCCAGGGGCGTGGCGGAGGGCTGGAGCGCAGGCTGTCACTGGAACTCGGGAGGAGATGGGGAAGAGGGAGCCTTGTCGGGAATACAGCAGTGTCCTGGACGTGTCCTGTGAGGGAGCCAGTGAGGGAGCGGGCAGGCGGGCAGAAGCCCTGGCCTGGGGGTGGGCTGCCTGGTCACTGCGTTTGCTTGGCTGTGTCCTGAAACTGAATGTAATCTCTGTTGCTAGGCAGTCCGATATGTGGTGAGGCTCACTGTTTTCTCATGATGTTTCCTTTCATAGTTGAATAATCTTGCTCCCTTTCATGTTAAATTCATCCCAGGCACGCCAACCTTTCATCCTCAGTCCAGTCCACTCTGCGCATGCGTGACCAATGAATGCATCGGCATGTGCCACTTGCAAATGGGCGCACGCAGAACACTGGCAGGGACTCCCCTGGTCGTGCAGGTGGGGCCACATCCTCGCTGTCTGGCCCTGGGATCCTGTACGTTTGCACTCAGCTGTACAGTGATAAGAATTCAGTCGTTTTCTTTGTCAGCCAGATCACGAGTGTGTTTCTTTTGGGGCTTGCCTGTCAGAGTATGTCATTTATGAACATCTGTTGGGTTTCACTGGGCATAGCTTTATGTTGATGGTTGATGTACTTCTTAACTGGGTGTGTGACACCATTTTTCTGACAGTGTCAAAGCCAAAATGGTTTCAAGTTCAGTTTCATCATCCAGTGTCAGATACCGCTGTCCATGTACGTCAACCCCAGACTTGAAGAGCACGCTGCTTCCCCGTGTGTCTCTAAGGTGCCAGGGCTGGTGGCTGACATCAGACTTAGAATGCGGTGTCTGGACATGTGTCTTCACTGAGGAAAGCAGACCCAGGAGTCTGAGGCGCCAGTGGCCTGCGTTGTTTCTCGGAGTTCACTGACAGTCGTGTCGTGTTTGCCTGATGATTCGTGTGCTGAACCTTGAAACTCGAATGCAGTTTGAGAGACTGTATCTCCACATCACCTTCCCCTCTGTAGGACCTTCCAAAGCCACGGTTTGCTTTAGTTAGGTTCCGCTTACAGTTTAAATAGAGGAGCCCAGAGTCGGGGATTCATGGTACACTCTCATCCTTGGTCCATCAGTGGCCTCATTTTATGTAGTTACTCAGTCACTTTTAATAATGTGGTGATAATACATGGTTTCACATTACATTATGGGAAATACCCACAAAGTCACTGTTCACAAGAAAAGCAAACACCTAGCCAACGACTTGCATGTGAGCTTATGGTCCCCCCATCAGCACACGTGTTCCTGTGCAAGGGAACCATCACCCTGAGCTTAGGTCCCAGGTGCCCTTGCTCTCCTTGTGTTAAGTTCTCGTTGCTGTATGTGGTTATTCATACACATGTATCTCACATACACGCGTCACACATGCAGCTGTACACGTGTGCACCTAGTTTTAGCTGTGTTAGCACTTCAAGGGGCAGATGCCGTGTGTCACCTCCTGGTGCTTGCTGACCCTCCCTCCCGCTGCTGTCCGGGGAGAGTCCTGCAGACGCCCTGTGTTGCTGGCGCTCCGCCCTGCGGTGATGCGTCCTCGCCGCCCACGTCCTTTCTGGCGGCTCTGCTGCTGCATCTGTGCTTTTGCTGATGAAATTTCCAGAAGATTCTGGCCAGATCACCCTATTTGGATCTGGATACTTGAATGGTCTGAAGTATCCTCTATTACAGTTTTCTCGACCTTTTTCTCCTAAATTCTGTGTTCCATGCCGCTGCCTGTATACATATGGATTTTATTTACACCCTCCCCCCGGCATGTGGAATTGCTCTTTCTGGCCTGGAATTGGTCATTTTAACCCAGATCACTAAATTCTGCACATCACAACCGCCTGATCGGGCTCCTGGCATTATCAGATATGTTGCGTGGGTGCACTTCGCTGTCGAAGGGTACAGCCTCTGCGTTGCCCACAAGCCCTTCTGCCCCTGTCCGGCCCAGCGGGACGCCACCTGAGATCTGCTGTCATCTCTCCGCGGCCCCAGCACCCCCTCCTGCCCGTCAGAAGAGGTTATTACTCTGTGGGTTTGAGGAGTTTGACGAGCTTTTTAAAAATCACAAATTTTAACCTTATCAGAGCAGATCCTAACTTTCTCAGGAAGGTACTTTTAAGTTTAGGATATTTCATTTCAAAATAACTCTTTGTAAGAAGACTAGCATCTAGAGCTCTAAATTTCTTTATACAGAAGCAAACATATATGAATTTCGTAGCTGAAAAGAATATCAAATGACAATTTTCCTGCATATATTGTGCATGTCAATCCTTGTCCCTTCCCAGTGTTCCTGAAGGTAATACAATTTATATAGGAGGTAACATAATTGAGAAAATTTGTAACTTTGTAGCCTTAGGAGACATTCTGTGGTCGTATCCTAACTCGCTCAAATGGTAAACACGCCCGTTGCCCGATGGACCCCTGTGTATTCACTCCTGCTTCCCAGCAAAGGTGGAGGGAGGCAAGACGAAGGCCATGTCAGGGGCCAAATGAGCCCAAGGCCGATGCTGTGCACACCAGGTGTGCAGGGTTTGTGGGGGACCGCGGACCTGCCTTCCAGACAGGTGTCGCTGATGCTCTTGTGGGTCCTCGTTTCCAAAATGCCTGGCCGATGAATGACTCAGGAACAAGGGGACATGTGCACGTAGCGGGGGCTTTCCTGTCCTCTGAAGGATTGAGTAGCACTGTTGTCCTTCTGGTGGAACTTGCTGTTTGGCACCATTTCACACAGGGAAGCTGTCGCAGGTCTGAGCCCCTTTACGCTTTCCTTGGCAAGCTGCGTGCACTTCTACATTGTTCTGCATGGTGGGGTGACACTCAGGGCACAGTGGTTGAATGAATGGACATGACAGACCTTCAGATTTTGTCACTGAGGAGTGGAGGGATCACATCCGTCCCTTCTCTTCCATTCCAGCCTTGTTCCACAAGCAAAGCACTGTGGATCACTGAATCGGAGTCCTCCCCCCCTGATTTGTAGCTTGGATGCACCGCCATGTCTCCAGGACACGCTTCACTGGTGCACTGAGCAGTTGCCAGCCGCCAGAGACCCTTAGAGTATTTGGAATGATCGACTCAGAAGAACTGTCAGTGTTCTCTGGCCATGGGTCTTGGTTAATGACCGGCTTCCTTTGGTCACATGATCCTTCTAATTCCAAACCACAACAGTAACTGTGGTTGAGCTTTAATAAAAGCTTATTATTTTTTCATACACTTGCTTTGAAGTGGCAACAATTTACATACATATAATAATTCTTATGATCTGCTCAAGACCTGTGTGTTCTTTTCTCATTCCCCCCTAAATACGAGGACCCCAGGAATATGCCCTGGGCTGGACAGCTAAGGCCTGGGGGCAGCATGAATTAAAACAGGAGCTGCATCCTGCAGCCCACTCCTGACCCTGCCGCTCAGCCCCCAAATTCAGTGCAGCTGTAAGAGTTAGATAAAAACACGGGCACAGGTTAGCAGAACTCCCATCTCCCTCTGGGGAAAATAACATGACACAAGTCAGTTTTATGATTTGTGTATGAATGACTGTTATTAGCAGTTACACCTTACTTTTTTCCTCTGGACAAAATGCAGTGAAGAAGGAACTTACAAAGCAATGCCAAGATTTACTTTAATCAGCGGACACTACTTTCTCTTCACTTTAACCCATAGTTGTTGCAAGTGCTCGGGCATCACCATGAGAAAACGACGCCTGTCTGTGGAGCACGCGTCTCAGTGTGGAAAGGCAAACACACGAATAACTAGTGTGTGCAGTGTGATGCTGGCCTCGTAAATGTGTCTGTGAGATGGATAAAGTTGGTTAGTTATCATTGCGATTTTGTGCAAGCCCAGTAAAGTTTTCTTTTAGGTCACGAACTCATTGATGATATCACCTAAGGTTATTGCAGCTACTGTATTACATGTACTTAAACAATATTGATGACAAATGAATGCAAGTACTTTGGCACTCTACACTATGTTCTTTTGTGCACCATGCCCACCATATTCTAATCTTGTTAACCTTTTCAATTTTTCCTTGCATCAGAGTTGTCATGATGAAGAAGATGACGATGGTGAAGAGGAAGTGAAGAGTTTTGAAGTAAGATCGATCTTTCTAGATTTGCCTTTTTCTCCTTGGAAGCATTGCTCCATAGCTCATGATCGATGTTTATGTTTCTTGCTTCATGGCTTAATCGCAGCTTACTGTCAGGGACCTGCATGTCAGCAGCGGGGGCCAGTCTGCGCCCTGACATGCGCCGCGGTCAGCACCAGGGACCAGACTTGTTAAACATGCTGGGGCATCCGTGTGTTTGGAATGAGTGCCCCTGAGGAGCCCAGAAGTGAGAGGCTTCTGATTGCCCCATCTCAGGGGAGACCGTGATTCAAATTCGAGAGACACGTGAGGAAAATACTCACTGAAGAGCAATGTGACATCAAGTTTTTAATGGAAGCCTTGGCTTGATACCTTTTTCTGAATTGAATCTTAAATGTTCAGCCTCCGGTGACTCCTGCGCACTAGGTCACTCATTCCCAGCACACCTGTGGCCAGTGCACACAGCCAGTCTGCTTGCATGAGGTGGGGGTGGGGGGCGCCATCTTCCTAGGACCACCTGTTAGCTTATGGTTGTGTTCCCAAACTTTTCAGCCTTAAATAGCCACATAATTTGAACTGCTCGATGTTAACTAGCCAGAAAGAAAGGAAATGCTATTTTCCCCTGTTTTTAGACTATACTTTTGTTTTTTAATGAGAAAAACTAGGTGTTGTTAACTACCACTCTCCTTATATATTTTTTGGGATTAGAATTTTCAAAATGAGATTAAGTGGAAGGGAATAGAGTAGATTCTTTTCGATTTCACCATTGATTAACTTGTCGGGGCTTCGAGCCAGAAGTCTGGGGGCACATTAGGACCCAGCAGGCAGCCACTCACTGCCTTGGACCTGCAGAAAGGGGTAGGTGAGGACCAAACACACAGTGCCTCTTTCAGGGACAGCTTGACCCTGCCGCACTGAAGTCACTGTGTGAGAAATACGAGAAGTAACGAACTTGAGGAAACCAGTGATATTGCTGGCTGTGAAAACTGCCCTCAGGGTAATTTCCTGGGTGGCACTGGAATCATGTCTAATGTGTGTGTGTTCTATTCTCAAACCCATCTTTGTCGGTAAGAAACTGAGGTAAATTAGAATGAGCTGAGAGCCGCAGATAAGAGTTTCTGAAGTGTAACCACTTTTGGTCTCCAGAGCAATTGTTTATTGCTATTTTGCTTCTGTCCTCATCCTTCCTAAGGCCACAGGATCCCAGCGCAGCAAGGTAAACCGTACATGTGTGTGTATTTGTCTGGGTCTCAGTTTCGGTTTCTGTGACATTGACCTTTTCGTTAGACCCAACATCTCAGGTTCTTTGGTAACATAAGGTCTTGCAATCCTCCTACAAGTTCTAGCCCCAGTGCCATTGGTCTTTCCCATATCCCGTCCTTGACACAGGCTGTCTTCTTTCACTTGGAGTGGCTCAGAGTTTGAGGTTTGAGCGGCACACCAGGCCGCACGGCACACCAGGCCGCACGTCCTGCAGACGGCCAGCCCTCCGCTAGGGGCTTCTGGCCTCTGCCTCCCGAGGCTTCCTCACACCAGTCTCGTCACTTGAAAACGAACGTGATAAGTGGCATTCCTGGTGACACTGGAAATAAGTCTGCCCTTCCACTGTGTTGGTGATCCCTGCAATTAGGATCCCACAGTTTCAACACTGATTTCAGCATTTATTCTCGGGAAGATCTCCATTGTTTCTACTCTTAATATTTTGGATAGCTAAGCACCTGTAAAATTTGCTAAAAGAAAACATTTTGCACTAGAATTACAGAAGTAATTTGAGATTTAAAAAGGGGTGGCATAATAAGGAAAAGTCTATGAGGCGTAAAGCCCAAGAAACGTGGGAAACAGCGTGGGGACTGAATGCCGGGATTTGCCGGCTCTTTTCTTCCGTGAACACGTGTTGTGTGCATCGCTCTTCACTCGTGTGACCCTGTGCAGCTTGCCCAGCTGAACTGGATAGTCTCATCCCGACTTCATCAACAGTACCTTCCCAACAACTACTTATTTAACTGTTCACTGCACACCTAGTTCGTTATTGTACATAACCTTTTTAGAACTGAGTGCACTTCGATATTAAAATGGTTTAAAAAGACAGTTAAATCTTATATAGAGGTCAAAATTATTTGAAAGGGAAGAAACATTTGGGAAAATATCAGAAATGTTAATTATCGATATTGAATGCTTTATTCAGCTTGGAATGTCTTATAAACCAAAGCAAATAATAGTAAGTTAATAACAGTGATTCAAGTCAAATAACTTCATGCTTCTGAGCCTGTTGGGTTCTGCTCATCGAGATCATCTGAGAGCTTTGATACCAGAGAACACATTTTTAAACTATGATTTTGCAAAATATACAGAAACGTTCCTCAGATGGTTACTTCTGCTCTACTGTAAGGTGTGAGGGGATGAAATTAAGCCGCACTGCAGGGAAGGCATTTCCGTGCAACGTTAAGGTAGACTTATTACCCACCGAAGAGCCTAAATGAATGGCAGTGGAGCTTGTGTGAGCCGGAGGGGCGGAGCCTGGACTTGCCCTGGAGAGCATGTGGCTTGAATGCTTGGCTAGTGGCACGTCCTTTGGCGGATGCCCAGTTTCTCATTTGCAATGAGTTTTTGATGAGTGCCCGTGGTCCTGTCACTCTGTACTGTGGGCTAGAGAGACATCATGTGTCTTAAATACTCAATGTGTCTGTGGCAGAGTTGACACTCAGTGTTAAGAACCTTGGAGGCTAACTTACATGCCCTCCCAGGGGGCCTCAGGTGTAAGTGGGAATGACATCCTTCCTACTGAGGTGCCCAGCTCACGTTCCAGCATGTACCCCAACAGGTGTGGACAAATCGAGGTGGGTCCAGACGCCCAATGGACGGACAGATGGTCTGCAGCCCTGCCTGGTGTTGATAGCACTTCTTCCTGGCCCCTCCAGCCATCTGTCTGGTTCCGAATAGGATCTTTATTTTTTTTGTAAATTCTGCAGGAACAAACTGGCTATAAGACATACCCTCTCCAACAGCTATCGCCTTCGAATGGGTTTACTTTGTTGCTTTCAGAGGAACACAACAATCTGGATTAGAAGGCTGCCCGAGTCTAGAAAAAGGGAGCCCTTGAATATAAACAAAGTAAAGGTGTAGCTGTATATATGAAATACTGAAGAATTTTTTTTTCTCCAAGACAGTCTACAGTTTTTCAGTCTCTAGTGCAGAAGCTCTGTGGGGGATGGGGAAGGTGTTTTGGTGGCCAGTGCTCTAGAATGCTAATGCTCGTGGCTGCCGTCCAACACACGTGTGTTTATACTGCGCAATGGAACTGTCAGTCTCTGGTCAAGCCCTCATGCCATGGCCCTGGTTCCCTTGGAAACAGAGCAGAGTGCCGAGTGCTACCACTTCATAGGGCTGGGGTGCTGCCGTCCTGCAGAAGCGTGAGTGAGAGGGAGAGAGACCCACGGGGAGGACAGAGTGCAGACCCAAGCCAGCGCACCTGAGCTAATAACCAAGGCCGCTCAGTGGTCCGCACTTGCTCAGGTGTGTTGGCTCCCGGGGAGGCCACATGCACCTGGAACAGTGGCTCCTGGGGGTGGAGGGTGAGCACTTTATCTGCCAGTCCATCCCACCTCCTACCTGTCATGGGTCACAGGGAGTTCATTTCTTTATACTTCCTGCCGACCTTAACTAGCCTTTCCACGCAGCCCCTGGGGAAGCCCGGGTTTGGATCCAGCCTGCGGGGGTCTGGGACCTGTTACCCCTCTCTGTGCCTCAGCACAGGGGCTTCCTAGTGAGTGGTGGTATGGTGGCAGCCCACTTCCATAGCCATGGCTGCGCTCTGAGTCATTTCCAGGGCTGTGCTGGCTCAGGAGCAAGGATTATTGCCAAGGCTGGGTCAGAGGGGGTGGACGTCCTGGAGGCCGGTGCCGGCATGAGTCACATCCCCAGAAAGCACAGCCCTCTGTAAGGTGATGGTTGTGCATGTGGGTACTGTGGACCTAAATGCATTTAAACGTGTACGTAAACATGCAGTTGTGCATTTTTGATGTGCACAATAATTTGAGTCATTGTGCTTCCATTTTTAAAATAATCCCAGTGGAAGTTTAGGCGTGACCACAGTACACACAGTGAACGGGGTGCAGGGAGGACAGTCGGGTGAACCACCTGTTGTTGATGCCTAGCTCCACCACCTGTGAGATCTTAAGCCTCAATTTTTCTATCTGTGAAATGGAGCTCATTATAGTATCTACTTAGAGGATTGGACTGAGGATTTAACTAGTTGACACCCATGAGGCACTCAGAACATGGCCTAGTACAACTAGCTCTACACATACTTGCTATTAGTATGACAGTTTCACTTTTGGACAAGCACATAAGTCGTAGAGAAATGGGGGGCACTACCCTACCCAGGTGGGTGGGGGGCTGCATTCTCATCTGGGGCCGGCTCAGTGACCTTCATTCAGCAGGTCACATAGAAGTACTCTGTGTTTCACCGTTTTTTACTCTGAGTGAAAAGCTTTGAATTAGATCTTCTCAGAGGTCATAATCACCTTTAAAATCTGATTTGCTATTAAAGAGTAAGTTCTGTTCATTTTCAGAGCAACTTCATAGTTCTGAATGCATAAATATTGCTAGAAGCAAACACATTTTCATTAGTTTTCTTCTGGTCTTTGGCGGAGTGGCGAGAAGAAAAAGAAACCCTACGTTTTTGTAGAATAGGAATGTCACAATAAACATGTTTCATGGAAAATGCAGTCTGTCTTCTGTGCCTGTATAGGAATCTCTGCCTTTTCCTGCCTTGGGATTTATAACTATCACACAATCACACATCGTGCAGACAGACGAAGGGGTGAAATTGTGGAGGAAGGAGAGGGCCAGGGCCGTGAGAGGAGCCCCGGCTGTCACCTGCCAGTGCGTGGCGTGGCGGCTGTGTGCCCTGCTGCTCCCACGTTCTCCAAGAGCCGCCTTCAGCCACAGACATTGAACAGTTGAGTGTATTCGCAAAACAAAGACAGTCTCCTTGTTTGGGAGAA